GTGAAGACAATAGTTTATTGACTAGACTGTTGTGAGTATATGAACTGGGTTCAACTACATAGTCTGTCCTTCCTTATATACATCAGACGAATAAAGGTCCTGGTTAGTAATCCATGGTTCTAGACGTTTCGGTGCTGCCTTTGCTCATCTTTACATCATGGAGCTTTCTGTGATGAGGCGACGTTGATCCTTTCTTAGGCGCGTCTAGCGTCACATGACAATACCAATCAGAGCTAAACTCCTAAACTCTGACAAGCCAAGTTATCTATTTGACAACCCGGGTTGCCATGCATTATTTGCCAACTCCCCCTAATTGACTGCTACTACGAGACTTATTTTGGCGATTGAGGCAGCGGTCAGGTCGGCTCTACTCAGTACAGCTGGATCCATGCTACGAGGATGTAGGTAGGCTAATGTAATGACTCCTCAGCAGGGGTAAAGGAGGAGGAGGAGTAGTGGGGCAGTGAGGAGGAATGGCAAGAGCAAGCAGATGTACAGTGGGCAGCATCAGCGGTCAATTAGAGGGGGGTTGGCAAACAATGCATGGCAACCTGGGTTGTCAAATAGATAACTTGCTGACAAGCGGGATCTGTCGACAAAGACGCCATTGCGGGAAGGATGGACGAAATCCGCAAGATATGCTCTGACTTCGAGCCCAACGACATCTATAACTGCGATGAGACTGGCATGTACCTTAAGGAGTTCTCCACTCACTCGTACACTACGGAGCTTGCGAGCGGGGAGCCGCGAATCGAGTGTCAATTCTCTTCTGTATCAACGCCACTGGATCTTCGCAGCAACGATAGTGACTTTGAGACCGCTAGTCATAGGTAGGTGCTCGAACGTGCCGCATTATTGTTCTAAGAGAAAAAAATAAATTAGAAACTAATTATCCCATTCCTTTGCTTATTATTTTAGGCGCGCATCTTGCTCGACGTATCCAGCCATGCCCTGAGCTCCCTATTACCTCAATAAGACATGGAAATGGATACATGACCATGGATCTTTTCAAAGCGTGGCTTCACGCTCTGGATGACAGCCTTACCAACAGGAGTCTTCTACTTATCGACTCATGTGGAGCACACGGCAACTCTAGACGCGGCAACTCTAGCGGCAACGATCCACTTGCAGGAGAGACATGGAGACATCTTCAGATCGAGCGCCTGCCATCCAATTCAACATCCGTTACCCAACCTTTGGACCAAGGCATAATCAGTGTATTCAAACGACAATACCTCAAGATGCTCAGCAACGAAGCAATTACAAAAGAGTACGCATACCCATCATAACTGCCACGTGACATAAGTTTCCAGAATAGGAATTACTAAAAGGGGAATAGTAGACTATGCTCTGATTGGTCAAAAAGCAAGAAATCCTTCGATTTGCAAATTGAAGGCAGTGGACTGTGCATGTAGTCAAGATACTCGCGAGTGTACAGATTGTTGAATAGAAATATACACACCAAGGCAAAAGACAAGCAGGACAGCGTTGATAAACCAGAGGAGGCCTCATGGCTTTTTTTTTTTTACAAGTACAAACATGTTCAGAATACAGAGTATTTTTTATTTTTTATTTTATAAGCGTGCGTTATGATCGCTCCACGTAGGAACCAACATTGGGCGCGCTTACTTGGATTCACTGTTCCCCTTGGATCCGTTCATCTCCTTATTGAGCATTTCCATGACCATGGCGCCGCACAACTGTGAGATGGGGTTGTCCTGGACGGACACGGCCTTGGCCACGGGGTTGCCGAAACGTGCACCGCGCTCGAAATCCACCTGAGCACCGTCCTTGTCGCCCTCTAGTTTTTTGATGATACCTCTCTGAGTATATGCCTATGGAAATCGTAAAGATATCTTGTCAGCAAACATTGATGAGGTCTTGGAGGAGGAGGGGAGAAACCCCTGTCATCGCCTTTTCTTTTTTTTTTTTTTTTTTTTTTTCGTTCATTTATTACCTGCTTAAGAATGGCTGTCTGTCCATTGCCGTATTCGATCGCCTTATCCAGATCCTTAAGAGCCGCAGCGCTGTTGTTCTGAATCCTGTATGCTTGTGCTCTAATCAAACAGAGAAACAGATCGAAGGCAAATTTAATAAAGACAAAACGTAACAAACCAAGAAAAAGGATGAAGGTAGGAAGGAAGAGGAGGAGGAACCGGGGGAGAGTGTTGACTCTGCGTGAAAAAAGACGGTGTTCTTTTTTTTCTTCTTCTTCTTACCTGTTATTGTATCCAGAAGCATAGGTCGGGCACATCTCAATCAACTCTGTGAACTTTTTGATAGCGCCATCGATATCGTCCTTATCCGCCAGCAGGACCGCCTCAGTCTCGAGGGCCTTCACCTTCTTCAGCAACTCTGGGTCGATCGCTAAAGCGCACATAACATACATACACAAAGAAACAAAAGATGGTGATTAACGCTTGGCATTAGTTAAAGACGACAGCAAAAGAAAAAAAGAAAAAAAGACCGTATTAACGGGGCATCGGTGTTCGTACCGGTAGTTTCAGTGTTGAGCATGGTCTCAGTTTCCTTATCCGGCAGCATGGTCCCCTCTGGATTGAAGACCATGTCAAGGATCTTGGCGTCCTTTGCGCTGACAGTTGTCTTTGTAGCCATTTTTGTTGCTGTCGTTGTTGTTGTTGTTGTTGTTGTTGTTGGATTGTAGGTATATGTGCTTTACTGTAGAGGATAGAAAGCTGTCGGTGGTGGCGAGGAAAGTTGCGAAGCAGGTGTTGAATGTGATGAATGAAGAATGAAGAGCGAAAGAATGAAGAATGAAGAGCGAAAGAATGAAGAAAGACTTATTTTGTAGGGGGGAGGGAGGGAGAATGGGCGAAGAAGGTTCGTGGGAGAGTTCCGTGCAGCCGAGCCCTCACTCAAGGGGTTTACTGCACTGTGCCCGGAAATAAAGAATCTTTCCACGCCCCATCTCTGAGCATATCAAACATTGCACTTGCCCTTTTAAAGAAAGTCAAGCGGGAGATATCGACCACAAAAAGCCGATTATCAAGAGCTTTCGAGAAATCGGTTCCAATGGAGTCTAAGACGAGCCCTGGACGACTACGAAAAGGCACATCGGGAAAGGGCAGAGAGAGAGAGAGAGAGCCGCCTGGCAAGAAGGACGACTCACCGAGAAGCCTAGGCGGCCTACGGATCCGCCAGAATTGAATCTAATCAAATACATCTGCTCAAAGATGCGATACAGTTCCGCAACCTACGCCCTAGAGGTATCGAAGACATGGTTGTCGCTTTGAAACGAGGAATGAACAAGGGTCAAGAAGAGCTTTTTTTTTTGAACGTCTCTGCAAATCTATGCCAAAGAGAACCCAGGGTGTCATCGAGGCCAGGGATGGACACGCCGACCACTGGGGCGTCAACATGGCTGCGGCGTTATTTGACCAGTGAGCATAACAGTTTCCTTTAATTTTCTCTCTATAACATCTACTGTACCTCGGAAGAAGAGGGTCCTGCGTTGTTATGGTTGATGGGTAGTAACCAGGGTAAGTACCGTTTTTATTTGTCGGCGGGTATATTTTGGTATGCTAGATTTTTGGTATTTATCAACCGGGCGCTTGTCGACTGGTATTCGGCTCTCTACGCGCCAGATAGCCTTCAGCTGCCGCTTACAAGCAAATAAATTTTATTCGATCCAAATTACCCGTCTCGACTTATTTGACGAGAAGACACTAAAGGTCGAGTCTATAATTGCTAGGATTGTCGTTTTCGAAATCATCCTTGAGCGCTTTGATAGCATCAATGGACCCGATGATCGCACCAAGGACACCAATGATGACGGTGGCGGCGCACCAGACCAACTCGTACCACTTCAAGTGTTTCCATCCGATCAGCTTGAAGTAGCAAAAAATGGGCAGGACGAAAACCAGAGTGCAGTTTCCAAGGGCACCCAGGAGTGACAGGAAGTCGCCGAAATAGGGAACAGTGCATGCGATGCCTCCGCAGATACCAATGATGATAAGGCGGAGAATAGTGCGGTAGACACGCTCCATGACCACGCCACGATGGACTACGGTAATATCGGCCAAACGTTCAAGCTCCAAGGCGAAGGACGTCAGTAAGATAGGCGCAGCAAGGAGGACATGGACGATAATGACGACTGTCCCGACCTCGGTAAAGATGTCCTTGGGTAAGTTGTTGAGGATGGGAGATTCTGCACGGTCACCGTATGTGATATAGCCAGAGATAGCTGTAGTAAGATAAAGAGCGGAGCATGTGCCAAGGGCCGCAGCCAGGACCCAATTCCAGGACCTGGGATATCGCATAACCTCTTCGATATGCATGTAGACGACGTTGCCGCCAAAACAAACTGAAATCGAGGCGACCGTGGCAGGGAGCTGTGAAAGGACGACGATGTCATGGCGGACATCCGCGTAAACGGGGTTATCAAAGTCTACGACTGAGCCGCGGACGGCAACAACGACCAGGAGAACAGTAGCAAGAGCGCCAAAGATGGACATGATAGCGACCTCCTTCAATGTCTTCATGAGGACAAACGGAGTAGCCACGAGAGCAGCGCAAATCAAAATCCAGGCCTTGGTACTGATGTCAACACCAGTGACCAGATTCTTCATTTCCGTTCCTGCCAAGATCAAGTACATGGCAGGGGCCCCGATGACGATGGGCGTATAGAAGAGCCAGACAGCAATCAGACCTGCTCTGCCAAAGGCGTGACGACCAACCTCCTGATATGATGAGAGGCGGTACGTGCCGTTGTAGTACAGGCACTTCATTAGCAGGATGCCGGTGTAGATGGACATGAGCAAGGAGAGTATCAGAACACCAATAACGATCCATCCACCCATCTTGAGGGCGTAAGGCAAGCTTAAAGTCCCGGCGCCTTATTTTCAGCGAGGTAAAATAAAGTATACGTTAAAATCGCCGCGCTGTAAACGTTTGCTCAGAACGTGCGTGGTGAAGAGGATAGAGAGTAACTCTACTTACCTGCAACAATACAGACAATATTGGCGTAGGCCAAGAGGTTGGAGCCTTGTTCAGGCCTTTCGGCCAAGAGATCCTCACCGTTATAGACACTGGAGGCATTGCTCCTATGGGCATAAAGTGCTGTAGAATCTCGTCCATTGGGATTATTGTTGGATATAAGTGGAGTATTCTCATTATTCATCTCGCTGATAGACTGGTCCTGAAGAACTGTATGGCAGTGTTTGCTTGTTGTGTAAGGGGAGAAGAGGAGGGAAAGGGTCTGGTTATTTGGCTGTACGTGGTTGAAAGTGACGGACCTTTTTCTTAAAAAAAGCGAGATAGCTTTTATAAACCTTACACCTAATGGGAGAGAGAAAGAAAGGCGCTGGAGGTAAGTTCGTTGAAAATGGCTATATCTTCACTTTGGACACATCAATATACGATCGGCCCCTGTACCTCGAACACATATGTAAGAAGACGTGGTAACATAGTCTAGAAAGCAAGTCATTGTTCTATCCAAAAGAGAGATGCCTCGGCGAAGCGTGCAGATGGGACAGCGGGAGAGTAAGGAACAGATGGGCGAGGGTATGCATTGTGCGACCATGGGTGCAGGAAAAGTTGTATCTGGTCAAGAAAGGCGTAGTAGATGCCAAACAGACGGGACACAGCAGGATGAAATCCTCCAAGGAGATTCGATGACACCAATTGCACACTTTCTTGGCACGATAGATGTGAGGTTATTTTGATGAGGTCTCCGCCGCTAGCATTTTTTTTTTCTAGGGCCTCTTCATCGCCTTCTCAGTCATATGGCAACAACACGTCTCCGACCTGCCAGCCAAAAAAAAAAAAAAAAAAAAAAAAAAAGCAACAAACAAAGACCGAGCGTCCTTGCTTCCGCCACGCTGATTTCGTCCGCACTCTTCTTGCTTCGCCATCTTTTACTTTAGTTACATCTTGAGCTATGACTCAGATCATGCACAAATTACCTGCTTGCTACCCACATCTTGGGCAGTTCTTCTTTACTGGGTGGTTTTCACTCTGAGCTAATTTTTTTTGTAGCCATTCTATCGTCCTCCGGACCTTCTACCATACTTCTATCATCGAAATAGAAAAAACGAAGTTATCCAACTTGATCCCACTCGCGGAATAAATAAAGTCCCATGTCCCTCTAGTTTAGTCCGCACTTCACCATAGTATCACAGCTCAACCGATCGACCACTCCATTTTGCACGTGTTAATAATCATGTTTGTCAAGCGGCACTCTATTTATCGAGGCGTCAAACGCTAGGACTAAGTGAGCTGACGGACTGACAGAGAAAAAAAAAAGGGGGTTGCTGTTGTTGTTGTTTGCTGTGCTGCAAATGGTCGTAGACACATCTTGAAGGTTATAGAACGCGCTCTACAGAGTCGAATTAATGACGACGCTACAAATGGTCCGCATCAGGTATTCTCAGAATGGAAGACTTTCGAACCAAGAGCAGTTATGGATGGACCCCGCTTTTTGAATTACAATGTTTGGCGACGGATGACCTGGACCTTCAAGTGGAAGCAACAGTGTGAACATTAGAACTGATTCCATTAGTAATTTAAAGCAGCCAACCTGTAAACGGAGAGTCATCACACAATCCTCTTCGTTCTATAGCGCAATTGAACACTGTTTTGTCTTTGAGGTCGAAAGACGAAGTACGTCCTGTTGTCATTAAGCCAACGAAATTAGTGAAAACCAGCAAGACGCCAATGACAAAGTCGTTGTTTTCGAGCGATGTGGATACACCACTCAACAATTTCGAGATTCGAATTCAAGCGGTTGAGTGAGAGCGTGTGGGTTATACGAAGGCGGTCGATACCGCGGTCTCATCGCTTGGAGCTACATCCTCGATAGCCAACAACGTGTTGACAAAGACAACAATACGGTGTAGAGAGTTGCTGGACTTCAGGAGGTAGGTCGAAGCCATGCGGATGGAAAGCCGTCGGCGGGATATCACGGTGATTGGGCAAGTGAGCGATTGAGGCGGCGAAGGTTGGGATGCACACATTGCAGTTACAACCAAGCTCATTTCGGATATCCTTGCAACAATTACAGCTACAACAGCTGTATTCGATGGCAAACCCAAAAAATCTGCAGATCATACTGGAATTTAACATAGATGTAACAAAGTAGAAAGTGGGAACTAAAGTACTCCAAGAAACCCTCTTAATTACAGCGGCATTTCATTGGCGGTTTCCTCCTCCGGCAGAAAGTGTTGGGCCTTGTAATAATCTGGCTCGGCATGAATCACCCTGACCTCTACCCATTGCTCGTAAGGCGTTAGAAAATCCTGAACCGTCGGAGGATTCGTTTTAGAAAGCGACTTAGCTATGTTGCCACACCCAAAGCGCATTTGGATGATGGAAAACAACGCCTGTTACTTATTGATCACAAAGCATATAGCCTAGAAAGGTCTTTTTTTTTGCGCTGCACAGTCACTGACAGGACGCGGTACACAGAGTCTGGTTGGGCTCTTGGACGCGTGTTTAATGAACCCTCGGCTGACTGCACAGAGTTTTCAAGCATGGAGCAGGCTCTGCCGAAACCAGGGAAGGTAGTAACGAAGCTCAAGCAATGTTTTTTATTTTATAATTGAAAACGGTACTGAATAAAGAGAATGTGAAGTAAGAACGGAGTGAATAAAGAGAAATGGAGAGAGGAAGGAGCGAAGGTATGAACTTTGACCGGATAATAATGACTGAAGAACTGAGCATGGAAGCGACACTTTCTACGCCTCAATGATCCGACACGCGTTCTAATGAGCGACGTGCACTGGAGAGCTTCACGCTTCTCGTCCATATATCTGCCGTTTCCAACATTTCCCACCCAAACCAGTGTCATCTGTAAAATAAACTATAATGATAGTTGTGTCTTTATGAAAAAAAATAAAAGTATATATATATGTATAATAATGCCATCAAGAAGGATTACTGTTGAGTTCTATTGAACGCGTGGCCTTAGCCTGCTGCAGGACTACATTATTCCTGATTTTTTTACTTTTAGAGCAACTGAACGCAAAGACCAGCAGCTCCAGCAAGCATGAACATGGCGCCGGACTTCAAGAAAGACATCGTCTGTACACTCGCACCGTTAGAAGTATTTGTTGAGGATGCAGAAGCGATGGTTGGGGCCAGAGTCGAGGCAGCCTCAGGTGCCACGGATGCCTGTGCCGGTTGTGCGGGGTTATCAATCTGGAAGGAATTTGTGTAGGACTGTTGAGGCGAAGTACGGACGACGATTGAATAGGGTCCAGAGGGAACCATGCCAGGGACTGTCATATCCGCACGCGTGTTCGATCCTGAGCAATCGAGGGTTCCGAGTGTGGCGACGTATCGCACAGCCGATGAGGGTCCATTAACGAGATCGACCTTGACCGCCTTGGAATCATTGCCCATGGAAGCGCAGTTACCGCTCCAGCCGACAAAGTTGGGCACGCCAGTCTTCCAGATTGTGCCATCCGTGGGGTTGTTGATCTGCAACATGTCTGCAGAGGCCGTGGCGACAAGAGCAGCGGCGGAGATGGTGAGTGCGGCGATGAACTTCATGTTTGTGGAGAGTGAAGGTTTGTGTGAAGAAGTGATATTAGATGGATATTAAGTGAGTAGGAGAGAGACGAGTGGAATGAGTTGTTCACAGACGATGAAGGAAAAAGAAAGAGAGAAAAAAAAAAGCAGAAAAAGAGCAAGAGGATGGCGCGGTGGAATGTGGTCCTTTTATAGTCGAGTGGAGACACCTCCTCCAGTCGGGAGCCAGGATGGAGGAGACGTCACTTTAGCAACCAGAAATAAGGGCTATCCACTTTCTTTCCGTACGTCGTTGTTGCTAAATGGCGCCAGGTATGCATTGCTAAACTCTATCGTTACACGCGCTCATCGCGACGCGCCTTGAAGCTGCTCTCATGAAGGCATGCTCCATAGTCCTTGCCTTGGAAGACGCCCTTTTATTACGATAGACATAGTGAATGAATAGGCAAAACAAATAAACTAAAAATATCACGACGTGTGCTTTCTACAAACGAGTACTGGCGTCCAGGAGCTGTATATCCCTCCAGAGGGTGATCCTGTTCCCTTTTTCGGTGCTGAAAGAGAAGCAAGGGGACGTATAAGGGGTCCAGGAGCGGTGGATGAATACGTCACCAGCTGCTATCGTCGCTTGCAAAAAAAAAAAAGGTATCCAGAGCGCATGGACAACCGAAAGACTTCTGTTTACGCGAGGGCGAAGCACTCATCAAGATGCCAGCAACACTGGGTCTTCGTTTGTGAAACATGCGTAGCACAATAGCCCTTCTTGCTTATTACTGCAAATGCCTCCTTCCCTTCGCACCCTTCATCTCTCATCTACGTTTCTTCGAGAGCCTTGTTACGATATTAAAATGTTTGTGAGTGCTGCGATCACCTCCTTGCGTCTCTTTCAATGTATTGGATTGCATTGCGTGCATGCATGCACATACGTCTTTCTCCTTGCAGTCAAGTTGCGGCTAGCCTCTATATTTTCCTCCACCGAAGCGCTCATTATCTCAATGCTGAGTAGTCCTCCAAGGTCTTTGTATAGAGATCATTCGTACGAAATATCATGGAGCGAATCAAGGCACGTTGTTTGTTCTGGACAAGAACTCTCTTAACGGACAATGTGCGTTCCATGCATTGCGCGTTGCTAACATGGTTACAGTTGTAAAGAAAAATAATAACTCTCCAGCTGTGGTCTTGTAGGAAGTACCCCTTTTGCTGCAAGTGCGATCCTCCCTTGCCGCCTTTTTTTCTGCTTTTGTTTTTTGACAATGGGGAGCAAAAAAGGGAGTGAGATAATGAGCAGGACAGACAAGGAGATTGATGCAAGGAGAAAGTCTAATAAAGGGGCCAATATCTTTCTTTTACCCTTTGGTGCGTCCTGTTCAAAGCCTTTTGTTGTAGACCGATGGACACAGCATAGAAAAATTGAGACGCGACGCGCTTTTTTTTTTTTTGCTTTTTTTTTTTTTTTTTTTTTTTTTTTGGTGGCGTTCTCTCTAAAGCGTGTGCAGTAGTAGAATGCATCGCTTTCTGAGCACAGCTTTGACTACGCCGCTGGCGATAGCCGGTGTTCAACATCTTGTTCCCGGACATGACTACCGCGCTCACTGATGGGACTGCTGAGGTAGCCGTCTACAAAGTGGGTTTTACTGGTGCTGTTGGTCTGAGCTTGTTTGCTGTTTTGAGGTCCCCCTACACAGCGCATCCGTAACCTGCATTGGTCTTAATGGGTGTAGCGGGGATGATCTACATACTGGGTGCCACCAATATTTAAATTCTTCCCACACTTTCCCTGGTCCTTCTTTCTCTTTCTTTCTCGCTCTCATTCTCACACATACACACTCCATTCCACTCTCATTCACTCCAACCATGTCTGCGACCAAGTCCAACCCCCGCCAGTCCTGGAGCGTCAGCGCCTCCATCACCTCGAAGCGTACCTCCAATCCCATTCGCGCCATCGTCGATCATATTAAAGTCAAGCCCAATGCCAACAAGTCTATGATCTCCCTCGCTCTCGGTGACCCCACCCTCTTTGGCAACTTCAAGATCCACCAGTCCTGCACAGATGCTGTCATCAAGGAGGTCACCTCGTACAAGAGCAACGGATACCCTCCCTCGACTGGATATCCCCATGCCCGCCAGGCCGTCGCTGAAAAGTTCACCCTTCCCGAGGCCCCTCTCACTGCCCAGGATGTGATCCTTACTAGTGGATGCTCCGGTGCCTTGGACATGTGCATCGGCGTCCTCTGCAACGAAGGCGACAACATCCTTTTGCCTCGCCCCGGCTTCTCGCTCTACCAGACTTGTGCCGATTCGAAGGGCATCGAAGTCCGTTACTATGATCTCTTGGTAAGCATTAGACGATCTTTTTTTCGACAGCAATATTGCCTGCGACATGTGTATTCGCTGAACTCACATTTCGACCCAATATATTCAATCTCATTAACCTCATTAGCCCGAGAACAACTGGGAGATGGATCTGAAGCAATTGGAGTCGCTGATCGACGAGCGCACCGCCACTGTTGTCATGAACAACCCCTCTAACCCCTGTGGCTCCGTCTTCAGGAAGCAGCACCTGCTCGATTTCTTGGCCGTCTGCGAGCGTAACCACTTGCCCGTGATCGCCGACGAGATCTATTGCGACCTTGTCTTCTCTGGCAACGAGTTCTACTCTCTGGCCTCGTTGACCAAGACCGTCCCCGTGCTCTCGGTCGGCGGTCTCGCCAAGAAGTACCTGGTTCCTGGATGGAGACTCGGCTGGATCTTCATTCACGATCGCAACGACATCTTTGCGGCCGAGGTCCGTGATGGTCTCAACAGCCTGTCGCAGCTGATCCTGGGTCCCAACTCGGTGATCCAGGGCGCTCTCCGGGACATTCTCCATAACACGGACGAGTCCTTCTACGACGAGACCCGTGCCCAGCTCGAGGCCAACGCCAAGTTGAGCACTGACATTTTGTCCAAGGTGCCCGGACTCAAGGTCATCGTCCCCCAGGGAGCGATGTATGTGATGATCGGGATCAACATCAACGAGTTCAAGGATATCCCCAACGACATTGTCTTCACGGAGAAGTTGTTGGGTGAGGAGTCTGTGATGTGTCTGCCCGGATCGGTCTTCCAGTGCCCCAATTTCATCCGCATCGTCTTTACTTCTCCTCCTGAGGTTCTTCAGGATGCCTACAACCGTATGACCGAGTTCTGCGCCCGCCACCACGTTTAAAACTACTATATATACACACACAGCATCAATAATATCGCATTGAGATATATAGAATAGGTGTATCTGGATGCATGTAAATAAAAAGAAAAGAAAAAAAGAAGACCCACAAAAGCTATCATAATAAACACCTTAACGCACTGTGCCTCAAAGTTCGTGGACATTTCTTTGAACGGGTTTATTGGGCTCAAGTTGTTCTTTCGTACCTACCTTGAGAAACCGAGATCTAGCTTCCAACCAACCGAATTCAGATCTGCACCACCACCACCACCACCACCAAAAAAATAAAAATAAAAATAAAGGGGAATAGGAGTAAAATAAAGTGCAAAGGATTGCCCACGGTCCACAGAATGTCAACCACTAGAAATGTCCACAAATCTAGGTCTATCAAGTCAAACAGATGTTTATTCAAAACGCATTCATGTCCACAGTCGGCTTGGCGAGGGTAGTGTTGGTCTTCAATATGATTCTTCCATATTCCTCCTTTTGGGTCTACTGGTCCAGCTCCGGACAATTCTTGGTTAGGATGAGTGGTGTCGAAGGGTCAATGATAGATGCAATAAAAATAAAATATAATGTCTAGTAAGAAAAATGGGAAGAACGAAAGTTATGTAACATTGTGGAGACCAGGTAGTTAGGGCATGGCCTAGGCTGAACTCTCAGTTGACTGATCCTGCCGCTGCCCATCCTGCTGCTGCTCCTGCCCCTGCCCCTGCCCCTGCTGCTCCTGCTGCTCCGTGGCGGCGCCTTGCGCTCCAGTTTCTGCTGTCGTGTCCTCAGATGGGGCGATGGCATGTTCGTGCTCACTGGTAGATCAATTAGAGAAAGAAAAGCAGCTGTTAGCAACTGCTTTGACATTACAATCATCAATTAGCATCATGCCACGACTGCCAGATCCTGAAACTTGCTTCGATTGCTCCGACTGATGCAACTCCTGGGTCTGCACGCCCGCGCCCTGGGCATTATCCATTGGTGCGCTATCGGCAGCAGCCGTAGACTCCGACGAGGTCTTGGATTCACCTTCGGCAGGGGTTGAGGCCTCCGTGATCGTACGTGTCTGAGGCTGAGGAGAAGTCTCAGCGGTGTTGTTCTCTGTCGTTCCAGTCAAGCGTGGAGGCTTAATGTCTTTCTTGTTCAATCCAATATCCCAGTCCAGCTTCAAGCGTCTTCCCTCGACATCGAATCCATTGTACTTTTCCATGGCCTCCTCTGCGTTCTTGCGATCTTCATATTCCACGAATGCAAACCTAAAAGAAATGGGTTATCAAGGCAACAACAAACGAAGGTATTGGTAAATAAAAGATCGATCGCCATCATTCATTTACTCTATCCTCCATACTGATGAAAGAACTTATAGTACACTCCAGCTCTTACCCTTTGTTACGACCGGTGTACTGATCTAGTACCACAGTGACCTTGACGATGGTACCGAATCTCTTGAACATCTCCTCGACCTCGGGTTCGCGGAAGCTGTATGGAATGTTACCAACATACAGCGTCTTGGACGCCAGACGATCTTCTTTCGTGCCACTAGAACCCAAAAACAAACAAATAATGTGTCAATTGCTTCCGCTTCATGTCGACTGCACATCCAGGACCAAATTGATAATAAAAAGCGCACCGAAGGACGGTTCTTGAGCGTCTTGGAGGAGAGCGAGCACGGTGTCCATAACTACGTCCGCCATAACCGCGATCATAGTCTCGGTCGTAGCCACGATCGTAGCCACGATCGTATCTGCTGTGACCACGATCATAACCCCTGTCTGATCGGTCATAGCCGCGGTCGTATCCTCGATCATGTCCGCGGTAATCCATATCGCGGTCATACCCACGGGAATCTCTGTATCCGCCTCTGGGCGAGGGTGTTCTACGATGGCGAGGAGGCGGGGAGTAAGATCGGTCCCGGTAAGAACCCCGGTAGGGAGCGGGTGATCGACGGCCACCGCTGCCGGCACCACGAGGAGGTTCGTGGGGTGGCATGCCATATCCTTGCGCATGGACACCGACGGGTGGAGCTACGGACATATGGTGGGGGGCATGGCTTAGAGGATAATGCTGCTGTTCCATCATGCCTGGGTGCTGCTGATACTGATGGTATGCAGGGTGCTGCTGGGCTGCCTGCTGAGGGTGCTGCATAGGAGGGGTAGCCGTCATATAAGCAGGGTGAGGGGGTACCTGCCAAGCAGCGGCATTGGCGAGGTGGGCGTGTTGGTGCTGCTGCTGTTGTGGGTCCATGTGAATGCTGTTGAAGGCGGAAGGTGAAAGGGCTTCAGGGAGAATGAAGTGTAAAGTGGGAATGGAGCAGAGCGATTCGAAACAAAAGGCTCGAGGCAAAATAAAAAACGGTCTGAACAAATATAAACAAGTCCACGTGAGTTGTTGCCACCAAAAAAAAAAAAAAAAAACTCAGCCCAGCCAAGCCCAGAGGAGCCGAGACATGAATTTAATAAAGTGTCTCTGCTAGGCTCCAGCCAATGCAGGTCCGAATGCTTCCATCCGGGCCATTGACAGCACTGTCGCCGTGAAGAAGTTCATGAGGATATCGATATGTAGCATGTGTGTACTGCTGAGATCTTGTCAAGTTCGCTTCTTTGACCTTCATAGTCTCAATTGTGCCATGAGTCCGTGCCATTACCGTGGTATTCTACAGACGTTAAAGTTGAGCCACGGGGCAGTGGCGTATTGGCCGATGGCGTAGTGGTGAGTGGGACGCACCATCATCCAGAGGTAGCGCTGAATGGCTAGTGATATCTGGATGCGCGACGCGTAGGAATTTTGCGCTACATAAAGGAATCCTGTGTTCCATCGGAACTGTGTTGCAGTGCATGGTGATGTAAATGGGTCGATTGTTTGTGAAACTGGGTTGTTTGTGTGCGGTAGACGCCTGCATTTGTGTTGGGGCTGCTATGCTGAGGGACACCAAATTTCATTAGAAATAGTGTCGAAAAGAAAGAGGCGGTGGTAATGGATGAGAGATAGGCAGTTGTACATACCATGCCGTCAGTTGCAAGCTGGATTGACGCTCAAGGAAGGGATAAAGCAAAAGACATAGGATGGGAGATCATCCATTCGACCAAAAAGTTACGCTGTTGGTGCATGGTTTGGTGCGGACCATTGTTCTTGCTGATGCGCTGGAGTTGGAGTGGGAATAGTGTAGGGTCGAAGGAACGATGGAATGGAGAAGATAAGTGGATGAGTGGCATGGACAGAAAGATCAAAGAGGCGTATAGAGACCGATCTGTCTGGAGGAGCTATGCAGGGTCGTAAGAGTGAAACAGGAACCGTTGGATTTGTTGCACAGACAAAGTCTATCTCATTTTGGCTATTCCGCCGCACTTCACTGCCTGCTTTGCCATAGCCCGATGTCAAGGATATTGAAATGAATGTAGGCTGCGTCCTATTTTCTATCTCGTCTTGTTCAATGCTCACTCGTTTTTATAACCTTGAAATAAACGCGTAAATCTTGATGCTTTTTTTTTTTTTTTTTTGCTCCCTCGTTCATGAGTACCAGTATTCGTGTAATCACGAGCTCAAAGCACTGGATATCGTTCGGTACCCTATATAGATGAACCAATTCGGCGTCCTAGGTGCGCATATTGCGGACGTTTTATCGGCTACACTCGTCTCCAGTGTGCCCACCCATTTTCAAGCATAGGAAACAAGTTGGGTGGATGCTTTATTCGCTGGCATGGAAAGTACTGTACTTCACATACTGTACCATTATTTCCCAGGACGGAACTTCGTGCTTTTAGGTAAGACCCGTTTTTCATTCCTGGATGCGCATTTGCTGTCGCCAAACTAACACGCGATCCAGATCTTTTTTTTCTACCGTGTTTTGTTGCGAATATATTGTTAAAGGTTAATGCTGACATATCACTTGTTTCTTGTTTGTCGTTGCTGAAGGAGTATGTCAGCAGAATGTATACATATATATTTTTGCAGGTTGATCCAGTTTAATATCTGAGTAAAGGACTTGAGGGGAGCATGATTGCATCATCGAGACGCAGGTCCATGCGGTGCATGCAGCTTTAGGACATGCATGCCTGTGAAGGCAGGGTGGGGATGGGAGCAGCACATGCTAAAATCCTTTCATATGGGTTTCAATGTGTACGTAGACACCCACAGGGAAGATGGACTGTCTGGTCTGTGCGAGCAGGTACTCCTTTTTTTTTTTATTTCACTCTTTCTGATGAAAAGAACAAAAAAAGATGATGCCACCTACGCTGCTGGATTGATTTTTTGCTGACTTTGAAGACTTGCACGAGAGACAAGAGTGAGATTATCCCCGATCGCACCTCCATCTTTATCGGCTGGCTGAAAAAGGCAAAGTGGACAAACGAGAGGAAAGATTCCTCTACGACTGTCGAACCAGCCTAGTCCTTGTTCCCCGCCCCCATTGTACTGCGCCCATAACCCAGAGTTGATACTTTAGCAGCGATATCTTGTGCCAATGCATCCTCGTTTATTCCGTGAGGAGGGGTTTTTTTTTGCCGTCTCTTTTTCTTGGACATCCGGTTGTCGCAATCAGCACAGAACTGTAGCTCGACCAGAGTACGTGCCCACGAAATTTGCTCCGATGGTGGAGTCAGCATGTATCCTGGATGACAAGCGGGAAGAGAGGGAGGGTTCGATGGATGTTTTGTGTCCGCATGGGGTCTTTTTTGACTTATGAAGACGAGAGCACGAGCCATTGGGAAAAGGAGGGTCTAATGCTTCCCGCTGGCTGCCGAAATGGCAACTGACGATTTTGTTTATTTTATGATATGGGGGGGAGAGGGCTGTAAAAAAAAGCGTTCTTTTTTTTTTTTTTTCGCACACTCCTTCCTTCCCTCCTCTCCACTTTTACTTCACTCTCCCGCTTTTTTTTTCATTGCATCCCTCCTCCCTTTCTGGTTCCCATCTCGGAAATCACCTCGACATTCCTCATTCGGATGACCCTCCCAGACAGATCCCCCCTGGAGGGAGACAGCGGTCAGAAGATCCCTTCGGGTCGAACCAGCAGCAGCAAGCACCATCATAACCACCAGCATCGCAGCCACAATCATAGCCGTCAACGGAGCTCTTCAGTCTCCAACAGTAGTGACCGCTCCCGCCGCCGAATGGCTCACCACCACCATAATAACTCGAACCATGGCGCCGCCGGCAGCTCGAGCAGTAGTCTGCATCGCCCCACCTCTTCGTCCGCAAAGACAACACCCATGCATGACGACTCCGACGCAGGGCGCTTGATTCCAATAAACCAGCCCGCACTCGCAATCGATTATCTTGGCAATGGCTGGCAGAACGAAGACGATATTGCACAATCCTGGAAGTTCATGACCAAGCAGAAGAACGACCTGATCAATGGCCTGCGCCTCGAGAACGCTTCCTGGCGCAACTGGGCTAAACAGCGACATAACCTCCAGACCATAAGTCCCAAGGCTTTGAATTGGTAAGCGAACGAGAGGGTACACTCCACGACGAGGTTCATCTTGAGTGTAAAAAGCATTATGTAGCTGTGCATACGCTGTCCCTGTACAATGACCTAATCGTCAATCGATCTGCTCTATTGTTTGCGAAAAAAAAAGGCTCAAGGACAGCGATACAACATGGCTCTACGGTCCGCTCTACAAGGCTGCCATCGACGAGTTCGACATGTCCCGCTTTGGGTCAGAAACTCTCACTAGCACCGCATCCCCCGGCATTGGCACGGTTAGTATGCCCACCACGCCCACAAAAGAGCTCCCCAACGGCTTACAGTCCTCTGCAAAGAAGGCCCTCAAGCCAGTTCTTAAACATAAGACCGCATCAGAGCTCTTCAAAGCCGATACTCTCTTCCATGTTCAATCCGACCTCAAACTCGCACGTAGGATCCTGCCTCAGCACAAGGCTATTGAGAGTGCAGTCTTCAAGGAGCACAGGCAGCCGAAGCTGAGGTTTAATGACTCGGTGGAACAATGTGTCTCGATCGACACGGATACCATATCGGAGGAAGAGGAAGAGGATGATGACGATGAAGATGAAGATGAGGAAGGTGAGGAGTATATCCAACCCGAAAACGAAGACGGCAACGGAGACGAAGGAACAACGAGTATGAATCGGCGACGACGACAGGAGAACGAAGACGAGGACAGCGGGATTATGATGCGTATTTCGGCTAGAAAGCCAGTGCAAAGTATCGTCCGTATCGATCCTACACGACTCAAGGCTGCAAACCTGCATGGTATGGATCCGGAAGACATTATAAGCCCTATTGACGGTGATTTTGACGGTGATAACGGCGACTCTGACAACAGTGGCGGTAATGACGACGATGTTGACGACGATGTTGACGACGAGTTGGAAGAGGAAGACGAGGAGATGTTTGATGAACCGATTTACCTTGGGAACCCATACACTGGATCCGAAACCGGCTACACAGGCAAATATACTACTCGACCGGGATCCGGGTTGGACTACGCAGAACACGCCGACGAGGCTACAGTCGCTGAAGTCTCCTATACTAGACCCTCGCCTCCTTCATCTTCGATTGTATCATCCGCCCCAACACACCCAGCCCCAGTCTCAATCCCAGTTCCAGTTCCAGTTCCAGTCCCAGTCCTAGTCCCAGCCTCAGTTCCGACCTCAGTCTCAGCTCCATCTCCATCTTCATCTCCAGCTCCAACTCCAGCTCCAGCCCCATCGCCATCCGCATCCCCGTCAATATCAACATCGGTCACTTCGACATATGTCGAACACGTTGGTCGTCAGCGCTATTCACCTGCTGAACATGGATATCGCCGCCGTTCAACATCTCCGCCTACAACCACAACAGTAATGGGAGGAACGGCAACAGTATCGACTCGTTCATCTGTATCGTCACCTTCGCTGTCATCTTCACCTGCGCGTATGGCAACACCCAAGGTTACCAATGTAAACGCACGGGCGATCTCGCCTGGACTCCAGGACGCGGACAAGAAGCAGCAGGCCGCCAACGTGGGTTTCCAACAGCGCGCAGCCGACCTTGTGACGAACGTCAAGGACCTGGTGAGCTGGGCCTCTTCGTTTGTTTACAATAGCAATACTTTTTAATTCCTTTCTCTCTTTCTTTCTTTCTTTCTTTTCTTTCTTTCTTTCTTTTGCTCTCTGTTTGTATATTTATCTATCCATCTTTATGAACGGGGTTCTTTTTTTGGCATTATATCCCATCCTTCTACCTTTTCCTTTCCTTTCTTTTCTTTTCATGTGTATAATATCAATCTTTCAGCATGCTATAGCACTCCCGTCCTTAATAAAGCAAAAAGAAGCGTCGACAGCTGCATGATGTGTAATGTATGCTTGGGCCACTCTTTCTCAAAGAAGCCGACCATAGATTTTGCCTATCATTCAAAATTATCTTTGAATCCAAACATTGCGAGATACATTTGGCAAAAAGAAAGGTATTGTTCGTTGTGTATATTTTTATGACAATGAAGGGACGTTTACCCTAAAGAGAAAAGGAGAGGGAGAGAAAGAGAGAGGAGGGTGATGTCGATCGATGAAAAACTTGTCGTGACAAAGAATAAGAAGAAAAAAAGAGCAAGGGGAGAGAAAGTCTAGCAGAGTAGGGTGGTGTACGCGGAGGAAATCATGTTTTTCTTTTATAAGCTGAATTCCTTAAAAGTTCTTGGTGAACTCGGTAGTAATATCCTTCAGCTGGGCAAAGGACTCGGCGCTCAAATCACCAGACTTGCGGATCTCCTCGAGGAGGTCCTTGTGGTTGGCAACAAGATGGGGGATGAAGTTGCGCTCGTACTCGCCGACACGGTTGACGGGGATCTTGTCGAGGAAACCGTTGACACCAGCAAAGACGATAGCGACCTGGTGCTCAACGGGGAGAGGCTTGTACTGGGGCTGCTTGAGCAACTCGGTAAGACGGGCACCACGGTTGAGCAAGAACTGGGTCGAGGCATCCAAATCGGAACCGAACTGGGCGAAGGCAGCGACCTCACGGTATTGGGCGAGGTACAACTTCATGGAACCAGCAATCTTCTTCATGGACTTGGTCTGGGCGTGGGAACCGACACGGGAGACGGAAAGACCGACGTTAATGGCGGGACGAATACCCTTGAAGAACAACTCGGCCTCCAAGAAGATCTGACCGTCAGTAATGGAAATGACGTTGGTAGGAATGTAGGCGGACACATCTCCTCCCTGGGTCTCAATGATGGGGAGGGCAGTCATTGAACCACCACCGAGCTTGCGGTTCATCTTGGCGGAACGCTCCAGAAGACGGGAGTGCAGGTAGAAGACATCACCGGGGTAAGCCTCACGACCTGGGGGACGACGAAGCAAAAGGGACATCTGACGGTAGGCGACGGCCTGCTTGGACAAATCATCGAAGACGATCAAGGCGTGCTTGCCGTTATCACGGAAGTACTCTCCGACAGCGCATCCAGAGAAAGGAGCGAGGTACTGAAGGGGAGCGGCCTCGGATGCAGTGGCGGCGACGACAACGGAGTACTTCATGGCATCGTTCTCCTCAAGGGTCTGGACGAACTGAGCGACGGTGGAACGCTTCTGACCAACAGCGACGTAGACACAGTACAACTTCTTGGCCTCCTCAGTGCCATCGTTCCACTTCTTCTGGTTGAGAATGGTGTCCAAGGCGACGGCGGTCTTTCCGGTCTGACGATCACCAATAATCAACTCACGCTGACCACGACCGACGGGAACCATGGAGTCAATACACTTGATACCAGTCAACATGGGCTCACGGACGGATTCACGGGGAAGAATACCGGGGGCCTTGACCTGGGCACGGCGACGCTCAGTGGCGGCGATGGGGCCCTTGCCGTCGATGGGGTTACCGAGGGCATCGATGACACGACCCAAAAGAGCCTCGCCAACGGGGAGATCGACAATGTTACCGGTACGCTTGACGGTATCACCCTCGCGAATGAGACGATCGTTACCGAAGACGACAATACCGACGTTGTCGGCCTCCAAGTTCATGGCCATACCCTATGATTGAAAGAGACAAAATAGGTCAATTCCTTGTTTATCTGACTTCAAGTCGGATATGAAGCGCTGAGGCCCAATTGCTTAATTGGTGACCAGTTGACACTCAATTGATCCAAGAAAGTGCGATCCTGTTCCCAAAAAGTCGATGTCCGCCCTTTACCTTGACACCGCTGGAGAACTCAACCATCTCCTCGGCCTGGCAGTTCTTCAAACCGTAGACACGGGCAATACCGTCTCCGATGGACAAGACACGACCGGTTTCCTGGATATCGACGGAGGAGTTGAGGCCGTTGATGCGGTCCTCGAGGATAGAGGTGACCTCAGATGTGGCTATTGTAGCAAAAGATAGAGCAACCACGTTAGGAACACATGCCATAGAGTGCGTCCACTATCCAAGTAACTGAGGGCAATTCGCCTTCGTACCAGGCTTGGCAGTAGCATAGTTGCGGAAGGCCGAGAGGGCACCAACGTTGGCGCGGACCTAGTAATGGCAAAGAGAGAGCGAAAGGCGGGTGTTAAGGCCCGAGTGCCACGTTCAAAAGAAAAAAAAGTGTGCGTGGACGTATGAAGTGGATAATTGGGTTTGAAGACTACAAAATAAATACAACAGGAGGGTCCCTCTATTGCCCAGATCCGACTGGTTCCGGCAAGATCATACTGCCGGAAACGATGGACCATAGATCCAACCCTCATCGACTTTTACATGCTTGCAAACGACCGATTTGTCCTGTGACAGAAAACAGCGCTACTTTGGTAACGGAAGAGTCGAGGGATGTTTTGGTTCTGAGCAATCCTCCAGAGTTGGATCCATGTTGTAGCCAATCGAGTTGCCACAATCCAATGCAGCGTGTTTGTTATCGATCAACTGTTACTGCTTACTCCTGACCTTGATCCCTACACGCTGTATAGGATCAGAAGCGCCGTCCTGTTGCAGTTGCTTTGGCCATGACCCGCCGTGGGATTTTTTTCCTTTACTTATTGAAGGTGTGATGTTTCCTGAGGGTTGGTAGAGTGCGGACGCGACCATTAAGGAAGATGCGTTGCATCGAGAGAATAGAAGGTATTGAAGACAAGCAAGGAAAGGAATCCAATGCAGCGGAAGAGGATTAAGGTGGCATGGGATACAGGCTGGGTTCGTGGGTATGAGTGTGTGTGATTAAGAGAGAAAAAGATAAAGAAAGAGTGTGTGAATGTATATGGGGATAAAGGGCGGGGATGATGACTGATCCTGTTGATTCTAGTGGGGCGGAGGGGGAGAGAGTAGTGAGAAGATACGTACCACAGGGGTGCTGCGCGCCAGGGCGATGGCGGCAGGGCGAGCAGCGCGGGAAAGGGAGCGAAGCATGGTGTGATGTGGGGAGAGGGGGGAGGGGAGGGATGATGATCAAGAAGAAAAGGGTATGTGAGGGACCTGAGTGGAAAAAGGAAGAAATACGAGTTCCCTCCCTTCCGGGCGGAACCAGAGGGAGAGCGAGGAGGGGTAAACAAAAGCAAACAGCGAAGCTGTCTGTACGTAGCAATTCCCCACGTACAGAAAGCGGCGCTGCCGCTGAGTGACGTCACTGAAGGCGCCCTTGCTGGGTCGCTTGGACCCTCCAGCTTGTCCTTGCCCTTGCCCATGCCCCACTGGGCTACTGCTGCTGCACTGCCCACAGCTTCCATGTGCGGCCTTGCATCTTGCATCCAAGTGCAGTGCCCATTCTTATCTACTGGCTGAAGGTAGAGCAGTCGCTGTTGATGGAATAAATGGCTGCCATAATATCGCGGTGCATGGTAGTAGCGCAATTTAAGCAGTGTAGCCTGCGGATCTCGATCTGTCCGACAAACTGCTCGCAGGTTGGACACTTCTTGGACGTGTGTATTTGTTCACTCCAACCACGATGTATCCAAGTGGCCTGGCCTATGTGGGCGTTAATAAAAAATAAAATAATAAAGCATCAATAATATCAGCACAATATTCACAGTATCCAAACATGATACAGATCTGCATACTTGAACAAAGTAGGACTGAAAGGACTCATACAATAAGGAAAGCCTAGTCTTTGTTGAGAACTTGCCTAGGCCGACTCCGATCACAACCTTGTTGGTCTCATCCCTTTTTTTGTTCGCCACGCGTCCCAAGCCAAACGTACCTACCAGAGAGCTATTGGTCAGTACATAGAGCACCTTTCAACCACCGACATCGATGAGACAGACAGAATCCTGCTCCACAAACTCTGTCCCCGCGTTCCCAAGGATGGTGCCAGTAACAACGATTCCGATAAGGCTGCTCAAGAACTCCAAGAACTTGATATGCACGACGACAAGGTTGACACGAGAAATGAACAAATGGGCATCCTATTATCGCTTCTCGTGTGCATCTACAACTCCGAACTTCCCTCTAATTCGGGACCGGTGTCCCATGTCCTTTGGTTCAAGAACTTCTTGCCAGCCATAACTAAGGACGAGGTAAATATGGCATATCCAAGATCCACTATTCTGAGATCTATTGCCCAACAGCTTTCGGTCGAGTTAAAGAATCATTACAGTAATGGCTCTAAAGATCTTTGTGATAAGGTACCGGCATGTAGCTTCATTCGGCGCTATCGTCTGCATACAGGCCAAATTGTATCAAGGAAGACCTTGCTGACATTGCCCATCCTTTTCAAACTAGGTCAAAGCACGCAAGGAAAAAGGTCTTTTGCCTGCATATGCACTAGACAGCATCGATCATGGCTTTTCAGCAATCAAGAACTTTATTCTCCTAGACAGAGTCTGCACGAGTGGCCGAAGGTTGGCTCCGCTAACCTCCTTTGAAGACATTTTCGTATCTCTTTCGAAGTTGGATCTGATAAAGATCTTTTGGCGAGACGTGGCCTTACGAAAGCTACTTCAAGACCATGCCAAGCCTGATTTCCCAAGCACTGAAAATATCGTGCAGGCGGATGTGTTGTATTAGTTCTTGGGAAAAGCACTTGGACTATCAAGCTGTTTACCGACATTGGAAAATATACACCAGAGTAACAGAAAACGCTCAAAGACTATAAGGGAGAACGTTTGTAATGCCTTTGGACAGAATGAGACAGCATATTGAAGCTATTCAAGGCGACAGCTTCGAACCCAGCTCGTACAAGGAGCGCGGCTATGCTCTACGCGGCTCGTTTCGAACGGATGGGTTTCGGCTCCAACGGTTAGCATTCAAGCTGAACGAACTCAATGCGGTCAAGTACAGGCGACTTCCAGAGGCCAAGCTGCCTCCTCGTATCACTTCTACTCTCGGCGGTACGGACTATTTTTTGACCGAGATCAAGAATGTCGTGAAGACTAAGCAGAATGTCTCGGATCTTTGGGGATGTGGTCCGGAGCAGATCAGTATTTTAGGTTTGGATCTAGGGCAAGCATTCGTGATAGGAGCGAGTGCCTTATTGCTCAATCGTGAGAGGCCCAAGCTGGACAAAGGAACAGGGACGAATATTGCCACCAAGGAATCATCTGGAGAGATAAAGGCCCCCAAGTTTTTCAATCTTGCTGTCAATCAGAAAGCGGTGTATCAGCCTACACGACACTGGATAGAACAAAGGAATGACAAAGCAATCTACGACTCGACATCTATCAGCAGCATCGAGAGCAACTTGCCCCCCTACGCGGCTCTGGATCAAGCATCAAAGATTACGTCGACAAGCTCAAGGATGTGGAGGCATATCTCGATTCTTTCTACAGCAGCAACATGGTCCTCAAGAGACACAAGAAGGCCGCGAGACGAAGAGTACAGGCAGATTGCCAGCCGTCTTCTCAAGCTGGTTGGCGGATCAATTGGCGCCAAGAGAGAAGACAGTAACAAGGTTGTGATCGGCGTGGGTCTCGGGAAGTTTTCTACAAAGGCCAAACTGTCTTCTTTGCACGAGTCGTTCCAGTCGTACTTTGTCTAGAAAGTAAGTGGCCGATGATGTCCCTTAGCGACCCTGTAATTGCACTCTCTTGCGAGACATCACGACTAATCTCGCCTCTCTCTCCAATTTGTTTCTGCTTCTCTCTAGGCCAGATCGCTTGGCTACATTGTTGTAGATATAAATGAGTATTACACCTCGAAAAAGTTTCCGAGCTGTGAGGATTTCGTTGGTCAGGTTAATATCCGCCGGCTTTATTGTTCAATGTGCAAGACACTCGTGCATCGCGATATCGTGGCCGGCCACAACATCAGCAATGCAGTCCGTGGCCACCTGATAAGCCAGCAGCGGCCCCTGTACCTCCAGCCCAAAGATATCGATAGGAACTACCCTTGGATGCAAGAGCCAAGTCCTCATTCAATGGGCAGCAGTAACACAGGCCATGAGAGTCGTGTTGGACATGGTGGGATCAAACGACAAGCACCGTCAGAGTGGATGGACTCTCCAAGGCGCAAGATAATTCAGGACTAGTTGTAGACATTTTGTGTGTAAGTAAACACATAGTCTTAGTTTGGATCTTTTACACGTCCAATGGGCGCGAAGATTTATGTGTTGCTGTGTATGCAGTAATAGAGGCTGGCACAAAATCCGAATGAGATCTACGCGGCGCGACTTTTTGTACACATTACTTAGATAAATGGGCAGATCTACGGTTTATTAGTTTTCTATATCATTAAGTATCTTGCATTGAACGGCGGCTACAACTACAGGCCGCGATATTGCGTAAAGCACCAACTGTCGTCGAGGACGCGTGTTGTAGTCTGTCCAAGAAAGCGTTGCCAACTCTTTACAGAGCAGCGACCTTGGCGACCAACCCGGCCTTGACGAAGAGCTTGGCGCAGAGCTCGATAAAAGCCTTGACGTGGATATCGATATCGGAGCGGATGCGGACGATGGCATGGATGTCAGCATTAGCAACACCAAGGCGGAGAGACAGGTCCTTGATGAAAGCGCTGACGCGGACCTTGGCATGGACTGCGGCGTCGGCCTTGACCTTGACAGCCAACTTAGCGACATCGACCTTGATCAGAGCATCAACCTTGGCGACAATAGTGCGGGCGTTCTTGTTCAGGCAGACGTGGTCGCAAACGGGGCAGATCTTATCAACGACAGCGCGGACATGGGCATCAATATTGGCAAGCACAAGTGCCTTGGCATCGGCCTTGATCATGGCCTTGATCTCAGCATCGGCGGCAGCCTTGGCGCGGACCTCGAGATCCTTGACGTTGGCGTTGACCTTGACGAGACCGCCGAGGACGTTGGCATTGGCGTTGACCTTGACAATGAGATCGGCGCAGACGGCAACCTCGAGGTCGACGCAGGCCTTGGCCAGGATCTTGGCTTCGGCATCGACAAAGACCTTGATGACCGCATCGACAGCGTTGCTGTTGCCTCGCTTGAGGATGTCAACAGCCTTTTCCTGGTGCTGGATAGTAGGGAGAGCCTGAGTGGAGGCGCAGAAGAAGGAGAGGGCCAAGGCAGCGGGGATAAATTGGATGAACTTCATTTTCGGTAAGGTGGGTGGGTGAGGGTGAGTAGGTAAGAGGGGATGGACGTGTGGGGGAGAGGTGTTTTGAATGAGAGTGCTGTAGAAGCTGGAAGTGTTGGTTTGTTATAATGAAAAAAAGAAGGCGGTCTGACACCGTATTTATACTGGCAGGATTGTCGCTTCCTTGATGAGATGTAGCCGTACAACCATAGCTGGCTCCCTAGAATGGGCGCTGTCTGCATGACTTGTACTCTGGCCCCTGCTAGCTGTTTGCGGCCTTTCTTGGCTATAGATATTAAGATATTAATAGCAAGGCAGAAGACGTGCATAGGAGAATTAAAATAAAGATCAGGGTGAAAAAGCGCTGCAAGGGGCTGCTCTACCGTTATACAGAATATTAAGAGCAATGGCTGGCCGTTGGATGTTGCATGCAGAAGTTTAGGTTAGGGGGACATTTTAAGAATTGGATGCATGGTAAGGCATTTGCATACTCTCCACACTGTACCAGTGGATGCACCAACACCGCCAACCCACCAACGCCATGACATTCATTTACTTGCCAGACCCCCTTTCCAAGACTTGATAAAAAAAAGAAAAAAAAAAGGATAAGTAAATGTGAGCCAAGATGTCCCCCTTGTGATGCAACTTTATTAAGCCCTAGGCACCTCTAACGGTGCGCAGGCACTTATGGTATATTTAGACAACCAGAGGCGGACGCGTCGCTGAGGTATTCCATCGGTATACCGACTTGCATAGCGCGTCCTTCATGGTCCATGCTCTACATCTTATTGAGCCCCCCCCCCCCCCCCCCTCCCCTCCCCCTCCCCGATTATCCCACTTAACCTCCACAGATGCGCCCTTTTACCCGTCAAAGTATGTTGCATTGTGGATGCCAATCTTTTAATAGGTCCCCGATCCCGTTGTGGGCTGCTAGGATCATCTAATGGCATATTGTCTTCCAAAGTGTACAGATATGGAAAATAACGAACTGAGGGTGCTGGCTGTCCTATTCTATTGCATGCGATGGAGGTTTTCCCTTCACACAATTACTCTTGTCTCCTGTCATTCCATCCAAAAGCCCGTAGATTGCTGCAGTCTAGAACTCGAGGGCGATCAAACACGAAGGATTCTCCGCCCCAGCATGATTAGGCCAGGGGGTGCTCACCTTTCCGGAAAATAGGAACAAGGTGAAGAGACCTGCAGCAGAAAATTGGCTTAGTTCAGGCCTAGCTGCATATGTCCAGGGGCCCTAAACCCCTAAAATTTGAGCCCAAATCTAGATCGCCAACATCCCCCCCCACATTGACCTACGGCAGCAACGTCCATCCGTACAATAGAGTAAAAAGAAAGCGTTCTTGTCAGAGTATTTTATTTTTATTTTTATTTTCATGTTTAAACTTAACGTACGCTCATGGGCTGGTAAGGTTGATGCATCCATGGTTGGATCTGCCCCAATGAAGGATATTTTGGTAGCCTCGAAGCACAGGATGCTGTAAGGTGAATGGTCTCTCAAACACCTCTTGCTCGAACTGATGCTGATATCCATCCTCCGACCTGTCACTCTCATGTCCCGTGTCTTCATATACAAAGCCATTCGATGCAGCAGTGTGCTGCTTTTGAGCCGCCTTTCCACCAATTAACTTGGCAGGCTCCTCGACATCATGCATCGGAAGCTGTTGTTTTGCAGCTGAAGTCGGAGAGGTCTTAGACTTGTCCTGCGAGCCGTCGCGCTTTAGGTGAACGGCATCGGCATAGGAGAACTTCTTGGGTGCAGAAGGGCGAACGGGTGCAGCAGCTGCCTGTGGGGGTGGTGAAGCTGAGTTCCTTACTGTTGCCCTGTTCTTTTTCGCGTTTTTAAAGCCGTAGGGGTTCATTTCTGGTCGGTTGTCCTTGTTCGGGGTCCTGTTTTCCGTCATCGGCAGGGGCGCAGGTTCATTCCGAACTATCGCAAGGAGCGCGGTATGAGAACGGCAATTCATATCCGCGCAAATTCTAAACAGCGGCGAGCACACCCGTTCAAACACCTACCGATATATGCTAACATCCTGATTAAGATGGATCCTGTGATATATGCATCGTAGCCGGCTTCATGCGCCAAATCGCGCGACATGTAGCGCTGATGTCTGTAATGCGGTGCTATGAGTGGGAAGGAGTTGTGTTCAATTTGCATATCTTCCGTACGCGTTGAAAGGAACGTCGTCCCGTTATGAGGGATGTACATGTAGCAGACGTACTGATTTTGGGACATCCCATAAAGTTCACAGTGCCAACCATGTTTTCCAATCCACCTAGGCTGGAATCGTATGCCATACCCTAAATTGATGGAGTCAAGGAAAATGAACGTATAAGTCGAAAGCACCAACAGAAGTATTCGATATTGAGCCTTAACGGCTTCGAGATGCATACCTTCAAGGCGTTGGCGGTGTAGGACACGTATTTCGTATCCATCACGCTATTATATAGAATAAACAAGACTAATAGTTCATTCTCCTGCATTGTTCGAACAGCACCCAGCAACACAGTAAACCACATACGTAGGAAAGGTGCGGTGGATCATTTCCTTGTAGCCCTCCATGGTCGGTGGCAAAGGGCCAACAAACTGAGCCAAGATATACGCGAGATCGATTACGATGTTGTGACCGACAATTGGTTTCCCACACGCGGACAGTATATCGATCACGGAACGAAAACCGATTGCATTCTCGACATCTCTCTGTCCCGTGGCGGAAGATAGGCGCATATAGAGTATGAAAGAAAGTCAATATTAGTTCATGAAGTGATCGTTAACAGAAGTTGGAGACTTGTCGAAAGATATCAAGACACACCTGAACGGCGAAGTGCTGTTGTTGCTTTTGATAAATCAGGTCTTTCTCGTTGGTCTTGGTAATTTGTATGCAACCACCATGTCCTTTAGCCTGCAGTTCCGTCGGCCATCTAACAATGGGATAAACATGTCATGATCATTAATATCGCTTCTGTTAGGCAGTCGATCATATAATCCAGTACCATGCCTCGAATGTGTGAACTTACAGCCGACGAACCTCTTGGTAGATCAATCGTCGCTGATAACCATTGGAACTTTGAATATTGATGAAATTAAAAGCACCGTTATTTGCCTTCCATTCCGTAATCCGAGCGCTGGTTCGAAAGACAACACGACGACCCCTGTAAGTATGCAGTCTCACATGCTTCCAAATGTCCGGGTTGAAGAATAGTAAAGAAAACGCTGCTTACATCGCGTCATCTAGCCACGCTCTCATTGTAGGATCCACACCGATGGTCTGGAAATCGTTGTTGGCAATTCTAGTGCGCTCCTTTCTGTAGCTTTCCTCATCTGCCTTGGTCATGTAATGAACACCTACATCAAAGAAGAACCTATGTCAGCCACGGACACCATTGCTGCAGCAGCATGGATACAATCAACGGATACCAGCGACGAACCGTGGTAAATCCACTTGTTGAAATCGAAACGATTTTTTGCCAAGAAATCCAGACTGGAGGCCTCCGTCAAAAAACAGCGTCCCTGAGGCGAATATCCTGATAGGGTCGTTGGAAAGATGAAAAAGTTGAACGGTTTTGCGCTGTAGCTGCCATTCCTGGGATCAAACTTGAAGGTCGAGATTCCGATCTGAACAGTAAGGAACTGGCTTGCACTCTTTCGAAGCTCCTCATACCCCTGCTCCAGCGTTGTGCTTTGAGTGCGTTTGTTCGGTTCCGTGTGAAGGCCTGTGTTGCCAGAGATTCCACGGCTAATAGGGTTATGTTTCTGCATCAATATTTTCAGGCACCACGCGCGATCGATCGAGCAACAGGACCCTACCAGAGAACTCGGCATCAAGGGCGATGAATTCACATTCATCTATGGCCTCCTTGATGTAGGGCAACTCCGCGTGGAAGTTGTCTCGGAGGATCTCCATGGCGCCGGTGTGGAATGAAGAGGGTGAGGGACAGAGAGAGGATGGTCAGGGCGCCAACGTGGGTGGTGTCATGTTTTGGTGGCGAACAATATTTCGTCGTTTGAAAATGCTTTATTGGTTACAGTGTCTTAACGCTCTAATCGCGTCCTCGGCCGCGTCCTCCTCGACCCCCTCTTCCACTACCACGGCCACCACGGCCACCACGGCCACCACGGCCACCTCGGTCACTACCGCCTCCGCGACCACCACGGAACCCGCCTCGGTCACTACTGCCTCCGCGACCACCACGGAACCCGCCTCGGCCGCCGCTAGATCCACCCCTGGCGCCTCCTCTGAATCCATCTCTAGAGCCGCCTCTGGGCGCACCGCGGTCGTTTCCACCACGCCCCCTGCCGCCTCGGAAACCCCCTCTGGACTCACGGCCTCCTTCTCGGCCGCCGCCCTCGTGTATAGATCTCCTTGGGCGCTTCTTCTCTTGTGCTTCCTCTGCGGGCTCCTCATTTTCTTCCTCGCCATCCTCTACTCTCTTGCGTTTGACCGCTCTCCTAGTTTCGCGTTCTGACCTCTGCTTATTGACCATCACGTTTTCGATCGAGAACTCGACAATCAAACACTTCTTCTCACCAAACAGCGACGGGTTGTTGTTCAACCACCGAAGACCAGCCAAGGCATGGGCATGAGTCGAGTACTCCAAGAAACCGTAACCCTTGGACCGCAATTCCTGCGTTGCTGCATCGACGCGATCCTTGGATCGAATCACCTTTGCCTGCTTCACAAACACGCGCTTGTCCCAGCCCTCGGCCTGCTCCTCCTTGGTAAGATGGGCTCGCTTGCCCTCCTTGACCTCGTTCTTGAACTTTTGGATCGCCTGGACTCCCAGCTTTCGAAGCTCCTTCTCGTCCATCTTCAAGGGTAGGTTGCGGATCGAGAGGCGGGTCTTGGAGATAAAGAGCGAAGGGTTGCGGGCGAGCAACGCACGACGGGCCGAGAATGAGGTCTGGCGTTTCGAGAGCTCGCTGGGGAGGATGGCGGCGGCAGCAGGAGAATCCGGGAAGATGACGCCCTCGCGCATGAGATACAGGTTTCTGCGGTCTTCACGTTCGCGCTTGTGTTGTCCAGCTTCCAGCAGGTTTGTAGCCGATGTTTTATCGACAGCGCGGACAACGTTCAGAACACGTCCATTAAGAGTGAACTTGACAGCCAGCTCTTCGGGCAGGTCTGGCTGCAAAATTGTATGCTTGACAAAGTTGTTCTTCTTCTTCCGGTCGTTCTCAGCCTGGATGGGGTTGACAATGGCAGCAACCTTCTCAGCCTCAATCATGCAATTGTCGGCTGCGCCCTTATTGAAGTAGCAGACAAATCCTGTTCCTCGAGAGCGCCCAGTGTCATGGTCCATTGTCACACGGCAGTAGCGGATCTTTCCCCAGTGACGAAACCTTAGAAACAAGAACCAAATCGGCGTCAATATTCTCGTCAAAATAGTCTCCAATCAAACAAAAACAACCAAAGCACAGGGACCCTTACAGCTCAAAGAGATCGTCCTTGGTGGCTTCAAAATCCAGATTGCGGACGAACAGAGTTGTTCCTTCACTTGGATCAGGAAGGGCCATCTTTTCTAATGACGTGCAGTGCAAGGTCAAAAAGCAGGAGTTAAAATTAACGGTCAAGGATGCCATACACCTGCATGCTGTCCTGAAGCAGAAAATGACATAAAGAACTGAGGTTGGCGATAAATAACCTACTCTGTTCCTTTTCCTCGGCTTCTTCTGCATCGAGTGCTGCCAAAGCTGCGGCGTCCTCCTCCTCCGCATCCATCTCTTCATCAGAGTCCTCAGCGTCCTCCTCCTCATCGTCCTTCAAATGATCCAGGTTCAGTTCTTCGTCGTCATCATCCTCACTCTCCTCTTCTTCGTTCTCCTCCTCATTCTTCTCATCCTCGTCCTCGTCTTCTTCGTCGTCGCCATTCTCGTTTCCTCCTGTCTCATTATCAGAAGACTGCTCCTCCATTTCGACATCCTGATCTTGCACCTCCGGTGCTGCTGCGACTGCTGCCGATGTCTCTCCTGTCCGAGACTGGGCCTCAGCCTCCTCGAAACGGTCCTTGGCCAAAGCCCAATCAACAGCGATAACACGGCCGTGATGCTCAGTTCCGTTCAGGGCCGCAACAGCTTTTTCAGTCGCATCCAGATTTTCCATTTGAACGAATCCGAATCCTCGCAAGGGCCCGCCCTCGTACTTGCGGGGCAGATTGACATCATGGACCGTGCCGAACTTTGTGAAGAGTGCGCGCAGTTCTGATTCCCTGTACTTCCATGGCAAGTTGCGAACAATCAATCGGCAGCGTTTGTATACTGAGGGCGAGGCGAGCAATGTGGCATGAAGCGCACAGCCTTTAAAAATGTGTCCATCCAGTGCCTGGACTGCTGAGGCAGCCAACGCAGCCGTGCTGTAGATAACATGAGCTGTAGAAAAATGATTGACAAACAGTGATTAGTAATTGCTACTCTCGTCTTCTTAGCCCTGCTGTCCCTGTAAAGCGGTTGTATGAGGCTGTGGCTCTTTGTTTCCCAGTGTATCATACCTGTTCCTTCTTCAGTTTTCTCTTCGTTTTTCTCTTCCGCTGCTGCGCCCTCCGAAGCTTTAATAATAACTGGATAAATGACATCCTTGACATCTCCCACCTTGCGAACCCTCTTGTAAATGTGCTTCTTTGTAATATCCTTGCCCAGTCCCTTCAGCGCAACCGTCTGGAATGAATAACTAATCAGTCAAGCAAAAAAGTTGGAATAGGGATTAGCATTAGACTAACGCATTCTCTCCATGCTTCAGGAAATTAAATGAGGCACAAAAACACCGTACTTTTTCTCCTTGGGTTCCTCCGAAGAATTAGCAGCTTCCTTGGTCTTCTTGGGTTTGTCGCTCTTAGACTTGGGTTTGGGCTTGAGTTCTCTCTTTGGCTTATCTTCCCCATCATCTATTGCAGAGTCAATGTCATAGTAATCATTAATGTCCACGAGCCCTATGCCAATTGAATGATCCAAGCCAGGTAAAACAAGGCAAACATACGGGATTTCTTAACGGCCTTCTCCATGATCAAAGGTCTCTGCTTCAAGAACTTCACACTACGCAATTCATTGATAGCCTTGTCTGCATCATCTGGCAGGACAAACTGCACGAAACCATATCCCTTGTTCTTGGATGGTCCCTTGGCAGCGGCGGCAGCAGCCGCAGCAATTCCTGTCTTGTTATCCTCGCCCTCGGGCGACTCTGCAGCAGCCTGCTCCGCGCTTCGATCCAGGACTACGAAGCATGATCGCACAGGTCCGACCTCTGAGAAGAATGCCTCCAACTGAGCGCTTGTTGCCTCATAGGGAAGTCCACGGACAAAGAGAGTAGACTTGCTAGTATTCTCCTCTGCAGGTGCGGTGGTTGTTGATGGGGTGATGGCGGCATCGGGCACAGCTAGTACTGAAGTGTCCGACATGGTGTATTATATAGACGAGTCTTGGGAATGAGACGGACGAAGCTGGACAGTGGTTCAGGTAGCAGCAGCAAAAGTACTGGTCGTGAGCATAAAAAGAAAAAAAAAAAAAGTAAGTAAACAACAAGCCATGCAACAAAGACTGCTATTAGCCGCGCACATAACGCGCTTGTGCTACTATACATTTCTCTACGCGCTCAATAATATTTTCTCGACGTTGTCCTTCATCTATCCACGCGCGGCACCAGACTCTTGTCCGATGTTAGGGATTTCGGTCGATCCAGCCAGAGCCTCTTCCTCGCTCTTCGCATCGTTCTGCAACCTCAAGGAAATTTCTGGCGCCCCAGCACCGTTGTTGAGGGGACGGTCCACATTCAACCTGGCGCACCCTCTGGTAGATCTACTCTGGCACTCTCCAGTAACCGCTCGAATCCTGTCACAACAGTCTTGAGAAAGAAGGCAAGAAAGCTATCGGGGTCTCCTTCGTTCTGCTGGATGTAGGCCAATCTTCGAGGTCATTCTGACTGTTGCAACGATCACATAGTCTCTATCTTCGTGTGCTATATTTCGTGACTCTCCTTCATCTTATCCCGCAATTGCCTGCCCGATTCTGTCGGGGATTTGATTGTAATAATATTGGGGTCTCCGTTTTGCGTCCTCTCCTCCACTTCATTGCCCTCGCTTTGACCAGAATTATGGTCGCTTGACTCCGTCGGTTGCTTATGTTACGTATTTGAAATCGGCTTATGGTATCGTGTGTGGCCTTTGCAAGAGTCTGGGCGGACCAGTCATACTGCGAAGCCCATCAATCATGAGCTCCTCTCCCTCGTTGATGCGCCTCCAAACCATACTTGCAAGTTCATCCGATTACCCCTTCCAGTTGCTTTTCAGGCACTACAGTATCAGTTTCCCGACGCGATGATCTCAGATGGACTTGAGATCGGTTGGCCTCTCAGGATAAGTCAGGTTCTTGGATTCAGTCTCGACTCTCGAGAGTCTTTCGAGCGACCGCGTCATCGTCGTTCATATACTGGCCGGCGATTGAGCGGAGGGAGCAGGCGAACACATCCAGATGAGGAAGTTTCGGAGGTTTGCGCATACCTGAAGAATGATTGGCGGCAGTAGCTTGTTCAGGACAGAGGCTATGAAGAGGATGTGTGAGGCGCTCTTGGGCCCCGACGATCGCCTAGGTTGTAGCTATTGGTCAGTCTCCTCTTCGCTATGAGGCTCCCACTCCATTTGTGACATGGCCAGGTTCTCAATAATGTCCTCGAACTGCTCCAACTCGTCATTCTGAATGAGTTCTTCAACGATTTGGGAAAAGGCTTCTTCCCTCAGACTTGCTTGTTCTACCAGTTGATTGATGAAAGATCTGACTTTTGTGAGGCGGGGATTGTTGTCTGTATCGAAGGCGTCTTCATTGCCCTCCTGAGTTGTGCCATGATTGATGAAGAGGCCATCACTGGCGCTGTGACCTCAAAGGACGACCTGGCCATAGGAACAGTTGGTGCGGCTATAAATGGGAGCTCGGTTGACTCTTCCTTCCCATATCCCTTGACGTGTTTGGGCGATCTGTCTATCACTTTCATCCTCGTCAGGTTTGACAAGAGGAGCCTGCGTAGTCTGTGGATTGTCATTCACCGATGGTTTGACAGCGAAGACTAATGTCGTCGTTGCTACTGTAGGGACGGCCAAGAAAATAATAGGAGTTGCCGTGATTTGCTCAGTTATAGATCTCAAAGCAGAGGTGGAGTAGAGCTGCATAGATGAGTTGTCGGACAGATTCTCGTCTTGTTTGTGGGAAAAGATTTGAGTGGCTCCGTAGATCATGGCACCGAGAGGGACTGGCGTCAGAAGGAGAGGCCATATTGCTACCATGACTGCACTGTGTTTCTCCTTTTCTTGCTTGCGTATATGTTATATGGTCGGATACAGCTGAGAAGGGCGTGTCCCCTTTGGATCAAGTTGAATAAAAGGAAAAAGAAAGACGAAAGTGAATGGTCTTGGAATAAGCAAATGTTCCTATGCGATCGATGTACGTATGAGCTAGTGGTGCAAAGCTAGTCCTTAGGCCGATGTGGAACAATGACAGAAGGGGTACCGTGGTGTGAGCGAGGCAGCAATGCGCGTGAAAGAAACGTGTTTCACCATGACACGCACCTCGAGGTAAAGACGCGTTCTGAGGTAAAGACGCGTTCTGAGGTGCTGCTTCCTACGTAGCCCTCTGTAGATAACCGTATTCGCGCTGGCCACTGGTAGTTGATCGCCGCCCTTGCTGGAATTGGTCGGTACCGATTTGTGGATAGGGAGTAACCAGAAGGCGACGCATGCAACCGGCAACATGCAGAGGAGACCGGTAAGTTGACACTGGGCAGCACTGCCACATTGGAGATTGGTGTATCTGTGTGGCCATGCGCCGCTGATCAAACCCAAAATGCATTTAAAGTTTAGGCTGTAGCACGTTTTGGCATGTCTGTTCGTACCTGAATATCCTGGTGGCCAAAAGAAAAGAAGGATGCTCCCTCATCAGGAAGCATTTTCCCCGGGGGCGAAGAGAAGCGCCGCAGGTAACTGTAAAGTAGCATCGTGAGAGCAGCGATCACAACGAAAAAAGTGGTGTCTGTTGAAGGAGAGGTGACGGGAATACGATAGGGATAGTGGTTCGTGTCCTATGTGTTTAATATACACAAATGAACTGCATGAATGCATGGCCTCGTTTTGCCATGGCTCACTACAGCAACAAAACAGCAACAGCAACAGCGACGCATCCACGCTGTTTTGTTTTGTCGACCTTTCTCTCGAATCTCTTCCTCATTCCATCCCTCATTTGTCTTCCCCACCCTTCTCATTCAAAAAAAGAACAAAGCATGGCAAGCTCGGTACTCGCCGCAGCCGCGTTTTGCGAAAATACCCTTTTTGTCCAATATTCGAGTGATTCCCGCTATCTCGGTCCAATTCTCGCTTTATATCAACAACAAACCTATCCCAATCCTAGTTCAAGCAGTAGTAGTGTCACTGGCAGTGGAGCTCTCTCCGACGATGATGAGCCACTGAACACCCGCAATGGCACCAGCACTCTGACTTACATTCCACAAATAGTCCAAGGCAATATCAACATCGGCAGCAACCTCAATCCACCAGTCAGCATGGTCGCTACCACCTCCTTCGAACCTTCAGGCCTTGGCGGTCGTCGGCACGACCTTCTCATAGGGCCCAATCAGGCTGCAGCAACGACTAGCATATTCCGCTTATCATCGCAGTCGCAATATCCTTCCTCCGTTTGGTCCTCTGCAACTGAAGGTCCTAGTTCGGTGCTCACCATGGCCACATCGAGACTCTGGATGGCCTCCGGCTCAAGTGACCAGAAGCGTTCGTCACCAGAAGGCACTGCAATTTACCAGTTATTTGCAAACCAGACCTCAAACGCGTACCAATTGCAGAAAGTAGATATGTCCAAGACGGACATGGCATCGAGACCCCTGAGCACGCTGGTCTGGACACGACCTATAAATTCGATTGATACGATATTGAGCTCAAAGGTGTTGAGATTTCTGGATGGTGGATACTACGACGGCGTGGTTATCGGGCAGTGCGTGGGAGCGGCACAGGGAACCTGCTTAGTATTTTATAACGATGACACGGTGAACGAGGCCGTAAGTGAAAGCGTCTCAATGATCTTCTTGAATAGTTATGCAGTTTGTTGCATAATGACTACGCTGGAAACAGAGACTGATGATATCGCCGCTGCTCGGATACCTTTGTTTTCTTGGCGATAGATCACGACAACAATGCCCTTCGATCCCCGCAGCTGTCTCGCAGCAGGTACTGGCTTTTATTCGCAGGCTCAGCGACACTCTTTCTTCGTGTATTTAACCAACGTCCTACATTTCGGATTCTTTCTCATAGATAACGGATCTATTGTCATGGCTACGTCTTCGCATACTGCTACATACACCTTCTCCAATGAGCTCTCAACAAGTTCATCTGGAGTATGGACAGTGCGCCAGACGAACGGCCTTCAGCCTAACGTAAAAGACATTCTCGCCTGCGCTGCCAAAGATCAGACCTTTTTCGCAATCCGTCAAGGTAAAAGAAGGGCGACCTGTGCAGCATTGTTTCCCCACTAGTCCACAGCTTGAAGCTAACTTAGGAACGTCAATGGATTGTTACAGGCACCGATTCGTTGCCATTGATTACTACACTGGATTTTAGCGACTCCACATCATGGACTTGGCAACCAGTGGTCCTTGCCCAACCTTTACACAGCAACGGGGGCCCTGAATCCTCAACGGAGAGTGGCGGTCGAAGAAACACATCTAAGGCCTTGGCTACCGCTGTGGTCATTGGGCTCGTTGTGGTCATTGCAATCGTGGCAATATATCTCTGGATGCGGAGGAAAAAGTCGAAGCCGTATGCGCACAAATCAAATTCTTCCAACTTTGCGCCTAGGTCCATAGTATCACCGGCTCCACTGCACGATGTGGCGCTATCAGGAGGGGCCATACCATTTCAGACAATGGATCAGTCAGCATCATATACCCTAGCGCCAGTGATTTCCACAGGACCGACAAGAGTCAACTCATGGTCCCCAGACGCCTTGACCTCGGCTGGGATTTCGATCTCGGCAGCATACAACAACAGAATGTCTCTACCCATTATCTCCCCTGTTGGCGGTAGACCGTATCAGGCTATCTCGATGCCGGATCGGCATGGACCAATTATCGCGACATCACTCGTCTCGGCGCCTTATCGGCCATTTGTAATCCCTTCTTCGCCCATTCCTTCATCTCCGGCTATACACTCACCCACCATCCATCACAGCTCTACGCATGGGCACAAGTCGGAAGCTGCGCAGGGAAGTGAGCAGGAAGCCGCTGGCAGCAGCAACCACGGCGGGTCGTCAGGATTGTCTTCATTCTTGCGCTCGAATGCGCTCTATCCAACAGCTGAGGAAGAGGCAGCAAGGGGTGTTCATAGGGGTAGTCGTCCCCTACAGGAGATGCTTTCACCAACGCTGGCGAACGCGCAGTTGATCCTACAGCGATCACAGCAACCGCAGCAGCCGCTACAGCGACCAGCATCTCAGTAGCAGCAAACGTCCACATTTACAGTAATCACGTCCACCAAATTGCCTACTCAAGCCGTCATCGAAATATATACCCATGACGTTGTTAATTGTTCTACGCAATAATAAAGCAAAGATAGTGCTTGCGATCTTCATCCACAATGTACATCTTTGCGATCCAATAAGTGCGGGACATTTATTCTGTCTTTTTTTTTTTTTACATGTTATTTTGAACCTTAAAGGCGTCCCAGGCAGCGTTGAGCGTGCTAAAGATTGTGTTGGCCATCATCCTTTGCTCTACCGTCGTCGAGGCATTCAGCTAAGCATTGATACGTTCGCGTAGACCCAAACACCGGCCGTTAATACCTTTACATTTCAGCACACACAGATTCATACTCGAAACACGATGGTACTTAACAAGCAAACTATATCATACCTTGTCAGGATGCATTTTTGCGATCGCCCTCATATACTTGACCTTCACCTGCGCCGGCGTCACCAACTCATGCATTCCTACGGGCTTCCAGGCCGCTCCCTCCCAAAGCACCGACCCCAAGGACGCCAGCAATGCTCGAATATTGTCTTCCTTGCCCGACTTCCACATCGCCATCTTCATGTCGACATGATCTGTCAGCCGAAGTTTCTCGTCCTCCTCTCGCTCTTGCTGTGCTGCAGTCTGCCGCAGTTTCGACACACCCTCAGAGCGGTTCAAATCCGCCTTGATCTTGGTCTCGTTATTCGATTGATGATGGGACGCAAAAATATCCTGCATGGGCGAGGAAGTCGAGCCAAGGCCATTCGATCGAGCAGCAGCACTGGTCGAGACAGATTTTTTTGCCACTGTGGGTATATCGTCACCATTGTTCATCATAGCAATCGCCTTCTCGCAGCGACGATGGCCCTCAGTAGCATTACGATGACCTGGCTCCAGTTCCCGCAGCTTTGCCCAGTCGTCCTTGGCTTCCTTGTACTTTTCCAGGTTCTCGTACGCAGTCGCGCGGCGCATCAGTGCCTTCCCCAGTTGATCCTTCAAATTCACACCCGCGCTCGCTGGGAGGACATCATTGACACCCTGGCCATCGGGGCCTTGGATCAGCAGAATTGATTGTTCACACTCCGTTACTGTCTCTCTGTACTCTCCGATCTTGAGCAAAGCGGCCGCGCGGTTATTCCGTGTGACAATCAAGAGAACGTGGCCAGACGGCAGAGCCTGACTGGCGCGTGCGTAAAACTCGGCCGCGTGCCCAAACTGACCCAGCTTGAAGACCTCGTTTCCTTTTTCCTTGAAATGGTTTGACTCTGTCAGCTGTTGACTGCCAGCTTGGACAAGGACACGGGGCGGCCGAGTTGGCTTGGGCGGGAGTGGCGATGGTGACCGAGCAGCAGGTCGAGAGGACGGAGCTGATGCGGATAGTTTGGACTTTGAAGCGCCCTGGGTATCGTCCATGGAGAACAGCGAATTTTGATTCCGGGATACAGAAGCACCACCCCTCCGTGAGGATGACACATATGTATCCTCGAATGTCTCTCGTTCCTGGCGTGGCCGCGATGATGGCTGTTGTCGTTGATCATGCTGCTGCTGTTGCTGCTGCCGACGTCTCTGTTGCTGCTGGCGCTGCTCTTGTTCCCGCTGTTGCTCGCGCCGTCCTGTGTAAACCTCATCCTCTGAATCCGAGTCCTTGTATCCGCTTCCTGGCTTATACTCATCCTCGATCCACTCATGCCGACGCGCAGTCGTTGACCGAGATTCCTCAACTGTCATGTCTTCCATCACCGCTTGCACTTTTTCGCGACCCTGTTTGTATATCTCATTCGCCTTGGACAAGACCGACATTCCAAAAACAGAGGCGGTGCCCATCAACTTATCCCTGTGCTGTTGCAACTGCTGCGCCGTTGTCAGCTCCTGTTGTGACTGGCCCTGGTTTCCACGTCCTTGATTTCGCCTTCTGCGATCCTCCAATGGGGGGTCGCTATCTTCACGGTAAGGTTGCCGTTCTACCTTCCTTCTCTCGCCAGAGGCAGGCGTGTGTCTTCTTGGGGGCAACTGACCTTCGGCCTCGTCATTCTGAACCAGGTACTCAATTGCCGCCTCGATGTCGCGACCACTATCGGTCATTTCAAGCGCAACCTTAGCCTGCTCAGCTGTGAAACCCATCGCGACGATCTGTGCAATGTCGCCATCCTCTCTAGTCGACGCTGTCGATGTCGCTGGTGAAGAACGAACTGATTTGGCTGAAGGCTCTTTCCTCGAGACTGGTGGACTGGACTTAGGTGAGGGCGCTGTGATAGGTGGTGGTTGTTTCCCGACAAACAAGTTCAAAGCATCAGCAGAATCCCGCTGACGTACTGGTTTCTCGGGGGGTGCCTTTTCGAATGATCCGAGATCGAATACGTCGCTCGCTGTAGTGGATGCAGGCTTAATAAATAAAAATAAAAATAAAAATAAATCGATGACAAATATACCATCAGTATATCGTAAGATTCGTTTGGTACAAGAAACAACTTTGGGAGGCATACCTGGCTGCTCTTGAACACAGCTGCGTTCGCCAGGAAATCAAGGTCCCACGGGTCAGCTGCCTTGGGGGTTGAACTTGAATGACCCGGAGGAGGGGTATTATAGCGACTACGGGGAACAAATGATTGAGATTGTCAGTTAATCTGCTAGATCGTTCTTCACAAAGTCTTCCAGGGGATAGAGGCTTTCAACCGCTTATTTACATCGCATTCAGTGATTGATTCTTCAGCGAAGGGTTGCTCCTTGAAATCTGGTCGCCTAGAAGAGCACCGAAGGGGTCTTTCGGTGTCGAAGTTGAAGTCGCGGTTGAGGGCGAAGCACTGTTGGATCTTTCTGGTTGAAGGGGTATCATAGCAGGTGAGAGCGATCGACCAAGGGCGCCTGGAGAAGCCGTCAATCCTGCAGGACTTTGATTTCGCGAAGGATTGCTCGACATGGTCTGCTGCTGCGAAAATGGCTGCGGCTGTTGGAGCTTTGGAATTGGCGATGCAAAGGCCATCGCGGGCTGAGGTGACGGTGTAGCGGTCGTCCTCGACAACCCTGCGATGTTTTCGGGACCACGCCCTCGTGATGCGGTAGACGCGCCATTGATGGGCGGTGTAAATGTTGAGCGCGAAGCCTGTGAAAATAGCGATGACGAGGACAGTGTCGGGTGCGCTGGAGTGGGACTGGCAAAACTTGGGGAGCTGCTTAGAGAGCTCTGTTGCTGATCATGCCGTCGACGCTCCTCCAATGTCATAGAATTCAGGTTCTTGGAGACGTCTGAAGCAGCATTCTGACCAAAGGATGGCATCAGCGATCCAAAGATATCGTCTGCATTCTTTTTCGGGGCAACTGAGGACGACGAGGAAGCCATTGAGGAGGAAGAGGAATTAAAAGAGGATCCCATAGTGTTATTGTTGCGGTATGGTTGGGCGCTCAAGGGAGCTGGAGTTGGGACAAGGCCGGATTTACTGAGACCCATCTGGAGGTGGATAGGCTTAGAGGTTGGCGGTGGAGGAGGCGGCTTACTGGACTTAATGCCTGTTGCGGTCGTCCCTGCGCTTCCCGTAGTCTTTTGTTCCCAGGAAAGACCTAGCAGATCATCCATAGTGGCGAGATGTGATGAGTGTCAAAGCTTGCTTGGAATTGATTCCGCGAGGATTGATGAGTGCGTTGAGGACAAGAGGGAGAGGCGGAGGAAATTATATATGGGAAGAGATGAAGGATGAAGAAGTGTGATGACTCTGCTGCAAGCCAATGTGCTCTTTCTTGAGAGCCTCTGTCCTCAATTGCCATGCAGGCCACAAAGTAGCAGCTGAAATGCATCACGTGTGAGCACCGCCTCTGTTCCAAAGCTCCGGATCCAAAGGCTGCGCGTCCGGAAGACCTTCTTGAATAGCATTGGCGGTCGTCAGAGCGGTATTCATGCAGGTATCTCGATTTACAGGCATTCTTAAAAGTGTTATCGGCTTTATTACCACGCAGGCAGTCTTCACCAAAATGCTTTCCATGAAAGGTATCCCGTAGTCAGGGCAATAATAAGCGAAGAGAAAAAGTTAACTTGGTGGTTATCCAGAATGTCCAGTCCAGAGATCGCTTTGATCTCGTCGTCCTTCTCCGGTGCCTTATAGGTGATCACCTTCTTCTTTGTCGAGTAGTTGGACTTTTGCACAGTGGCGCCCAGCAACGAGTCCAGCTAAAGAACAATGTCAATTGAGGAGCAGTGTTAGGACTGAGCTCACTTAGATACGATAACAGGTTATAATAGTGCTGGTAAAGGCTCGTCGTGCCCAATTGCCTACCAATGATCCAAAGAATCCAGCTCCTGAACCAGCAAGAATCAAAGCGAGAAAGAACTTGGCATCCAGAGACGAAACAAGTACGTCCAGTCCAGTCCAGCCCTTGCTCGATTGCCATGTGACCGGGGCCTCCAGTGCCAGCTGAGCCAGCACGCTGATAGCAGCCGTTACGCCGATCAAGAGACCTCCAGCAAACGATGCTCCCAGACCCAAGGGTGAGACACCACCGTTGGTACCTGGAGGCACCTTCTTCAGCGTGGTGATCAGAGTGGGCCAGGACTTGTTGAGAATTCCCAGCTCACTCGCCCACTATCCAATACGCGACAAAGATCTATTAGGACATCGAGACTAGTACCGTTTTCATGTATCGCAAATAAAAGCAATATCCTTACTGTATCCCCGTTGCAGCAGGCATAATGTCCAATATAGGCAAAGAGCACAGTGCTGGCCCTCCAATCGCTCATGAAAAGTGTAGCAGGCCGAGATTCCGTAGTCCAATAAATGTATTGAAAGGTAAGCGCCAATGCTGCTCCAACAGCGCCGTTCGAAAACACTTGAATGGCAGTTCTGCCACCTCCCTCCACATGATCCTCCTAAAAATTCAGCAATGAAAGCCAAATATAGCGTGTCAATTGAAACTAGCTCTTGTGCATTGTAATGCGTAGTAATGACAAATGTCGAGGAAGAAGCTCATACCTCGAGGGTCTTTTTGATTTGCGACTTGAACTAGGACATGAGCAATTGGACATGGTATCGTGAGAAAAAAAGGGGGAGGTGCAACTGACACCCCAATTCAGGCATGGACATTTATCTGGAGCCAGAGACAGGCATCACTTGAATATTCTTACCTTTGTCAAGCGACTTGAAGATAAGTAAAATGTGAGCAGCACTGACCCAAAGACGTAAGGGCTGTTGGTAAAGGTGCCCAGGCCTACAAAGGTGGCGGCGAGTGCACCTGAAGGCGCGAGCGACTTTTTTGAAAGACCATGGTGAACCATGAACGCGCAGAGGGCTGCGGGGTAGAGCAGACTCGTGGCTGTCATTCCAGCAGGCGGAGTCAGCTTGCCGGTGTGCATCTTGATGAGTGAAGAATTAGAGATGATGAGAGAAGCGCAAAATGAGGACGAAACGTGTCAAGATTAAAGCCAGCCACCAAAAATTCAGGTACGATGGGGATGGAACTTCAAATTAGGAATGTTGCTTAGTGGCCTTAGTAAAAACCCGCTTCCTGATCTTCATAGTATCGATTGTGCCATGAGTTCGTACCATCGCCATTGTAGTTTGAGAGCGCTGACGCATGTGTCGCGAATCAGTAGCATATTGGTCGACGGCGTATTGGTGAGTGAGGCGCACCAACATCCAGAGGTAACGTTTACTGGCTAGTGATATCTGGATGCGCGACGCGTAGGAATGTTGCGCTACAGAACGGAGTACTGTGCACCACCGGCGCTTGTGTTGCAGTCCATGGTGCTGTAAATGCGTCGACTATCGGTGGAACTATGTTGTATGTGTGCGGTAAAGATCCGCATTAGTGTTGTCGAGCGAATGGAATACGGGCTTCAGAGTCGCTCCATGTCTTACGTGAAGCATGCTATCATCCATGGAATAAGTACGCTCGACTAAAGCGTTTGGATGGAACTAAGGGTTTGAAGCTGAAGCGATAGGGTGCGAAAAAACGCGTCTTAGGAGGGAAATCGGTGGGTCCAGCGCGGGGCAACCGCAGGACAACTTGCGTGTGAAAAATGTTAGCTCGAACTCTGGTTTGCGTTTACAAACTTCTAGGATGCCTTTCGGCCATAAGACTTGGTTATAGTTTGCCCGTTCTCCCTTACATTTTGTACACGTTGATGCTGTCGCGACTGAGATAAGGAATTATGTCCAAGTTCTTTATATGCGTTTTTTGACAAGGACACCTAGCCCGTAATCTGTGCATGGTTGTAAAGACATGTGGATTACCAGAAAACTTGAAGGCTAGCAGGACTCAGATCGAATAGAGTTGTCCTTGCGTTTCTGCTACAGTCATGACCCTACTGACATTCAATTTGTAATATAGCCTGGCACTGTGTATCTCCAACGTAAGACAGAAGGATGGAGACGACCGCACTATGTAACTATTTTCATCAGATCTGGGTATGCTGTGCAAATAGGATCGAATTGGTTAGTTGAGAACAGACTTTGGTCTTTCACAACGGATTGGCAATGTCGCTCCAAAATAGCCATGGATGATATCGGGGCATAGATGATGGCGCTGAGTTGGCTGAGGGTTATTTGTCGATCATGGGCAAGGCTCCACAAAGGAAGGGAGTGCTCTGATATAACGCGCAGCCTCTTTTCCTTTACAAATTTCTGCAACAGCAAGAGCAGTTCCTCTCTCTTTTCTTGTTTTTTTATCCGGAGGAAGAAAAGGCCCTAGAATATACGGAAGTCGAGTGATAAAGAGAGAGGGAATAGGCTCCGTAGTGTATAGGCAGGTTGAACATAGATCGAATAGATCCATCGGGCGTCTTTGAAGGGCGTAAGTCTATCGAGGGGCCTGTAGAAGATTGGCAGAACCGCATGGGTCAGCATCGAAAGGGAGCAGCGACATTATTGGCTGGAGACGTGCATGCTCAATATTGTGTCGTTTTGTGTGTGATTTGCATGTAAAAATTCTGAAGAGCTTGCTGTCCTGTTTAAGGAGTATTTATTTGCTCCACTTTTCTCACTCTTCTTATTCAACACCGTGCTTCGATACCCTTGACCTCACGCCCTGAGCAGCTTTCTTCTCCTTCTCCTCTTCCTCTTCCTCCACATCCTCCACGGTCTTCTCACCACTCCCATCTTCGGCAACAACATACGTCCCACTCACGTTTCTCTGAAGGAACATAGCAAGTGGCAATTTTCCACACCCAAGCACGCCCCTTTGTGGAGCATTCAAACTGACTTCGCCCTGACCTAGCCCATAGGCTGGTTTTTCTGAGGGCTGCAGTCTATGTGAGTCCAGACACAGACAGCCACCATCGGATGTAACTTGTGCAACTTCCCAGATACAAACCTTTATTTCTCCGTCTCCGGCAAGTTCTTATCACTCGAAACTAATACCATGCTCATGGGCGTCTCTCTGAACAGCAGCCATTTTATTTGCGGTTGTGATTGTGCGAGTGAACCTGTGCTGCGGTCAAGGATCCGAACACTCCAGCCCAATCCAAGACACTGCTAGTCCTGTCCACCGGATAGGATGTTAGGACATGCCCGCCTATATCCATCGACATATCACAGCAGGTCCTTCCAATTCACAGACAGCAAACACATGCATGCACACCACGACTTTGGCCAGCATAGCCACCATGTTGCAGTATCAGAGGGATCATTCGCATCATCCACATCCGCTGCATCCGATATCAAGGATGACATCAATTTTCATGATTACATCCATGCCAAGCACGACGATGAAAAGGATGTCGACTATACTCGGCATACATTGGACTCTTCAATGCCAGACCATCCCTCGGCAGATGGATCAAACATCATGAACGATTTGCAGACAAACGCGGGAGTCCATAGTAGGAACGGTGACGATAGCACAGTCGGCAGTAACAATGCTCATCAATCTTCACCAACCCCTCAAGGAACCGACACTCATCTGAGCCAGTCCGATATGGGCCATCTCTATGGATCTACATCACACCATTATGCACCCTTTGACCATGTGCCTCCACCAACGCAGGATCTGTTCCGAACCCTTATGGAGGAGCTCCAGGCACAGGCCGCTATCCAACGGGACCAATTCCTGGCATCGTCGACAAAACACGATTCGTCGTCAACGGAGACAGACTATTCATTCGGTGGACATCAGACGAGGACGTTGCCTAAATTTATGATGGAACCCCTTGACTTTCTGTCCGCCAACTATGAATCCTGCCTTGAGCCTGGATCGGATACGAATACTGGATCGGTCACAGCTATGGTGAACCACTCATTTCAACAAGCTTTTGAAGCCATGAGTCAAAGCCAGGTTTCTTCATCATTGGCAGCTACATCCTCGATACCTCCGCATTCATGTCCCGCGCCTTCCATCTCAGAAATGCACAAAGGGAGTGTAAATGCTGGTATTTCCAACGAGTCCAACCCTAGGAAGCGGTCAATATCGGATAACGACGACTCTCATATGTACAGTAACAATGGCGGCACCACCACACCGCCACCCAACTCATCCAACCACGAGCATCAGTCGCCGCCTACCCAGGATTTGTTCCGCATGCTCATGGAGGAGCTTGAAACTCAGGCGGCTATCCAGCGCGACCAGTTCTTGGCGTCCACAATGAGGTCTGACGGCCCTGAAGCCGGAATGAACTCGACCGAATTTTCGTTCAGCGGCAACAGCCATAGTAGTCAGCATCTTCATCAAAGCCAACATCACCACGCAAGGTTGCCGCGGTTTGTCATGGAGCCGTTCGATTTTCTCTCGCAGGACTACGGAGACATGCAGGTAGATGGCACAGCCAATCAGTCAGTGGAGGCCACGCATGATGTTTTCATGGGTCAGGCATCGTCTTCTGGCTCTCAAGATGTAACAGCGACATCCGCCGAGTCAGCGACGGAGCAGCTAACAACACCACCTTTGTTGCCCTCGGGAGACGGGCATTTGTCGCCACCAACGCAGAACTTGTTCCGCACATTAATGGAAGAGCTGGAGACACAAGCAGCATTCCAACGTGATCAAGTGCTGGCGAAGACAACAGGGACAGCGCCAAGAGTGGACCCGGACGAGTATGTATTTAATGGTCAGCATCTGAGACCATTGCCGAGGTTCATGTTTGAACCGATGGATTTTCTCTCCGCGGGTTACGAGTCATGCCTTGATGGTGGCATGACAGGCCAACACTCACTCATTGCCGGGGATACGCTACGATTAATGACAAGTACCAGCTCATCTACCTCTGAAAAAGTATTACGTCCGAGTAGCTCAAGCAGTCGAGTTCCAAAAAGGCCACCACGTACCAGTAACTATAAGACGATCTTACCTCATCGACCAAAGCTTCTCACAATCTTGCCTAGCGAGAATGCTACTGCAGATCATCCACAATCTGCCAATCCCGTCAAGAAGAGGAGGCTGGATGGCGGCGGAGATGTAATATCCACTAGAGCCCCGACTTCGCCAATACCCAATACTATGACCTCTCCCCTTGGACCTGAGAGGCAGGATAGCCAAGGGTCGCCCATTTCATCCACAGCCATGTCGGGGGTATCCAACACCAACTATACTAATACAACCAGCACCGCAAACAGTTTTGATGGAACTTCAGAGGGCGCAGCCGCATCGACAAAACGACCGTGGACACTCAAAGAAGAAGCATTGCTGTTAAAACTGTTTTCGAAACGGACACCAATCAAGGAGATCGCCCAGACCTTGGACCGCACTGTCCACTCTGTTCGATCTCGTCGCCAAATTTTGACCGACCCTGGATTTGTCAAGGGCAAAGGACATGGAGTCTCAAGGCGCAGTAAGCAGGATTCGGCTACGACGACAAAGCTACCGACGTATGCACAAATGGCGTTCCTGTCCTTGGCTTGGCTACCAGATATGGAGGGGACTTTGAATGATGTGGCGGCAATGGTTGAAAAGCTGTTCAGTCGACATTTGAACCGCATTCCTCGCACAGGACACAAGAACCTGCAGATCTGGAGGGCGCAAATCTCAGACGCACTGGCACACGAGAAAGGTCAACCTCGTCCACGGTTTGAGAGCCTTGGCGTCAAGCAAGGGAGACAGTGGGTTTATCGGTTGACCAGGTTTGGGAAGGGGATGGTCAAGGCCATGGATGGAGTGGAAGCTATTTGCCAGGACTTATTGAAGAGCAATGAAGCTGGTATGGCGACATCACATGGTGGCGACCTAAACAGTGATACTGGGGCTGCGAGGCGAGATGGAGATGAACATCTGAGCTGTGGCTCTGGTGCGGATGCTGGAATTGGACAAGGACAAGGATATGGCTACAGCTATCGACCTCCCGATGTGAGACAAAAGACTGGAAGGAGGTCGAGAGCCTCACGTAAGGCTGCTGCAAAGGTCAAGGAGCAGGCGGACTCTGGTAACACGCCAGAGACACCAACAGAGCGAGCGGCGAATGCGATAGCAAACGCCATGGATGCCATGGCAGGAGCTATGACGAAAATGATGGCGCTTGAGGATGAACGGGCGGCAGCTAGCGGCGTATCTCCCAGGAGCACGTAGTAGATTCTAGACAAGAGAGTAGGCCCTATTTTCCGTTTAGAACCAAGATGAAGAATTAGAGCAATTGGAGTGGCGGGCTCCCCGAAACGGGGCTTCGCTTTGTACATTATCAAGAAAAACACCTCAATAAACCCCTTCCTCTTCCTCATGTACAGTACGCATTTCAGCAATTCACTTGAACGATTGTCTGCCAGACTGTTGCGCACACTTCCGACTAGATCCAGGAAACCTTATTTGTCTCAGGAACTGTCCCTGTGGGCACATCCATTCAAGTTGTGCGATGCATTCCATGACCTAAACTATGCCCTCCTATTGATCACGATGTCGATGCTCCTCCCTTCCAGAAGGTCCCTCGCTGGTCAAGAAAAGATACATGTCTTTGACATCCCAGAGCTCCTATTACCCATCTGCGCCTACCTCTCCCCACACGACATCCTGCAATGCACACTTCTGTCACGACATTTCCATGCCTTGTGCATCCCAATCCTTTATGCACACATCTCGATCACGACCCCCTTCCAGTTTTATCGATTCCGCACACCTGAGGCACAGGCTGCCCTCGCAAGAAACAGCATACATATTCGGTCGTTCAATACCCAATACTACAGTCTACTGCGGTGTCTCCTTTCGGATTCTGTGAACCTTCACAACCTGACACATCTCGAGTTTTCGCGGGCGTGTCGATTCACCGATCCAGAGGTACCTCGAGGGTTCCGTTCGATATCTCCATCTCAATGGGGTAACTACGTATTAAAGGACCAAGATATCGACAAGACGAAGGATCTTCAGGAACGAACAGAAGGAGGGGCAAGACAAGAGACGATCGATTACAAACCAGATGACATTGCGATTATATACGAACGGAACACGGAGACAAGGGCCAGGAATGCTCTTGGTCTGTTTGACGAGACATTGCTTATTGCCATGTTGGAAAAATGCCACCGGCTATCTGTCTTTGCGATGGTTGGGTTTCCCTTCGACCACGACCAGTTGATCCGACGGATTGGCGATCGACTGGCAGGCCCTGATTGCACCCGTCAACAAACCCTTGGTAATATGGCCAGCTCTTTCTCAATGCCATCACATTCAGTATCTTCGACAAGACAACATCTGGGTTTGAGGAAGCTGGAATTGACGAATCACCATTATTGTCGCGTGAAAGCCATATCGATTGAATACCTGTTGAACCATTGCACGCCCGAGCTGGAGGAGCTACTGTTATCGATTTCGTTCGGAAGCAGGGCAGAAGTCGGGTCCGACGAGCAGGATATGGAAGACTTGGATAAGCAGAGCGTCGATCCAGGCGTAGAGCTATTACAACAAATAGTATCTGATTTGAAGGACGATGGACGCGAGTGGAATCTTAGACGGCTGGCTATTAAGGGAGATCTAAGTGGTCCTGGTCCATTAGTCTGGCTGCCGCTACTGCGGAGGTGCACACGACTGCAGGATCTTTGCGTGGATCTATTCACGAATGCGTCTCTTGAACAACTAGCGCTGACATTGAGCCAGTGCTGCCCAAGAATCGCCGAGATGACTCTCAGATGTATGGCCGGTGGCCCACAGGATGATTCACGGATTGCAGATTTGATCCGATCCTCGGTATCGTGGAAGCAGCTCTCCATTTCATTCCTGCATGGATTTGGACCTCTTTCGACGGCAGCATTGATCAAGCACTCCAGTGCTCTCGAGACACTCATTCTCGAAGAATGCGATGGATTCACCAGTGAGGATATTCAGACGATATTGAGCTCGTGTCCTAGGCTGAAGACATTCCGAGCGATGACATCGAATGGCATGGACTTTTCGAGCACGGTGTATCTGGATGCGCATGAGATGGTGGACTCGCCCTGGATGTGCCATCGGCTCGAAAACCTGAAGCTGGTGATCACAGGCATCGCGCGTCCGGATCTACAGATCGATCAATATGGACAGCCGCTCACCGGCCCTTTACACGACGGCACGATCACAGGGTTTGAGCTTCAGCGAATTGTCTACCAGCAACTTGGAAAGCTGGCTCGACTGCAGGAGTTATGGCTCGGACACGACAAGCAGGACCTGGACGATGAGGAGAATTATCATTTGACGGATATGGAGGGACATTGGCGGTTCATTGATCCGGACGAGCAGTTTGAATGTCTCGAGTTTTCGCTGAGGAGCGGACTGGATTTGTTAGCAGGACTGAAGGAGCTGCGGGTGGTGAATTTGGATAGGATGAAGACTCGGATTGGGCTGTCAGAGGTGCAGTGGATGACCAGGGAGTGGCCGAAGCTGGAGAGGATCATTGGTCTGGTGGTGCAGGGTGAGAAGGTACCGAAGCACGTCCAATGGCTGTATGATCATCGACCAGATATCGAGCTTCCCCCAGTCCTTGGCAACTTTGTCACAACCTTTTCTTGAACGTATTTTCTTATTTTCGAAAGGGAGGGGTACAAAGGAAGCGACCAAATAAAAGCCGTTCTGTTTTTTGTTGTTGCGGTGCTTCCACGTGGTGAGCAACAAACTCTATTTTTCTGCACGATCGTCTGTGCGCCACGTTGCACTCGCTGTGTGCGACTCCTGTCTTGAAGACAATGCTCCTTCCCACATGTGCATCTTTTCTTTATTTTTCTCCATTCATCAACAACAACTATTTCACACTTTTACCGCTACGGCCCTCTAAACTACACTTCACCTTTTCTATCGCTTCCATATATCGTTCCTGAACAATGACAGTGTCCGGCAGCTCCTTTGTGGCATCTCTGCCCCACTATCCCTCTTCGTCTCTGTCATTCTCTCTTCGTTCGATATTGATCCTCGCCTCCATAATCCTTTACATCCTTCATAATACCTTCCCTGAAATCTCAATACCTGGCAGCAGCTCGCCAACACCATCGAGTCGTCCGTCCGAAACATACACCAGCACAGCGAATGGTCGACCGGCTGTTGACAGCTCAAGGCCAAGAAAAACGCCCACACGATTTGGAGAACCCATACGGTCGAGTCATGCTGCATATTCGTCGTCTTTCTATGATCGACAACAGCAGCAGCAGCAGCAACAGCAGCGTCACAGTCACCGAACCCGTCACAGGTCCCCTCTGGATCAGTTGTATGCCGATTTTAACGACTTCACTGCTGCATCTGAGCACCAATCTCAACGAAACACAGCCTTCTCGGATTCGGGCTCGACCTGTGCAGGATATTATTGTATCGAGACTCAGACATGCGTGAGCGAGCCGATCCATTGCCCCTGCCCCTCAGTGATAGACACCAAATGCTGGCGAGGCGATTGGTATGTTTGCTATCGGGACGAACGCGAATGCTAGAACGCTTTTACAAAGTCCTAGCCCAAGTGTATATAAGGATATGTCTGTACAATAAAATGCATATAAACTTAGCTATTGCTGCTATGCAATGGGACTCTTCCTTGTTTGCATGCGATGCCAGCCTGGGCTTGCTGAGCACAGCGCGATGGATCTAGATTTTTAGGTCACTTGTAAAAAAAGTCTCTCTCTCATATAGTCTCCGCCACCATTTTGTCACTCCAGCTTTTATGGACACAAATGGTTTAGAAAAAAGATATGGGACGCAAAAAATAGGCGTAGGTTGCATGTTTGGATTACTCCATCAAGGGTGCCTTGCGCATGGCAGGCGGATCGGAGGGCCGGAGGAAGGCAGCTGGGATAATGTAGTTCTTTGCTTTGGCCTGGGTTTGTTCAACACTCAAAGCACTCAGCGCTTGAAAAAACGGCTTGTCATCAGAGTAAGTCCTAATGAGTGTCTTTTGTTGCTGTCCCAAAGAGGAGGAATGTCTAATGTATACTCCCGTATCTGTCTGCACTATTTAGGCAAAGAGCTTTGGAATATGCCGTGCTGGGCGCACACGAGTAGTATACAAGCGCAAAATATCCCCGTGTGGACTGTAACCAGTTCCTGATCAAGCTTCCGTTTCGTTCGTTCTAAATATTATCCTGGATGCCGTGTGCTGTTACAAACCCCTGAAAGATCCTGCAATATTAGCAGCAGCTTTGGGTCCGTTCGTATCTGCAATAGAAAGCAGGAACAAAAAACGAGCAGTTGACCAGGACCCTTCAACACCAACCACAGCGAGTAGGGGCCAGAATTGTCAAACGCCAGCAGATCCCGGCTCATCAGTTACCATATGCAAACCGCAGTAGGAGCCGCGAAGACACCGCTAGATCAACGCGACTTGTTAGGCTTGAAAGCTCCAGGAACAATTTGTAAGTAACAGTCATTCTCTTTTTGCTTGCTTTGCTTGTTGTATTATTAATATGTCTCCTGACCGCGTATTCCTCTGAATTGGACGCAGACGCTACTAGTAAAGGCATAAACAGGCGTGTTCGATAGAAGTGTTTAAATGTGTTCGTCATATTGGAAATGAAATATGCGAGATGCGAATTGTATTTGTACATGTTGATGATAAATCAAACGCTGATTTACACAATCAAAAACTAAGGAATCAGAGATCTGCAGATGCTCAAGCTGCCATGATCATGTTCGATTACTGCTACTCCATCTATGCCTGGTGGGTTTCCGCCAGCCTGCCCTTGTTGTTGGCAAAGCTGTTGAATTCAGACGCAAGGAATAGAAGAACAGATATCAGTTTCCATCATTTCATTGATCTAGAATGCACTCGATCGTACGATGAAGTAGAATCATTTTTTTTACCTCAGATATGCGTTCCAGGCAATTCCGACGACACTGACGAAAGGCAGACGCAGCTGCAGCGGCATCACACTATCATATTCGATGATGGCAAAAAGTTCAAATGCTTAGTACGAATATTAAAGACGCCAGACCAAACGATAACTCCAAGTAAGGTCCGTTCGAGTAATTGGACGTTACCTAAAGTTCACCAGTTGGACCAATGGCCAGACAGCGTAGTTGGCCTTCAATGCATCAATGTATGTCTATTATCCATACAGATATACAAAAAAAAAAAAAAAAAATCGGGTCAGTAAGTGGTACCAATGCGGGTGCCATGTCTTTCCCGAAAAGTATGTGCGCGTGTGCGGCGGTAAACGTACACTGTTCAGCTTGTCCTTGATTTCCTCGATTCCTCCACCCTCCAGGACCGTCAGACCCGAGAACAAGAGCGCAAGACCAACGGGCGCAAACAGGACCTGATCCCCTACCATCCTCTTAAGGGCCGGCGTCATGGTCTGGACAAACTTGGAATTTGGAGCGGGAATCTTTGTGGCTGCTACCGAGCTGACCGCAGGGTTGGAGGTGCTCTGGATAGGGAATTTCTTGTCCAAGACAGTGTACCAACCATGTATGATAGGTGCAACCGAGAAGTTGTACAGCATGAAGCGTCCCATTCGTGCAAAATCGAATGAAGAGTCGGAGGTAGAAGGCATACGCTCCTTGACCGCGTCCTTACCACCCTGGATCATCTCCTGTCCAGCCTTCTGATATCCCTCGGCCATATCCCTGGCTCCTTCCATGCCACGTTCCCTGACTTCCTTGGTGGTTTGCTGACCAAACGTCTTGACATGGTCAACTCCAGCTTCGACGGTCTCCTTGGCGTGGGTGACACCTTGCTTGACTTTGTCCTTTGCATGCTCCACACCCTCTTTGACTCTATCCTTGGCGTGCTCGGTTTCTTCCATGGCCCTGTCCTTGGCGTGGTCGATGCCATGCTTGATGCTATCCTGACCCTTTTGGGTATACTGAGACACTTTGTCCTTGATCTTATCCTTGCCCATTTGAGTCATCTCTTCGCCCGCCTTCTTGTATCCTTCTGCCATGTCCTTGGCTCCTTCCGTACCACGCTCCTTGACTTCCTTGACAGTCTGCTGGCCGAAAGTCTTGAGATGGTCAGCTCCAGCCTCAACGGTTTCCTTCGCGGTCTGGGCCTTGCCCTTGGCGTGATCGATGCCATTCTTGGCACTCTCCTGACCATTCTGGGTATACTGAGACACTTTGTCCTTGATCTTATCCTTGCCCATTTGAGTCATCTCTTCACCTGCCTTCTTGTATCCTTCTGCCATATCCTTGGCTCCTTCCATACCACGCTCCTTGACCTCCTTGACAGTCTGCTGGCCAAAAGTCTTGATGTGGTCGGCTCCAGCCTCAACGGTCTCCTTCGCGGACTGGGCCTTACCCTTGGCGTGAGTGACACCTTCCTTGACCTTATCCTTCGCATGATCTAAATCAGCCTTAGCCTTATCGTGGGTATGTTCAGAACCCTCCTTGACCTTGTCTTTTGCATGGTCAACGCCTTCCTTAGCCTTGTCCTTTGCGCTGCTCATCTTGTCCTTGGCATTGTCGACACTTTCTTTGACTTTATCCTTACCCATTTGAGTCATCTCTTCGCCCGCCTTCTTGTATCCTTCTGCCATATCCTTGGCTCCCTCCATACCACGCTCCTTGACCTCCTTGACAGTCTGCTGGCCAAAAGTCTTGATGTGGTCGGCTCCAGCCTCAACGGTTTCTTTTGCAGACTGGGCCGTACCCTTTGCTTGATCGATTCCTGATTGGACTTTGTCCTGGACATTGCCCTGCTGGTGTGGTTCATGTAGTTGCTGCTCAATGTCTTGGCCCAGCTCGCGTGCACCCTCTTTGGTACGCTGCTTCAGAGAGTGTGCGGTGGATGTGGCAGTCGTTGATGGGGCGAGATATTTCTGAGTGAGAGTGTCCGAGACACCGGCGAGGAGTGCATTGGTGGTGCAGATGGTCAGGATGGGGCGAGCTTGGTACTGGCGGTTGTAGAACGCATAGGCTGATTTGAAAGCGTGGGCCATTTTCTGAGGTATGTAGCAGATGAGGTTGGGGTGAGTGACAAGACTGAAAGAGTGGGATTATGGGAAGATATGGAAAGCAGAGGGGGATGGAGGATCGATGGTTCTTTAAAAAGGAAGTGGAGAGGGAGAAAAGGGCGTTTGACTGACAGCATGGCAACATCATTGGGCAAGATGAGTCGTCCCGTCATTATTAGTCCTTTGGATCATCATGATGACCGCACAGACAGCAGTCGCGCATAGCGCGCACGCACCTAACACGCACACACACCAAACTCACATACACTAAATTATATACTAGTACGAGTATGTATTCAAATGCACGAATATATGCGGTCTATGCGGAGCATGCTGTGCGCAACCACTTTGTGCAAGCCCAGCAAGAGGGGTCTGTGGCGCGTATTATAGTCGACCTAGTTGTACGAATAGGGTAAGGGGCAGACACTGTTTTCTGGTATCCCCTGGACACCTCCAAGTCGTTGGCCATGTTTTTCTTTTTATATTTTTACCCCATAGCATGGCCATATGCATCCATTGGCCTGGGCCGTTCGATCGCCGCGGAATATACAACCTCATTTACCAATTATTCAGAGACAGATTTAAGGTTACTCTCTCTCTCTCTCTCTCTTCTTCTCTCTTCTTCTCTCTTCGCTTTTCTTCTCTTTTCTTCTCTTTTCTTCTCTCTCTTGCTATCATTCACCTGCCGGCTCCACCGACTATGGACTCACCCTATCGTCGGAGTGCACTTGTCCTCGGGCTGAGTCTCTGGGCCGCCATTCTCCTGGCCCTCTACATTGCACGGCACCACGCCATCAACAACCTCTACTCCTCCATCCCCGACAATTACCCTTCTTCTTCATCTGTCGTCAGTAACACCCGGCCGAGTACCAACCAGACAGTCCTCAGGGCCCAGTGGGAGCCCTCGAGACGATACCTGGTCTTCTTACCCTTCGAAGGCATTTCCAACCAGTTTTTCTCCCTCCAGAACGCCGCCACGATCGCCAAGCGACTCAACCGCACCCTCGTCGTCACTCCCATCACACCCAACCGTCATGATCGTCTCAGGACCAATCAGCCTTGGAGTCGTTACATGGACGTAGAGCATATGGCCCTTAATGCCGGTATTGACTATACGGAGTGGCACATCATCAAGCGAATCGACCCCGCTACACAGCGGATCATAGACGCCGGATCCAGGAGAAATATTACCCAGGCCTGGAGGGATCGTGCGGAAAGGTTTCCATGTCAAGTCATCGGCAAATATGGACACGACCACTTCGTTGGAGAACAGGACTCCGTCGGCGCAGATTTCGCTTATCAGCACTTGCTGGACCTTGACCCCATACATATTTAGCGATATAGTGATAGTCGTGGATGACATACTGGAGTCGAATCAGAACTCGACTGAGCAGGTCATCTGCCTTTCGTATAGTTCACAGCCCAGTTTAAACGCGGGGTCACCCAACGAAGTATCGGTTGGGGTGCAGCAGGGAGATACTTGCGATTCTTGCCCCGATTCGCGTCCTATGTCGAGGACCTTATTGCGTTTAGATTCGGTCTGCTGGAGAGCCATATTCATCCACATCCACCGCTCTCACTCGGAAATTCGATTCTGGACAAGGGCGCTATGGCAGAGACGTTCCTTTCTCGAAAATCACCACTGAAGGATTATATCACCATACATTTGCGCAGAGGCGACATTGTAGTCAAGTGCGCCAATCAAACCGTGAGCGACTGTATCACGCCTCTGTCTGAATATAAGAAACAAGTCGACGACATCTTGACAGGATTATCCAAGGATGCAGCGCAGCCCAACGTAGTCCTAGTCTCGGACACGGAGTCAGAGGACGAGAAGAAGGAGATTGATGGGTACGGATGGTATCGTCTAGATCATGCAGTTGATCCAAATTTGCTGAGTGTTTCCAAGGAACTGGGGCCCTTTAGTCCGGCATTCATCGACTCTGCAGTGCTAGTGGGAAGAGATACGCGGTGGGTGATTGGAAGTCGCAAGAGCACTATGTTCTGGCTGGCGGCAATGAGGATCTTTAGTTGGTACAATTTGACCATTATTTATCCACAAATGACCAGACAGGAGATGGCGGAGTATCAAGCATCGCTGGACCGGCATGAGCAGAGCCCTTCTTCTTTGACGGGACTATCGACGGTAGCCAGACGACGGGCCTCTACAAGGACAACGAGGACGGGGTTGCGGGAGACGCCGTCAGAAAATGCGACGGCACGAACACGACCAGATCTGGATGATGATGATAACGACGATAACATCATCACCTGGGACAAGCATGAACAGCATTTCTTTGACCTCTTTTAAATGTGTGTGATCCGCTTATGCTGTTAGGCATACAATCCAGAGAAAAGCACCCTTACATTTTTTTTTCTCTACAATCCTCCATCTGGAGAGTAATGACTGTACATTCTCTAATAGTATTCCAGAGCTATCCCTTCATTTGACATTTTTCTGGACCACGGTACCGAGCACAATGCTCCGAGGTCTTTTACAATGTTTAGATGTTCATAATATTCGCGCTGTCATGATGATTTAATCGACATTGGCAATCTGCGCCAGGCAAGCAGTGAGTTCTTCAGTTGGTTGCGCAAGTGGTCAAAGGAAAAGAAATCTGTTGGCGGTTAATTAAACGCGTAAGACACTCCTATTTTTTCTTTTCGCCTTGAAGAGTAACGACAATCTTTCGTCCAGAGGAATGGCTACGATGTTCGCACAGCCAGATGCTACCAGGAGAAGAGAAAGTAAATACAGAATGATGTTAATTAGACCCTTGATATAACTTACACGTCCAGTTAAGTGCGCCATGCAGACCAAAGAATCTTCGTACCCTTGCCACGTTCCCAGATTGAATCGTCCATTCGTGATAGGGATGTTGAGGGATGCGCCAAGGAGCGAGCTCTTGATGTGGCCGGGCATGTCGTCGGGGCCTTCATCTGCATGCTCGTACGGCCACGATTCAGGCGCAATCTTGTTCAATGCCATCTCCATATCGACTCGAACATCCGGATCCGCATTCTCGTTCAGCGTCAGCGATGCAGAGGTATGTTGCACTATAATGATAAAGACGGACGAATAAGCGTCTCGAACCATATCCCTTCCAAGATGATACAGGCCTCTCTTTTCTCGCATTGCGTGGTCAACTTTGAACAGGGATACAATTGCTTACGAAAAACGTTAGCCATGCCCACAGAGAACTGTCGGAGTTCTGGGAGCTGCTTCTCGATCTCATGGGTCACCAAATGGCAACCGCGAGACATTGATGGCAGACGAATCGTGGACTGAGCCCAAGACATTTTTTTTCTTTCTTCTTTTATTTGTGAATGAATGTGGAGGTGAGGAGGAGGATCAAGACCGTGAAGAAAGGAATGGAAGGGAGTGGTTGCGATGTCATGTCATGGTGACCCTAGTTCACGGCCGTTAAGGGCTTGACGCTGCGAAATTGGCGGCATTAATGACGGCAGTGCTTCATCGGCGAAGTACAACTCTGTAAAGTTCCTATTCGCATTGTATAGAGCAAACAAACAAGGTTGGCCGTTAACGCGAGTGCGCAATTGAATTGACGATACGAGATGAGAACCAGTTCAGTGGGCAATACCAGGTCCTTTGAGCGGTCGTAGTCGCAGTGGCGGTTCAGCTGCGAATAATCCATCCTCTGAGCCATGATCACTTCGGATTGCCCTGTCTTCTTGACAAAATAGTCGTGTGCTGTTGCGACAACAGCAAGCTGGTCAAGTGAAAAATTGTATCTGTACAAAAGAGCGATGCGGTTAAGATGAATATCGACGCGGTAGATCATGAATGACATGGGAACCAGTACAATGGATGGGGAGCTAGATGAGACCTTTTCTCCATCGTCAAGTACGCGACGCGTCCGGTGGTATGTCGTGGATGGTCTTCAGGCAATGGCTCAAGCAACAGCTTCTCCAGACACCGTATCAATGCGTCCGTCAACGAATCGTCATATACAACTGGATGAGTGATAGATAACACACATTAATAGAACACATAAACTCCGTTCATGGATATGAACTCATTCAAAAATACTGCTTACCATCTGCTGCGAAGATGACAGCACCCTTAGTCCTCCATTCTTCATGCTCCTGATCAGTCCAACTGAACCGATCTGCCGTTTCGTCCGGACAAGTCGTAGGGTCGTCCATCAGCCAATTGTATCTGCGTGGTAGAACGCGTTGATCGAGATGCGTTGATACTGGATGGTCTGAGATCATTGACTCGCTATTGAGTGCAATATTCCGCTCGCAGTTCAACAGCACCTCCACATCGTAGTCTAGGAATAATGTGATAATTAGAGAGAAAGAAAGAGAGAAAGAGAGAGAGAGAGAGAGAGAGAGAGAGAGAGAGGGGGGGGGGGGTTCGTATGGATTTAGAGCTAATCTTTGCACCCTTACCTGTGCAAAAAACCTTTTCGACATCTGTCATCAAACACAGGGCAATGCTCGCTAGGCCAGTCCCTGCTCCGAGCTCGAGGACAAAGCTTCCACTCAAATGGTCTCTTATCGAGACCATCCAATCGACCAGAAGGAAGCAACCCATCCAAACCTGTGAGCCTAAGGTATTTCATGAACAATCGGTCGAATAAGCAATTGAATAGGCAATTGAACAGGCTATTGAACAGACGATCGAACAGTGCACATCCAGAGTCCAGAGTGAGCGCTTTACCAACATCTCGGAGGGTTGTGCCCATTGCGTGCTGGATCTCTAAAGCATAGTCCCAGGGCGGATCCTCCTGAGCTTCTGCATCCTCGTCCGATAGATCCGTCTTGTGCTCCTGTATAGAATCCTGACGCGGATCTTGACCCGCTTTGCTCAAAGAAAAAGTGGAGGTCAGGAACCGGCCGTCCACGCGACCATTGTTGGGATGGATGTGGACCTCCGACAGGACCAGATCGTTCTCTGAATCCGTATCCTGTGAATTGTTTTCAGAGGGGGACTTGGGGATATCATTCTCCAGTATGAAGCTCTGGCTCCTGAGACTATCCTGCAGCGGATTGTTGTGGAAAGGCAAGTGGGGTGAGAGAGAGATGCTATTGAGCCGTGGTCGTTTTTCTGTTGGCTCGAACTGGGTGTCGTCGGTGTCTGAGTCCAGTCCGTGGGTTTTTCTGGGGGGTCCCTTGGGTGTTGGTGCTGATGGAATGATCTGGGATGAATGCAAGTCCATTGTTTTTGCAATGTTGTCAAGGGAGAGAGAGATGGACTGAAAGAGGAGGAGAACAGCGGGCATTTCACACATGCGGGCTGAGGTGGTTTAGCGGCGTGGCTGTGCTCCTTTGTCGTTCTTGTAGATGTTTGTTCGGGGATCCAAGGCCTCCTTCGCCTTTGAGCGCAGATGGCATGTTGATCCAGGGATCCCTGAGCTCATACATGGCCAATGATAAAGGACAGGGTTGTATTGGCCAGTTGCCTAGAGCAGCTCGCCTGTTTGTGCGTGTGCTAGTGGATTTGTTCGGAAAATATAGAGTCCACCAGGAGCTTTCAGCCTCGGTCGCTGCAGTCTCTACTTTTGGCGATACTTCATCCAACTGCTCTCTTCCTCAAAGATTTCCCGGGCGACCTCAAACTCAAAACAGATTCTCTTTTCTCATCCCTCACTCTCTCTCATTCTCTCTCTCCTCATCCCTCTCCTCATCCCTCTCCTCATCCCACGCCTGTAGCACTCCGTCCTTCTCAATCCTTACCGTCTTCATCTCCGTCGGACGTTTTATCTATCTACACACCACCTGTCTCTCCTGTAGCTAGCCTATGGCTTTCATAAGAGCACCCACCTCCTCACCGGTGGCAGCTGGCGTCCGTCACAGCAAGCAATGGCGGACAAGTCCACGCTGCCTAGTTGTCGCCCTCTCCACCTCCTTCATCATCTTCAATTGGCTTGTCTTTCATGTCTTCCAGGGCCGCAACGTAGATCCCAACATCGAATCTGCCTCCTCCCCCTCATACTCTGCCCCTTATTCTGCAAATCCTTCTGCATCTTCCTCAGGAAACGATCCCTCATTCAGCAGCAAGCCTGACTGGCTTGCTCACTGGATTCGGTGGAGAGGCCTTGATCCTGGGTTCGCAGAACAGGACCAGACCTCGCTTCGATTCGATATCGTCTACACATGGGTCAACGGCTCCGATCCAGAGCTACAGCGCTTACGGCTTGAACGCCAAGCTCAATCACCCCTTTTCGCACAAGTCCTGGCCAATGATCCAAAGACCATTGATGCCACCACCACCAAGCGGTTCCGCGATATGGATGAGCTGCGGTACTCGGTCCGGTCGGTCTACGAGTATGCTAGGGACATGTACCGCCATGTTCATATTCTGACGACAGTGGTGGGGCCCGGTCAGGGGCAGACGCCCGATTGGCTAGATCTCACACGAGGTACTGTTGTCCGAACTGTGCACCACACGACTATTTTTGAAAATCAGACCTACCTCCCCTCGTTCAACAGTCTGGCGATCGAGAGCCAGATGCACCACATCCCTGGCGTTACAGATGTCGTAAGTGCATATATAGGAAAATCTTTTTTTTTTCTTTATTTTGTGTAGGCACCAAAGTGGGGAGGATCTGCGTGCATTAGTTGTTTTCCTCTTTCAATTTCAGTCGCTGGCAATGCGCCGCGGATCATTATTGCGCCGGGAATAAGAAAAAAAACATGCATTTTTGCAATTTTTGCTGTTCATTTCCCGGGTAGATCGCTTTACCTGGGGTTGGCTATGTTTTAAGCACAATTTTGGCGCCGCTCTGAAATATCTTTTTTGCAAAAAGGGACGAAGTTCTTCCATCTGTGCTTGTGCAACCCTGTCGCATGTGCACTTCATCGACCAAGATAATTCAATTCATACTCACGTAGTCGATCCACTTCCCCACATAGTTCATGTACCTGAACGATGATGTCTTCCTCGGCACGACCATGCTGCCCTCCGACATCTGGACACCGCTCTACGGGTTTGTCTTCCACATGGAGGGCTCGCTGCTTGTGCCTCCGACGATCCGTCCCTCCGAAAGCAACCCGCTCAATGTCGGAGAGTGGAACTCGCTCCAATACTCCAATTTTTTGCTGTCGCAACGCTTTGGCCCTCGTTATCGCGCGTACCTGGCTCACGTTCCCCACGTCCTCAGCGTGCCCATACTTAAGGAGATCCAGGCACAATGGCCCGACGACTTTGACCGGACGAGCTCCCACAGGTTCCGAGGAGAGGGAGAGGCCAAAGACATCCAGGTCTCCTTTTTCATGGCCCATTACGTCCTCGAAAAGCTTCGCGAGACCCAGCTCGAGTCCTATTGGTGGCATCGTCTGGACAACAACCAAGATGGCAGCCTGAACTGGAGCGAGCGCGAAAAGCTTATCCGTCTGGTTCAGAGCTGGAACCTGAATCAGCAGCAGCCGGACTCTGCAAAAGTTTATCACACCCGTCCCACTATGATTGCTGGACACGAACATATTCTTAAACGGGTCAACATTCCAATGAGCGGCTCAACCGAGTACCGACTTGCTGGATTGGATGGATACCCCTTCCTGTTACAAGCTGCCGACACGTCTAGGACGATACCCCTGACTGTGGCCGTGGTGGATAGAAAGTTAACGCAGCCCCAGATTCCTTACATGAGCTATGAGCAGCCTCAGAAGAGAACATGTCGACTGGATCCAGAATTCTGCTTTGGGAGCGATTTCATGAACCCGGATGTTCCATCCATCTCCATGGCACAAAGCAAGGATGTTTTTCATCGACTTGCGTTTAAAGAGTTTCACTGCGGCGATTGTCTACTGGAGATTCTGATGCAACATCCAGACACAGGCATGGGCGCATGGACACCGACGGACGAGCGATCTGAGGCGTTCAAGGATGTGATGGACAAGGTCGCACGCTACAATTACGTGCTCGGCACGTCTGATTATTCTTTCCTTGCGCTTCAGGGCCCGGAGAGCTCGCAAAAGAACTTGGACACTCTTATAGAGCGAAAGAATAGCAAAGCATTCTTTTGCATCAACGATGACTTTGCAAATGACCCGGTGCTTCAAGGCAAGATCCATGGCATCTTCAAGAACTTTCTCAACACGCGGTTTCCAACATCCTCACCATGGGAAAAGATCCCACCTGAGTAGTCTTCATTTTCTTCCTCTGCTCTTCTCTCTCCACTGTAAAGATGACAATAATAAGATCGGCTCTTCATTTTTCTTTTTTTTTTTTTTTTTTATGAACTATTCCTGTTGTGGTTATTGTAAAAAGGATGTTGATAGGACCCCATCTGATGTGCACCATTTGTGCGTGGCAAAGCACTTTGGTGCAAACTCGCTTCGGTCCTCCAATATTGTCGCTTCAAGACTTGATCTAACCCACTGTATCCAATTTGTTTGTTGGAGGCCTACTTGATATGCCCTCAGTCATATGTAGTGCAAGAGAAGAGCGTCATGTTAACGTTCTCCTTCGCAGACAATGAGAGATCAACCCTGGCCGGGTTCGAAGAGCGAAGTGATGAGATCTGAATCTGAGATTCAGGCTGTTTATCAGAGTGTTGTTTGGAGATATCTTATTGGCCAATTGCGCGCCATCTTCTTTCCGAATAAGGCAACCATGTTGCCACTGAAACGCTTGCCTTCTCGTCATGGAGGGATGCCAAGCGCTGTCGTTCGACCCTACATTCCATTCGCGCTTAACCCTTCTCTCATCCTCGTCTACTTGGCTACCTCCTACGCATCTCTTTTCCCTTTCTCCTTCTGCGTCCCAACTTCATGTCGACTATCGATGAACCCTTGGTCTCAGAGACTAGTGCCCTGCTCGAGGGCACGGCCGTAACAAAAGCACCTCAGGAGCAACAGCGGCTTCCGAGGTGGTACTGGCCATGGCCGCCACGGTACTGGGCTACCATCCCAGTCATCTTCCTAGCAGGTCTTACTATGGGCCCCCTCGTACCACTTACACCCCCATTCCTCAAGTATCTGTTCTGTGAACGAGGCATCCCCACATTGTTCCCAATCCACAATAACAGCACCTTTGGTGATCTGCCGACCAACGACGATGGTCATTGTGACTCTGCGGAGTACAGTATTGCAATTGCAAAGTTCGCAGGCATCAACGCCTCAGCAGCAGCCGTTCTTAGTAATATACCTTGACTATACCGAGTTTTCTTGATGAGACGGCTAAACTTGGCATGGACTCACCAGAGGTGTGCTTTGTCACTCCATCCATGTTTCGTTTCCTTGCTCAATTAGTTACGTTGACGGTCCGTTTCTGGTCTGGACTGGGTGATCGCATCGGGCGCAAGCGAGCCATGCAAATCTGGGCTGTTGGCACTGCCACCGCGCAACTCTTCCCATTGATGGTCTACTATCACAAAGGCATCAGTCTTTACTTCATATGGATCGGCGGTCTCGTCGAGGGTTCAGTAGGCTCGGTTCTTTCACTCATTGCCATCACACATGCATATGCAGCGGATGTCACCGACCCCGAAGAACGCACCGTGGTGTTTGGGCGAATCATTGGGAGCTACTATACTGGTATCGGCCTAGGGTAATGGAGTCTTTGGGCACTACATAAATATGCACGGTCCAACGCATGGAATGTCTCGCAAATATGCGTTCTAATCTTGTCTCACTGATATCCCTTTTGGGGTGCAAACAGAAGTGTCCTCGGAGGATTGGTTGCCAAGCAGTTTGGCCTAATTGCGGCCTTTTGGATGCTTCCAATTCTCGCGTTCTTGAACATCTTCTACATCTCCATCATCCCTGAGTCCCTGTCCGTGGCCACGCTTGCCGAAAACAACAGCCAGTATAAAAGCCTGAGGAACTCGCAGAGTCAATCCACTCTTGCTGTCCCAGTCGACCGTGCAAATGAAGAGTCGAGCTCACAGAGTTCAGGGCAGCCGCGTCCTGTGGCCAAAAACAACAGAGTACCTTATTCGGACCAGGTCAAGGCCTTCATCAGAGGACTCGTGCCTGAGCAACTCCCAGGCGGATTGGCAGGAAAATACAGCGCGTTGATGCTGATGTTCATTGCTTTCTTGGTTCTTATGGCCGTTATGGGTAATGGACAATTGTCGTTTTTCTCCTGAGTATGGTTCCTTACGGGATGGATGACAACCATGCTAACGCGTTGTTTTTGTTATTATTATTATTATTATTCGTAGGTGCGTCGGTTCATATATCTATATTTTTACTGTATCGCTTCCACTGGTCTGAGGCCAAGATCAGCTATGTCACCGCAATCCAAGGGTTAAGCCGCCTACTTTCCATGACCCTCCTCTTGCCGCTCGTGAAGAGACTCGCGCCCCAGGACGTCCTTGCAGACCCCGTAGCCAGCATCCACTTTGACCTCAAACTCGTGATCGTGGGCGTGCTGATTGAGGCTATGACCATGTTCCTATACGGCGCCACGCCTGTGGGCGAAGGGTTCTTTCTCGGAGGAGCCACGAGCTCGATCGGAGCCTTTTTCTTCCCGGCAATCCGTGGCATCCTCTCACAGTCTGTCGCACCAGAGCTACTTGGACAGACGCTGGGAACTTTGGCGACGTTCGAGTCCTTGGCAGTCGTGGTGGGGCCAACGCTGTTCGCGTGGATTTACGGTGCTACATTAGAGACTCATCCGTCAACTGTGTTTTATGTAGCTGGAGTCTTGACGCTCTTGGGAGCTGTGTTGGCGCTTCCAGTGTTCATTAAGCATACCCGGGCGATGCACCGTCGGCTTTAGAAAAAAAAAATGCAGTAGATGTTATGGAGCGCGTTTTCGCGTTTGTAAAAGATATTTCCTTTAGATCCGGAGTTTTTAAATATCCCCCTCCCTTCCCAATAAAAGTTGTCGACATTGTGCTCGTTCAATGCAAAAAACGAGCTTCATTTGCGATAAAACGCTTTGAAATAACGCACTGCTAGATGATATTTTTAAAATGGCGTGAATCGGATGCAATAACCAAAAAGAACGGTATTCTATCACATCCGCACGAGGAAACTATTCTTACGATTGTATATACAAGTTCAAGCCAGAGAAGACTAAGGCGAAAGGTCAAAAAGAGCTGAAGAAGGAGAATGGGCCGATTAGGAGCGATGGACTTGGATTTCGGCTCATCACCTTTGTGTCGTGTGTCTTTAAATACGTACAAGTAAACTCGATATAAGAACAAATAAAAAAAATAAAAAAAGCTATGCTAAAGAGGATACGTGTTGCAAGCAGGAGAAATTATTTGTTCGTGACTATTTCCACGCTGCTCCCCCGCCTTTGTTCTCCTTTCGCGTCAACAAATCCACCTCTTTACTCTTCACTCTCTTCTATGTCGAGGAAGTAATCGAGCACGTAGCCCACTTCGTTCCGTTACATTCGAATGCCATCATTAACCAAGGAAGGTATGGCTATATAACATCTATTCCAAAAGACAAACGCTTTTATCTGCGAGTTCTTGACCCCTCAGCGTTAATAGCAATCTTCTTCATCCTCGTCGCTGGATTCGTGGGCGTTAAAGTAAAAGTTGTAGTAAAAGTCTTCACTGTCATCCATTTTGGTCTTCACTACAACGGGCCTCTCCTCGAAGATCTTTTCCAGCTCCAGTCGTCGTTCTTCCGAATGGTGCACTTTTCCTCCGACGTCCCTCAACCTCGGCCACGCATCCAGCATCCACCTTAAATCCTGCTCTTCCATCTGCTGCCAAAGACCAGTAAACTCTATCGAATCTAACAGCTTTAAACTGGACAAAATGCCCAGCCCAGCCTCGATTCTCAGATCAAGACCATCACGAGAGTCCTCCGTACCATTCCAATTACCATCCTCCGGAACGATCGATAGGAATGTCAATCTCGTCAGCTTCGCGAGCTGCCTTAGGATTAATCGCTGCCAATCCGCAGGTTTACCCTCTAGCCCACATATGTAAAGCGTCAGCTGCTGAAGCTTCGTGCATACCCATGCCTGCGGCTCGTGAACTAACTCCCCTTCGTTGATCTTGTCGCCCTCCACTGTCAATCCAAGTATGTCTCGGGCGTGCAGAGTGTCTGCAGAAAAGATGCGCAATTCTGTACAGGATACCAGGATCGTCTGACACATCGCACTGGTCAGCCCTGGACATTGGTTGACATCAACGATTGTCAGATATGCAAAGTGGCGGACAAGTGCTTGAAAGGCTCGATGGTCAAACCCGAGATCAGAGCCTGCGAACCTCAACATCCTCGGGCAGCTGTCTAGAACCTTGGCGATATCGTGGTCCAATAATGACCAATGCTCCAGACCGATCTTTTGTAGCAGTGGGCACGACTTGGTGAAAAGCTGGCAAAAGGCTGCCGTCGGGAATAATCCTTCATAACAAATCCAGTCTATTGATCTCAAACGAGGACACCTCTTGATGAGCTCAAGCTGATAAAGGAATGGAAAGCCGGAATTGATGTGGATCTCCAAGCGCCGCAGTTGAGGGAACTCGAGCCACCTGTCAAGTGGAATGAGATCTACATCATGCGCAAAGATAGAAAGCCGCTCCAGACGAACGCAAGTGTCAAACAAAAGCCTCGCGCATTGCTTCGAAAGCGTGGGGCAGGTCAGCCAAAGATATCGGAGACGCGGACAGGAAGAAACTGCTGCCATGAGTTCGTATCTAGGCCTGCTACTGAGGAAGTGCGCTTCCAGTCTTCTGAGCTGAGGGTTTTGGCGAATGAGATGCGCGAGCCAGCTCCAGTTTGGGGTTCTATTATGGCACATGATGACCAGGCGATCAAGGCTGGTGCATGTCTCAAGAGGGAAATCTCCTGTCTCAGGCACTAGTCGGAGCGTTCGGACATGTTCCCCATACGACACGAGAGCTTCTTGTTCGGGCCTCTTGTCGCGGTTGGACCAACGGATTTCGGAGTAAAGGAAAGGGATGAAGGTGGAGTGCCAGCTTTTGCAGACAGCCACGGCTGCACCGAGTTGTGATGTGTTCAGGAACCGGGCCAAGTAGCGTCTTATCTCCGGGAGATCCATGTTTGTTTGGCCAGGTATAGTAGTCCTGAAAAAAGGGATGCGGAAGAGATTGCAACGAGACTAGGTTTTGTGAATGAGTAGAAGGTAGGATGAGGCGTGGCTTTCTCACCAACAGTACTCAGCCCACCTGCTTGGTTGCTGCTAGTTATCCTTCTTTCATTCGTGAGGAACACTGCTAATTGCAGCGCGTACGTCCAGTTCGTCTGTAGCAGCGGAGGAAGACCAGCAGTCAACGGTCCAGTTGCTCAGAGAGTCTTCTACAAAAAGATGGGATGCGGGGATGAATCAGATTCGTTGCAGTGTGCAAGGAATGGCTTTCAAACAGCGGAAGGAGGTGCTGAAACCGACAGAGTTGGCCAATCAGACACTTCTTCCGCCACCAAATTAGCATTGCAAGGTCTTGAGTGGCAAGGAGATGGAACGAGGGCTCATCGTATCAATGATCCATCCAAAAATACTGACGGTCCCGATATTAGTTTAAAACAAGGCAGTGATTGCTATGGTGCCATGCAATGTGCTTTATGCTGCTCTTGAGAAACATCTCAGTTACCAGCATGGCATGCATTCAAAAATATTGCATGCCCTGGGTCTAGGAACGATCAAACATCCATGGAACATAAAAATAGTTACGCATCTGGCTGGGCTCGAGAGCGAGCCTGTCTTCTACTGCACATAGTATTTAAAACCGCATGTTGTTTCACTCTCTCTCCTACCACACATCTTCCTTTTTCTTCCTCATCTCCATCCATTTATTCTCCTCGTCTTCCTCTCTATCCCTCTTAAGCTGAACCACAGGAAATAACGAAATGTATGTGCTCCTGAATCCACTTCGCCGCCCAAATGTGTACATGCTTAGTGTACCCTTCCGATTAGGAGGACATAATATTAAGAAGGGCCGATAGCGATTCCCTTGCGCAAGGGGGTTCACTCGAGTGAGAAATGAGCGTTCTAAGGGACCTCCTTCAGTTGGAGTGTCTCTCGCTCGAGAATAGATGGGATGGCATTATCACGCTCGCTTCAGCTTTGTACAATACAAAGAAAGAGTATGGGTCTTAGACACATTGTTTTGTTTGTTTTATATCTAACAGCCTTGTCCATGTTGCTTTGGCTGTCAGAAAGCAATGGTGTGCACTCTCCTGGGTTATTTGCCTCAGCACCTGTTCTTCAGTGTATCGGCACAGATAGTTTGTCGGCACAGAAAATTAAGGCTAGATAAGGGGACCAAGAGGTAGTCAGCAGCAGATTAGGTTGTGTGTACTCCGGCTAGGCGGTGTGTTTGTCAACGAATACCTTCATCTTTTTTAAAAAAAAAAAACTCTTTTTTAATTCTCCTTCTCGCTCTTGCACACACTCACTTAGCCTCCCTCTCCTTCATCTGCCCGTCTCTCCGCCATCCTCCCGGTCTTCATCTCATCTTGTGCATCAACCTCCATCACTCACCATCCACCCAACCACTGCTGTGCACACTTTTCTCTGTGACACCATAACAGCTGCACACAGACGATTTCCCTCCATTGGCAAAGTAGTACACCGTTTCTGCAATCCCAGTAATCCTCGTCAAGCTACCGGCACCAGAAACGCGGCTCTTATCTCGCTCATCCAATCCAGTTGGCTGACGTACTGACTCCCTCCCTCTACATCAGCACCACCAGGATGGCGGAAGTGACACAACCCACTACGTCTCTGGCCAGTCTTCAGACCGTGGACCAGGCAAGAGCTGAGCTCGAGGCTCGTCTGATCGCAATCCACAATGATCTTCAACTGACGCAGTCGATCGGACTCTTGTTCGTGAGGAGGCAGGAGGACCTACGTAGCTGCTTTGAACAGCTACAGGAGCTCAAGGGCCGCGAAGGCGAGCATCACCAGCAACAACTCTCTTCCGACAGCAGCGACTCTGGATCTGGAGCAGAAGCGACACAGCAGCCCCTGCCGGAGCCATTACGTGAACAACTGGCCATGATGGATAGGGAATTTCAGGAGGGTCAAAATGGTATCCTGGGACTCAAGGGTCTCATTGACGCGCAATTGGTAAGAAGCGACGGTTCTGAGTAACAGCATTGACCCTGCCATATAGACTTTATCCCTCTTTTTCTACATCGACCGCTTGCACCACATCTTCTGATTCCATCGCCATCTTACCCTTCCGTCTCCTTTGATCCCCCCCCCTCTTCCCCTCCTGTCGAGATGCCTGGTTTTTTTTTTTTTTTTTTGCAGAGGCGACACCTTCTCCTCAGCCCAGAGTTCTGATGTCTGCGGAGTGCTCGTTTATTCGAAATCGCCTTCGCTGAACAATCTACCCATTCTTGTCAGCCTTGGGAGGAGGAACCTCGGGTGCTTGCTCTTATGGGATATGAGATTTTCATCTACAACAGCAAAAAGTGCTCTTGTACATGCCATAGTTAATTACTGTCTATCTTTTATTATCCCACCAGTCGTGCTCTTTTTGATCATCTATTCTTGGGGCATACGCTAATCGCTTGCCGCTATTGTCGATGGGATGGCAAAGAGCTGAACAAACACCTTGTATTTTTTTTATTGGTCGCTTTCTTCGCGTGTATGCATTTATCATGCATAGCTCATGCATTACACGCCTGTCTACGGAGGAAAGATGGTTATTCAGACCCTTGAGCGCTCTATGGGATGAGCCGTTCTTGCCTTAAAAGATACACGAAAATAGATCAAGGGTCTTTTTTCACACAGTACTCGGGTATTCTTCACGCCACTAACATCCGCAATTTGGTTTCCGTTTGCCCATCTGGTCTTACGCAGCCAGCGATAGACACCCAACCCTTAGAGAATGATGGAGCGTCTCGTTCAGGATCCGGCGTTCTTGGACCCAGTGCACTTCCGTCCAGTGCTCTGCCGGCACAAAACATCACGAAGCCTCGCCGACACAAAGTTGTTGTTCCTTCCGCACCATCGATGAATGACCCTGCGTTTCCCGTTCAGATTCAGGAAGAGCTGCTCAACCAAGTTCGCTACTGGACTTCTCAGGCGGAAATGAAGGAGAAGCTGAATCAGGAATATGACACCAAGATCACGGAGATGGAGCGTATCATCGATGCTCTCAACAAGCAGAGACGCATGCGTGAAGAGAGCGATGGTAATAAGCGAAAGATAGTTGTGACTAAAATGCTCAGAGCGATGGAGCTACTACCCGCTGCTTCCTTTAATATGCTGTTGCTGATCCAAACTGTTGCTTGTCAAACTATGTAATAGAACGCCAAAAAGAGGATCAATGGAACCTGGAGTTGATGAACCAAGAACTTCGGTCTCAGAACACGGAGTTGCAGCAACAACTCTCAAGGGCGGTACATGAGAACTCAAAAATCCAGAAGGCGCTGTCTGCGGCATCAGAGCAGCTGGAGCAATTTAAGGACAAGGAGGAACGGACTGCTGGCCAGCTCGAGCTCACAAAGTCCAGACATGAACAGGATATGATGACGATGCGAAAGCACACGGCAGGAATTCAGCGGGAAAAGTCCGACCTAATGAAAAAACTGGAGGAGCTTAACGCGACCGTGGCGCAACAGCAACAGAAACTCGCCAAGAAGGCCACCATGGATGCCCTCGCGCTTGCACAAGAGAAAGAAAAAGCGGAGCAGGAGCTAGAGAGTCCTGTCGAGGCACCCATTTTGATCCAAGCACCGCCGCGCTTGCCCGCTAACGACGAAATCGTTTCCAACCTCGCAGCCCCCGTTGTGGTAGAGACAAAGACAACATCGCTCGCTCGCGAAACTTCTTTTGCGCATCAACAGTCCATCATCAGCGAGCTTCAGTCCAAGTTGAGTCAGGAGATTACTGCAAAGGAGCAGTTGGTCGCAGCCAAGGAGGAGTTGCTCAATGAAAAGGAGGAGCTCGTCAAGATGTTGGCAGACCGTGAGGAGACTATCGAGACCCTCAGACTGGAGAGCACTATGGGACTTGAACCTATTGTTCATCATGCCGCGGATATGGTAGGACAAGTCTCAGGAGATCTGCAGGAGCCTATCCACGACAGCATCATCGGCCAGGACGAAACGCGAGGTCTTCCTGTGTTGAGACCCTCGTCTCCAATCCACGCTGGCGGCCTCTTTGCTGAGCTGGCCCAAGCGAAATCGACCGAAGAGCCCATCAAGCCAACTGTCGAGTACAAGGATCAGGAAGCGATGACAGAACCGATCGAAAGCTGGATTCATACCATCCCAGGATTTGTACCTGCGCCTACACCTGCACCTGCTGCTCAAGAGCAGACCAAGGTCGGGGCCGAGATCAAGGTCGGGACCGAGACCAAGGTCGAAACGGAGACCACTTCCATCGCCACCAAGGTCGAAACGGAGACTACTTCCATCACCACCAAGATCGAGACCGAGACCAATTCCATCGCCACAAACACGGATGTTAAATCTTTGGCTGACGGTACAACATCAACAGACGACTTGCCTGCTCCATCTACTGCTTCCACTGCTGTGGATGCTGTTCAGCCGAAAACCGAAGCTTCGTCTGCACCCAAGCAACTAGCCAAGACAATGGTCGATAACACGACATCAACGGACGATCTACCTTCGCCCAGCGTTCTTCGGGCCGACACCTTGACGGAGCTGGTGAGTACCAAGACCTTGGTTGATAGTGCGACGTCAACGGACGACTTGCCTGTCACCAAGGCATCTACTTCGGAGTCGAGCATCAAGGCTACAGTGACATCTGCAATTCGAAATGGACTTCCTGCCAATATCATCACAAGAAGACTCGACGTGGAGACCAAGTCTATCAACTCCCTGGACTCCAACAACGTCACTACCCCCACCGTTAATAGTCTCGAAATCGCCTCTATTCGCCTCCCCGAGATACTGGATCAAGTTCATGAGATTGCTCAAGCCAAGCCTGTGGAGCCAGCATTCGTTGAGCCCTATGCTGCGGAGGAGTCTTTGGCGCCTGAGGAGGCCAAGGTCGTGAACAATCTTGAGCTCGAAATAACCGAACCTGTGCCTCGATTCATGCTCTCGGACATCCCACTGGATGATGAGCGTCGCCACACCTGCGACATGAGTCAGGGTATGACTGACTCCTCATCCCAGGCGGTGCCCCCAGTACCCGCGATCCCCAAGGATATTGCTCGGTCAAGACCCAGCACTGTTGTCAAGAGTACAGAGATACAGGAGTTCAGAGTGTCCTTCGGCTCGGCATTTGGTGATGCTGGTGGATCTGCCACAGATACCGGACGCATTGAACCAATGTATTCTTCAGCCAGAGACGACGACGAGATGGTGAGCGATCGCCAGCAATACCACAGCAACGACCAAATTGAAGGCGAAGGCGAGCAGCAAGCCAAGCTGTTGTCTCCTGGACGACCCGCCACAGGACCGCCATCCACTCTATTGGCCCGCGCAGCTGCACGAGCAAGCATGGTTCCTGAGCTCGACACTGAATCTTTCGGCAACAATGCCGCTTCTAACGGAACAAATTACAGTAACGAAGAAATCTCTTATTCCACCAGCATCGCTCATCCGGCATCACCACCATTGACATTCCCTCCACGGGCAGCGTCTATCCGGTCGGTTTCTATGCGTTCAGAGAAGCGCTTTGCCAGTTCTTCCCCACCACCACCTCACCCACGTCCTCCCATGTCTACTGGAGCTGCAGTGATCTCGGGAACGACACGAACCGCTTATACCTTCCAAAACAGCTCCAGTCAAGTACATGTCCCTCAGAGCCAACAGCTCAGCCAGCAATCGCAGTATCAACATATAACGGATTCATCCGGCGCCAGCATCGGCCGCTCCAGATACCGCCCATCGCCAAGTGGATCCGTTTCTAGCATGTCAACGGATTATGGTGCACCCCATCTTGATCGCCGTCTGTCTGTGAGCTCAAACTACGATGGCGCATCCACCCCAACGGATCCTACTATGATCCAGCTCATTACGCAGACCATGATTGGAGACTACCTCTGGAAGTATACCCGTCGGCCAATGGCGAGCGTGATCAGCGAGAAGAGACATCGTAGATACTTTTGGGTCCACCCTTATACCAAGACCATGTACTGGAGTCTTAATAATCCAGCTGCAGATGGATCTCGCGAGCAGCGCGCCAAGAGTGGTATGTTATATTTTTAACGGGATATTTACTCGAGACGATGTGTACTATGATAGAGAGAATGTGTATACTGACATGCCTTACTTTTTTTTTGTGATGGTTGATAGCTTTGATCGTCAATGTATACCAGGTTACGGATGAGAACCCATCAGGCAACTCGGATTTGCCCAATGTCAGCTTGCTCGTCCAGACATCAAGCCGCAACCTGAAATTGACTGCGCCCACTCGTGAGAAGCACGACCACTGGTTTAAGGTACGTTATCCCTGGGGGGAGTTGTTGTTTTTGTAGTGAACCCTGCCTGGAACGAATCATCGCATGAAAGGTGTTATTCTTTTGCTAGATCTCAACTGACAATGTCAATCATCCCCTTTGCATTTCAATTATCTAGTCCTTGGCATATCTTTTGTCCCGTCCCACGACACCCGGTGCCGACATTGCTACAGACAACCAAACGTGGTCAGAAGTCCAGGCTGCTCGTGGTGTGAACTCGGACACGTTGCTTACGATCAAGAACGAGAAGTCGGTTCGCAAGAAGAGCTCGTTCAACCGCCTCCAGAACATGTTTGGTCGATCCAAAGATGTTTCTCCCTCGGGATCCCCGAGGTCTGCCAATGCCGTCACAGTCCCTGAATCTAGTCTGAACTCCGGGGTGTCTTCATTCTCCGCCAACCATAATGGTTCTTTTGGAGGAGTCAATACGAGTGATGGAGCCAACGCTGCCGATAGCATGACGATACTCGACAATGGTGGCGAGACAGGGAGCGTTGTGGACAGCGTGGTCGGGTACCCGAGTCATATGGTGAATGCGCAGAATGCAGTCGGGGGCTATGGCACCATGAACGGCGGACGGATTACGTCGCACGCGGATGAAGTGGACAGGGATGAGGACGATGACGAGGATGTGGAGCTACCGGAACATGTCCGTCAGTGCTGTGATGGAAAGCATGACATTGGAGCGCTGCACCACCACTAGTATGCATATTACGAACGACCTAGGCGAGATGGTAGCCCAGAAACCATAAAGCTAACATAATAAAAACGATAAAGCTTTTCCACCAGCATCCATATCCACGGGCCCCAAGCTTAGAATCGCAGCAGTCGAGTGACATTCACAATCTGAGACCGAAAAAAAAAAAAAAAAAAAAAAAAAAAAACAAAACAAAAGAAACAGCTATTGCTTTCTCTCTTCCAACTTTCCTCCTGATTTATTTATACCCTTTATTGCCGCTCCATCTTCACTTAAACCAGGAAGAGACATCCTCAGCCATTCAGCTTTGTATCTTGACCAACTACTCCTCGATCGAAGAAGCCAGTTGCTCATCTTCTCAGCATGAACAAGGACACCATTTCCTCATCCGCACGTCGACCTAGTCGGGATATGGTCCAAATGGACTCGTTTGCTTCGTCCTCGTCCACAACTTCATCCAAGGGTCACAAAAACATCGGCAGCAAAGACGACAGCGACATTGAAAGCGATGGCGGCAAGTATCATTCTGGCAAATCTCTCCATGACGACTCGGACTTGAGCAACGATGTCCATGGCGAGGTCGGCAAGGGACTCCAACGGAACCTGCAGGCTCGCCACTTGACCATGATCTCTCTTGGTAATTTAAACGTGCTCGCACAGCAACTTTTGTTTGTTTATTTCTGTGTCTGTGAGATGTGTTTTTTTTTGGAGTACAAGGAAAAGGTTAACGCTGGACCCGCACTGTTTTTGAATAGGTGGCACAATCGGCACAGGATTGTTCTTGGCGTCAGGATCATCGATTGCGACGGCAGGGCCGGGATACTCGCAGATAGCGTACTCGTTGATCGGAACCATGGTGTTCTGCTTCATGTCCTCGTTAGGCGAGATGGCGACGTACCTGCCCATCACAGGGTCGATTAATGCCTATGGCACACGGTTCTTTGACCCAGCACTGGGGTTCATGCTGGGTAAGTGGCTCCCCTTTTCTGGGACCTCTGTCTCGTCGTTATCAGACCTGCCTTTTTTTTTTTCTTTCCTTTCCCCCCTTATTTTTCTGTGACCTGTCCTGTATAACGGGTTGGCCGTTAGAAACGAGCGGAGCTTTTGTTAGAAGGATTTCCTGGCGGACTTTATTTCGTCGTGATGATGGAAGTGTTTGATAGCGCACGTAGGGATTGGAGCCATGCTCAAGTCGATACAGGGCACTCACCATATCTGTACACCGTCTCTGACTGTCGCAACGTTTCTAGGATGGGTTTACTGGTTCTCATGGTCCGTTACACTTGCAACTGAGCTCGTCGCATCATCTCTCATCATTTCGTACTGGATCCCTCAGGAAAAATGTCCCGGCTGGGTCTGGGCGCTCGTCTTCATCACCATCCTCACCTCACTCAACATGACCTCCGTCCGTGCGTACGGCGAAACCGAATACTGGCTCAGTCTCATCAAAGTCCTTGCCGTCATCGTCTTCATCATCGTCGGCTTTGTCTATATTGGTGGAGCAATCGGGACCCCAGTCCCTGGAGCACCCACGCCAGGACCACAAGTCTTTGACATGGATCCCTTCCACGGAGGTTTTGTGGCCCTATTTTCAATCTTCCTCAATGCCGGCTTCTCGTTCCAGGGCGCTGAGCTGGTCGGAATTGCTGCGGGAGAGACTAAGAATCCCCGGAAGAACGTGCCTAGGGCGATTAAGCAGGTCTTCTGGCGAATCCTGATGTTCTATGTCCTCACCATCCTGATCATCGGTATGACCATCCCCTACAACGACCCGGATCTCGCGAACGCAGAAGGAGATATCCGCCAGTCGCCCTTCACACGCGTCTTTGTTCAGGCGGGAATCAGCATCGGTGGCGATATCATGAACGCCGTCATCTTAGTCGCCGTCTTGTCTGCTGGTAATTCTGGTCTCTATGCGTCCTCGCGTGCGCTGCACACGTTGTCCCAGGAGGGCAACGCTCCCAAGTTCTTTGGCTACATAAACCGCCACGGCGTCCCCGTATACTGTGTCCTCGCCACAGCCCTGATCGGCTGCTTGGCCTTCATTGTTTCGCTCCCACAGATCGGTCAGGGTCAGGCCTACAACTGGCTCTTGGCTTTGGCCTCGACCACGGGCTTCATTGCCTGGTTGGGTATTGCGTTCTGCCATATTCGCTTCCGTATGGCCTACAAGGCTCAGGGTCGGTCGCTGCAGGATCTGCCCTTCGTCTCAAACCTGTACCCGTTCGGGCCAATCTACACGATCGTTGTATGTTTGGTCATTCTCTTTGGTCAGGGCTACACGGCCTTCCAACCCTTCAGCATCAAGATGTTTTTGTCTGCCTACGTGACCTTGCCCTTTGTCTTCATCCTATACTTTGGAAACAAGTTTTGGAGCAAGACCAAGATCCTGCGCCTTGTCGATGTTGATCTCGACACGGGACGGAGTTATGTGGAAATCAGCTCATCCGGCAAGAGAGAGGACAACGATGAGAACGAGGTGAAAAAGAGCTGGTTCCGTCGCACGCTGGGGCTCGTCTTTTAGTTTTTTAATACAAATAATGTTATGGAATAAAATATATATTTTTTGTAATGAGAAGCCCTTTTGCCGACCGAGACCGAAAATTCAGTCGGTCGGACTTTGCATCTCATTAATATTACCATCCGCACTATTTCCTTGCTATATACAAAGGGCAGTTGTCCAAAAGAGACATCCTGTCACCATTCAGCCATCATGTCCGGAATATCATCCAGGATCCCTGCCAAATCCATCACCCTGTTTTGGATACCGCGTGTGTATCGATGCTGTATTAATGCTCCCCACGAGAATCCAAGTGGACCCAATGATGGTGCAGACGGAGGATAATTGGGGTTCACTGTCGATGAAGAGGAACTCTCGGTCAGCAAAGTGCCTGTTGTTGCCTCTATCCCAGACCTGTTACCTGCGCTTGAATTCGAGGGCGAAGAAGGATTCTGTTGTGTTTCACTTGACAGTTCCTGCTGGTTCAGTCGCTCGAGTAACGCCCTGGCCTCGTGATCCGGATCCATGATGGCGACCACAAGAGCCCAGCAAACCATATAACAAATTGCTGCTCCGATCAGGCACGAGACCTTGGACCACATGGTTTCAACTTTGCCCAATACGAACGCTAATAAGCATAGGGCGACTGAGAATGGCATGGCGTAAAGCATCAACCATGTCGAGGTCTTTAAGCAGATCCCGTCCGGAGAGGTGCGGATAGTTCCTGCAGCTGGTCCATGTCCCAGGGTTGTTTCAAAGAGTGAGGGCATCATGGATAAGACGGTACCGCTGGTCGGATGTTCATGCAGGGTCGCTATAGACTGTGCCTGTTGCTGAAAGAGCCGCCGCTGATGGGCTGTCGAGGTGGATGTGGACATCATGATGGCGCGAGGGGGTCGCCCAGAGGCTGAGGGCTTGACGTCGTCCTCGGCGCCCATGTTCATGAATGGCTGATCCTTGTGGAGGTATCGACAGAGCGGACAGATCATTTCCTTGCCCATTGCAAATGCCATCCTATCGCAGGAGGGAGAGGGCGGGAAAATTCATGGCTTTTAGTCAACAAAGATGCAGCTGATGACATAAATGCAACCCATGCGGACAGATAGGTCATTCATAAAGAATGGGTGACTTACGAGATGCAGGAGAGGTGGAACTCATGGCGACAGGCAAGAATGGCTTTGGCATGATGTCTTGACTTGATCCCCTCCAGACAGATAGCGCAGCCCGGTTCCGTGCTCTCCATATCAATTTGGCCTTCTTTGGTGCTGATTACAGCCGGATTTTTGTGACTGGAATTTTCCTGGTTCGCGACTAAAGAGTCCATGCTCGACAGAGCAGAAACTGACGACGACGGTGGTAACTGACTGCTGCTTTCGACTGGAATGTTAGTGCTGGTGCCCGTAACTATTGTTGCAAGTGGTGACGATGTCTGTACTCTGCTCGCGGAAGTTGTATTCAAGACGACGTGGTGATGAGCCGAGATTTCTTGGTCCAGTTCAGAATCTGCTCCGGATTGCACACTAGAAGAACCAGCACCTCTAGACGCCTTGCTAGCAATCTCTGGGGACGACGGCGATCCAAGTGTTGCTGTTGATGACAGCGGCACTGATACCGACGATGATTCGGGCAATAATCCCAAGGATGATCCTGATGTTTTGGTTGTTCGCGGATATGATGATGCAGACGATAGTACTGCTTCCTGCTCGATTGGCGCCGATATTGCAGTGTCAATAGTATCCGCTTCAGAGAGTCCTGGACTGGGGTTTGCCGTTGAATCTGCAACTATATCGGGGGCTTGCGAGGCAAACGAGGGGACCTGGAGCTCTGACTGCAATGGTGACGATAGATACGAGGAGACAGAGGAGGAAGAAAAGTTCGATTCAGGAGAGACAGGTGCTCCTCTCCGGGACCGAAACGAGGTGATATACGATGGGGATAGATAGTCGCCGACGTTCATGCCTCACTGTCGGGGTCTGACGAGGTGTCCTGTGATTGTTTTTAAGATAGCTTGCTTGGCCGACGATCGATGGATAGAACGGAGCCGCAGGGCGAGGGCTTTGAGTGAAATAAACAAAGAGTGAGTAAGGAATGAGCTGGTGGCGGAATGAATGAAAAGAATGAATGAATGAATGAAGGAGTGGAAGAAGAGACGAGTGAGAAAAGAGTGGTGAGAGAAGGAGGGGGGCAATTGGGGCATATGGTGCACAGTGCGTTTTTAAAAGGGTCATTCATTAGCATTCATTACGATATGTGTCCCTCCGTCCATTCGGTTTCAACCGTGCTCAGGTTGCCAATCGCCTCACGCGCATTCTGCTCTTCAGCTGAAATTGAAGACAACCCGGACTCTTTGTTGTATCCACATCGCTTCGCGCTGGTCGGTCCCTCGATAGAAACAACTCCATCCTCCTCTTTCTGCTGCTTTGTCAATACCGCTTGCCTTCTCAGCACTTTTCCCGGTATTGTTTTGGTATATACATATCTACTTGTTCTACTTGTCAACGGACCTACTCCTCCCCTCCCCTTTATTCCACTCGAACTAGGGTGGTCATGAAGTATGCATGGTGTTTGTGGAGACCAAGTGTTAGACACAGCTCCATCCGTCGATCACCATCTGTCAGTCTGTCAGCAAACCAGCACGCGCCTCTTTCGCCTCTGGCGGCGAATAATGCGCCTGCTGTTTTATTGGCACACCTGCTGTTCTTCCCCCTATTCAGCAGCCGCGACCCAACTAATGCAGATTTGTATGGATTTGGCAGCATCAAGGTTACCTCGGGTCCCCCATGACATCAAAATAAAACCCAGATGTATTTGGGACGTAACCCAGCATGGGCGCAGCGCGAATTTTTATCAAACTTCGCTTGGCCAAGGGAAAAAAAAAAAAACGCCCCAAAGCTCTTGCTTCGGCAGAATGAATGATCCAGCATATTATCAAGCGCGCACAACGTAAATTTTGAGTCAGCACATAAGCGCAGTTTAAGGCCACCACGTTTGTTGCTTGAGGGTCAAATGGCTCTGATTGAATAAAGACACTCGGCGCTGCCGGATCTCCAAAAGTGGACCCCGTTATATGACACGCACTTCAGAATGATAAATAGTGGTTTGAAATATACATTAAATGCAAGTGTCTATCAACAACACAGGCAACAATGGTTGCTACTGTGGGTGTTGTTGGTGCTGGTCCTGATATTGATGCGCTGTTCGCAAATAGGATGATGATGACCTCCTCAAGAAGTGCTGGTTCTCTGGTGAGATGATCACTCCTGTTGGGTCCAGGGGTTCCAGGATGGGATCCCTCTCGCCCGCATCTACACCCGTGCCTCCTTCACCTTCCTCCTGTTGTGCCAGTAGCGCATCCACGTCGAGCCCGACCTTCCGGGCTTCATATCTTGCCAAGACCCATCGGATCAATACAGGCAGCGCAGCAAGCAACGCAACGGCGCCCAGCATGGCGATATTCTTGAGCGTAAAGATGTTCACTCCCGACGAATGATCCTCTACCAATTTTTCCAGCACCAATCCTGCTTGCACATGGACCACTGAAGGTGCAGCCACGCCGATCAACGTCCCGAGGAAGAATTCTGGCCACAGAGGAACATTGAGATGTGGCGAACAAATGTTGACAAACCAATTCGGCGGGAATGGTGCGAGTCGGAGAAGAATGATATAGCTCAGCAGGTTGTTTCGATGTCTTTGAAGCTACACATGTTCACCCATCAAATGAAAAAAAAAAGTGTTAGGGACCCTAGACACTGGTAATATTCGCAGCAAGAAACTGGAATTTTAAGGTTCAGGCAAGCGGCGTAAAATCGCTTGACAATGAACGCATCGCAGCCCCAAAAGATTATCAGACCTTTCTGCTGGACCCAGAGCGTATTTATGTTTCTGCACGCCTGTGGTCCGGATTCCTCAAGACATGATCTCATCCTTACCTGAGTATTCCATTTCTCCATGCGGTCTCCAAACTTGCGTTTTACCAGCTTGGAGAAGAACAACCTCGAGAGCAGATAGCAATTGGTCGCTCCCACGGCCGACGCCTAGGGTAATGATGCAAATACAGCCCATCATGTGTTAACAGCGACGAGCAGCAATAACAAATTTCCGCAAGATAATTTCAATTGCAAACGAGCAGATAGAACAGGAGTCAACTCACCAGGGACACCATGATCAATGCCACCCAGAACTTGAAGAGTGCTCCTCCCAATATACTGAGCCACATACTTCCAGGGACAGAGAACGTCTGCAGGCTATATGTCGAGTGAGCAAAATAGGTTAGTACGACCACGAATATCGGAAATTATTTCTTGCGGCTCTGAGATTCACAAATCGTGTCATGAACAAGAGATGTGGTCACTGCGCTGCATTTCAACAAAGATAGCGTACTAGAGGTAGACGGTCAGAAAGCCGAACATGACTCGGTAGTAATGCTTTTCCATGTACACAGTCAAAATCTTCCGCAAGGCCTCCAGGTCCTCCAGGGAATGTGGAAAGTGTAGGTCCTTTCTTTGCTCCCTATTGAACAATGATAAAGATAGCATTACATCAGACCTACAATTTCAATAGCAGAGTAGATCAGCTCCACAATGCGAACAAAAAAAAAAAAAAAAAAAAATGCCGTACTCATCTACTCTTGGCAGGGTATATTGCAGGACTAGAATGAGGATGATGGTGCCAATAGCAAGGATCAAAAAGAACTTTCCCAAGCCTTGGAAGAACTTCAAAATGGTCCGGTACCATGCTCTCCAGCCCGATACGCCCTTGGTTGTTATCTCTGTATTATTGTCATCGCTACTGCTGTCGACCTCATTATCAGCATCCACTCTGGATTCTTGTGTGAGGCCTGTTGCTGCAATTGAGGCGTATGTTGGTGCGGTGCTGTGAGACCCTGAGGCATGCTGCTGCTGTGACCCTGACAGCAGTGGCTGTCTTTGTTCCTCCCGTTCGTCCATGGGTGATGAGCGAGCGAATAAATGTAGGTGCTGTTTCCGACTCCTTGTCGCTGTTTTAGTTAGGTGATGGTGAGTGAATGAGGACGAATGTAAGGAAGAAGGTAAGACAAAAAATGAGCGCGGGCTGGTTTTTTGTCTGCGCGTGTCTCGGTGACGCAGCCCCTGTGCACTTTCAAAAGAATTGCTGAGCGCCATCAAATTGAAGGGGAAATAAAAAGGCTGCGAGAGAAGGAGGAACCACTGCCGAGGTTCAATTCATTTTAGTGACCATGCTAATCGGCCTTGGGCTACATCAATATGGCCTTGCAACGGCGACACTCTACATGGTTTAGCATTCAGGTGTCGCTATCTGCCTGGAGCTTGCGGTAATAGAGCATGCTGCAAAAAAAAAAAAAAAAAAAAAAAAAAAGGTAGCATGCGAAGGAGAATTATCAATCCAGTTTTACGGCAGTATGAAGGGTAGTCTGGCCTTATCCGCTGCCCTGGACGTGCTCTGCTGCAGCTTGCTTAGTTTTATTGCTCCTATTAGAGGACCTTACTTCTCGAGTCACTGGTTGGTCCCCTCCACAAAGACGTTCGAACGCATCCCCAAGTCAGGTTAATTTTTTCTGAGACGAGGAACGTGGAGTAAAACATTTAAGGTTATCGCAGAGCGCGAAGTGCCAAATACGAGACGAAGGAGTGAAAAGTGTGATTGCTTGCTTCATGCATCCTGGGCTCTTGAACGGTGCGATGGTGTATGTGAATTAGGGGTTATTTTAATTCCTGTACTGTAGCTTATAGTGTCTTTCTGGATTGTAATATGGATACGCCGGCTACTTGAAGTTGACGCCCTGTGCAACCACCTGGCCCTGCATTGCCTTGATCTCCCACGACGTTGCATTCTCAGGGTGCTTTTCCGTGCCGAATCCTGTCTTGTAGCAGTTGGCTAGATGGCCCATCGACGGCACATCACCTGCCTGTGCTGCCCGCAGGAACCACGAGAATGCCTCCTTGGGATTGACCCCAACACCCTTGCCTTCCTTGTACATGATTGCCACTCGCCGCATCCCAATCGCATGACCCTTAGATGCTGCTGCCATCTGCCACTCAAACGCCTCAGCCCAGTCATTCCGTTCATTCACAGCCATCGCAGCGAGATTGATACAGGCCTCTGCAGAGTTTGCATTGTTGTTGGCCCGGACAAATAACTCGCGAGCCTTGGCTGGGTCCTTAGATCCGCTCTCGCCGTTCAGGTAGCACACGCCGAGATCATACGCCGCTTCCTCGTAGTTGTTCCTGAGGGCGTTTTCATACCAGGCAAACTTCTTCTTGTCGTCCTTTTGCACAAAGTCGCCCTTCTTGTACATCATACCCAGGTTGTACATGGCCTTTCCAGATCCCAGCTCCGCGCCCTTATTGAACCACTCGAACGCCATCTCCATGTTAGCAGGAACTCCTCGGCCGTTAATATATGACAATGCCAGCGCACAGCACGCGTCCGCATGACCATTGTTGGCTGCGGCTGTGAACCACTCGACGGCGCCCTTGAGGTTCTGATTCGTGCCCCAGCCGTCTCTGTAGCAGTATCCGATTTCATTTTGCGCGACTGGCACTCCGAGCTGTGCTGCCTTGAGCCACCATTCGAATGCCTTCTCGGCTGATTTTGATGTGCCCTGCCCTTGCGAGTACATGTTGCCGAGCGTTGCCATCGCCTTTCCGTTACCCTTTTCCGCTAGCGAGGTGTCGTACAGGATCTCATTAACGTCCGATTCCGAATACGAATATGAGACAATCCTGAGAGAACAAAAAGTCGTAATTACCTGCTTTCTCATAAAAGTAAAACGCCTGCTCGTAGTCGACCACTTTACCGTACATGCCGTACTGGTGAGCATTTCCCAGACTCAACAGGGACTCTGGCCATCCTGCGGTCGCTGCCCTCTCGAGCCATTCCATCGCCAAATTGGTGTCCTTTATCATGTCAGACGATGGAATGGGGTTGTTCAGTGTCCTGGCATACACATGCATTGCCTCTGGATGTCCGTCCTGCGCCGATTGCAGCAACCACTCCAGCCCGACCTTGATATTGGTCTCTGTTCCTTTGCCATTCAGCAGCGCATCCGCAACCTTGAACTGTGCCAGCGACTTGTCAATGACATCAATCGATCCATCCTTGGCTGATGCTGCTGTCATCCACCACCCAAAGGCCCTTTCCGCATCCGCCGGGAACTCGGAGCCAACTCCAGTGCTATAGAGTTCTGCAAGACGAATTGTCGACTTTGCATCCCCGTTCTTAGCCGCGGTCTCGAGCCACATAGAAGCGCCCTCCGCCGTCGCCTGGCACCCCTCACCTCGCATCAAGCACTCGCCTACACGTCGGGTCGATGGGGTATGGCTCGCATAGGCTGCCTTCAAATACAAGTCAAAGGCCGCCTTCAGGTTCTTGGTCACGCCGGGCCCTCCACGGGTGTACAGCTCCGCGAGGTGGAACTGTGCTTCGAGATGGCCCTTGTTAGCGGCAGCCAGGTACCAGTCTTCTGCACCCTTGAGATTGGGAACCGTTCCAATGCCGTGTTCGTAACAGTATGCTGCCCGGAAGAGAGCGTCGTTTTCGCCGTTGTAAGCGGCCTTGGTGTACCATTGAAGGGCCTGACCTGGGTTCTTCTGGGATCCCTCCTGTCCTTCCTCAAAGTATTTGCCGAGAAGGTACTGTGCGCGTGGGTCCTCGCGTTGGGCGCCCTCCATCAACGTGGCCAGTGTGCTCATGGTGTCCTGCAGGTGATGTTGAGCTAGTACAAAAAGCGGGGTAGTGATTGGATGTGCTGGATGCGCTGGATGTGCTGGATGGTCAAAAAGGAGGCTGCTGCCAGGGGAAGTGCGATTACAATAGTCAAGTATAGTAAAGGTGTTGAGGTGGTATAAAAGAGATGATGGTATACAGAGAGAGAGAGAGAGAAAGAAAGGATGTGAGTGTGTGTGTATGTGTGCGGGAGATGAGGGCCGAAGGGTCCTGACAGCAGCTGTCAAGTGCTACCTACTTGCGTTCATGGAGGGGCTTGGAGTTGGAGAGTGCCTCCTCTAGGTACGCCCTCAGGCACACCCTTGAAGAAAACATCATACCCCATTATCTCTGCACAAAATATCATACTTTAAAAGTGAGCAATTACTCAACAGCAAGCTTATCAACCAACCTCTTCATCCTAGACGACAAAGACGCACGGGTCGATTGTACTTCAGGCCGTCCCGGTTGTACGGTATTGACTTGTTGACGATGTTTGTTCAAATTGAGGTCGAACATCGAGCTGAAACAAAGGAGGCCCTTCATCTGTACAAAGCGAACGTTACGATCAAGAGACACTGCATCATCCTACTCCATGTTTTCCAGGTAATATCGAGCATTGCACCCATATTGTCCATAGTGAAGAGTTGCTTTGGCATCGCTGGCAAGACCCAATTAGACTATATCCTGTGCAAAATGCATGTAGCACAAAAGATGTGTGTTCAGCTGTTTTTTTTTATTTATTTCACAGCAGATCGTCCATCCTAATTAACAGTAACTATGAAGACGAGTCGACCAACCTGGCAAATGCCATGGTGTTGTTTCCAAAGTACTTAGCGATCACCTCAAAGCCATCGTCCGCATCCTCCAGCTATGTTATTTAAACAGAAATGACATAGTCAGCAAGCCGGTTTGAAGAATAGTGTCTTTGGAATTGATCACAGAACGCGCCTTACCTCTGACAAGAACAGATCGTGTTTCTCTGCATTCGCCTCCTGCATCCTCCTGATATCTGCAACCGTTCGCTGCTCGACCATGCACTTGGGACACTCCCGGTCTGCCGCATCCGAGAGACAACGCTGGTGGTACGAATGCTTGCACAAAAAGTGTACAGCCGGTAGGTCCAACGAACCGCCACACGCACTGCATTTCGTGGCCTGGAACACTCTCGCCGATGTCTTCAGTTCTTCAATCTCGCGCCGCTTCTTCTCAGATTCCTGTCTGTAGCTCTGAATCTGCTTATGGTCCTCCAGTCTCTCCTTGCGCTCCGCTTCGATGCGGCGACCAATATAGTTCTTGATCATCCCAATAGTCGCTACAGATGTCTGCGATAGTGCCTGCACGACTTGAAGTGGCGGCAGCAGATCTTGCTGATCGATGTGATCCAGCACCTTGAGCAGCTCTGGTGTTGCCGAGGTTAGGCGACCAGGTGAGGACGAAAAATAGGACAACGTCAATGGGTATAGAGACGGCTCCAAGGGTCTATAAGAGGCGAATGATAGTACTGGTCAGTGTTGCATCCATAGATGCTGGTGGCGAAATACATAATCCTTGGATCACTCAGTTAATGTAACTACATACCCGTATTTGCGCAGGCACTCAATCACCTTGGCAGTGTTGTCACGCTCGATCCAAAGTCGCAAGATGTCTGTGTACATCTTCATGCGCTCGTATAAAAAGACAATTCCTTCGTCAAAACCAGCCATGTGACAAAGCACCAATGCATGATTGGTGTCATAAGAAATTTCCGTTTCGTTGAGCAGCTTAAGGCACTTCTCCTTCTTGATATTCCGCTCCTTCATCCTGCGATTCATCTCAGCAACTTGCATGGTAGAGCCCTTGCTGCCTTGCTCCGAAAGCGCCATGGGAGGGTCGGCGAGGTAGAGCTCTAAGAGAGTGTTCCAGACTGCTTTGCGTTCCTCCATATCCTGCTCCGATGTTGCTCCGAATCGGCTAGCACCACTTGTTGAAGCATGGTCGCTAAATTCTGCACTCCCAGCTGTTTTCTTGACTCCCAAGACGTTGTTCCCTGCACTGCCCACATTACCCGGCCTAGTTGATGTGTTCGTTCCTGTTGGAGACTTGTGCGAATTTCCAGAGGACACGAGTGTTGATTGAGAAGAGTGAGCCCCTGAAGATGACGGCCAGCGATTGGCGGACACTTTCTCTAGGAACGTGATCAAATAAGACGGGAGATCTACAAAGAGACTCATAAATGTCCTTGGTGAAGGTGGCGCGTATTTGGCCGACTCATGGTGGTGGCCACCTCGGCTCTTGGCTGGGAACGTCGCATGGCCGGCGATGTTTGGACTGGCAGAGGCACTAGTCGATACAGGAGGCGATGATGCGCCACCTGTGCCGCCCATAGCAAAAGGCAACATGCTGAAGCCCGCATGGGGCGCATTAGTTGGATGGTTGATAACTGGAGAGGTCGTGCCAGGTGTGGATGTGGATGTGTTATTCCTGACAAGTGTCCCTGAGCAGAGATCGACCAAGAGCTGAGTGGTCTGCTCTGGAAGATGGGTCAACATGACCTTGCCGTACTTTTGTAGATTTTTATCCGCCTCGATGGGTCCAAGGCGACGCATATATGCCAACGCGCGATTATACTGCTTCACGTCATCGATTTGGACGGTCAAGTACCTAAGACAGTGCGGGTTTGAACGTTAGCTATTTAAGCGTCGCTCTCCCTTGCCACAAGTCCAGTCGCCACCTAAATATGCCTATACTTACAAATCATGCTCTTCAAACTTTTCGGCCAAATAGACGGCGTGTTCATAGTAGCCAGCTTGACGGCATACTTGAATGGCGGTTTCCAGATCGAAGGTCAGATCGCTATCCGTCTATAAATCGAAAATATGCGACTGTTAGTCTTTGCATAGGTGGCTAGATAATAATGCAGCAAGAGCCTTGGATGAAAGCTGCACCTTGATAAATTCATCCAAACGCTTGACGTCCTTGAGTTTAGTGTAGCAGTTGAGCAGCAGCGTTGTATGATCTGCATTGGCAAGCCCACTAGAGTGCAGTTCCTGCAGGTACGATGTCAAGTTGTAGATACGCTGGGCATCGAGAAACTTCCGAATTACATACGAGGGCTCGAGGCGTCCGATCGTTCGAATATACTGCGCCATCGCTCCATCATAGTCCCCTTTATTGTACAGGTGGTCGCCGTACTTTTTGATGATCTCGGAAATGCTGGCGTTGTCGTACTTTTGGTTATGGGCCAAGTTAATTGCTAGCAGGTACATGTTCTTCTTGAACAGGATGTCCAGCTTGGCAGATGTCTCCATCTCATCCAGACGATACACCTATCCGTTTTCATAAAGAGAATAATATCAGTCGCGAAGCAGATTAGAACACGATTTTTGGTGAGAATAATAACGTATTGAAGTGAGCCGGAGTGCTTTACCTTGCCACCATTCTCCACAATATAGATGCTTCCCCATTCACAGATCACACTACGGATGCCCTGTGTGAAGGTTGCCTGATATGCAGTAAACTTGTTCGCGGTATCAATGATAGTCAGCCTTGTTGTGTCATTTGCTGAAACGGCTGCCGAGTTTACTCCGAACGTCCTGGATGCAGCTGCTGGGATATTGGGGGGTGAAACAAGGACCAAGTATGACTTATAGAATGAAATAGATGTCTTCGGGCCTATTCATGTTAGAAAAGCACGCAAGTCAGTTATCGTCCCAGGACTATATGAGGTCCAGACTGGTTCAAAATGCCACACACCATCGTATGCATAGGCTGGTCCTCGCCCATCGGGTCCATAGAAGAAAATGGCTTCGTCCCTTGCAATTGCCAGCTCCTGTGTGCTTTCGTTCATAACAGCACATCCTAGGCCTCCTCCGTGGTCATCCAGTGTCTAGATCATGCAAAGCTAGCAGTGTTAATAACCAGCGTACCACATATTTGGTTGATATTGCATTGAGAACGAAACCACCGCACCATACCTGAGTATTTTTCGTAAAAGTGTTGTAAAGTAAGACTTTGGCGGTTGTGGCAATATAAAGCAAAGCTCCTCTTTGCTGCTCTCTGAAGCCCAATCCTATAGTAGGCAATATATTTTCACCGTTAAACAATATGGAGCAATATGAAGCCTCCTTCCCATCCTAAGATATGACCATGTATATGGCGCGATCATTACCTGTGATGGGTTCGTCGTTCTGATGAACAATCTTCTGAGCTGTCGTGCGCTCCCGCATCAAATCGCCGCTGATTAACACAACTGTGCCATTGGCGAGTCCAACTGCAATTTGAGAGAGGTTTTCCAGGACAGCGAGCGCCGAAACTGGAAACGCACTTCCAGTTTGATTAATGCGAATTGACCTCTCTAGTGTTGGGCCGGGTTTGTTCCTGTCAGGCTTATCAAGGTCCCACAGCCTGATAACTTGTACTGCGCCTTCTTCCTCCTATTGCAGCCAGCAAAGAGATAATTGTTAATTAAAGCCGGTTCAGATGCAAGATCCTCCAAGTCGCGAACCATGTTGGCCATCCGAAGATGAACTCGTGCACTTACGCCGACAGTGACCAAGATATTGCGTTGTTTCAATTGCTTCATGTGGGTGACGCGACCACTCTCGTAGGCTAAAAATGACTCTTCTTGTAGGCCCTTATCGATTATGTGAACCAACCCTGTCCGATCAGCAACGACCATATGGCCGCGACCACTCGTCGCGACATTCGACTCTATGGACTGCACGATGATTTGATTCAAAGGTTCATGGTGAGCATTCAAACCGGAGTTGGTGTGGTTCTCGGTGGAGCTGATGTCTGTGTGCTGCTTTGCCAAACCTGGAAAACTTCGGGCGGCCTTGTGGTGTCCTCAGGGTCTTTGACCTCAACCTTGTCAAAGAAGTTGAACTGGCGCTGGAGGGCCATATTGAATGGTGGTGGAGGGATAGAGGAGAGAGCTGGGTATGTAACACGGGTCGTGGGCGGTTGAGAAGGCATACAGGTCAGCTGATGGGTCCCTCCTTCGCAGTGAAGGTCGCCACCAAAACGAACAAGATCAAAGATGCCGGAGCCCGAGGACAAAACCATGCTCCCCGTCTACGTTCATCAGACCTCTCGTCATGCCGTCGTTCTCATTCAGGTCGAATGCATCGATCCACACTCCATAAGCACAGAAATCTCTTCGGATCAGGCTTCCCTGCAGCTTTCCTTGCAGCATAAGCCCAGGGGTAGTTCTCGAACATGCACTGTCACCATATCAGCACGGCCAATGCTTGACCCCAGTGGATCCATCGCGTCGATCCAGGATTGCAGCTGCTCAATTTCAGCTGAGAATATCGTGCTCAGACTCACAAAAACCCGGAAAACAGAATGGCAAGCACTGCGAATCATATTCAAGTGTCAGGACACCGGCTTTTCCAATCCAGCAGACATAAACGACAGCGATAAGACTATAGAACACGGGGATCAGCAAGAACAAACAGGACCGATAATAGCAAAGTTCGTCACATCATCCAACACGACCCATCTTCAGAGTGCAATTCGAACCAGCAAGTTATGGGATGCGCAATCAGGGCGCGTAGGCAACATTCAGGCGAAGAAGATGGGAGGCGTGAATGCTATCCAGCTGACGGCAGATCTGACCCCAAATAGCGCTTCTGTATCCCAGGAATAAACATTAACAGGGAATTGTGCATCCTTAATAGCCAGGACAACATTACTGTGTGACACTTGGAGCTGCGCGTCGTCGCTATGCTGCTTGCCCGACTCTATGTGTTAAAACTTGAACTAAGTACAATTTCACTCAAGTACGGCAATGTCTGTTCAAAACATTGTAGAGAACGATGTCGAACGCAATCCCTTCTCTAGTATCATGCCATTGTGCATAAAGGTAGAGACAGTAATGCGCTTCAGTATGGCGGTGTAACTGTGCTCGGAGTATTCAGGGCACTTGCAAGCACAATAAATTACAAAATGCCTCGACTAGTTCGCCTTTGATCTCTCCATAATGTTGGTATAACTGAAGGTGCAGCGGTTTATGAAGCCTTAAAGAAATCTCTTGGCTTATGATCCTTCACATTTACCGCTTTCCCTTAAATATATTTGAGCGATCTATTTGTCCCTTCTTGAAGAGCAAAAGATACGAATTCACACATCTATATCAGTAATATATCTATTTTTCAAGACAAGAGAGCGGACGAAATTACGCTTCGGTTTTAGAAACGATACTTTAGATTTCGATGAATAATATACCGCGTGGTAGATGGAAATATAAAATCTAGTTCCTTTACTAAGTACTTCGCCCTGCTGCAGGAGATGCTTAAGGTTGCGCTGTAGCACAGGCATATGATGAAATGTAATTTTTCCCCATCTGAAATGATTCGATGAAGATGCATTGCATCTAGCCTGTCGCCGTGCGGTAAAGATTAGGCCGATATCCGCTGCTATTGAGTCGATTTCGTTATCTGAACCATCAGTGTATGATGGCAGTGTTCAAGAAACTCCAGATAGTTTGCGCACAATCATAGTTGTCCTGCGCTCATTCTTATACCATGTAAACCTTTTATTTGTCCATTTGTAAAGTACGAAACCGTTGTTCTTGTGAATAATATCTCGATGACCCTTGGAAAGGAAAGTGCATGAGATAAAAAAAGTGATATTAAGCACAGCACCTTTTGTTCCATACAGCAATCGCTTCTCGAGTACATGCAATTCGCTCATTATGTTTGGCAACTGGTGAGGCACTGGGGACTAATACAGATCAGTGGCCATTCAAATACTGTACTTGCAGCTGGACGAGCGTGCCCAAGGCGCCGGTCTGTTTTGCTTTCATTAAGTACTAAAGGATGAAGACCACATATGGTTCGAGCATTCTCAACCTACTTAAACACCATCAGTAGTTCTTATTCGCGAGTTCGTTTGTAAAGTTACATTGCCAGCCATGGTAGTTTCTGTTCGTGTTACGCGCCCATCCAACGCTCGTAGCTCATGGAGTAGCTAAAATGAGACAAAGTTTGACTGTGCAACCATTGCAATGACTGTGTTTCACTTTCAGGCACGCACCTCATCGTTCGCCTCTGTCCCTCCAGCTTTCCATTCACAGCCCTGCGTTCTTCCTCCAGATCTTTACTCAGTCTTTTTTTTCCCTGCTACCAGTGCCATTTATTTCGTCCATGTCACTGCGCCAGTACCAGTAACTGTTTCAATCAAATCTTACATCAGCAGCTTTACTTTTTACTCAAGCGCAAACGGCTACATTGATCTTTTGCTTTTTTTTCTTTCGATTATCATCCTGGCGTACGAGTGATCGGCTTGATATGTACAATAGAATAGCATTCATCCGCTGCCATAGTATCTTTGTTTTCACATCCTTTCTACTAATATGCGATGTTGCCATGACTGTCGAGTCATACGATCTCGTCTTTCAACGTGCTACAACCTCAACGGATGTAGATGCGCTCTGCATACATTTTGCTATAGCTTGTTCGCCAGTACGCCATCGGCCAAGATGGAAAACATATGACATACGCACCGACTCCTTCACGATGCAATGACTATGGTACGGACCCATGGCAATGTCGATACTATGAACCAAGCACCAGCCTATGGACTATATTGCACCTTCTAAAAGCGTCCTGTACTCACTTCACCGCCATAAGATATATCCATACCGCCTGTTTGACAGGCCAGGTTGCAAAAGGAAACTGCGATCTCTTTGACCTGATGCCTAAAGTTTAATGGAGTTGTAAAAAATGACAGGGATATCGAAGATCAAGTGTGTGGGTTTGATATGAAAACGTCATAGTGTGGATGAATGAAGAGAGCGTTGAAGGAAGCATTGCCCTTGTCAGGTATCCTCATAATCTGTGCCACCGATCTGTGCCACCAATACCACTACACCCATCACCCTGCATCTTTATCAGGCAATGCTGAGGCCGACGATAGAGTTGGCGATCGGCGCTACCCTTTATTTCCCGGCATGACAATAAGTGTTTGTATCTGTTGTGCAATGCTTTCAACGTTATTGCATTGACATCACTCAAACGAACAGCGATCCCTAAGCAACTTCAAGAGAGATCTGAGCAAGGCAAAGGCAGCGACCGCGCTTACGATGTCATTCACCCTTGGCTGCAGAATGAGACAAGGAATGAGCAAAGGATTCAATGGACAGATCGCAGCGACCCTACTTCACGCGCGGCTCCGACAAAGCGCGCTCACGCCTCCATTAAACACAAATATATCTTGCATACCTTGGCGATCCATCGTCAATGTCAAGAGTTTTGCCTCGTCCTCTTCAACAGTATCGCCGATGGCTTCAGAGGACACAGTCGAGTACGAGGTGGATCATTTAGTGATTGGCGCTGGCGTGGTGGGACTAGCAATCGCTGAAAGACTGGCTGCCCGGGGAGGCGGATCCACTCTGCTCGTAGACAAGAACCCAGCCGTAGGGCAGGAAACGAGGTGTGATTGAAGATCTCATGCAACTGTTTGAAAGAGTCATGTGTGGGATACTCTCTGACCACCTCAGTATGGCTACTTATCAGTTCTCGGAATAGTGAAGTCATCCACGCCGGGATCTATTATCCTGCCGACTCTCTCAAGACCCAGCTCTGCATTCGTGGCAATGAGTTGATGTATGACTTTTGCGAAAAGTTTAACGTTGAGCACCGCCAGACAACTAAATGGGTCGTAGGCCAAACAGATGCTGACCTCGCATATCTCGAAGGGCTTTCCCACAAAGCCCAGAATCTTCTACTACCGACGAAACGGATGCCGGGACCTGCAACCTTTATGCTGACACAGGAACAGATGCGAAACCAGGAGCAGTATGTGCACGGAAAGGCAGCACTGGTGTCAACGCGGACTGGAATCGTAGATGTACATGGACTGATGAACGTGCTAGAAGCCAGGATTCAGGACCACGGAGGGGACGTGGTTTTGCAGTGTGAGGTCATGGCTATGGAGCGGATATACACCAGTGGAGGGAGTATTGGAAGTCGAGAAAAAGATCACAAGGACATGGAGCCGCCCGCAGGGGGGAGTGGTGGGTTCAGGGTCAGAATGACTTCTCCTGCAGGACCTGTCATTGTCAAGGCTGCCTCTGTGATCAATAGCGCAGGATTGCATGCCAGCAAAGTGTATAGTTTACTACGACAACCATATGCAACAACACAGACAAAGGAAGAAAACAAAGAAACCCACTCTATGAACAGCAAAAACATATCATCACCACTACCGCTGTTCAAGCTACATTATTGCAAAGGCCACTATTATGGGTACTCTGGACCTGCCCTAGTCTCGCGTCTGATCTACCCAGTGCCCGACAAGAACCTGGCCGGTCTGGGAACGCATCTCACTCTGGATCTGGCGGGACGTATGAGGTTCGGTCCTGACATTTTATACGTCGACCGACTGGATGATTATACAATTGATCAGTCGACGGTAGGCTCCCCTTCGTCCATAGAGGCAGTGTCGAAGGTGATCCAGACCTACCTGCCCGCAGTCAAGTCGTCGTCACTGTATGCAGATTACGCTGGCATAAGGTAAAGATGTACGGAACATGTCATGGAGATCGAAAAATTATTTCTATGTTTACTCACTTCTGTTTTGCCTGCCGTCTATGTGATCGAATATGTGATAGACCGAAACTAGCAGGTCCTGGGGAACCGTTCCGGGACTTTGTGATTCATCATCATAACGGCTTTGTCAACCTGGCAGGAATCGAAAGTCCTGGCCTAACATCGTCTCTCGCAATTGCAGAATATATTGAAAAGCTACTTTATTAATAAATCTTTTCACCGGCGAGTGTAAGGAATGTTTCCAAGTGCCTGCCGGACAAAAAAAAATAAGCACGCAGGCTCTCTTCATTTTGGAGGAGAGGTGGTTGTGAGCAGCTTCATAACTGTACACTGCAGGGCATAGGTCCAGGTCAGTGGTATTTTTTCAGCACCAATCTTTCAATCTGGCATCCATACACCTATTTGATCGAGGAGGACAAGAGTGAGCGACAAGACGACAAGAGTAATGCTTACTAAACTGTTGCTAACTCTAACTGAAGTCAACATCCATCTCCCTGGGATCCCGACTTTGTTTCGCACTTATTTTCAATCACTGTTTTTACTGCTTGACCTATGTTATGAAGGGAGTGCTTTTAAGGTTTTTGCCGTGCTATTCTTCGTGGGCGCAGAGACCTAAGATTGCAATCAAAAGTTAGCACGCGCAAAAGAAATGAACTCATTGGAAGTCTTCCCGACCTTCTCGGTCCTGTAGTCCATACCCCATCCTCAGTGTCCCAAGTTTCCTCCCCTAAGGCCCTCGTTCTCGTAGTTCACTTTCGTCTAGGTGTCCTTGGCCTCTCTGATGGTTACCCTATGCTCTTTGAGTATGACAGGAACTGAGGTTGGGCTCGGCGCTTACAAATGGATACGTTTACGCTATGGCACCAGGTATCGTATATCAGGTACAGGTACTAGGCCCCACAAATGAACAGTGCGGCAGAAGGAAAATATAAATCCAGGCACTGGTTTGTTTTTAGTATGATTTCCCAGCTATAATTGAATGACGAACCTGTGTGTTTTGTTCAGCTATTCCTTTTGTTTCTCCTCGGACTAGTGCGGAACTCCTGTGTCCCGTCTTCCTGTCGGTTCTATGTGTGCCTTGTCAACCCATCTCGCTTCTTTAAATCCTATTGCATTAGTCGGGCGCAACTGTACACGTCGAGAAAAGAATGAGAATGTGGCACTGTAGCCAGATCCATACTCCATCGCCTAGTGCCACGAGTACAGGGCGTCAAACAGAAGGAAGGGAAGAGACTCCAAACGACCGCTCTCAATTCATTTTGTTCGTCTTCTAGGTAATCTATGGTGTTGATGTGGGGTGAGATAGCCTGTTTCACATACAGTTACAGACGGATGCCTTCTTTGCATTCCATGCCGCCTGAGAATCAAGAACGATTAGAGTAGGCGATACACTTGTTCATTTTGTTTAAATAAAAGTCAGGTCGGCAACGACTCCCTTTTCTCTTTGCTGTCCTACTCCTCTCGCTCGCTTCCCCTCCTTCACCCCTCTCTCCCACCGTCTGCCTCTCCTCTCTCCTGCCACTCTTTGCCGTGTCGGCACCCTCACTCTTGATTGACATCAAAAGACTCAGACAGTCCCCCGTCCTCCTTCCCTTACACATACTCTCTCTTTCCCCCTCCCTCCCCCTCCCTCCCCCCCATTCCCATCATGAAGTTCATTGCAACTCTCCTCGTCCTCGTCTCGTTGATTGCTTCCGCAACCGCCCATATGGCGCTTCTTTACCCAACCCCCCGTGGCGGTTACGGTACTAAGCAGTACAACGGCCGTATTCACGTAAGGACGAAGCACCATTCACCACCACTTCAATAGTCCATATCACCTTGCCCGAATTATTTCTCTTAACACTGTACCGTCCACATTCTTGTGCTCCTGATATGTGGATATGTGGATACAAACTCAGGAGTGCGCTATACTACTTCTATCCTATTCTTTACAGTGCATCCCCTCTCGTAATAACTGCGAACAGAACATACTCTGCTCGAACCTCATTCACCATCAACCGTTGAGTACAATCACGTTAATTAATCAGACCGCCACTGTCTATCTGCCAATAGACCTGGATCGGCTACAAGGACAAGACCTGGACCCAGCGCTTCCCCTGCGGAGGCTACGCTCCCGGTCCTGTCACTAACATGAAGGCCGGTCAGGTCATCAACGTTCGTTTCTTGGCCTCATCCATGAAGGCCAAGGACATCAAAACTCAGCCCAAGCCCACTAGCTCCAGCAAGCAGTTCTCACAGGCTCGCCATGGTGGTGGAACGGTAAATGAACTTGAAATTTTCTGAAGTATATACATCGTCAATGCATCTAGCGACTAATACAGTTTTGCAAATGTAGTGCGAGTTTTCGCTGTCGTACGATGGTGGAAAGACCTTCCGCCTGATTGGCAGATACGCCAAGACTTGCCCTGATGGTAAAGAGACAGGACTTTTTTTTTTCTTCATCCGCAAGAGTTAAGGATACCTTCATTAGTAGGACCACTTGCTGATCCTGGCATGTCCACTTTGTTTGAGCAGCTTACTACCACTGGCCCGTCAGAATCCCCAAGAACGTCCCTTCGTGCACCACGAAGAACAAGTGCCTGTTTGTCTGGTCGTAAGTCCACAACCACCTCATTATCTCGCCTCACGTTTCCTCTGTGTCAATCGCCCTTGCTGATCACGAACTTTACTGTGCTCCTCCTTTGTCGACTCTCTATTCCAGCTGGACCGCCAATATCCTTGCCCAGTACTACCATAACTGTGCTGATATCCGTCTCACCGGTGTCAAGGGCGGCAAGCTTCCCAAGAAGGGTATTCAGGTTGTCGACTTCAAGGTAAGAAGCCGTCATCAACATTAACATCGGCTGTATCTGTATCTGCGTCAAGAACAGGCTTTAATCCCCAGTCTACTGCATTCACTCCTAACTAGCCTTACAAGATGAAGGTCACTGCCAATGGCGATGGCAACAAGCACAAATCTGGCGGTGGCCCCACCAAGAAGGAGATCAACGACAACATGAACGGCAGATACTAGAGTTCCCCTCTGCAGTGTCAAGCATGTCGATACCATCGAATCTCCGTGGTTAATGGTGGAAGTATTTCCATAATTTCAACGGTGTGCTCATGATCTGGCCTCATTTTTTTTTTCTTTTTTTTTCTTATTACGACCACCACCTTTTATTTTTGTATCTTCGTTCGCGTGTGCTCTTCATCTTATCGAGTTCGCTGATGAGGTGAGAATACACACTGTATTTCTAAACCATTGTTTTTCTTTTCATCAATACGCGTCCCTGGTTGGATAGTTGAAGCTGAAAGGGAAGAGCAATGTGTCTAGCTGGTGCACAAGTGCTCGAATAAAGGTGTAATAACAAAGTTGGATTGTTCAAAGCGCCCATACTCCCAAGGTGAAGCATGTAGTGAATGCTGTTAACCAATGCTGCGAAGAGCTCATAAAGTGGATGGTCGCCAGAATTATTGGATATGCTTTTATGCACTCTTCAGCCCAGAACGCATTCTAAAGTCATCGTAAAACTGGATCATCTCTGGCGTAATCCTTCTCGTCATTTCAGCGAGCGCCTGGTTGAAGTGTCGCTTTGATACATATTCGATCTCCAGACTCTCCTCCATGGCCTTCATAGCAGCCTCTTGACACAATGCCACGACCTCTGCACCAGAGCATCCATCTGTCTTCGCGGCCAACTCTTCGATATCAACATCCGTATCGCAGGCCATCTTCTTGCCATGAATCTGAAGCCGCAGAATCTCTCGGCGTGACGCCAGATCGGGTGGCGAAACGTACAGGATACGATCGATTCTCCCTGGACGCATCAGTGCTGGATCCATGATATCCGGCCGGTTAGTTGCAGCGACTACAGTGACATTGACCAGGGGTTCGATTCCATCCAACTCGTTCAACAGTTGAGAGAGAACGCGATCTGCGACGGAGGATCCTCCGTCGTCTCCAGCTCCGCGCTTGACAGTAAGTGCATCGATCTCATCCTATATTGAATGGGCAAAACAATATTAGGCACAGCGTCGACAAGGATGCCTCATCAACCTTTTCGTTCCAAAAATGAGCACTTACAAAAAATACGATCGATGGAGATGCTGCCCTGGCTTTTCGAAACACCTCACGCACGGCCTTTTCGGACTCGCCGACCCATTTGCTAAACAACTGGATGAGAATTCATATGTAAACATTCACGGCGCAGCAAATGCATCACAGCTTGCATATTCTGTGGAAACCGCGCGGAGTTTCCACTTACTTCAGGGCCTTTCACGGCAATGAAATTCAGTCCTGCTTGTGTTGCCAAGGCTTTCGCCATCAATGTCTTGCTACACCCTGGTGGTCCATAAAGCAAGATACCCTTTGGCGGTCGGATACCCATGCGAATAAAGGCATCCGGATGCTAATAGAGACAACAATTTTCAATGAGATTGAGTGCAGCCAGTCGAAAAGACCACTTTGCCGTTTCACGTTGCACTTGCTTACTTGCAAAGGCCACTCGACTGACTCTTTCAACTTCTGCTTGATATCTGTCTGCCCTCCGATGTCACTCCATAAAACCTTTGGCACCTCGATCATGATCTCCCGCATCGCACTAGGTTTTACATCCGTCATGGCCAACCTCATATCCTTTGCAGAAACCTTCAAATCATCCTGCTCTTGCTGACTAACTAAAGATACACTGGTGGGTGATGGTCTGCTATCCTCAGAGACAGTCAGGGCTTCAAATTGCTGCTGGAGATCATTCGTTTGGGTCTCGACCATGTTGTTGTCCGCCTCTGTCGTTCGATGCTTTCCCATGACCCTGTTGATGGTCTTTAGTCCAGCCTCTCTGCAGACTGCTGCAAGATCAGCGCCAACGTACCCATGCGATATGGATGCAAGGTGGTCGACCTCTGCCGATGTGAGTGCATTAGGTATCTTTTTTAATAGGGCTGTCAAAATCTCTGCCCTAGCGTTCGCGTCAGGGATGCCAATTTCGATCTCTCGGTCGAATCGACCTGGCCGACGCAGGGCTTCATCAAGCGCGTTAGGGCGGTTGGTCGCACCCATGACAACGACCCGTGGCACGGTAGCCGGTGCGGTATCAGAGTCGGGCGAAATAAACTTACTGGTGGTAAATAGGATCTTCTTTTCCGAGGCTCCATCCATCAAAGTCAGAAGTGTTGCTACGACACGTTTTTCCATCTCACTCGCAGCCTAAATAGTACAGTATATGGGAGCTGTTAGAATTTTGAAGCGGATCAAATTTTCGTGATGCATTTGTATATCCACAGACATACCTCGTCGCGTTTGGGACAGAGTGCATCGATCTCGTCGATAAAGATGATTGAAGGCGAATTATCAGCTGCCAACTCAAAAATGGCTCTCAACTAACGATAAACGAAGTGCAAAGAGATAGAGACGGGCTATCAGTGAATCATACTTCACAACGGAGGCCAAAGAAAAAAAAAAAAAAAAAAAAAAGACACGGACTCATTCGAACTAGTTCAAATGTGTGAATGATTACCTTGGCCTCTGTTTCTCCATAAAATTTGCTAATAATCTCCGGTCCATTAATGACTGTCAAGAATGCTCCTGTGGCAGCAGCCACAGTTCTCGCGATCAATGTCTTTCCTGTTCCCGGAGGACCATAAAGCAGGACGCCTTTAGGAAGTCTAAGGCCTGTTGACAACCGTCATCGTTATGATTATGTTAGCTTTTGACATAATGATCATACATGTTTGATAGTGTGGGACAGGAAGGAATTGGATCATACCGAACTGTGTGAATACTTGTGGGTTGTGCAAAGGTATTTCAACCATCTCGCGTACAGCCTTAATTTGGGCTGCAAGCCCACCAATTTGTTCATATGGGCGAGCGTCCTGCAAAGTCTGAGTGGAGCTCTGTAGGTTGTTCACCTCTTTTACAGCTGCCTCGCCGAGAATCTCTTTATGCAGTGCTGACTGTGATGGTGTGAAAGGCAGCACTTTGACAATCGTGTCCTGACCAATGGCAAAAACGAATCCACGCTCCTGCCCCTTGCGCTCGAGCACAATGCTTGCTACCTTGAACCTTTGCGGCTTGCCGTTGTACGGAAACTCGACGTAGTTATCCTTCAAAACAAATCTGATCTCGGCTAACAATATTTAAAAAAAAAAAAAATACAAAGGTAGATGTGAGTAGCCGAGAGATAACGTGAGGGTCAAAGCTGACGCATAAAATTCTGAACACAAAAGTCTTACTCATGATCTCCTTTGTAAATAGTGTAAACATGAGATTGGACACGAACGGTATAGGATGAAGAGCTGCCAAAGATACTTGAGAGGCCTCGTGGATCGCAGTATCCAGCAGGCTGATCTCGACAGGGTCTCCGACTGCGACGTTGGCATTTAATCGCGACACGCTACTCAGCTGGATATCTAGTCCGCATAGGTGATCATGGTTGAGTTTATTTTTTTTGCGATCTGGAGCTGGTGCATGGGTCTGGTGTGCTTTTGATACGTACGGTTCTCTGATACTGTGAATGAAGGCCATACGATCGCAACCGACCCCTAGTGATCGAGATAAAAAGTCCAGTCAGTCTTGACACCAGGTGCAAATGCAATCCGTTGAGCACAGTAGCGACATACAGGTGAGTCCTCTTGTTGCAACTGCGTGGAGTTCGAGTTTCCCTTGCTCCGAATCAGTACGTGATCTCCAGCACCTAGTCGCAGGTGGCGCATGGTCGCAACATTGAGGAACGCTCTCCTAACAGCGCGCACATTCCTTGCAGAAGGTGATTGCTGAGCAAGGAGCTGCATGGTTGCAAAGGTCGTTGGTGATCAGCTTCAATGGTGGTCGGTGCGATCTTTGGCGCACAAAAAATCCTTTCAATTTTAGTGGCGCGAGTAAGAGCTTGGCCCTTGTAAAGTGAACTGGGTCACCCGGCATAAAACAAAGGCCGCAGACCCTTCAGGGGCAAGACTCGGCCTTTTGACTGTTACACCTCTCAACGGTCTTGCACTTCTATCTTATTCGCTTTTTTCATTGCAGCAACATCATGGCAAAAGAGGACACCCTCATCACAGCCAAGGTCAGTCTGTAGACCGCCCATCTTCCAATGCGCCGTCAACAGCACCTACCCTTGTTTCACTCCATTAACACCATTCATTCACTTCTATACTTGTAGGTTTTTTTGGAGGATGCCGTGTATCTGAAGGACCAGCCAGAACGGCTTGGCTTGGTCGTTAAAACATGGCACGATTTCGATTCAGGGGAGAGCGACACCGAGGACGAAGATTCTGTAGGTCCTGAAAGTCACCTATTCCATCTCTGTGCTCAATTGATATGGGAACACCGGCGAAAGTTATTGACCGATTCAATTTGACTTCGCCCCTATGCCTTTTCTAGCTGGAACTTCAAAAAGTCACTGTCCATTGGGCTGATGGTGCTGCTCCACAGACAGTTCACGAGGACGACCTTGTCGTTGCAGACCGCTCTTTCAGCCATGGTGACGTTGTCAAGCGTTCTCCGAACGACATCATGTCCGGAACTGTTATCGGCGTCAAGGTCGAGCTGGACCTGGAAAAAGTCTGCCCGCCCATGACTCGATTTTCTGGCATCGATGCCACGCACGTTGACTTTGTTCAGCAATTCGTGGTCCACAATCATATCATCTACGATGGTTGGCTTGGAGTGATTGAGGAGGTAAGTAGATGCCAAGAGAACCCTCGCGGAGGTGCCCATCTTGCATCTCTTTGGTGCGCATCAACGTCCAATTGCTCATATCCGCCTTGCATATTCCAACAATAGGTAAAGGACGAAGTGACAGTGCTATTCAGTGACAACAGTGTATGTGTAATCAAGGACTCGGATGACTTGGACCTTTGGGACCAGATCCACGACCAGTCCTGCTTCTTTCCGGATAGACTTGCCCCAGGCCATGTAAGATTGGTGGTCCGCGCTCTGGTATCGTAGTCAATCGATGGTTTTTATTGTACTGGCACTGATGTATTGTATTATGTCCATATCGATAACATTAGGCTGTTTGCGGGCCATCGCGTGTGTTCAAGAACGCGGAATTCCTGATTGGGACCTATGCTTCCCAGAAGCATGGATACGTGCTGAGGACGGAAATCGTCTCCATCACTGTGGACTGGCTCTCATTCAACCCATTGGCACTGGATCAAACACCTGGCGTCGCTCCGCCGCCGAGAGTCCTCGATGACTTTGAAAATGTTATCGTCTACAAAAGTGTGGAACAGCACTGCACATATGAATTACAGGACCGTGTCAAGATTACGGATCCCGAGACTTTACGAGGTAAGAAAGAGGAATGGTAGTGGATGGCTATTCATGTAAACGAATGGTACACCTAATCGCTTTTATTACTTTGTTTGCTGTTAGCGCTGGGACTGAAGGAGTACTGCCCGTATTTGAGTAGCAAACCAAGACGGTTGCAATGCCCCGATAAGACACACAACCACGCGGCCAAATTTGCTACAGAAGAAATGGTACACCTCGATGTCTGTGTAGTGTCATGAAAGCACGTTTTGAAGCTCTACTTACACACCCAAATGACTCGTTTTTATGATGTTGGCGGTTACAGAAAGTTGTTGGGACAAAGACTCGTGTTATCGTGCAGTGGCAGGACCTCTCGATTACAGAAGACGAGCCCTCGACATCCCTGATTCCGTACTTAAATATTGATGATCAAGACGTCTGGCCATCGGATTATGTCCTATTGAAAACCGGAGAAGTCATGGTGGATCAACCGGGAGGCGTCAACTTTGACAGGAAAAAATCAGATATGCTTGGCATCATTCAGTCTGTTAATGCCAAGGAACGCACAGCTCTAATCAAGTGGTTCAGCGAAGAGCGCGATCAAGGGCTTGAGCAGGAAGCAGAGGAGTTTTCGTTGTATGAAATCATGTCGCATCCAGACCTCAAATTTACGATGGGCAATATGGTCGTTGTGAGTCGAGAGCGTGAACAGTCGCCATCCTCCGATATCGCGCCCAGAGCACCAAGCGTTGATGACATTTTATTGCTGGTCGGTCGAGGAAACGAGATATTCAACGAGCTGGTGCAGGAGCGGAGTCGTCGAAGGATGTTATCTTCTACCGAGGCTAATGATCCGAGGGCAATCGAGAGACGTGGGAGCGTCCTTCTGGATCGTTATGGAGTTGAAGGAGTCGAAGCATTGGACCGATACCTTTCGGAGACCAATAAAATGGCGGCGAAGACGGTCTACTGGTTAGTGGACCGAGGTAATCCTCTGAAGCCGCCCGTTCCCAGTGACATTCTGTCCAGCTTGCCAGAGCATGAGAAGGATCTTGAGACCATTCGCCCACGGCTGAATTGGGTCGGACAAATCTGGAAGGTGTATCAGGATCGCCCCGCAGCACTCATTCGCTTCATGGATGGGACGTCGGAGGAAATTCCTGTCGGAAGGATTATGGTCGTAGACGACGAGGATGATGATGACGAAGATGAGGAGGAGGATGCGGATGACGAAGAGTTTGAAGAATACGACTTTGACCACGACAGTACTGAGGAAGTCTCCTCCGACGACAGCTGGGAAACGGATTCCGAGGCAGAGAATGAATCAGTGGAAGATACCGAAGATCAGAAAGCGCCCAAAGAAACCGAAGACAAGGAAGATTTGGCCCATGCTAAAGTGGGGGCATCGCCGGAAACTATCGAGCCTGTGGATCCAAAGACGACAGTCGGGGATCAGGAGTCAATTTCAGAACCTGAAATCCAGGATCCTTTGCCTGAACCCGAAGATATCGCATCGATTGGCCAGAATTCTCCAGCAAATTTGGCACGCTCAGCGCAGGAGCACCGTGACTGGAAGAGTTTTGCGGTTTTAGATGCGACACCTGCCGATCATCACTTCTTAAACCATCGCCATGATATTCAACAGAGCGATAGGGCATGGATCAAGCGCATCGCCAAGGAGCATGCCATTCTCTCATCATCCCTCCCAGACGGAATCCGTGTTAGAGCGTTCGAGGACCGGATGGACTTACTGCGGGTCTTGATTCAGGGGCCCGATCATACCCCTTATCGCAACGCATTGTTCCTGTTTGACTTCAAGTTGACCAGCCATTTCCCGAGTCAGGTAAGTCCTTGAGGTCCCGGTAGCTCTTATGGTGGCTCATTCCGGGGTGATACAGCTTACTGATTTATCATTGTCTTTTCTGTGTCTTTAGCCTCCGGTTGCCTTCTTCCATTCTTGGACAGGAGGCATCGGAAGAATCAATCCAAATTTGTATGAAGGTAGGAAGTATCCCTAATGTAGAATCTCGGTGTTGCAAGCATGCAGGGTTCTTAACATTGTTTTCTCTTTATTGTCACAAACTAGATGGCAATGTGTGCCTGAGTCTTTTGAACACATGGCATGGTAAGGATCAGACAGAGACATGGACTCCCAGTTCCAGCATTCTACAGGTAAAGCCCCAATGCGACTCAATCGACTATGCGCGGTGCACTGAACTTTTGACCCTGAACTCTGGATATTTAATTTGGTCCACAATAGCTGCTGATCTCCTTACAAGGCCTTGTGCTTGTTCCTAACCCATACTATAACGAAGCTGGGTAAGTTTTATCGAATGGCACTTTGAATGTACGCAGACAGTGTTCTCATTTACTAATCATTCGATCTATTTGGCGAGATAGGTTCGAAAAATTTGTTGGGACGCAAGAAGCTGCTCGGAACTCGGAGCTCTACAACGAAAAGGTCTATCTCTTGTCTTTGAAGGTATGATGCGGATCTCATATAATTGAATATGATGTATGATCCTATCTTTGATAGCAATTGCGGCGACCTCATGAATTCTGACGATCCCTGTTTTCCTCTGTTGTGTCATTTATAGACCATCCAAACCATTTTGAACAACCCTCCATCACCCTTCCAGAAGGAGGTCCGACACTTTTATTTCGACGAACAGAAACTGGAGCACACAGTGATTGAAGGACTGGAACTAATTGCTCGGTCGGAAGCGGCTGCTGAAACCGAGAATATGGACAGTAATAAGAATCAGAACAATACTAGCAATAGCATTATTAATACTACGCCGGACAATGACCCGACTTTTGAAGCAGAGCCAGGTCTTGTGATCAAAAGGATTAGCAAAGGAGCTCTCAAGATGCTCAAGAAGCACATCGACACTCTCAGTCTTTCTCTCGAGGAGTAATAAAGTATTAGCTACACGTGACACCAACGTCTATAAATACTGTAGTCATCGCTCTGATTCAAAAATGTTCTTCTTTCATCCTTCTTTGTTCATCAGTGCCTTCTTTGAGAAACTGTTACAAGAAGACCAGCGGCAGCCCTCTCCAGCGTTTTTCTTTGTTTATTCTTTGACAACTTCACTGTCTGTCTAGTTCATACCAAGAGAAGGGGAAAAGAATCAACCACCACATTTGCAATCCATTACCACATCAGCCAGGCGCCAGTTGTTGCCTCACTTTCCTGTTCTTTTTTTTCCATTCCATACACTATATAATGGCAACCATGGCAGCTCCGTCCTCCGCTCCGAAGGTTGTCGATCTTAACATTCAGCTGATGTGCCCAGGTGAGTACAGACCAGCGGCTATGAAATGATCTCACCTTGATCTCTTTTTCCGTAAAAGGGTTGATACAGGATGCCACTGAAGGGACTAAAAAAAAGAATACCATGCAATAAATGGGCGGAAGAAAGCATGTTCAATGTAATATGTTCCTTGTGTCTATTCACTTGTGCTGAGTTATCGCGGTGTCATGAACTGACTCTTCTCTGTGTACTGCTTGTGTGCTCTACGTTGTTTGTCTCTGGTTCCTCAGACTGTAAAGTGGTCCCGCCCAACATCTCGGAGGAGTTTTCGTCCGGTGACCTTGTGTGCGCTGACTGCGGATTGGTACTGGGAGATCGTATCGTCGACACCCGCTCGGAATGGCGTACATTCGCAAATGATGAGGGCGACGACCCGTCCCGTGTCGGTTCCGCAGCAAATCCGCTGTTGAACGGCCCGCAGCTCGACACAGTGATCTCGCAGCGAGACGGCGGCTCTGGAACAGCCCGAGAGTTGAACAGGACCCATGGCAGAGTTACAGCAGTCAAGGGTGAACGCAACTTGCTTCAGGCCTACAAGGATATCTCTGCAATGTGCGATGCCATTGGGCTTCCCAAACTCATTGGTAAAGTCTATAAATGCATGTGTAGTCAAAAAGCGAATAGGAAAGTGCCGGTAATGGAGACTCATCATTCATATTTGGCTTACATGATCAATAGTGGATATTGCAAAACAGCTGTTCAAGCGTGTTGAGGACGAAAAGATGTTGAAGGGCAAACCGAACGAGAGCATTATTGCGGCGTGCATCTTCATTGCCTGTCGTCAGGAGGGTGTGCCCCGTACCTTTAAGGAGATCTGCACCCTTACACAGGTGCCCAAGAAGGAGATTGGCCGATGCTTCAAGGCACTCAACATTGCGTTCCATGAGACTAAGGTTCAGACGATGACATCGGAGGATCTGATGGCTCGTTTCTGCTCCAACCTTAATCTGCCCATGGAGGTTCAGAAGGCGGCTGTGGACTTGACAAAGAAGGCCAAGGAAGTCGGAACACTTGCGGGCAAGTCTCCAGTCTCGATCGCTGCTGCCTGTATCTACATGTCCTGCAACCTCTTCAGCCAGGCCCGATCAACAAAGGACATCAGCGTTGTTTGCGGTGTCTCTGAAGTGACGATCAAGAACGCCTACAAGCACCTGTACGCCGAGCGGGCCAAATTGGTGAATGAGAAACTGACGGCGAAACGTATCGAGGCCCTTCCTCCCCCTTAAAGGAACTACTTTTGCGGCATCTTTCTCTCTCCTGCGTCGCAACCACCGTTATGAGCATCTCTTCGATCCATTGCTTGATATATATCATTAACCGAGAAAGCGTTAGCGTAACCTTTGCCTCTCCTTGAGCTTCAATAGAACGCGCCTCTGCATGCTTTTTTTTTTTTTTTTATTCTTTTATTATTTTTTTTTTTTTTTTTTTTTTTATGGTCTTGCGTTGCTTCTGCATTCTACCTCGAATGCAGCTTCTGCTGATCGAAGAGGAAAATAAACACGAGATGTTATGTCTCCGCACAATGTTTAGAGCTATATTGGCATGAATTCTGTAGGTCACTGTCAGACAAAGCACATCGAGAAATAGCGCGGCTATTTACATTTTACAGAAGGTTATTGTGTTTTGCTTTCTTACCTTTGAATCACCTACTCCTTCATTTCGCCTGGCAGAATGAGCAACCAAGACCACATGAATGTCATTCTCGGGTAGGCATAGAGCATTCACTGAGCTTCGCATCGCCTGCCTTGTTGAAAACGATCGATATTAGTTCTAGTTGGCTGTTCTAATACGCTTGACCGCTGCGCATTTTTGTATCTATATATGCAGCTGTATGACCTTTGGGTCTACAGGAGGCGGAGCCCGCGTCAAGACGAACGAGGCCGCCACTGAGATCATCTCGGCCTTCCGAAAGTACGGCCACACAGCCCTGGACACCGCACGGATCTACACGGATGGACATACCGAGGAAATGATGGGCCAACTCGACCTCGAAGGCCTCACGATCGACACCAAATGTTTTCCGTTACAGCTCGGTGGTCTGCGTCCCGAAAGAGTCAAGGAGTCACTGCAGGAATCCCTGGACGCACTCAAGAAGGACAAGGTCCATGTCTTTTATCTGCACGCCCCTGACTATGCGACACCGATTGAGCAGACTCTCGAGGCCGTGAATGAGCTGTATGAGCAGGGCAAGTTTGAAATATTTGGTCTCTCGAATTACTCGGCCTGGGCGGTGACGCAGATCTATTATCTGTGTAAGATCAAGGGCTACGTACTGCCGACGGTGTACCAGGGCATGTACAACGCGTTGACGAGAAGCATTGAGCCGGAGCTGTTTGCTTGTTTGGACGAACTGAACATCAGGTTCCATGCATACAATCCTCTCTGCGGAGGTGTCCTCACGGGTGCTTACACCTATCAGGGTGAGGTTGAGGAAGGATCGCGTTTTGATCCTAAAGCCAAGCAGGGCGCTCGGTAGGCACATAACGCTTTGTATCCACCCTTGTTCTTCATGTTGACCGCATCCGTTAAAACTTATTTTGCTAATTATGGACCGTTTTCTGCGATTTGGCTGCACACCTAGGTATCGCGAGCGCTACTGGAAGAAAGAGTACTTTGAGGCGGTCGAGGTGCTAAAGAAGGCATGCGAGCCGCATGGACTCGATTTGGTCCAGGTTGCATTCGACTGGTTGCAGTTCCACTCCAAGATGCATGTTGCACGCGGGGATGGCATCATCATCGGGGCGTCGTCATTGAAGCACACGGTTCAGAATCTGGATGCACTGAAAAATGGAGAGCCGCTTCCGCAGGAGGTACTGGAGGCGGTCGATCGGTGCTGGGATATCACACGTGAAAGCTCGGCGCCGTATTTCAGAACCAAGGAGCAGATGATGGGGCCCAGATAAAGAGTCGTTAAGCAGTTGTGCGATCGTTTTCTGAGAATAGAACCAAATAAAGAGAAAAGGTGAATGCTATCCTTTCACAACTCTACTGGAAGCGCAAGGTGATGAAGACCACCAGAATCGGTCTAAAGACCCTCAAGACGTCTCTGACTGCAACCATGCTGCTCTCCAACACAACTATCTCCGCTACTTCATCTGATGTCACGCATGGACGCCTCCGAATGCACCCCCCTCAAGGCTATCCTTCACATCCAGTTGTATTTATCCTGATGCCGAGGAGATATCGACTGCGCGTAAATAGCGGGCCCAGGACGCGTAATTGGTGCTGAAGAAAAAATGAACCCTGAATAACTGCATTGTATCATACTCACTTATATCAGGGTCGTACGTAACGCCGATCCTCCATCTTCTAATGCAAGATGCGTGCCTGCATTGAAGAGTACTGCAAATTACGCGCGCTCCTTGATTCCGTCATGATGATCTGAACGAACTTTAAAATAAACTGTTGTCCTTGGGAGCTGAGCCGGTGCCCCGTTTTCTTGGGATCGCCGGTCGTCTTTGCATCCAATACATTCATAGGCTTGCTGCTGCGGTAACAAGCAGTGTTGTCTGGTGTTTGTCCCAATGGATCGTTGTGTGCAACCGATGAAGCTAGTTTATTTTATTTGAGCAAAGGAATGCTGTGTTCTCCACATATTGCCGTTGATGATGTCGTGGATACTGTTGATGCTGGTAGTGCGCCCCTTTGCTCATGCTAACCCCACATAGAACAGAGAAGAGAATGCAACGCAGCGTCTTTTTTCCAAGGGGCACCGACTCCCTCTCGCGTAAAAAAAAAAGTGATTGTCGTGGTATGATGTCAAGATGACTATGATATGATGATGCTAGACACACACAGCCATTCCCTGGACTCCACCATATATAAGGGAGATCGGATCCTTTCCTTTCTTCTTCATTCAACTCAACGATCCTCTTCTAAGCAACCACACTCAACCAACTCTACCCAACAACAACAACAAAAACCCCTTCAACAAATAACACATTTACAACCATGTCTCTTCTTCGTCACACTGCCCGCCGCTCCTTCAATGTGGCCTTGACTTACAACACCCCCGCTGTCGCCAGACTGCCTCTCTTTGCACGCACAATCTCCAGGTATGTGTCTATCCGAATCGCATTGCAATTGGATGCTTTACGACCTGTATGTCTCTGTCAACGTTTGTAAAAACATCGCGCCAACTAACTCCTCAATCGATGTGTACCGTTTTATTTTTGGTCCGTTCGCTCACTCCAGCCAAGCACCTCTGTTCAATCAGAAAGAGGTGATCAAGCATGCACCTGGCTGGAAGCAGGAGAATGCATCTGCCAGCGAGGCCACCGTCAAGGCCGATCGTGAGCCCCACCCTAAGAACATGAAAGATCTTCAGGACGAGACCGTCGAGCACCTGACGAGCGACAGCACACATGCTGTACATGATCTCAAGAACGAGGCTGAGTCCATGGGCAAGAAGGCCGCAGCCGCAGGCGAGCGCATGACTGAGAACCTGTCGGGAAATAGCAAGGAGTATGCCGATATGGCCAAGAACGCAGGCGAGCGCATTAGTAAGAACCTGTCAGGAAATAGCAAGGAGTATGCTGACAAGGCCAAGGCCGTAGGCGAGCGCGTGACTGAGAACCTTTCCGGTAGTACTAAGGAGTATGCTGACAAGGCCGTGGCCATGGGCGAGAATATGTCCAAGAACAGCCAAGAGTATGTCGACAAGGCTAAAGCTGCTGGCGAGCATGCAGCCAAGCAAACTATGGAGTATGCTGGCGAGGCCAAGAAGGAGGCCCAGCAGACGGGTGAGAGCATGTTGGGCGGTGTCAAATCCGGAGCCGAGAAGGTCACCCAGTTTGTCAAGGAGTCCGTGGACTCAGCCAAGAAGGCCGTTGGCATGGACAAGTAGACATTTTGATGTCTTCTGCACAAATGCTACAAGCACACTTTCACACACGTACCATCCAGCGCCATGTACATATCTTTTTCCACCCATTCGCACATCGCTTCCTCGGCTTCAGAGTAATAAACTGATATATACAATGTACTTCAACGCGCATTCTTTTGTAACTGTATCAAAGCACTTCCTGGACAATTGCGGGATCTGAACCGCGGTCAACCTTACCTCAAAAAGCCGTAATGGTGCTGCAACACAGCTACCAGCTTTGTCCTATGGTACGTGTTCTTAGTGAACATGTTTTTCCCTTTGAAAAATTACTCTTGAGATAACAAGGCTAAAAAGCTCCCTATGCTGGATCGAAGTGTATCTATTTATTATGCACGGTGCTCGGCACCGAGTTCAGTGCAGGTCGAATGCGCAATAGGCTGACTTAGAATAAATGATTTGCATCTGGTGGCGATTGGGCGTAGGATGATATTATTCAAGCGTTTAAGGTTATCGAAGAAATTTTATTGGTAGATGAGTAGATGATGGAAGCGGATTTAGGGGGGTTTAGCCCGAGTTGATTGGTGCATTATTCATTTACTCGGACATCAGGTATTTTTTACGAGGGGTACGAGGGGACGAGGTTCTTGATGGGCGATTCGTTCTTTTTGATTCCAATGTCCCACAGTCACGATTCTTCAGCGCCTAAACATATTTATCGTGTGCCGCTGAGGCGAAGGAATGCCCTGAACAGAAAGAAACAAAGACGGCTCCCCGTTTCCGGTTCATTCTTCTCTTCCTTCTCTTCCTTCTCCTCCTTCCCTCCTCCTCCTCCTCCTCCTCCTCCTTTTCTCTTATCGTTGGGCACCCATCAGTCGGTCTTACGCAGCGTGCCAAGAAAGACCGGACACTCTTCATTTTTCTTCGCCCACAAAGATCTCGGCCCATCCGAATCATCCAGCTTTTTTCTTTGCTCATCCTCATCTACCGCCGCACCAGTCATCACAACCGCAACTTCGTTGGATCACACTCTTACGAGAATACCCCTCTCTCTCCTCCACTCTTAATATCAATCACAATGCCAGCAGAAGCCATGAATATAGATCAAATCGAGAGCCCCTTGTAAGTACCTATACTTTGTCCAGGAGGTCCTTGGAATGCTGTGCTTCTAAGGTGTCAAGTTTGTGGGGCGCCGACTATCTGTTTCATCAAAAGACTTCTAAACGCCCCGCCCTCCCTCCATGGTCGTACCAATCATAGGACTGCCGAGCATATCAAGGCGCAGGCGAACCAGGAATACAAACTTGGCAATTATGCAGCAGCGGTCGACCTCTATGGCCAGTCAATCAAGATGGAGCCATCAAAGGCAACCTACTACGGAAATCGGTCGGCTGCCCTGATGATGATTAAAAAGTACGCCGATGCAGCAAAGGATTGTCAGACTGCCGTCCAACTGGACCCTTCATTTGTTAAGGTACAATCCCTTTGTACACTTTATACACTTTGTCCACCTTGTCCGCTTTGCCACCCTTTTATTTTCGATCACTCGCTACTGTGTTCATTCTATGGCGACTCATGCTAATGCTTTGACTTGATTTGAAACGATCAAATAGGGATATCTTCGTGGAGCCAAGTGTCAACTGCAACTTGGAAATGTGAACGAGTCGATCCGATTGTACACCAAGGCGCTCGAGATGGAGCCCAACAACGTCCCGGCCGCCAAGGAGTTGGCCTTGGTCAACCACGTCCAAGCCCAGATCGACCAGATTCAGATGTACATGAACAACAAGCAGTTCGGTCTCGGTGCAAATGCCTGTGATCGTCTCTTGAGCATGGTCGACGCTGTGCCAAGAAAGTGGATGATCTGGAAGGGAGAATGCCTAATTGGCAAGAAGGACTTTAGCGGTGCTAGCTCGGTTGCAATGGATCTTCTCCGTCAGGACGCACAGAACTCGGACGCCATCTATCTCCGCGCCCAGGTTTTGTATAGTCAAGGCGAGAATACTAAGGCCGTAACGCACTGCGCTGAAGCACTACGATGCGATCCTGATTGCTCCAAGGCACGTGTGCTCATGAAGAAGGCCAAGAACCTTGAGGCGCAAAAGACGGCTGGTAACGATGCCTTCAAGGCTGGCAAGCTGCAAGAGGCATACGATCTTTACACTGCAGCGCTGGCCATCGACCCCGAGAACGAGAGCACCAACAGCAAATTGTATTCAAACCGAGCAACAGTCTTGGCGAAGTTGGGACGGCATGAGGAGGCCATCAAAGACTGTGATGCAAGTTTGAAGCTCGATTCATCGTTCGTCAAGGTGCTACGCAAGCGTGCCGAGTGCCAGCTCAAGCTAGAGAAGTACCAGGAGGCAGTCAATGATTTGAAGGCTGCATTGGAGTTTGATAAGAGCAACAGAGACGTCCGGAGGGAGCTCCAGGCAGCCGAGCTAGAGTTGAAGAAATCGCTGCGTAAGGACTACTATAAGGTGCTCGGTGTCACGAAGGATGCAAGCGACAGTGAGATCAAGAAGGCGTACCGGAAACAGGCTCTCATCTACCATCCAGACAAGAACGATGGCGATGCAGCAGCCGAGGCCAAGTTCAAGGACATCGGGGAGGCTTACGGTGTCCTGAGTGACCCAACAAAGAAGAGCCGCTATGATTCCGGCATGGATATCGAGGGCGGTATGGGCGGTATGGACGATTTCGGTGGCATGGGAGGCGGACCAGACGTGAACTCGATGTTCTATCAGATGTTTATGAACCAACAAGGCATGGGTGGTGGTGGTGGTGGTGGTGGTGGGTCTCCCTTTGGTGGATTCGGTGGCGGGTCACCCTTTGGTGGTGGCGGTGGATTCGGGGGTCATGGTGGGTCACCGTTTGGCAGCCAAGGCGGCCGCGGTGGCCGCCAGCAGCACGGCTTCCACTTTGATTAACAATAGACCTGACAGTTCATTCATCAATTTTTTAAACAACATTAAACCCCTATGTATTGTAAACGTCGATGGTGCGCCTGGCATAGTGATGTCTTCAGCTGAGAACTCGGGAAAGCACTCGCACAGTCACTTGTGCTTTGTTTGCACAAACACGGCGAAATAAGGCCTTCTGTCGTGCTCTCTCCCTTCCACCTCAGCCCATCTCTCACAATGGCATCTAAACGAGCAGGACTTCCCTCTCTCAACTCGATCTCTAGGAAGGAGGGCTTGCAGCCAGTCAAGGTCCAGCGTTATCGCGCAGGCAAGGCGCCGGAGGGCTATGTCGATCCAGCACTAGAGTCCTCTGACGAGGAGGATGAGGCCGGTACATCAGCACGCGGTGGTCGCACAGGCATCAACGTGGCCATCGCACAGGAAGAAAAGCCAAGAATGGCTTACCAGGTGCTGAATATCGAAAAGATGACCAGGGAACGACAGGCGGAGAAGGCATTGAGGGGTCAAAGTGAAGTACAGGGCGCCGCTGCCGCCGCCGTAACAGACAGGCGGTTAGCACGACTCCAGGCAATGCAGATGGAAGATAGGAGAAGTCGTGGCGATATCAGATCAAGGCAGCGTGATGAAAGTGATGAAGATGAGGAAGAAGAAGCAGAGGAGGACGAGGACGAGGAGGAGGACGCATTGCGGAGGAGGAAAGCTGCGCGAGCTAGAGCGATGCGTGAACAGGACGAGGAGGAGGAGCTTTGGGGTAAAGGCGAAGAAGAAGAGGAAGAAGGCGACACAGGGCGGAGAGGCAAGGCGCGACGCGAGAGTGAGGTAAGACACAATGGCATTGTCGAGCAATCAAACTGCTGAGCTGTTAGTCTGTTTGAAGCTGCATCGCTGACTCTGTTGATTGCCCTATGATTATAGGAAAGCGAAGGATCATCAGAATATACCTCAGGATCAGAGGAAGAATCTTCAGAGGATGATGCGCCAAGGCGAAAGCTCATGAAGCCCGTATTTGTACCAAAGTACGTCCATCTTTCCTATCAAGAGGATCCTGCGTTGGACGTGGATCGCCCGCTTGAATGTTCTCTAACCTGGAGTTATCTCTGTGCCTTCTGACACGATAGATCCCAGAGAATCACGATTGACGAGTCAGCAAATTCAGATGCTGCATATGAGCTGGCAGAGAAGGCTCGCCTCGAAGCAATTGAGGAGCGGAAAAAGGAATCGCACCAGATGCTCAAGGAATACGTGGCTCGACAAGCGAATGTGGAGGAAGTTCCAGATGTGGACAGTCTTGCAGAAGTGGATGATACTGACGGACTGGATGAAGAGGCCGAGTTTGAGCAATGGAAGCTGAGAGAGCTGAAGAGAATCAAGCGCGATCGGGAAGAACTGGAAGCGTAAGTGCCATTATTTTATTTTTTTTATTTGCGTAGTGTCAATTCTGCGTGTGAATAGCTCACTTATTTTGCTGTTTTTTTCCCCTGCTACTTTGGCCTCGCTCTAGCCGTGAAGCAGAGAAGGCTGAGATCGAGAGAAGACGAGAGATGACGGAGGAGGAGCGTGTCAAGGAGGACATGGAATATCTTGCCAAGAAGGCCAAGGAAGAGAAAGCCATGAAGGCCGCAGGCACAGTTGAGAAGTACCACCACAAGGGTGCCTTCTTTATGGTATGTCAGCGATTGAGTGCAGGATAATGGATATTGTTTGTGCACTTTATCCACAGCAAACTAACCCTTTGTAACCCATTGATTTTTTATATGAATTCTAGGACACTGGTGAGGCCATTTTGAAGAGGTCTACTGCCGAGCCTACACCGGACGCGGTCAAGGATATCAAAGCCTTGCCCAAAGTCATGCAAGTCCGCAACTTTGGTCGCGCGGGCCAAACAAAGTATACAACCTTAAAGGAGCAGGACACATCACAGCGCTCTGGATGGACAGATCCCATCTCCAGAAACTTGGCTCAAAGACATCGCATGGGCGGTTTCAGGGGGGAAGATTATAAGATTGCAAGCAAAATGAGTGGTCGCGATAGAGGGCGTGGAGGGCGTGGAGGACGCGGTAATGGATCTGGAAGGGATAACGCAAACCACACACAACTAGGCGATCGTTATCCTTCGTCATCTTCCTCTGGTCGTTATGACAAGGACAGATATGATGGTGGTAGTAGGGACTATCACGACCGGGATAGGCCGATAGACAGGGATAGGGTCCGAGACGACCGAGATGATCGAGACCGCAGGTCCTCCCGAGACCATGGTGATCGCCATTCAGGACGATCATCATCGTCGTATCGTGATAGAGACAGAGCTAGGGGCAGAGACAGAGATGATGAGGGCGAATCCAGCAAACGGCGCCGTCATTAAAGTATTCAAAGGAGGTGTCTTTAAACGTTGGAGCGAAACTGGTTGCTGGGGTTATGCCACTTTAAGTTTATTTCGCCCAAATGGCTTCAGCCAATGGGGTGAGTCAACACACAAAAAGCGTGCCAGGAGAAAGGGACCTCTCGATCTCATCGTCCATTCTTTTTTTTTTTTTTTTTTTTTTTCATACTTCTATCCGTCCCTCATCATTCATTGCCTCTTCTCATCACCGTTTCTCAGAAACAACGTACACCTAATACAATCGAACCATTCTTGCATTACTGTCCAATGCCTGTCTACAAGCAGATCAACTCAAGCACAGACGCACCACCACTAGCTGCTGCTGCTGTTCCCTCGGGAGATATCTCAGTACAATTGTCATGTACATGCCCTATTTCGGACGAAGCCCTCGTTCAGAACAGTGATCCGAACCGCATCGGCCCAGCAGAGACGGATAGCACGTTGGACGCACAGATCCAGTCGGCAGATCGCCAGCACCAGCAAGAGCAGCAACCTCAAAAGCAGCACCTCTCGACCTGCGCACTTCACTCAAAGTCAATCGCCATATTGAAACAGCAGCAGCAGGCAAAGCGGAAAAGACAGTTGGAGCTTCAGCAGGAGGAACGAGCACGGAAGAGGTACCCGTTTGAGCCCCTTCGGGTTGCCTCCACCAGAACCTTTCATCTGTATGCTGGATCGCAGTTCCGTGGGAAGCAACGGTCAGGAAGCCACAGCTACGATGTGAAGGTTGACATCAAGGTAAAGAAAAAATGGACTGGCTTTCCTCATGTCTGTTCGAGTTTGGAAAGAAAAGGTCTTGGTGAAAAAGAATGTAGCGTTCAATGGCTTTCAGTTATCTGACCTTTTTTTTTTTTTGTTGCAACACTCATAGCATGTAGACTTGAACGACTCCTTCCTCTGCGGATATTTGCACATCAATGGATTGACCGAGGAGTACCCGGAGCTGACCACGTACTTTGAGGCAGAGATCATTGGACCTAAGCATACATTTCAGACCCGCAAATGGGATGCCGACGAATTGATCGACGAGGAGCACTGGGTAAGTGCGAGGCATGTGGCACGTGCTCAGTAACAAAGAGAAAGAGTGTTACAGCGTAGCGCAGTGCTTATATGTGAGGTCGTATTGTATGTCCTTGGGTCTCTAATTCTGACCTCGTTCTACTAATATGCATGCCATGTAGACACTATTCAAACCATTCGAGTGCTTGGCGAGCTCGGTATTCTATGGACTGGACGAGCATGATCTGGACGACGAAGATGACGAGGGCTCGCGCTGTCCACATCACCACCACTACGACCCACAGACGTACGACCATCGAAACGAGGATGTGGTATTCATGAGATGGAAGGAGCACTTTCTGGTACCGGATCACCATGTCCGAGGTATCTCTGGGGCGAGTTTTGCTGGATTCTATTATATCTGCTACAGTAAGACGACAGGCCAGATCAGCGGTTATTATTACCACCAGTCCAGCGAAAAGTAAGTGCCGGAGAAAGGGCTTCATCCACGTTATTCTTGCGCAAGTCGAAGGTCGTGTATGTTTGGCTCTAACCGCCCTGTTTCATTTTGGCTTTTTTCTACAATAGATTCCAGCAGCTGCTGTTGAACCATGTCGAGGAACGGTCATTTGGCTCGTTCGAGTTCCGGTAGACGAGGGCAGATATGCCTGGACGGATGTTGCCGAATGGATCTTGTTCTTTTGTACTTTTACCCCCACGTTGTTCATAACCGATCAGAAGCGCCAGATAACTCAATAAAATACCGCTGAACACACGTTCTGAATGTCCCCCCCGCCCCCTGCAAGGGTGACGTGCTGTGATCAAGTGCAGAGCCAACAACCACTCGCCCACTCGTCCCTTTCTCCATTCCTTCACCTTCCTCCATTCAAACTTATTGAGCTCGCCAACGCATTCATCCGCATACAAGTTGAACGTGCAACCGCCGCTCTCAACCTGCCATGGCACACCACCGTAAGCAACGTCGACAGCATATGGTCATTGCATTGTGGAGTGCCATCACAACAACTTGCCGCCGGACTAACGCCCATAGAAACTTGCTTACTTGCCGCAAATAGATGCTTCCCCATACCACGAAGTCAAGCATGTGCCAATGATTGTCTCACCACTCTTCCAAGCGCCGGTGCCTGTATGTTTTCGCTCTTGGCTCGGACTATACTGTTCTTGTCGTTAATGATGCGTCGCTCGAACTGACTCGTTCTACGTTCTTGTCCATAGATATCTCCACCATATGACATGCATTCCCTTCCCGACGACATTACGCAGAGGGCAAGTCTGCATGGGACCATGTAGGGTGCGTATTTTCTGTTGTATATTCGTACGGAATCTAATCGTCCCTCGACATCTTTCCTTTTTACAGAGATACCATGACTTTTCGCTGGAGCACAGGATCGTCCAGGAATATCAGCGCATCATGGCCGAGGAAGCAGCTGTTATGGAAGCCAAAGAGAACGCCTACAAACTATACTCCGAGGAGCGACAGGCGCGTCTGGAGCAGGAGAGAGTTACTCAAGCCCGCAAGATCGCACCGGGATTTCTGGATAATGAAGACCGCCGTATCTTGACTCCAACACTAGTCACAGCGCAAGCGGCGACGTCTGCTCAGGAATCGAGCTCCAAAGCCAAGGCAGCAAGAAACCTTCATTTTGATTACAGCGAATTCGAGGCGAAGGACAGTCCTGTGGAGGAAGCGTTGGAAAGCAGCAGTTCAAAGGTCCAAGAAGCTGCAAACGCGAACCAGACTCAGGGCGATACTCAGCGGGGCTCTAGCTCTACACCCAGCCAGGATGTCTACCAACAGAACAACCAGGACAATGCGGAGGAGGAGGAGGTCATTGTGCAGGCTGTTCCGTTGTCTGAGCTTACGGGATTATTGCGCGATAGCTGTCTGGAAGAGGAATCGTCGAGCTCGCTGCCTCAGTCATGGTCGGGACGCGACGCAGCATCGGAGGTATAGTCATCGATTACAATCTCTTAAGCTTAACTTGCTCAGCTTTTTCGCGGTAGCTGACAAAAGAAATGCTTCGACAGAAATCTGTACTTCCTTCGTTTAGTGCAACGCGATTGGACTTTCGTGAGTTTGAGCAGGGATTGGGACCACCAGACCCATGGGAAACCCCCGTCGATGACCTGACCGCCCTGAGGGATGTCATTTCGCAGCAGATGGGCCATAACAACTCCTCACAATCCCAGGATATTGCGCAAGGACGTCCGCAGCCACTTCAACAACTTCAACAGCAGCAATCCCAAACATACCCTTACCAGCCACAACAGACCCCTTCACCATTCCCGCAGCATGCTGATCAGCACTCACACAACCAATACCAGTTCGGCACGCCTCCCACAAAATCTGGATACAATCCATCGCCAACCCCTGTTGCCGCCTTTGTGCCTCAACCAAAAGTCACCGGAATCGCACAGCAACAACAGACCTTGCAGTATCACCAACAGCAGCATCGTCATTCGACTGGAGGTATCGCTGGCGCTCACCCTGCGTCAACAGGTCTGACAGCAGCTCAGCAGCATGCTCGATTCGGGAACGCTTCGCCCTCTCCACCACCATTACCTCCACCACCGAGGGCCATGACATCCTCTCCAAGTGTCGGAACTGGATCTGCTGCCACTATTAACTCGACATCCGGATCAGGTCGGCCTCCTGTACCAGCGCGGCCACATCGACCCACCGATCAGTCGTCGTTAGATTCCCCAGCTTCTGCAGGCATTGACCATACCACGGTTTTGGATCGATCTATGACCCCACCACGTCCACCGCTGCCACCACCACCGCCATCGTCACAGGTAGCAGCAGGTGCAGCATCTTCTGCATCATCATCCGTAGTCGGTCCATCAGGGCCTACTGCGGGCCCCCCAGCGCTTAAACCACGTCCACCCAAAGACCATGAGATGCTTCATGGAATGCTGGGACCCGGCAAAACTCCTGCGCCTGCGCATAACAATGGATTCGGAACTGAAGCGATGCCGTCTACAGGGTCTTCGTCTTCAGTTTCGGCCTCACGGGATTTGGGCATGTCTGGCGACGATCATCGTCATCAACAGCAGGTTGCACCGGCACCTCCGAATGCCAACTCATTGATTGAGCAGTTGGTGAATATGGGGTTCACGCGAGAGCAGAGTCGTAGTGCGCTGGAGAAGTATGATTATGATCTGGAGAAAGCGACCAATCATTTGTTGGACTGGGATGAATAAGTCGAATTGGCTGTGCGGGCCAGGTGGCCAGGCTGGAGGGCAGGGCCAGTGCCAAAGGAAATATAGTATCCGCGTAGAGCGAACAATATTTGTCATAAAATAAAACCATAGTTGTACATTTGTATACACGCCTGCATGTTTGTTTGAATAGAGTACCCGCGGCGCGCCAAACGCTGCTCAGAAAAAGACTGGAGACGATGAAATGGATGGAAAGCGTCGTGAAGAGTCCTAGGGAAGATACAGCACGAATATATTGCAGCTACGCGCATTAGACAGCGCGACTCTGTGTCGTTATTTTCTTTGATATGTTCTGGCATTCCCTATCTGTGCTACTAGGTTTGATTGAGAAAAATGGTTGAATGCGTGCATGCAATGACTACGAAGCGCTTTATTTTCTCCGCTTTATTCAACTACTGGTCGGCTCCCAGCTCTGCTGGTGTCCTTATATGTATTTCGGAACCAAGTGTGCAAGGAATTTCATTGTCTTATCCTAATCATGGAGAAACCATTATTTTATTTTTTTTTGGTCGCTACTGCTTTGCCTGCAAATGTAATTTCAGGCCGAAAACATAAACGCGTCAAAATAGTTGGCGTCGCTCATCTGCGCGACCTCTTTAGTGCTCCCATATTAACCCTCACCTTATTTCTGCTATCATATCCATTAATGCTCATTTTGATCGCAGAGCATTAGACGGCTGCAGTAGCCGGTTTGGCACTTGAGACTGGGTTATTAATGTCCTCTGAGGCTGTCAGCGTTGTCTCGAAATAGGCAAAGTCGAGCTATTCAATCTCGCGAAGGTAATCGCTTTCGGGTTCCCTTTTGGTAATGGCCAGCATATTTGGCAGGAGCTCTCCAGACGGCGGTGTTCTTTATCTGCGGGTGCGGGACTGGAGCTCTCTTTGCTTGTCCCATCATCATGATTCAAGTGCGTGCCGGCGTAAAGACCTTGCGATCGTACCTACGCTGAACAGTATCTTCGAGATGAACGGGTCAGGGTTCAAGTTGGTAATTTTTGTAAGCCTTACTCCAAAAGTGTTGAGTAGTATGTCGAAAAAGTCAGGGCTGCCGCAACTATGGGTTCCATTAGCAAAGCGCTAGCTCAGAGCACTGTGAACCCCCAGAGGAGTTTAGTGAGGGGTGATGGCGGATCTTTATCTGACGAGTTCGAAGACGGCGTTCAAGGCCTTTATTTCGATGGTGGCGACGCCACTCGTGTGGATTTAGGCTTAAGTACCTTTGGCTGCACGCCATACCTGAGGCAGCGAAGATGATGGAGGAGGTAGAGACGATTGGGAGTGGTCCTGTTAGTGTATTTGAGGCTGGTGATGCTAATGTCGGGGCTAGTGCAAGGACGGCAGCTTTTTAGAGAGCAGAAATGAAGGATAATAGCAATAAAGAATGAAAGCGAACGCGTCGCGCTTGCTCGCTTCCTTATTTTCGGGAATCCCATTTTACTGGGACGTTCCAACTGACATGGCCGATGAGTAAGCGCGTCGTTATCGTAATGAAGGTATCCTTTACAGCACAATTGACCCAAGATACCCTCGTAGGTTTCTCTTTGCATCTTACACTGGCTCGTGTGAGGTGAGAGTTTGCTGCAGCGCTTAGCATATGTGGTTGTATTTTTTACAAGTATATAAACTAAACTGCACGTACAAGTTTTGGGCGATTAAATTACAATGTTTTGAGAGCCCTCATACTGGCTAGTCCGCATACAGAAAAACCCCCTGAAGCTGTAGCAGGGTCCGGTCACCGTAATCAGACTACGTTATAAAGTGAAGAGAAGTGGCAGGGTTGGAGAGTCTTTGTAGCCTACCGTTGCAAGGAAAGGTAGCCTGCTTTCTCCTTGGTCGATGGACGACTTTACAATAGAGCAATCGAAGACAGAGGGAGGACATGTCCATGTAGTGTGAATTATATTTCGCCGGCCTATTTTTACCTGTACCAAACATACTCTGTTGGCCTAGATGTTTATGGCAACAGTTTAACGCTCACCTTGCAGGTGGAGAAGAAAAAAAGAAGTGATGAGAGTAACCCTCTTTTCCATCATTCCCTCCATCACCTCACCCTTCCGTCCCTCCGTCGTTCATCCTCTCCTTCTCCCTCTCTCCCCTCTTCCCCTTTCCTCCCCCTTCCCTTTACTGCATCGCGCGGCGTCTGCTCCTCCTGTCTATCTGTCTCCTTTTGACTGGCATCTGCACTCTTAGTCCGACACCCGTCTCATGAACCTTTAATATATCCTCGTTCCTGAATCTCACACCTCGCAGGTCTCGTCGCCTCTGGTCCTGGCTCCTCCTTCCCAATCCCCGCATCCCCTCTCTCCCATCACAATCCCTCTTTTCACTCTCTTCTCATTCACTCTAATTGTCCCAGCATTCGGATTCGGAAGCCATGTTCAGCAAGACCAGCAAACGCATCTCACTCAACCCTATCGACAACCGGCAGTATGAGGGCGATACAACCCCCATCATGACCGACTATATACCCCCGACCACACCCACAACCCCTACAACCCCAAACGCACCCAGATCGATACACAATGGACACCAGGGGCACCGGGGGAATGGCGGATACAGTAATGGAGGAGGTGGTGGTGGTGGTGGGAGGACGATGAAATCGGCGCCGATTCAGCTCCCAGGAAACAGTGGTAGCAGTGCTCACAGTGGCACCAGTTACAGCAGTGGCGGAAGAACTCGAGGACAACCGCCGACATCTCCACGCTATGATGGGTTTGGTCAAAGCGGCAGCGGCGGTGGCCAAGGCGGTGGAAATGGCGGTGGCAATGGCGCTCGAAGGAACAATACGTACCACGCGAGCAGTAACCAGCACCACCTGCAGCATCAGCAGCAGCGCCATAACACGACCCGCCACGGCGGCGGCGATCGTCCTAGGCAACAACAACAACAGCAGCAGATGACTTATCATTCCTCTCGCAGCCAGCCGGACCTGCATAGCGGATACCAGCCTACGCCGCAAATGTACTCGCCCACATCCCCGTCGTTCCATAACCAGTACCCGCCACCATCCCCCGGCTCACCCTTGCCGCCGTATGTTGAGAGGCCGGTGATGACACCGCCACCGCCGAGTTATTCACCTTCCTCACGGGACGTTGGAGGCGGAGGAAGCGGTCGAGGAGTGCCTGCACGATCGGTGAGCAATGATCCGGAGCTGGCGATGTACGAGAGCAGTGCGTACTACACCAACCGTAACCGTAAGCAGCAACAACAACAGCAATTGATGCAGCAACGGCGGAGGCAGCAGCAGGAGCAGGAAGAGAAAGGAGAGTGTTGCTCGTGCTTAAAGGATATAGGAGAATTTTGTCCGTGCCTGTGTTTCTGTTGTCTCTTTGGAGCCGTTGCCGTATAGGAATGTTCATTGTGTTTGTCTTCTTTTTTTTCTTTTTTTTTTTCTCCTTTTCCTTTTTCCTTTTCCTTTTTCCTTTTCCTTTTTCCTTTTCCTTGCTTCTTGAGGGCAGGTTTCCTCCGAAGATGCGCAAATGCGCGCACCGCTTATTGAGAGAGAAGGGTAGTAATAGTAATAGTAATAGTTGTGAAAAATAAAAATTGTACAGTATTCAACTTGCATTATGGCCTCGATCTGCTGAGTGAAGGTGCTCTTTTAAGCAATTGCAATTTTACGAGCGGGGGTACCTGGGAGTAGAAAGGATCGGCAGCAAAAAACGCCCCTTGTTCTCATCCCCACACCTTTCAGCCCTAGAATGCTGCTACTGCTGCGAATCGTTCATCGGTACACTGTTTCTCAGAGGCTGATGAGGGTTCCAAGGATACTTCCTCTCCCCGAGAGAAAGCTCGTTGAGACGATCTCGCACGGATGTTAGGACCCCAGTTTTCATCGTGCGGGCCAGGTCTCTACTTCAGACCCCCTAGCCTTCTTCATCCTCACTTCTGGTAGATCAAAAATGTACCCTCTGTGCGCCGTCTGTACTTCCAAATGGCTGTCTTCAGTGCTGTATGGCCATGGGTCCTGAAGGCAGAATCAATTGCCCAATGTTGCACAGACACATCCCGCCTCCCGTTCGAAAACCGAGAGCGATGTTCTTATACCTTGGAAGCAAGTTTTTTTTTTCTTTTTTTTTTCTCTCATCTTGCATCCATCCTCCTTAGTACCGCCGGCATTCATTTTTGACATTCCTTGCGTCCCTTTCTGATACCACTCGCATCAGCACCAGCGTTTTCCTTTGATACTAGTAATTTATGTAGACACCCCCTGTAATGCCAGACGATTATATTGTGGAGATTCCTGAGGGCACCTCCAACATTCAACCAAAGACACTGGAGCCCACATCAAATACGAGTGACACTGTGCAGGTCAATAGCCAGGAGAGTGTGATTGCAAACAGCACAAATGACTCGGTGTCGCAGCTAGATAAGACCGCGGATATCCATAACCTTCAGCAAGGAAGTCTCCAAGAAAAGACTCCTATAACTGAGAGCGAGCCCTGTATGTAAATCACAAAAAGACAGCTGTCTCTTTTTAACTGTGGCCGCTCATACTGAGATATACTGTCCAATGGTTATTAGCATTAAAGGTCTACTTCAAGCAGGACGAAACCAAATTTTCTGCAGACGAGTCCGTATTCATCGGCACGAAAGAGTAAGCATTCTAAAGAGAAACTCGGTAATGCGTACTTTTGTAATAAAAGACAGCAAGCTGACCTCAATTTTACAACTTAGGCAGCAGCCGCCTGTTCGAATAAATGCGTCCCACCGATTCGCTCGTGTATGTTCAGCAACTTCTTGCTTCGATCGAAGCGTATGATTATATCTTCACAATGCTAACATAATGGTCCTGTTTAAATGTAGTGGGATGGCAACACGAAAGGATTGAAGGCTGGAATCTACAACATCGTTCTTGGACTTTCGACGGCGAATCTAAATATGGAATGTATCGAATCCATCGCCTTCTGTTACAGTCATGATTCACATTTCTATAGCCCACTCGAGGTAGGCTATCCAAGCATCTTAAAACCTGCTGTTTGAAAGTATATATGCTCATATGGACTCATGGCGACTAACAGCGAGTATCGTCATAATTCATTTTAGATTGCGACAAGACAGGAACTCGAGAGATTGTGTAGGTCGACGCTATAGGACACCACGAAACGGGAGGAGTCAGGCGAATTTAGGTTGCATGCTCATGAATGAATTCTTGCTGTTTGAATAGCGAATCGTGGATCAGGGATTCTGAGGTGGCAGCTCCATCGGCAATACGAGAGGAATGGAAGCTCAGCATTAAAGCTCCTCGTTGTTGACATGGAAATCAGGGTGTCGCCCAAAATGAAAGCAACCCCAGGATACATTGATCTTTCTTTCATGGAACTTCACGCCATGCAACTATCAAATCATGGTAACGGTAAGAGAAACATTCAGATTCTGAACAGTGAGCAAACGTATATTTCTGGCCTATGCACTACATATATTGATAACTGTCCTCATTCTTTATTAGATCCGAACTTCATCGTACACCGTCCCTTTCTCTGGTCAATTGACGTTGGTCAAACAGTGGGTGACCTTGATGATGACTCCATCCCAATACCAAAAAGCCCCCGAAGGATCATATCCTACTCTCTGTCAGGGGATGGCTCTCATTTATCGACGTTGAGTAAGATGGACAAATGCCTTCAATTGGATCTCTGGAAACTCAGCTTGGATAATAATCCGACTGCTCTGGTCCACATTGATGTGGACACCAAGCAAATTTCGTCCACTCAACCGAAATTGTCTGCGCAGATCCAAATGCCATTGCTGATATCTGGACTAAAGTCCTTGGACCCAATGATGGTGTCTCTGTCCTGGGATGCGTCAAACGTTGCGGTGATAGCAGAGGACGATATGCACTTGGCACGAACCACAAGCATCTACGTGTACCACAAGGATTCTTCGCATCCTTCGGAGAAGAAGATCACCTCCGGACAGCCAAATTCCTTCTTGCCTATGCCGGACGAACATCTTCCCGAAGGACTTAAGGGACTTTGCGGCTATGGGAAGTTCCACATAGCGACCACGAACAATCAAGACGCCCGGGATGAACTGTTTATTACATGCGACATTTTCTCCGTCAAAATATACGGTGTCTTTGGTTCCTGGCAACATCTTCAAACCATTGCCCTCTTCAAACCCGATTCCATCTACAGTCGTAAAAAGCTGATCTCTGGACTGAATGGAAGATACTTTGCTTGCAGCAGTTCCACCAACACAATCCTGGTTTATGACCTGGAGACTGGGTTGGTCGTTTCCCATATGGCGCTCGGTAGTAGCAGCAGGGTGCGGTTTTCGAACGATGGCTCGATGATGGTGGTTAGCCACAGTGGGGTCATCACGACGCGTTGGACAAAGTCAGCCACGGCAATCGCCTCTGTAGATGAGATCGGGTCAAACGCTGCGTTCGCTCATAACGACGAAAAAGTCATCGTGTCTACGTTCGCGGACAAGAGTTACGGGCGAGGTGAAATAGGCGCGATCATGGACGCAACAAGTCTTTCAGTAGAAGACATATTATCTATCCCCATGCCTTACAAGGAAGGCAGGCAGAAGCACATGGACAATCACGGCTTGACCCTTTATACAGCACATGGATCCAAAATTGACTTAATCCGAGTGCTGGATACCGTCGTGCAGCCATATACGCGTCCGAGGGAGCTATGCGACGAGACATGTTACAAGGAGCTGTCCCCAAATATGGTTATTCACTCAGAGACGCCTCAAGGCGAGAATGAGTTCACTTCCGCCTCAGGATTGACATTCGAACTGAGGTTCCACAACGCTCGCAGCCAGGACTGGACTGATGGTCCGGAACCGCAATCACTTTCTGTGTTAGTCTCAGACAAGCGTGGACGATCAAGGATGGGGCTTACAATTCCTGCAGCCGCTATCGCAGAGCCTCACTGGCTTCAGTTCAAGGGCTTTTTTCAAGAGACATCTCAACGAATGATCGTGTACAACTGTCTTTTCGTGATGGTCTGGAGCCTACCCACGACACTGGATAGCGATTTCACGCTGCTGTCGACATGGTGGGCTCAGCCGATGCCTTTCGAAGTCTCGTTTGAGCAGCAGTGGTACACCACAGGAACTGCGAGGTGCACACACGATGTCGCCTTTCTCCAAACTCTTTCCCTGAATGAGTACTACGAGGAGGTTCCCATGGACGCCTTCCGACTGCACCATCACAATGCGTTCAGCAGTAATCCGATGGCGTTTCTAGACGGCATCCTAGTCCTGGTCGAGATGTTCCGTGCAGACGACGAGATTTTCCAGCAGGCAGTCCTTCTGTACGTCGGTCAGCACATTAACAGCTATCCAGACCCGCATAACCTAGCCTCCAGCGTCCTTGTCAAGATATGCCAGGCAGTCAGCCAGAAGAACCATGACCACTATGCCAAGTTTCTAAAGGCCTTTTTTGAGTCCTCATACTGCCGGTGGGTTCCAAGACCTGATCTGAACAAGGAAACAAACCCCATCTCAATCCTTATGAAGCGGAGCAAGACAGTACCACGCGCGATTGATCTCGTCCAGATTATGATCAGCTATTGTACACGGCAAGCCAAGAAGGAAAAGGAGCGTGACATCCACTTCACATCGCCGATCATGGAACCCCTGCACGAGCTTATTGCCCAGCAGGATCTTCACACCGATCTTGCGCACAGCACTCTCCGAAAGCTGGCATATATCCCGGTCAATGAACGCTCCCATATCGTGGATCATCACATCATAGCACACCCTCCAGAGTTCCGGCTACGCTTTTGGGAACACAGCACAAAGCCGCTGTATGAATGCGGGGATCCTGTCTTGCAGCTGGACCTGAATCCATCAACCACCTCTCACGACCCTCAGAACGACAATTTCACCCGCGACTTGTTCGTTGCCTCGTTCAGCATGTTGTGGTGCGCTCCGGAGGATAAGCCGGACCTGCGACCGTCGATCGCCAAGATCAAGAGCAGGGCTCGGGTGCCGCAATCATGGATCCGGACGCTCTTCCATGTCATCTTGCTGAAGTGCACACTCAAGTCCGCTGTTGCTGTAGAGTGCCACGATTTCTCACTCCAGATGCTGGATAACCCTGCCATCGCAGCTCTGGTTGAGTACAAATGGTAAGCCCGCTAGTGCATGGCTGAGGTGTTCTCTGGGAGGTTCCTTGACTCTCTTTTTTTATTTCATATTTTCTTTGTGCAGGAACACGATCGGCTATATCCACTGGCTGATGCGCTTCTTGTGGCAGTGCATCTATTATCTCTTGGTGCTGGTAGCGGTGTTCATGCAGGTATACCAAGAATATCAGACCTCGCTCACTGGCGTCTTTATCGCCATCATTGTCATGGCCACCGTCTTCCTCTGGCTCGAATTGATTCAACTTTTCCATAGCCCGCGCCGCTATATTTCGTGAGTCTCGGATACTTTGCATCGGCTCTTTATGTCCGTTTTATGGAACTCCCAACTGACTCTCGCTTTATGGCTGGTGTAGGTCCCCATACAACATAGTCGACCTCGTCACATACGCGCTACCGCTGGCAGCCAGTGCATGCCAAATCGTCAACATCGTCAATGAGGATCCGAACGGCAACAAAGCGACCCTCAGTTTCTCTGTTTTGTTCATATTCCTACACTGTGTAAGGGTTAAGCATATTACCGCGCAAGTCCTCCACCGCACTTTTCTTTCTTTCTTGCCTTTCTAACGCTCGAACCGGACTGTATCTCTCTTGACTAGCTGTTTGAGCTAAGGATCAACAAGAGCGTTTGCCATTTTGTCACCATCATCATCCGCTGTATTGGTGAGATCCGGGTTTTCTTTGTCGTCTTCACAACGGGTATACTGGCCTTCACGATTGCGATCCTTCACCTGCTTCATGGATGTCCTGCCGGCTCTTGTGCATTTGACGATGTTGCTCTCTCCAAAAACTTCTTCAGAGCCATCTCATCCACATATTTTTTCATGGTATGTATATGAAACAGCCAAATAGGATCCACTGTTCTGGCGTCCGTGCTAAAAGTCCTCTAAAGCACTTTTCCTTCTCTTTCGCGTACAATATGTCCTTCAGGGCGGTATCTGGGATCCGATCAGCGACGATTTCAATTCCGATAACTATGCATTCCATATCATGATGATTATCTATTTCTTCTTTACGACCATTCTCTTGCTGAACGTTCTCATAGGTAAGTCCTTGAAGGGAGCGAAGAGACCTGAGGACGACAAAGCGCTAACCGTATATCGTGTTGACTGATTCCACTTAATTATTTCTATAGCACTGATCAACGTGGCCTTTGGTGCCGGCGACGAAACATGGTACTTGGTCTGGATCGAGAACAGGCTGAGATACGTCGAGGCTGCGGAGAATATGAGCCACCATATTCCAGGTACTTCTTAATCCCTTCCTTCTCGTTTTTCACCGCCACTTTGAGGATTTGAGCTGTTCATAGACCTCTTTCTTCAACTGATAGGTTTCAGAGAGGCACATAACTGGTTCCCGAAGGAAATTTACTACTCTGCGACTCTTCAACAACAGAAGGATTACAGAGCCAAACATCTCAACAAGAAAGGCCAGGACTCTGGAAGAGGCGATGCCACCCATCGACTGTTTGGACAAGGCGCGCCCGCCAAGAACGTTACAGCCGCCTCGTCTATGATCATGCGCGAAGCGAACGCGTCTGAGGATACACTGTTGGAACAGCATCAGCAGATGATCCAGGAACTGAAGAGGGATCTGATTGAAAAGCAGGAAAAGATAGAAAAGCGAGTGGAGGACCTACATATGGAGCTGACAGAGATTAAGCACATGGTAGCATCCTTGTGTAAGGAGCCATGATAACAAGAATGTTCTTACGCTTGCCATAGAGACAGAGGCTATTTTGGATGTATATATATATATATAGTGCATTGGAGCGAATATAGAGAACTCGCGCGTATCTGTTGTGCTGTGCTGTGCTGTGCTGAGAATATCGAAACACATGTAAATGACGAGCAAGATGGTGAGTCTGATATCCGGTCTGTCATCAGATTTATTATCTTTCGCCCATTCTTCTTTCTCGGGACTTGGAAATAGGAGACGGTTTTTGCGAGACGTTTAGAGGAATACTTGAGGATACGATGCGCAAAGAAAAGGAAGAAGGGAATGCCAAAAGGTACAAATACATGAAAGAGGAGCTGCTCGGTTTTTTTCTGTCATAGAACTTGTTTGGAGGAATGGTTTTCAGTGTTGCTTGTAATGATAAGATAAATAAGATCCTAGTTCTGTACAGTACTCTCATGAAGAGTTGACAATAGCGGGTGGGGCCAGCACACTTACTGGCGGGTCCGGCCACCATCGAAGCGACTTTGCTGGCCTATTGCGGTTCATAAAAGGTAAAGAGGCGTCATCAGTTGCTCCTATCTACAAAATACCGAAAGCGCGGGGATGGATCATGGCCTACCGCCATATCCGCTTCCCTGGTTGGTATGGGGTCCGCTGTTACTGCCGAAATTAACGCGGTTATCATTGCAACGCTCGGTGACGCGGTCAACCTTGATCCTGCGAGTCTTAAAATCCGTGTCGTTCAGCTCTCTGATGGCGTCTTCAGCAGAAACGCTGTCAGCATAAGTGACAAAACCGAAGCCACGGGAGCGACCTAATACAGATTCAGGAGTGCCAGAATATGCTTATAGTCATTAAAAAAATGAGGCACAAAAGACAGTAATGCGATAATCTCTAAGTAGCGTACCAGAGATACGGTCCCTGACGACTGTAGCCTCGACAATGGTACCGAGGCGCTTGAAGTGATCACGAAGGGACTCATCAGTGGTATCCCAGAACAAACCTGCTACAAACAACTTGGTAGTCCTACAATGATGGTTGACAGACGCACTTAAATAACCAGTTGTGCAAACCCATTATTCAGGCAACATCACTTTGATGCCTACGATCAGTAGGTGCGTACTCCATTTAAGGGCACCCTTCTAACAACTACCACCTGGCAAGATAGTGTTAATTAAGTATGGCTGGTTCAAACATTCATGGTAATGACCCCAAACAAAAGGATGGAGTGACGCTACGTACTCCACGCTCCTTACGCGTCGTCTTCCTTCAGTTCATCTTCGTTTTCAACTGCATTTCCGTCTTCAGCTTCACTTCTATCTTAATTTGAATTACGAATCTGAAGTATCGTACGTAGTTTTGGAACAACCTGAACGTCTCTTTTTTTCCCTCTCACGCTGATCAATTTCTCATCTCTCATCAACTCGAAAGCGAATCTCTTCTCGCACTCTTGTTTCACCGGGTAATTTGTTGTCGATATTTGAGTATTAAACAAAGGAATAAATAGGAGTGCGCTCAATTGATAACATATACCTGGCATCAATGAGAATAAGTGATTAAGACAGCGACTCGACTTACATTGTTCAGAGAGAACGTTGTTGTTGTACAGCGCAATCACAGCCAGTATTCCCCAAAGGCTCGTTTGTAACAAAGTTCGAGGCCAAGTACAACCTTTTTTTTTTTTTCTTGTACATTCAAGATGTCCTGCAGGAGGTCTTTTGTAAAGCAGGGACAAGGGAAAATGTTTGCACACGCGAGGGAGTAATGACAGATTTTATTTCGCATCCATCGCTAATGAGCCGATAGACTATCTATTGATCCTGCGCTGTAGATCCTGTTCAAAAAGATGTGGTTCAAGAACCGATGTGCGGCTACGCACACATGGCTGTTAATCCGTGTTTATCTCGCTCGACTTGCCTAGGTATAGATGGTGGCCGGCGCCTTTGAAGCGGGCCCATTTGACGGGCCTAACATGGACTGCGAACCCGTTGGGGACGCAGACAAGGACTCCAACCCAGACTCGGGTATAGAGTCCTGGGCCTCCTTCACGCCCGATACTTTCACAGCACGACCCGTCCCTGGAACCTTCTGGTCGCTTCCGACCTTATCCTTCTTTGAGGATTTGAATATGGATCCAATAAAGGAGCCGACTGAGCGAACAGACCGCATGGACCCAGTCACCGAGATCACAGAATGATTCGAGCGCAAAGATCCTGGCTTCTTTTTGCAATTACCTTGCGGGGACGATGGGGTCAAGGACGCGGACGTTGTGTGGGAGGCGAATGACTCGGTAGGACTACTAGTAGCCGAATACGTTACGACGATGCCATTAGGTCCCGCAGGAAGCGGCTGTATCTGTTCTGGTATAGACCGCGGCTGTGATCCATGAGGGTAGTGAATGTAAAGCAGGGGCCTGAGCGAGAAAGAAAAAGAAAGGTGCGGTTAGTTTTTAGCTATGCTATGGCGACCATGTAAACCAATAGAATAAACAAAAAGGTTGCATACATTTTCGCGCCCATGAAGTGGGACAGCATCTTGCCACGCTGCTTCTCGCCGTATCGGTTCTTTGCGAGAACCCCTTCCTTAACGATGGCAATTGCGTCCGGCATGAATTGGTGCTTCTTCAGGACCTGGTTCATGACAGTGAATACCAGATTGATAATCGAGGCGTCCGTTTGTCGCACTTCTATCACGCAGACCACAGCTTGATCTACTTGGAACACGATACTAGAGAACACAACAAAAAAATAAATGCCAATTGTTAGCACTCAATCTTTCCCATGTGTTTAAGTCGAATACCTTTACAACGATGAATCATGTTTCCGCTGCTTACCATCCACTGGGCATAATAATAGGATGCGCCTTCTCGATCGTCGTCTCGACATCTATCGGGAAATGTATCAGCCCATTGATCTCGAACGTCTCTCCGATCGCTCCCAGTACAAACAGAAGCGTAGTCGCGCAGCCCCCATTAAAGTTCTCGTGCGCATAGTTGTGCAAGAATCCAATCTCGCCCGTGCGAACGAAGCCCATCCCAGGTCCCATCCTGCCATCCTGAGTAAGGCCGTAGCCAAGACTGCTGAGGCCGCTGTTCGCAGAAACTCCATGTGCGATCGCAGCATTGAACTGGCTCGCATTAATGCTCAGTATAGCAGAGGAAGAGGCCGAGTCGGCCTCGATGACCAAGGGCGAGGTGATATAGGCTTGCACGTTCGCCTCGGATGAAACCCAAATTTCACCAATCTCGCCTGATAGACAAAGTTCCCGAGTTTCTGGGTTCACGATCGCCACGGTCGTTCCGCATACAGGCTGAAATATGAGAGATAATGTCAATTAGTGACTTGAAAGAATAATTGATGGCAGTTGTAACAACATTAACTTACAGTGCCGCTGTCCTCCACCCAGATCCCCATTGGATCGTCTTTTTCTGTCGTGACCTCAACAACGCCTCGACGAAGACTCTTCAGCGACAAGTGCAGCCGCACAGGCTCAATATTCATGTAGGACCTTGTCGTCACCATTGGGTTCGACATATGTCCAAACATTCCGCTAATATGCGTTCTGGCTATATGGAAACCTGCTGGGTCGTGTGGCGATGTACCACATAACCGTCGCTCGAGTGCTTGCTGAGCCTCTGTGCGAGGTCTCCCTTCCATACTGATAAGAAAATTGCGAACAGAGCATAGCTTGAGGGTGGGCGGTGATCTCTGTCGGTCGAGCGCTGCGAAGGCCCGCTCGACCATCGCGTAATCGAGTAAAGCATCCTTGGCTATAAAAGCGTCGGGAGTAGAAGAAATAAAATTTCATGGATCTATATGAGTGTATATCCAGGCTGTAGTAACCCCAACATGGTACAACAATGTATACCTTCATATTTCGCAATCGTCTCCAGGTAGATCTGAGGCGTCGCCAAGAAATCTGCATACTGGATCAACAGCGTGGGCGCGCCTACATATACACCCAGCACGCACGCCTGCAATAACCCGATCCCCACGAAGTCCTTCCAGCACGATACGATCGTTCTCTCACTCGTGAGCCGACACTGGACCTTTTGCGCGCAACACTGTGCCAGGAGGGATGCATGGCTAATCTTAACCAGAGTTCTTTTCATATCCGAGGAGTAGTGCGCGTACACAACAGCTGGCGCGGTCTTGACCAACGACGTTCTTGGTGGTGAAGTGTATCCTGATTCCTTGCCAAGGACTTTGTTGACCTTGGGCGCCTTGGAAACATTGAAAACCGTGGGTACAATCGCGTCCTGGCGGGCGCCGATACAGGCCTTGATATGGATCATAGTCGTCTTTTGCTTCATCACCTCCTCTGTAACGGAGTTTCCAATCAAGTGCGGTACCCTAAGCTCTGTCAGGAGTCCCATCAACAGAACAATATCCTCAGGCAGCCTTGACATCTCTGGAACTGAGACAGGGACAGGAACGAGTCCCAATAACCAGGTGGCATATATGGTCGCCGCAAACTCCACCCCATTCGGGAACAACAGCACAACTTTGTCTCCCGGCTTGAATCCTCCTCGCTTTTCGATATAGCTGGCAATGCTGACGACCTTCATGCCGAACTTCCTGAATGTGATCGCCTTGGCATCCTTGCCTTGCTGATTCTGTTCCAAAAAAGCAGCCTCCTCTGGATTCACGATCGAGCGCCAGACGAGCAATTCCACAAGGCTCGAGAACTGCATTAGGTTGATTTTGAACTGATCATCGAGAACTTCCAGAGGACGATCGCAGCTAGAGAACTGGACCGTACGCGTATGCGCCGGCAATTCTACTTCACGAGCAGTCAGCGCGTCCAGACCCCAGATACCACCCATGATGTCGTCCCCCACCGCCATGCTGAATACCGTGTCCTCAACTGAAGTCCAGAGATGGGATAGCACCAACCAACCTGATTCCAGCATTTTTTGACAGAGGACCGGATGGATGACACGCCTGCCATTCTTGTAGGCACGAGGTAGGGCCCCTGGTGGTGCAATGGCGATGCAGTATGGACGCAAGCCGTGGTAACCCTTCATGGCTTGCTTAACGAAATCGGCGAGCTTAGCTAGATCGTCGCGTTGGAGGCGTGGTGTCTCGGCACAGATCACAGGCAGGCGCTCGTCGTTTATATATGTCTCAAATGTCACGCTATTGGTAGCAATGGAGCAAGCAAAGCGAGGCGTTTAGGCGTTTTTTAGCACGACGTGCTGGAATATGCAAAAGGAGCGCACCATTCATCTAAATTTACCAAGCAGTGAATCCGATGATGCGCTCCATGACAGTGTTGGCAAGATCTGTCGTGTAGTGGTATTTATAGTAAACAACTTTGCGCTCCTCCGCCGATTCTGGGCCTTGGAGAACTTCTTGTTGGATCCTATCTTCGTAAAGTCCAAAAACGACAACGCGACCCTCGATCAGGCCACCGAGGAGTCCTGTTCTAAGAAATCCTGCTGGCACTGGGTCATAGATCTCTGGGGTCATGGTATCAACAGGTATGATCAACGGCAGTGCATGAAAGAGTTGTTGGGAGTGCTGGGGCAGGTTCCAGAATCCAAATGCTATTGACGGAGAGTCGATCCAGATCTCACCAACTCTGCTGGGTTGACACAACGCTGTGGTGTCCGGGTCCACAATGGCGAGGGTTGCTGTTATACATGGAATAATGTACCGCCAAAAAAAAAAAGTTAGCATACGATATGGGATCTGCACCGTCATGATCTGCTGCACTTGCATTGATACTTACCTCGCGGTATAGTATACCCAAACGCTCCGACTAAAACAACACCGCGCTTTGTTGCTCCTTTGATTGCCTCCTCGCCAGTATCGACGACCTTAATGATATTGCATTTCAGCGCTTCTCGGTCAAGCAAGTAATAACAGATCGCGTCCGCGTCCGTCGAACACGCGCGTGGTTGTGGCTCGGATCCACCCTTGCCCGGCTCCATATGCAGAGGCACGCCGTATTGGAACCCAAAATCGATTTGGTCGACACCTTGGGGGAACATCAGGGAGTCTCTCATACTCAGGATCATCCCTCCGTGCTCCGGTAAACTAGCAATAGGGACGACAGCTGTTTCGGGTGAAGGAACACCCAACGGCTTCAAGAAATTCTTTGTAAACTGTCGATTCACCAATGGCTGGACCATAATCGTGTCGATCAAGAAGGTCTCCAGAGAAGAAAGCTGGCATGGTCGAACGTCCTGCGCTTTGCAACCATGCATCATCTCCCGAACGCCCTCATAGTCCCCCACAGCCATAGTTACTTGGTATCGATGTGCGCATGTCTCCCACAGCCCTAGTGTCTCTGTGATGCCGCTGCGCACAAACACTGTATGACTTCCGCTATAAACGCCGAGCAGTCCTCCTAGTACAAGCCCCACTTGTTGCCGAGGTTCCAGCCAGCTCATAACAACGTCAGTTCCCTTGCACTCGGACACGGTTGTATTGTCGGAGATTACTGTCCCGGAGGATGTGGTTTCAGACTGCTCGGTCAGCCTTGCCGGGAATGATGTCGACTCTCCTTGCTGGTACGCATTATTAGCGCCTATTGTTGCTGTCGAGGATGGTATTGACGATGGTTCTGTGGTTGCTGCTGCATGCGACTTTCTTTTCCTCTTCGGACTAGAGTCCAGTGCATGGTTGAGCACCTGGCACTGCGAGAGAACCGTCCTGTGACTAACAGCAACGCCCTTGAGTTCCCCATTTGGTGCCTTTGTGAACTCGATATACGCCAAATCAGGAAGTGCCAACCCCATCGGTTTCCACTGATCCATCAGCGACCCCAAAGCCTGCCTTTCTCTATTCCTCGGCCTCCAATTGCTCCCCAAGGTATCTGCCTTCCACCAAACGACTTTCTCCAACCAATCCATACCTTTGTGCATATTCTGGTCTTTGGTCAGCTCCATGTAGTTGTATTCTGTCGTGAGTGCGAGCTCCATGTTTGTATGATCGAGGATATAAATCATCTCTTGAAATTCCTCGATCATGTTGATCGGCACTGCGGTCATCCCCGCTATCATGACACCGTAAAATGCCGCCAAAAAGTCCAAGACTTCTGCTTTCCGAAACACGAGCCCGACGCGTGCGCCCAGGCGTAAGTGTGCGTTTTTTACAATCGCCTGACTAATCTTCTCCGCTCGACCGTAGATCGTTTCCCATGTCCAGGATCCAGTCTCATGCCCCTTACTATCGACAGCCGAGAAAGCGGTCGCGTCCGGATCGACCATGCCTCTGAACCGCAGAATTTCCACAATACTTGGAAATTCAGTCATGGGTATTGATGTGGCACTGTCCAAGGTCAGCTCCAGAATCGAGCGGGGCTCGAGCGGCAACATTTGCTTGCCGGCCAGCTCTAGAACGTCGATCTTGGGTCTCTCCATGCCTGGAATTGTCTGTTGAGGGCGCCAAGGGGTATCTATTCGTGTAGTTAGTGTAATTAGTGAGTAAGTAAAAAAAGGAAGCAAGTGCTTTTTAAGGAAAAATAATAATAATGGAAAAATAAAGGTACAGCACTTTTCCGCATACCTGCAGGAGTTCGTGGTCCCTGGAATTGCTCACGATGAGGATGCACTAGTGGTTGACGAATAGTTTGATGGTAAGGATATGAGGGCAGTTGAGTGGCCACCGACTGTGTACTTGCGTGGAGGCTTTTGGTATGCGCAAATCGCGCTCCAGGGCACAGCGGCATTGTTACGACGCAAATTGGGAGGGCGACAAGGTGCTGTGTGTAGCACACAGCAAAAAAATAAAATATGAAAGAAAAAAAAGTATATAACGGCGAGCGCGAGGGAGATCCTTTTAATATGTCCACTTGCAAAGAAAGATTTATCGCTGAGCAGGGCACCTACTTCGGCGCGGTGTATCGCGGTCGATGTGGTAATGCTGAGCGGGATCGGGGGGACTAGTCGCGTTGAAGGCGCCTGGTAATGCAGTGTGTGAGGTCCCAATTGAACAAGTGGTAGGTGGCGGTGGCGAAGTCAATTGGTGGTCATGGTTGTACGAGGAGTTGAGAGCCGCCATTTTTCAAACGAGCATATAAAAGTGTGGAATCGCAAAGGAAATGAGGAAAGTGAAGATGAATGAACTGTGGAATCAACAGCAAGAATGGAAGTCTTCTTACCAAAGACTTTGGTATCTCCTATTCCATTAAATAGCCGAAACTGATGCGCATTTTTATGAGACGTACTTTTTTTTTACACGAACTGGATACTCTTTCCTATTAGCCACGTTCAAAGGTGCGGACAAGAAGTTGCAAGCAACAGGGACGAGGATACGGAGAAAACTACAGGCTTCTTTCTTTTTCTGGGGGATGGGGCACGAAGAACGATAGTTACTGACAACAATAATGACAACAATGCTATGGATTGGATTGAACAAGACCAAGAACCACCACCATCCTTCCAAGCGATTCACGAAAGGTGCCAATTGGTCCCCTTTATTGGTTGGCTCAGTTACCGCCCAGGTTGCATTCACATTCTTTTGTCGCGCTTCCCATGCAAGCATAAAGTACATCACATTGCTTTATCGGCACCAAATCCACGTTTATTAATACATTATCATCCTTCATTTATACCTTTTCGGATCCTTGCGGATCCATGTGTTGAACTTCAGTCGTGATAGATAGACGGCAATCACGGAAACATCAGCCAAAATGATATCATTGCTCCCTCAACTCAGGAACGCACAGGAAACAATATGAAAAGATTGTTCAATGGCAGTGTTGCTTCCATAGTGAACTGGGAATGCAGGGATGTAAACATGCCTGCATAGGATCAGAGCAATTTGGAAACATGGTACCAGGCACAATGGGAGTCCTGGGTCAGAGGCCATTGCATGGAAGGGTGCCACCAACACTGATCCCTACAGCCAGCTATATCCAATGTGAAATCAAGAGTTATCATCCACAGGCTATCCATGTCTCTCGGCATTCTATGTCAGCGTACCACTCAAGAGCCTCCACTGCTGTTACAACCCTCATGGACGGATCCTTTTGTTCTGGTTATTCCCTCATGTACCGATATTTAATCCGTCGTTCTTCTCCGTAAGGGTCGCCTCTCCTAACGTCCCTTAAACACATCTCCAAGGCAGGGTGCGCAATTAAGCCTGTGAAAGGCGCTGTTTCATTCAGCGCATGTGGTCCCAGCGACGACCACGAAGGGTTTATGCTTTCTAGTTGGTCTTTTTTTTGTTTTTGTCTTTATTAAGAACACATGTACTGGTCATGGTCGAGTGTCCATGGACGTAGAGCTCGCAGATCGACGCATCGTTTGACCGTCTGTCACCTGATTCTCATCTAAAAGTGTGACTCTGGACATTCCTTGTTCGATCGTGCCTGTATCAACATCCTCTGGTCGCCTGGTCTTTGCCGGAACACGGTAACCATCCACAGCATCGTAATTATGGTGCTGCTCATTGCCTCCGAAGATCTCCTCCATATCCTGGTCCATATTGCTCATATTCAGCGGGTCTCGCGGTACCTCTCCAATAGTATCGTGCTCCACAATCTTTATGAAAGACGGCGTCGCAGGAACGGAAGCAAGAAGTGACTGTACGTATTCGTCCTCTAGTGAGGATGATTGTGTTGATGCGGATGTTCTTGATGACGATGGTTGTTGGGCTGTGACATTGTTGAGGTCCTGATTAGGGAGACTGAATACTGGACTTGATTTTGTTTCCTCCGCAACTGGCCGCCTGTCATGCTGTGCCTGGAAATCACTAAATGAGGAAAAATAAGGAAGCATTAGATATATTGCTGCAGGCATTGATCTTCGTGCTCGTGCATACAGTTGAAATCCAGGAAGCAATACATACGCTAATTCCATGTCCAATGGTACGATCGACACCCTTATCATCTTGAGGTATGTAGGGTCGGTATTGTCCAGATAGATGGGTTCCTCTGTCAATTGAGCTTCGAGCCAGCGAGATGCTGAGAGACATGTCGACGAACAGAACTTTTTCAGTATTGAAATGTCGAATACTTTGCGCTCGTGAAGCGAGATCCTGAATTTGCCCTTGATATCCTATAAATTAGCAATGGAGAAGAGGGAACGCGTTAGCATTCAGTAATAAAGACGCGATTTTCTTATATTGATCCGAAAACACGCCTTGGCACGGAACACCTGGATACATACGCGTGGTGGTTTAGAGCAGAGAGGGTATCCACAAAGTTTGCCGATGTTTCTTTCTTCAATGACTTCCAGATAATGCGATCGTTTGATCCGATTTGCCTACACATTTACCACGCGATGTAAGATACATGGATGGTTAGCGCCATTCGCTCACTCATTAATATTTTTTTCTTGGCATACATACTATTGGGGTTATGCAAAAGGGCAACTTACTGCTTCACCTAGCGTTTCCTCGCTCACAGGATCCAACAGTATCTCTTGCCACTGCAGAACCATGGTTTCAAACTTCTTGCGCAATTCGATGTTCTGTTGGATCAATATCTGCTTCCTGTTTAATTTGTCTCCTTGTCCCGTAGATTGACTACCAGAGACCGAGGATGAGGGTGAAGGCTTTGGTCTTGGAGGCAGATACTGTTCAATCAACGGCGACTTGTCGACGACAATGTCGTCCTTCATGGTGGGAACGTTCCGTCTTGCCATCTCTTAATGTCCTTGCTTCCTGTTTTCGTAATGTATTGTGCGTCTGTTTTGTTTGAAGAAGAGGGAGAGTGAATGAATCTGAAGGGAAGGACGATGCGAGTCGATGCTGCTGATGCTATTGCTTTAATTACTTTGCGCTCGAGGTGATAGAGGTGATGGGTAAACTTGAGTGCGCGGTCAAGAAGCACTCAAAGACGCCCCTCGCGCCATCACATGACACTCCCCGCACCACAAACGCGACCAACACAGCCAATCCTGCCTAGGACCCTGTGATCCTTTTATTCATCTCTTTGTATTATGTATCTGATCAATTCCATAGGCCACAGCGTTTACGATCTATGGGATTCATGGAGGCCAGTTGACATGAAAAATCGAGAACCACACTTGGTTGGCTGCTATGCCCAGCCAGACCCAGGCCAAAGGAGGTGAAAAACCATTATCCAGCTGCATTCAAACACCAATTGCGTCTTCCCTTGCGCCGAGGCTGCCAAGATAACCGATTGGCACCGGATAGCCTTGGAGGACCTTGAAATAATAAAAATGTGAATCATCCAAAGTGACGTTCATTTTGCTCTGTTTGGAGTGCCTGAGAATTTTTATCATGAATCATGAGTGGGGTATAAAGACGAAGTGGTAGTGGCGAATCAACTGATTCTTTTTCTTGTAACAGCTTCTGTTCATTTCAATCATCAAGATTGATCTTAACCCCTCCCTCAGCAACAACTACCAACAACTCCACCCCACTCCACCTCAACAACCCCCAGCAACAATGGCTTCTGCAAAATTCGCCGGCATGTCCACCAAGGGCGTCACCGTCGTTCTCGGTGCCCAGTGGGGCGACGAAGGAAAGGGCAAGCTGTCCGATATTCTCTCCCAGGAAGCCGATGTCTGCGCTCGTTGCCAGGTGGGTAGAAAAACCATGGATGGGCATTGGACTTGAAGAACATAAGGGGAAACCATGCCACTTTTTTTTCGCTTTGTAATGATCCTCCCTCAAAGTTCACACACTTCTCAAGGCCCATATCTGACCTTTCCTGTATACGAATTGCTTTTGCAATAGGGTGGCAACAATGCCGGACACACCATTGTCGTTGGCAAGACCAAGTATGATTTCCACATGCTCCCCTCTGGTAAGGAGCCCTGATCTAGTCTCTCAGTCGCTTTGAACACTTAACATTCAATCCTCCGGCTAACTTTGTTCTTCATCCGCTGACAATGCACTCTAGGTCTGGTCAATGAGCACTGCATCTCTGTCATTGGTGCCGGTGTTGTCGTCCATGTCCCCTCGTTCTTCGAAGAGCTGTCCAACCTCGAGAAGAAGGGTAAACGCAATACAACGACTCCCCCACTCGGCGAATACTATGTGCACCCCAGTTTTTTTAAGATACCTGATGCCCGCTTGATTTCACCAACCTATTTTTTTTTTTTTCCTGGTGCCACGATCTATTCTCCGCCCGTTCCACCCCTCGCCTTGCCTTTCTTGGTTCGATCTATGACTCTATGACTAACGAACCATCATTTGTTTATCCTGTGTCCCCTCTCTCCCGCCTAGGCTTGGACTGCACTGGACGCCTCTTTGTCTCCGACAGAGCTCACCTTGTCTTTGACATCCACCAGACCATTGATGGTCTCAAGGAGCTCGAGTTGGGACGCGGAAGGTAAACAAAACGAAGATCTTACCCAGAATCCCTACCCGCCAGATGCCACGCCTTAATGACACCTACATACTTCTCCAACTCCCTATCCTCATTCGACCATCACCCTTTCTCATGGTGTTACGGGAACTGATCTTGGCTATGAATGAGTCATGCTGACATTTCTCTACCTTGCTTTCTTTCTGAAATTTACATGTGTATTTTAATTACAGCATTGGCACCACTCGCAAGGGTATTGGCCCAACCTACTCCTCCAAGGCCTCTCGCTCTGGTCTCCGTGTGCACCACCTCTACAACTTTGAGGAGTTTGAACAAAAGTTCCGTGTCCTTGCTGCTAACAAGCACAAGCGCTATGGTCACTTTGACCACGATGTCGACGCCGAGATCGAAAGATACAAGGTATGGATCTTTTATCTTCAGGATCATGGGTTGTGGGACGGATCAGATAACTCAGTTTGCTAACTCATTGCTATCTACATGACTTTAATTTGGATCAAATAACGACAGATCTTGGCCGAAAAGCTGAAGCCCTATGTCACCGACAGCGTCTACTTCATGAACAAGGCCATCAAGGACAAGAAGAAGGTCTTGGTCGAGGGAGCTAACGCCCTGATGCTCGATATTGACTTTGGTACCTACCCCTACGTCACTTCGTCTAACACCGCCATCGGAGGTGTCTGCACTGGTCTCGGTATCCCACCCCAGACGATTGCCAAGACCATTGGAGTTGTCAAGGCTTACACAACCCGCGTTGGAGGCGGCCCCTTCCCCACTGAGCAACTGAACGAGATTGGCGAGTACTTGCAGAGAGTCGGATTCGAGGTCGGTGTCACGACTGGTCGCAAGCGCCGCTGCGGTTGGTTGGATACGGTCGTTGTCAACTACTCGACCATTATCAACGGATACACCTCCTTGAACATCACCAAGCTGGATATCTTGGATCAGCTAGATGAGATCAAGATCGGTGTCGCTTACAAGGTCGATGGAGAGGTCTTGGAGGGATTCCCTGCCAACTTGGCGCTTTTGGATCGCGTCGAGGTCGTGTACGAGACAATGCCTGGCTGGAAGTCGGATATCTCGAAGTGCCGTACGTTTGAGGACCTGCCCGTGAACGCGCAAAAGTACATTCGTCGCATTGAGGAGCTTTGCGGAGTTCCTGTGGAGTGGATTGGCGTTGGTGTTGACCGTGATGACATGGTTATCATCCCTCAGGCATAAAGACCATGATCAAAGCTATCGACGACGACGACGACGACGACGTTCATGAGATCGTGCGAGTGCTATGGAAGGTGATGATCTAGACATGTTTGCTTGCGGTGGAGGAGGAGATGGATATGTGTTTTATTACGATTGAGGACTGTGTATTATACCAAGCAACTGCTAGGAGTGTTCTTTGGTTGTTAGAAAAAGGTGCATTGAATAAAAACGATCGCGTTTTTGAATGTGAACACCAGGACGATACTGCTCTGCCCATATGTTTATCAGAGATCGCAAAGATCTGCTGTTAGAATGAAAAAGTCCAAGGAATTTTGAACTTCCTCTGCCTGAGCTGTTGGATTGTCGAAAAAGACGTCTTTTTTCTCACGTGCGACGATCGATTGGCCAACTCGTGGGTTCTTATATATAATATCCTCAAACACGTTGTTCTCTTTGCAGCTTCTAAGAGGTGCACTGCACATCCTCTCCTCCACAGATGGCTCTCATCTGCTTGAGTGGAGAGGACCCATGCGAATTCGTCCCATGGAGGCTCCTCTTTCTTTTTACGTTTTCGATATCGAGCGGCAAACGGCTAACGACTGTTTCATGTTTTGTGTGTGAAGAAATTGGTCCGCACAAGCGAATGGAATCAACGCTCTCCAGCACGCGAACTTACTAAAGCGTTGTTCTGCTCGAAGGATTTTTTTGATATCTTTATTTCTGTCGGGTCCTTTCACGATATGTGATTACAGGGCAGTTCTGGGGAGCTGGACTTGGTCCATCTCCATCCGATTCACGCATGCATGCGCACGCGCACGCACACACACACACACACACACAACCAAATGTCTCCTGTGCTCTTCTTGTTTTTTTGCAAGGGTAACTAGCAACCCTCATGAGCCGGGAACCTCTTACTTTTGCTGTTGATGTTTCTGGTGTTCCGTTATGGGTGCGTGCCAATTCAATCGCTCAGACCCAGACCGGGTTCTTACGAGAGCTTAGTCCGGCTATCTATATTTAGCGACGAACAGGGCCCAATACAAAACAGGGCTGGTTAGCCGTTAACAGGAACCGAAGAACGTGCAGTGGTATATGAATAGATGGCGGGCCACTGATTGGCATGTGTGTGTGAGACCCTCGGTAGGATAAACAGGCATGCACAGGACTTTCCTAGGAACAAAGTATTAGACACGCCGGCTAGCGTAGGATAGACGAATGTGCGATGCTAAGTAACCCAAGCACATCGATAGTCTATCAGTTCTTTAGCAAATGACAACGATTGACATGTGCAGTGACGCAGCGTGCAAAAAAAAGGGTGGAGTGGACGTCCTGAAAAGATAGCTGTCCAGCACTTTAGTTGGTCTAAGAAAAGGATGGACAACCGCAGCAGTTCTGGGTTGACTCTCTGATAGGCAACAGAGATAGACAATACAGGTACAGCTGGATAGAGTATTCATGAGATAGGATACACATGTCTGTGCACAGCCTCGTTTTACTTTTCCAGTGGCACGAAGGAAACCTGTGATTGCGACAGCTGAAAAGCACATAGACTAACACAGACACGCCATTGAAACGGAGATGGTGGAATTGGAAGGACAAGCAAGAGAGCGACGGAGAGGGACCACAACAGTCCTTAATTTATATTGTGGTGATGGTGGTGATGATGGTGACATACTTGTGCTGGTTTTCTTGCGAACGTGATGTTTATTGGTGTGTTCGTGCTTATGCTTCATTACCTGAGGATCCATCTTCAAACTGTTGGTCAAACACGACAATCGATCCCCCACACCATACACGCATATAACGAAAAATAAGGTAACAATGTCGCCATCGACCACCACGGAGTGAACAATTTAACACAAACCCAACACAGTGGGGGATATGCATGTAGGGTGCAGGGTTCGCATCTGCCCTGAGCTTCTTCCTTCCAGTTACTTCGATCTCTTCCCCACACGCGAGGAGAAAAATGACGATCGTCATAGTCTAGTCCGTAGCTCCCCCCTTCTCTCGTCCCTGGACGAACATGTCCTGTTTAGGAGTATATACATCACACACAGACGTCGAAATCCAGGTACCAGAGCATAATGTTGAACGGGGGACCCCTTCATTTTTCATTCCATTACAACAACGACAGAAACTCAAAAATGTAAACACCTTCTTTTCTAACCCGTTCCACCTGCATGCAACTGTAATGTTATTGGCGACTGAGGGACTGGAAACAGGAAACAGGGGCAGCAAAAAGAAATATATGTACGATGGTGATGACGACATTGTTACCAATGAGTTCTTTACGGTTCACACGGCGCGCCTGCGCGCGCGCAACCTTTCCTCGCGTCAAACAGAACAGAAACGGAAGAACCCTACGTGATATTTTCCCCACTTTCCTAGATGTCAATTGCAATAGAAAAAGAAGAGAAGGGGACGTAGTAAAACGCATATGTCATCACGTAAGAAGGAAACGAACGAGATCAGATTCCCAGATCGGATCTTCAAACAAGTGTCGGCTGCACATAGTGTCTCCGGGGCGTACGGTACTTCTGCTACAAGGTGCGTAGTCTAGACACACACGTATCCACTACCACTTCTGTCACCCCTATGCTTTGCTGAGTAAGTTTGTCACATATGGATCAACCCCAGATTTTTATGACGGGAGAAACAGGGAAAATATGATGCGAGACCAAAATTGGCCAAAAGAGAGAAACAAGGCAATCGAAACACGACGATCCCTTTTTGTACCTATCTGAGATTCGTCAAGAAAAAAATATATGGCTTTGCGCGGAGCACGCAACAATTCGCTGTGGAAGAGAGACCGATTGCTAATCGCGATCAACAATCATATCATTCTTATGAAAAGTGAAGGGGAAGGAGAGGGAAACATAGAGAATAAAGGGATTGACGTGGCTAGCAATTGATTTGTAAACAAGATATGGGTGAAAGCTTCCCTGTGCGCTGTGCGCTGTCTCGCTAGGCAAGGCAAGGGAAGGCAAGGCAAGGCAAGACTAGGCTCAGGCCAGGCATTGGACCATCAACCAAACGGATAGTAGAATCCAAGCACGACGGGTACGTGTACGAGGGACGGAGGGCTGTGTGTCTGCGCCCAGTCCAGAGTGCGGTCTGTGGAGAAACACGAAGGAGCGAAGCACGAAGGAGCAAGGTGGACCGTGGATGGCTGTACCGGCAATGAATGGATGGCACCATAGATATCGAGGGATGGCAACACGCGCACGACGTTTGGATGGCATGTATAGTCTAGTCTAGTGCAATAGAGGCGCACTGACAGGGGGCGGCCAGTATTCTATTCTATTCTACTCTACTCTACTCTATTCTATTCTATAATCGATACAGATACGGATCGATACAGGCAAAAGAGTCATCCTTGGGCTCAGTGGTGAGGGTGGTACAGCAGACGAATCAGGACCACGGACAGCAGCACCCGTCCAAGGGAGCGAGATTTGTCATTTTTCGTAGGAGTGAATCACCGAATAGAATACAGGCCAATTCAGTCGCATACAGCCCATTCAGTCGGATGAAAAGATACGACAATCAGATGGTAAAAAATGATATGTGTATGACAGCGATGTAATCACATCGGCAGGAGGAGTATAAATAGGCCCTGTCTTCTCGCCTTCATCCCCTTCTTCCTCCTCTTGCATTCTAAAGAAACTACTTCTTCTTCTTCCTTACAGCCGATCTTCTATGTTTCTTCAACGACAACAGCACCTCCACCCCCAATTGCCCCTCCTCAACAACACGCTCTCCATACTCCGAGCCATTTCTGTTCCTGTCAGCTAGCTATTTCTTTTTTTATATTCACATCTCCTATTTCTCAACTTGAGCACGCTCCACCACCTCTTCCTTCTCTCCTTAAAAGAACAACCCCTCTATCCTATTCAACAATGGATCTGAACTGGTGCCCAGTCTGCGAACAGCACATCCCACTCGCCTGGGAGGTAAGTTTCTTCTTCGCTGCAACTTTACTTCACCAACAGCACCAAGAACGACAATCAAGAACACGATATTAATCTTTCTTCACTTCCTTCTTGAACCATAGTCGAGCCTTTACTGCTCTGATCGCTGCAAGAAAGCCGATGCGGCTGCCTCGAATTCGGGTCTTTACCCAGCCAAGATGCAGTCCTTCTCCCGCAACCAGAGGACCTCGATCTCCTCTCCCTTGTCCTCACCTTCCTTGGGCGGCGTCAACTCTTCAACTTCAGCAACGAGCACGTATCCATCCCCACCAACGTCGCCGATGAGCAACTATGTCTACAACAATATCTCAGCTCACGGTCGCATCTCCCCGCCTTCGTTTTCGTTGGGTCAACCCGCATCAGCTACAGCAGGAGCAGCAGGATATGATCTTCAGTTGCGCCGCAAGTCAGCGACGACAATTGCAGTGCCACAGTACACGACCTCAACAAGCGCCGCGAACAAGAAGGGATTCTTTTGGTAGTTGGACGACACAAGTGCACGCACCACTTGGCTTGGTTGCTTGCGCCTGTAACAAACATTCCTCCGATTCTCAAAAAAAAAAACAACCAAAAAAACCCCCCAAAATTCTTGTACATACTCTACCAAACCAGTCTTCTCTTCCATCGCGCCTTGTATATAACCACAGAAAAGCAACTACAAAAAAAAACAAGCACTCGTCTTTGAATCCTTTTTCGTCCTTCAGTATGTATAATAGACCTCTAAAGTACTATCTTCTAATAATAACAAGTACCTTCTATCGAAGGAAAAAAAAAATCCAACCTAATTCTTGAACAGTATGCATGGGATGGTATCCGAAAGCTACGATCAGGTTCTGGCTACCACTTTTTGTATCCTTTGTCTAGACAACTCTTTGTTTCCTCTTCTTCCTCGGACGAGGGGAAAGGGGCCGGAGAGGGAGCGGTACAAGGTCGAAAACAAAAATGCTTCCTTTCCCCACATTTTTTTGGCAGGAATGTAAGGGAGGGTGTGGGAAGAATAATAATAATCATGCGAAATGGATCTGGACCCTGATAAATGCTAGTCTGCCTCCTCCTCCTACCTAACTCCCTAACCCAACCTAACCAAACGCGTCTCTCTTGTCTATCGACCCTCGCCCTGAATCCCCCTCCTCGGATATTTCTCACGAAAAGATTACGATATGGTACGGTTCTATACCGCACCCCTAGTATTTTTTCTTTTTTTTTTTCTTTCTGGCGAGCCTTGGATTCTAGAAAGTCGTGATCATAACCATAAGAGTAACTAAGGTTGTTGCCAGCTGACCTCTTTCTTTTGGGTTTCCAAAGGCTCGGGTGGATAGAGGCGGGGAGCAGGATCAGGGGACACGGGGCAGGGATGCGGGGTAGGGAGGCAAAAATAAAAATAAAGAAAACGTACGCGGGAGCGCGCAAACCTTCATGGCCGGTTGATTGGTCTGACCGGGAATACTGTAAGTTCGCCTCGCTATCGCCATTAAGCCGATAATTCAACGGGGCTCGGCAAGAATTTTGTTGAAGAGTTAATTATCGTTATCGGTCAAGGGGACATATATACCCTGTGATAAGGTACGGCGCAGTGCAGTATAGCGGCCAGGGCAAAGAAAGTCCCCTCATATTAGGCTACGGCTACGCGTGAGCACTTGAACCTCATCTGTAGTCTCGTAATTTGCAATTGTGCATACTTGTCGACTGATATATCGTCTCGAAGGCTGGTTAGCCGCTTTGCATGGGAAGGCAGATGCTGGAGAGGAGTTGGCGATGAGGAGGATTTTCAGGCGTGAGACTTTAGTTGATCAAAAGAAAAATGAAAAGCCAAGATGAAGCGCCCAAGGTGCGCACAGGGAAGGATGGAAATAGAAAATAGGTTCTCTCCCGTTCCCGGACAAGGTGCCGGAGAAGGTCAGAGACCGGTGCAGGGGCGGGATGTGTTCTGCCTTACTTCCATTTTGTTGTTTTTCTTGTCGGAGGAAGAAGAATAGCGCGCGACTTGGTATATCTAGATGTCTAGGAAATGTCATCCATAGCAATGGTGCTTGTTGGGGGTGCTTGTTGGGGGCGTAATAGGGAAAGTGGGGTATGTCAATTTTCCTGGAACCACATCGTGGGTGCTACATGGTCAAATGCTCCCGCTGCATAATTTTAAAGAGTTTTGCAGCTCATCGATTGAAGAAGTCGGCACTCAACGCAGACCTGGTATGCAACGAGATAATCTGAACCTATCATGACTTGATAGGATCAAAGAAAATGAGGAGCATAAGTTTTATCAGTATAGCAATTGCCGCTCTTTGTCACTCAAGGACCCCATATTCCATCCGCTGTTCAAAAACTGGCGAGCGGCGTCCGGAAACACGCCCTACTCCTCGTTTGTGGCGGCATCCCGTGTTACGTGAAGGTATTAAACTGTGTCGCCGTACTGTTGAAAAATCGGAGGCATATTGTTGAGATGAAAGTAGAATCAGAACGGTGCGAATGGGAATGAAAAGGCAGCACTGGCTCTATTCTTGTAACAATGTCGCTTTGTCTTTATTGATATCCAAGCATGCAGCATCGGCGGCCATATGCTTTGTAGTCTAGGGTAGTATATAAAAGTGGGTTAAAGAAGCAGAATAAAAACGCTAAAAACGAAAGAAAGCATGGACCACATGCTATTCGATCCAGCCGCGGTTATCCGTCCACCACCATTGCCTCCTGTCCCCTTATACAACTTGGCAGGCGCTCCGGCACTCAGCTGGATATTACGGAAATAAATCGATGTGTCGACTGGTGTAGCATACTCCGGTTCTGAACCTCCAAAGAAAGTCGAGAACATTAATCCCTGGAACCCGACCATGCCAGAGCTCCTATAAGGGATATCATGCATGTCGATGACTTGGTTTCCGTTGATATAGACCTGAAGTGTCCCGTTGGAGTTTCCTGCGGGCTCGTTCAGCTCCATGATCATGTCTAGGCGCGTCCATTTTCCGGACTGGAAGTAGATTAGACCGCGGCCGAGCGATTTACCGTATTGGTCGTTGCAGAGTACGTTGGCGCTTCTGCATATCGCGGACTTCTGGTTTCCGGGCACATACGCATACACTAGCACAGTTGTTAAAGAATAATGATGAGGGCGTGAGGGCGAATGAATATGAATGATGCTGAAAATCCATGGCGCGGCCATGCAAAACTTGCTATGAAATGCAAAACCAAGGGCCTTACCTTCACCAATACCATTCTGGCGCCACATCATTCGCATGCTCAGACAATTATCCCCATTGGACTGGATGCCCCCTGAACACCCATCGTAAGGCGTGCCTCCATAGACACCTGGTAACTTGCCGCCCAGTACCCAATTGAACCCTACAGGAAACCCAACATCGTAGCTAATCATCATCTTTGAGAACGGAGTCGAATCACCAAAGGGATTTGCATAGAACTGGGCGCCTCCAACAACGGGTCCGTATGCAGGAGCATAAGATCCTTTGGGGTAGTTCAACTTCATGACCAACCCCGAAGTACCATTGTTGCCACTCGTTCCTGTGGGGCCTTGAGCCGTGGCCTGTTCGAAGGGATCGTGGGTAAAAGAGATATCGTCCGCTCCGGTTTGGATTGAATGAAAAATGGTACCCCAGTTTTGGACAAGGTATTTCTCGCCGCTGTTGCTGAGCGTAGTGTTGAAACCGGAGTTAGAGTCAGAATCGTTATGGCTCTCCGCGCTTTGGATAGGGCTATTGGGCATGGGTGCGACCCATTTCTTAAGAAAACCGCCTTGGGCGTAGATCTGGTCGCGGGTCAATATTGCTGTTGCTGCTGTAGCTGTCAGGACTACGGTTGCGAGGTAGTATGCAGTGAATAATGCCATGTGAAGACCTATGTTGGATCTAGTGTGAGACGACGACCTTGAGCTTGAAACCATTGGAGCTTGTGCTGATCCGGACTAGGAAATGGAAATGGCAAATGTGGAATATTGAGGGATACAGTTAAGAGGCTGGAGGATGAGGAAGAAGAAAGTGAGAACTTGAACTGGCCTTTTTTTTCTTTTCTTTTTTTTCTTTCATAGTAGAAACCAGAAAGCCGGTCCCTGTGGAACGGTTCGGGGACTTTGCTAGTCAAACGACAGGCATGGATGTATAGACCACCGATCGTAGTTTATACAAGGAGACATAGGAAATGAGGTCAGTAGTTGGATTGATATAGGAATATGGAGGGAACACGCGAAGGAGACAGAAGGGGAACCAAGGAGGTGCGCACACAGCGCGCGCAGGGAGTGCGCTTGATTTGTGGAGTAAAATGCGTGACTCGTACGCGACAAATATCTGCCAACCATAACAAAACCTTTGCAGGGAGAAACTCGCCTACCACAGGAACCAGCACTCATCTCCGCTCATTCGCTTCACTTCACTTCAATCGCTTCCTGCACGCCATGGACGACGACACGGAGATGACAGAACCAGGGCCAGGGCCAGGGCTGGGTCAGGGATCTGAGGCGGAAGAAATGACCCCTCTCCTGCCCTTCTTCTTAAGAGGCACTACCGCCGGACCAGACGACTATCCGCTTTTTGGCTCATGGGAAACGCCATCAACTTCCTCTCTTGCCCAAGAGCAGATCCAGGGGGAATTAGCTACGAACCTCTTGTTCGCCTCACCTGCGAGACGCTCGATATCAGACCGTCTCTCCTCCGGCTCAAGAATGGATGGGGCACAGGACACGCTCAACGTGGAAAAGAGTCGTATCTTGGAGCAGCTCCGGCATATGACGACGGAGGTAGACCAGCTGGAAAACCGATTGCAGGCGGTAAAGCGAAGGCGTGCCCGAATTGCCGCGTCGGCGATACAAAAGCAACAGGAGCTCCAGGATACTGAAGCGCAGGAGATGAGGTATGTCTGTTGAAGGTGATATCAGTTGTTCTGCTTATCTCTGTTTCACATGCATCGTAATTGGACCTAATACCTTTTCGATCTCAATCATGCAGGCAGGTGCTTGGGAGTGTGAATCGTCTCAACTTATCGGACAGTTTAAGAAAGCCAGGAGCCGACGTAGGCCAGACCGATAAACGGGCAGTTAGGACGCCTCTATCGACGCTTTCGACCGAAGCTATCACTAACATCAATGTCGACATGGTAATGAATAGGATATGACCAGGATTCCTGCGTGTTTTCGCCTAAGTACCGCTCGCAAAATCTAACCGTTCTGGATTCTTGCCATATAGATTCGGAGACTACAAAGCTTTACCAATATTGTATTCACATCGATTGAAAACCATACTCTGTCGATATCGGAGGATGGAATGAAAACTCGACGATACCGTATGGAGGGCGTGTGCTTCCAGCTGGAGTTCAATGTCGAATTCACAGTAAACGAGCCAAGTCTGGTTCTCAAGGATACACGCATTGACATACCTCGCAACGTGCAAACGGAACTCGGGAGGTTCACTTCGAGGTTCGTACCAGGTCTATTGTTCGAATCATTGTTACGAATCCGATGTGGGATAGCCGCTAACGCTTGTTGCGACTATTTTTCTATATTAGAGCGCAGAATGAATCGTTGTTGATGCCATTCTTTCAGACGTTCTCACAGTACGCACAGATGGACTATGATCGGCAATCGGCGATGAATAGCCTGGCGAAGCGGTTCCCGCGACTTGTCAAATCAAACCAATCAATCAGCAGGATGGCCAAGAAAAAGCAATCGACCTTGAGTGCCATGGATATTTCATCATTTATGTCCCCAGCAGGTCCTGGAGTGCAGTCAATGACATTCTCTGGTGCAAGGTACTACACTGATCCGAGGCATTATGTTTTGAATGTTTCATGCGCTTCAGCCAGTTCATTGTGCTTTTTTTGTTGGGTTCCTCACTCCAGAAAATCAAGTCCAGAGCTGGTATTCCATTGGGCAATTGACGTGACAGACCAAGGCAAACTTGTACCCTATGTGCGATTGTTACCTCGGATGCCAAAGAAATGTGAGTGTGAACTATATTCTGCAGCAATTGCATGTCAGTTGAAGTCATGCGAATGAATCCATGTACTTATAATGACACCATATGCGTCTCTCTTTTGTCACCAATTGAATTGATGATTCTGCAGGGCGACAAGCGGATGATAAGGCTACAGTGGATGCGATCCCAGCGCAATTCGTTCGACTCCTGCAGATCAAAGGAATAGAAGGGGCTGTTGCCATTCTGCTTAAATGCGTGTTTGGGCGGAAGGCAACTGAGTCCGAGTCCGACGAGGCCGAGAGCGTTGGCGGGCGCAGCTCATGATGCCTCCCTCGTGTCACCAACAAAGAGACCAGTGACTTTTGAGGTGACTACTTTCGCTTTCCCTTTCTCAGTCGTTTGGACGTGGTCGTGGTCCTGCTCATGGCAACTCCCGACCCCATTCACACTGCTAACCTTTTTTCGTCCTTTTGCCCTCACCCTTCCCAGCTCGCCCCGACTATCTCTTCTTAATTGGCTTATCTTGACTGATTGTCCCCTCCTGTGTCTCTTTACCACACTTTCGTCTCTTTTGTCATTCCACTCTCATTCCACACCAGCAACTGCAACCACACCTACAACGGCAACTCTTGGCTTAACTTACTCCTCTTTTTCACTCACAAAGCAGCTTTCCATCAAAAAACGCCTTCTTGATCATCCCACCCTCTTGTATTTTTATCACCCACCGCTGCTGCTCCAACAAACTCATTTCTTTTATCACCCGACCCCTCTTGTAAAATAAAGCAGAGCTCCTTTCCCTTCACCCCTTACCTCGTTAACGCCATGAAGTGGGACCACGACTCCGATTCTGAAGATATTGTGATGGCCGATGAATCTATTGAGGAGCTGACGACGGTCCCGGCGACCTTGAAACAGCACTCAGTGGCCCTTTGCGAGTCGGCGACATCTTACGAAGCCGAAACGGTGGACAGCTCTTGTTCAAGCAGCGTGAAGGTCTCACATACGGCAGTCGAGACGGATATTCCGCTAGAGAATACCCCACCTTCCTCAAGATCGTCGTCGATTTCATCTATCGACGAGCCCCTTACGCCGACATCCGAATTTGGGAGCGGAGCGAGCAAGACCGGCGATGCCCAAGCCCCTAAGTCATCTTTGCACGACAAGGAGAGCGGCTACCCGTACAGTCGTTCTGCCCCATGGTCGTACTCGTCGTCCTATTCGGCGTCCAATTTATCCATGTCGAGCCTCATCCAATCGAAAGAGTCCGTGTACGCTGCGGTGCCTGTTTCGTCCGAGCTGTACATCATTCCCAAGTCGAGCAGTGGATTCTATTGGAATGGAGACCTTTTTCTGAAGCCGCATCAGCGTCGTAGCCTGGGCGTTGACCATATGTTCAACAGCGTGGCGCCGCAACATTATGGCTTCCATGACAACAGCAACAGCATTGGCAGTGGCAGTCATGTTAATGGACAGCAGCAGAACCATCACCCCCACAGTCAAGACACGGCTGTTATCGTTCACGACATCTTGCTGACCGATGTGGAGACCGCAAGAATCCTGCCGTCGTGGCCTTAAATCGAGAGAAATATCCTTTCTGTCATCCGTCCTGCATTTGCCGCTTTCCTGGAGTGCGTTTTGGCGCTCCTTCGCTATACACTGTAAATATCTCTCTTACTTGCTGCCATAAACAAACAGTCAACTCTTTCAGGGCCGAGTGCGCCTATGTCGGCTCGACCGCGGCAGCTCTAACCCCGATTGCAGAACTCACATAATAAAAGCGAGCAAAAAAAAAAAAAAAAAAAAAAATCCCCACCAGGAAAAATGCGACATTTGCAGTGCTGTAGTCTTTGTTTCAAATGCCACTGTACTTTCTCCTTTTGCCTCCCCTCCATGTACTCTTATCTACTTGATGTAACCGGTTCAATTGACAGTGTTCACACGCCAACAAATTGCGCACGCGACAAATGAAATATTTGCTCCACAGTCACGAACGCGTTTGTGGTGTTTATATTTTGATTGAAGGCGCGTCTTAGGTCGCTGCCATCACTTTGCATGTTCGCCTGTCCATAACCCACCAGGACACTTTCAGCTATGGAGGACTATTACGACATCGACTCTATTTTATCGGAGGATCAGGTACTAATCTGAACTCGAAGGAAAAGCGCCAAGAAATAGGAACAAACGATTTCGGCTAAAGCATAACTGGTTGCCCATCACACTTTTAATTCGTGTCTGCTGCATCCTCTAGAACATCAAGTGCGTCTTTCAGAAAAATATACCAGGATTATCATGGCTAGAAGGAGGACACGATGATACGGTTAGTGGACCCTAATGGAAGCAGGGACTTTTTCCTGAATCGAATCGTCTATTCTTTTGTTTCGGTGTCACTAATAAAAGGCTGCCATTTTTGTTATTGGCTTCCGAACAGCTCAAAGCAGGATCGAGAGTCGATATCCCGTTCTGGCTGGCAAGAGAGATCGTGGACCAGTACGTCTTATTCCAATACACTTGCGTACTTTTCAACCCAAGGATGTTCCCAGACATGCTAACGAATTCTCTACCTGTTCCCATTCTTTTCTTTTTTGTTTGTTTGTTTGTTTGTTTGTTTGTTTGTTTTGACTGTGTTAGCCCTGAAGGCACGGTTCCGATGGACATTGAGACACCCGAGTTCTTTGGACCAAAAGTCAGGAATGGACTTCGGGCGGAGGCAACTGTTGTGGATCTTCCGAAATTATGCCCCAGCTTCTTCCGTTTCGGAACGCACTTTCTGCAGCTGTAGGTGTACATTCGAGCATTGAACTTGGAGCAATTGGACAGGACAGGGAGACAATCTGTATTCTATCGGAATTATAATCAAATCGCTAACATTTTCGTCTTCTCCTTCTTTTTCTTCTTCTACATAGGATTGATGACCCTGCACTGGCGAAAGTCTTGGAAGATGTACTGTTGATTATGAACACAATCCCCCCTCCCCCCCCCCCCCTTCCCAAGCAAAGCCATGAACAAAAGGTTGCCTCCGGATGCTGATAACACCGTACCCCTTTCTGTATTTTCATTATTCTCACAGGCATTTAAGGCGAGACTCCAGATGACAATGGATCACACTCAGTCAGGAGGAAACAGTAGCAAGTCGGCAGACTATTTGGATCGCTTGGATGATACCGAGCGCGAATGTAACGATCGATTTTATTTTATTTATTTTTACGGCCTTGTGCCATTGGTAGGAAGTGAGAGTTTCTGCGGGAAACTAACAGCGCAGTCCCCTCCTTCTCTTTTTTTCCTAAAAAATACTCGTAGTATACAAAGCAGGACTGGAGAGTTGCGCATCGGTTCATCACTGGAATCAACAATCGTTTGGAAGGATACGATCTGCAAGCGAGGTGCTTCTGAAAAGGAAGCTGGGCGCATAGGAAGAAGGGCGACAGCAGCCAATCATCATGGATTCTTTACAGACGAACGCTCAGTAATCCTATCTCATCTCTGGCTGGACCCAACGGCATGAGCGCGCTACATTTTTTTTTGTACAATAGACCATATGAAAATAACATCAAAAATAACGTCATATTTTGGACAGTTCTGGCGCTTTGGCATCCGCTTTAGATGTTCAGGGCCGATCAATAATCCATAAAATGGCCTGAAAAAGGTAAGTTTAGACGATCCGGGGCCATTTGGGGGGCCCCGGGTCGATTGCGACTTTGATTGAATATATCTCTTTTTTTTATCTATATAGGGATACGTGTCGAAAAATTGGACAAGTAGGTGTCCAATAGGAAGGACTGCCTAATGGGGTTGTAGCTCAGTTGGTAGAGCGCACGCTTCGCATGCGTGAGGCCTGGAGTTCGACTCTCCACTGCTCCATTTTTGTCTTTTGAATTCTTCATTCTTACTTCTTTTTGTCGTTCAAATTAGGGTAGATTATTCCTTCAAATTATTTATTCGCCGACCCCTACCTACCATATGTAGATGTGTAATTATTCGTCGACCCCTCTGCTATTTGCCGACCCTTACTTCCTTGGCTGCATACAAAAGTTATATGTCGCCCGATCGACTCGTCATACCCCTTCTTGTTTATTGTCGCCCCATCAACTAGCCATATGGATCCCTATCTATTCATTGCAGCAAGGGGGGTGCGACCGAGTGCGGCTAAGCTACCCATGGCCAGATTTTATGGCGAAATCACGGGTAAAGCCAAACACTTAGCGAGCCAGTCCTTAGATGACCCGGGGATGTGCATGGCGGCGCTGAAGATGTTGAACAAGGCCATTAATGAAAAAATGGGTCTATTTGCCATTGAAGACCCAATGATCGCAATTACAAAGGGAAGAACCAAGGGAAAACGACTCAAGAGCAGCATGGAGCAGCCCAGTAAACGTAAAAAGCCGAGGACGACCTCGACATATTAAAAACTTTAATAAGATCAAAAACCTCGCGCGCGCAAGATCCTAGCTCTAGTTGATATATAGGAGATCAATATGGAGTCAATGTAATGGGGTGAATCTCATTGTTCATTTGTAAGATAAAAAAAAAGCCATTTTAAATGGCACCGGGTGACAAATAGGCAAGGAGCAATATAACAAGTTAATGAGGTAGCAAGCAGCCGGGGATCCATATATCTAGTTGATGGGGCGACAATAGACAAGAAGGGGTATGACGAGTCGATCGGGCGACATATAACTTTTGTATGCAGCCAAGGAAGTAAGGGTCGGCAAATAGCAGAGGGGTCGACGAATAATCACACATCTACATATGGTAGGTAGGGGTCGGCAAATAAGCATTTTCGACCGGTCGGCGAATAATAATTTGTTTGTCGTTTGAGTGTTGACCGTTGAGTCCATGGCAGTCTTGGACAGGGGAAGTACCCCTTCTCAAGTTTGTCTCGAAGAGACAAACCATCGACAGCAGCGTTCTAGGAACCGAGTCGGTACTTGTAATAAATCAAGGTCTACACTTAATATCTGTGACAATTAGACGAGACAAGAGAGGGATCTTTAATAAGGCTGTCTGGTTCCCTTTATATAGGTATATAGGTCACCAGGTGGTCTCTTCTATCTAGAGTGATCCTATGAAAGTGTCTGTCCGATATGGCACACCAATGCGAGTATAGACACTTCAAAGCAGCTCAGTCTTTCTTCATATTAACAGGCAGTTGGGGAGTTTCAGGGCTTCGGAAATATGCCGGAGCTGCCGCCTTGACATGCTCACTGGCCTCATCAAAGGCATCGATCATAGCTTGAGGCAACGGTCCCTTCTCGAGGTCTGTTAGGTTCTCCTCAAAATGCTTGATGTTCGAGACTCCAAGGATGATGGCGTCCTTAGCAGTGAGGCCAGCGTGGTGCCTGATCCAGCGCAAGGACGCCTCCAGGAGGGTGAGGTCGTTGGCCTTGGCGGCCTTCTCCAAGGCCTTGACTCCTTCAAAGTGGAGCTTGTTCCAGTAGTATTCGCGGAAGCTACGTATCACATCCAGATGAAGTAGAGTGTTAATAATACGACCGGGCAAAAATATGAACAAAGGGGAGGTGAATTCTGCTAGACATTTTAGCTTTTCTTTTTTTTCCCCATAGTTTGAGAGTCCACTTACACACTTCCGAATCCTGTGTTTGGGTCGAAACGGCTGCCCTCTGCAATCTCATCTTCCTGGAACTTGTACTTGCCCGATAAGAGACCACTGCTGATGACATTAAAGGCGTAGAAGGCGATGTTGTAGTGTCGCAGGCAAGGCAGCAGCTCGGGAACAACGGAGCGATTGATGGCATTATACTATTTAAGACCAAGGCAAACAGAGGTTGGCAAACAGAGGTTAGCAAACTAGAGTGATTGACTCGAGCTAACAGCGTTCATCATGTTGATACCGTATACACTTACGTTGCCCTGGTAGACCGAAGGAAGCACGTAACCATTCTGCTTACAGTGCTCGTAAATCGTAGCCACATGCCACGATGAATAGTTGGACAATCCAAGCTAGAATGAGTCGTTAACAACAATAGAATCCATGTTAGCATGTACCCTTCTGTTTGTTACTGTTTACCAAGGCAGCTGGCGTCAAGGATTAATTCTTACTCTCTCAAAGAGGCCCTCGCGGTAGAGTTCATCGACAGCTTTGAGTGTGACTTCAAAGGGTGTGTCGTAATCAGGTGCATGGAGATAGAAGATATCGACCTTGGTGGCATTCAAAGCTTCCAGAGACTGGCGGAAAATCTTGGGCAGTTGGATGGCATCGTGTGCTCCTGGATACCCAGGGAAGACTTTGGTGGCAATCTTGAAATGGGCCGTTGGCAGCTGGCTCAGGACCTGTGAGCAAATGTGGATAGGACAGTAGGGAGGATGAGGTAAGTGGATCTTGTTTTTGTGGCGCGTTGACGCGTTGACGCGTCGGTCCTGCACACATACCACCGTGATAATAACAGCGTCATCATCCTCCATTTTCACTTCGTGGGTTTTTTACCTTCTCAGTGTCGCCTTGGCCATAGACCCTTGCTGTATCGATCTCGATGTGACCATAGGCGTGGAGCATCTCCAGAAACTCTCCGACCTTTTTCTTTCCACGGACACGGATCACAGTACTTTCGGTCGGTGTCTCCTCCAGTCCGAAAGTCATAGTCCTGTGGATGCATGTGGTTTTGCACAATTAAGAGTATCAGCAAACGGTACAAGTATTTACGTATGGTCATGAATCCTGCGTCGCATTATAACATGAAGGACGTACCCAAGGACGATGCGAGGGAGGTTACTGTTACTCTTGTTTGCCGACATGATGCTATTTCTTTGGAGCTGTCTGAATAGAGTAGGTCGGAAAGTGTGTGGATGAAGATGAGGATGTAGGGGACAACGCGAGGATATTTATATTCAGGATCAAGGTCGTCAAGCACGTAAGTATACCGATCACGTTAAAGCGTCCTACGTCTTGTGCGCATATACACACGTATACGATACTGCGCCTCTGTCTGCGCAGTTGAACTGGATATAAAACAGCAAACTTGCAACTTATAATGCAGCATGGTAGGTGAAAACCTCGGTTTTGCTTTAATATTTCATAGGGCTCATTACACTAGATACCGGCCATGAACTTATACGTATCTCTATTTTGCATATGCAACTCTTACTGCGCAGCCAGTCCTGGCGTATACGGGTGCATTACGCCCGAAGAACGATCGACGCGTCTGAGGGATCCATATCCGCAGGATAGGGTCTACGCTATTTACTATCACGATAACTTAGCGATTAGGGATCAATTGCCCTTTTGGTTTGCAATTATGGGATGTGCAAGTAAGGAGCAGTGCAGTTATGGAATAGTCAGTCAGTTTTGCACTTATAGAGTTTACTGGTCAATAAAAAACAAAGACGGGACCAAATGGTTCCTGATCTGTTTCTTCCAATACTTCTGCACAACACTCCCCTGTACGACTCCCTAAGTCGCTCCATGCGCCAATTGTCCCATTACACTGTACCCCAAATTGGCATATTATGAGGTCCCTCGACCAGGTAACGGCCACGGTCTTATAGCGAACGAGCGCGGAGGACAAAGAACAGCACCCCTCGGTGTCGTCGTCTAGGCACAGGAGCCAAGACAGAGTCCCTTTGACCTTGCTGATCCCTAACCCGAATCTGTCGTCGCCTTTCCCATTCTCGTAAATAGCATTTGTTATCATTCTTTTCCTTCTGCTAAGGACCAAGTGTTCCTCCGAGATCCCGTCTCCAAAGGATGTCATTGTAAGTGTTCTCGGCGTCTGGAGTCTTTATTTGTTTCTACTGTATTCCTACAACTTATCTCTAGGTCTTTTGCTTCCCAATTTACTCCTGTAGTCCTCTGTTATACGGATTGTGGTCCTCGACCCGAGACCCCCTTCCCTCGTCGTCGCTCATTTATTCGCGACATATATTTACAGTAAGAGAATTATTATTTAGAGACTTCGTTGACCAGTAGAGACCTTTATTGAGCAACGTATTTACAGCTAGTATTTTTACCTGATATAGAGCCACAACACCACACCAGCTCAACTGACCGATGTCGGCGAAACTCCTTCTATCCGTCGTTCAATTGACGACGACCTGGTCGACATATTCAACATGATGACAGCGAAGAAAATTTCGCTACGCCGGCTCTTAACGGATGCCTTCAATTCGGATAACGAGCTCATCCGACGGCCTGTTGGACAGTTGTACGTCAATAAGGGTCCTGCTGACATCGTCAAGATCTGGACCTCGAGATTCAGATCCAAGGGAAAGCACTGCGAATACGACGACTTCACTCTATCTGCCACGGATATTGTCATTGACAGTGCAACAAATGGGCTCAAGGAACTCACCAGGATCAAGGATTTGCAACTCCCAGCCAACAATATTTCTCCCGCGACAGTCCAGAAATTTTTGTTGCGTCTGATTGAGAATCTTGGACTGCTTGGCGCGTGTCAATCCTACATGCAGTCAAGACGCATCAACAATTGTTATCGCCATTGGCAGTATGTTGATGAATCTCAGCCCCCAGAAGTCAAACTACCGACAAATGATGATGGGGCTTTATTTACACACCTTGGGGTGTCCGAAGCGCGTGATAAATGTGATCGCCGCGAGTGGTCTATCAGTGGCGCACATGACGGTCTGTTCGGCCCTCAGATCGTTAACGATGCGTGCTCTCAAGGAAGTCTGCTCCGGAATTTTGAAAACCCATGGTACCTGGTGTATGACAACATCAACATTGCGAATCGAAAATATGATCAACGAAATTATAATTTGGACGCCTTCGACAGTGGAACAACTGCAATTATCGTGCTCGGCGAGGATATCGGCTTGGATCGAGATACAACTACCCTGCCTACCATTGCAGACTTTCTCCCCAGTGAAAAGAGCCAGGCGCACTTCAGGTGAGATACTGGGGACAGAAACACGACTGAGAGAGTATTGCGAACTAGCTTCTTTTTTTTTTTTTTTTTTTTTTTTTTTTTTTTGAGTAATACTAATTCTAGCGATTGTTTATAACATAGAGCCGTCTCTCGATTCCATCTGTTCGATGCACTTCAGCGACATTTCATTACCTACCGACGTTACTCGACCCAAGTTCATCCGATAGAGCTCCCCGAAGTCAAGGAAACAAGAACATTCCCATTACCTACGATGAAAATCAACCAGTCAACCGCAGCAGGCAATATTGGGATCCTTGAGACAGTCATGAGGGACACGCTCAGATCGCCTGGAGAGCGGTTCAACGACCATACGAGAATCATTGTTGCAGGGGATCAGCTTACGGTATTCAGGATAGTGTCTTTGCAGGAACTGCGTGCAGCCGATACAACAAATCTCAACCAGATGCAATGGGCGGTTCCTGTAATGCAACTCTTCCACCTCCAAATGGTTCTCTGTAGTACGATCCTTCGCACTCATTATGGATTCGTTTCGACACCAGGGCCATTGGCTTATATTATATCCATGTTGGGGCGCAAGCGCCTACGCCAAGATACGTCGAACTTTCACGCCGCAGATGAGCTAATAAGGCATACTTTCGACGCAATGGCCAGACGACTGTGGGAGGTCGAGTTCCAGCTAGACGTCGACAACGTGGACATGTATAAGTGTGGACTGGAATCTTATTGTGAATTGCTGAAGAGCAAATCCGACATACAGGACAATGTTTTCAAGGGAGTGCAACAGGTACAACTGTTTATTCGAGAATGATGTCATGGTCATAACCATGCTGCGCCTAGTTTCAAGAGCATTCCAACACAACTGTGTCTAGTATATAAGAGCCCTTCAAACGTAGGATTAGACAGCAATCAATCATCGAATAAACCTCTGATTCCACCCTAGAACCCCTCCGACTCCTGACTATTTGCAGGGAGCCACAGTAATTGCTCAAAAATGTCATGCCGTCGCGGAGGAGTTCGCCAAGAAACACGGCAATGCAAATGCGAACGCGCTTTTGTTCCTCAGGGATGCGATTGTCTATATTGAACTGGATGCAGCCATCAGGATGGGGGACATCGGGCGTATCAAGGAGGCGCTGGAAATAATAACCGTCATATTGCGAAAAACTATGCGAACGAACTCTTACGTCTGACATATGAATTTCGCCACGCATGGTCTGCACAACGGAGGGCGGCTATTTATCATTATGGCTGATAAATACCAAAGGCAAGAAGAATGCAAGGATGCGGACTTGTATCAGGAACATAGCAATCTGCTGACAAAAGCTATTCAAGCGGCGAAGGGAAGCGATATGTCATGAGAGGTATTAGCCAGTTCGATATCAACAAACGTCAATAAAAGAATAAACGGTCTGGTTCCTGAACCAGAGCCTCCTTTTCACCTAAATCACTTGTATCACATTGGCATACAACGCCTCCAAAGGGATTGACTTCATTGTCACGACTCCTCGCCTCATCGGACATCATACATGCGAACTCCTTGCAACTACCCCCATCATTCCAAAAGGAATATAATCCTAACTCGATCCATTTAGCTAAATAAACCCCACATTTTTTTTCCCGTCTAATCTATTTCATCTTTGTGCTATTACATCTAAAGGGAGATCCTGCACCACGAATCAGTAAGTGATCGAGGTATTCCCATGCAGAAGTCCTAATCGCGTGGCATCTCCTACTGTAAGTAGAACTAATAGAAGTGGTATATAATTTGTTGTTAGATTTCTTATATGGTAGTATGTTTTAGTTTATAATAGTAGTTGACATTCGCCAGTGCCTGCGGATATCGACATCAGAAGAATAACAAGCTCATCCTAGGGCCTACATTATCTTCAGCCAAGGTCCTTGTCTGGCCAACACCGGTGTTCCGTTTGCTAAAGATTTGTTCAGCGAGGGCTTCGGAAAGCTGACAGCAGGATGCTTCCAGGCCTTTGTCGAAAACAATATAGCATACGAGGGTGATGAAGACATGGCAGGCGTTCTCGCAAACCTTGCGAAGGAGTATACTACCTTCTATTTCCCTGAAAACTTAGAGACGGATGAATATAATAGCTCGGATTCAGATGTAGATGAAGTGTTTGCGCAACGGTGGAAAGACCTCAAAGGTAACTGATTTATTATTTTTGCGGTCAACAATTTACATTCAGTACGCTAAACACTTAATCGCGGTGGGGATAACACTATATATCTCAACTGTCGTTGTGCTTTCTACGTTTTCTTTTTGTTCCTGTAGTAAAGTCTATGGAAGTCGAATTTATGAACGTGACCTTTGAACTTGCTGTGGATTTTGGACTTTGAATAGCCTGGACGCGACCAAGATTATCTGTTCCATTCCCATCGATATTGAACTGCTGTCGTTGGTGCTACGGTAGTATACTTGTCGGACGTTTAGCGTTGATATTCTCGTTCAGTCCGATAATAGTGGCGGCGAGCTCTTTTAAAAGACCATCGCTCATAGGTGTCCAATTGATAAGCGACCGTATCGAATCGGGTGCCGTGACTTTTGCACATCTCTCACTCAACCTCTCGATTAAATCGTCCTCCGATTCTAAGAAACAACCAAACTGGCTTGTAGTCCCTTTTATGCACCATCAATCTCCAATTCCTTATGGGCTCCTTGGCAAGTTCCTCCTGCTCTGACGCTCGCGTTGGTGCCCGAACCTGTGATATGACATCGATATGGATATCCTTGTAGGAAACCTGCGACTGCAGATGAACCGGGTGGCAAAAATCGCAATAGCTTCCATTAGGTTGATTCTTGTTACCAAATACCTCATTAAAGACTTTCCGGCGACATCCGTCGGTCATGATATACTGCGTGAGGTTTGGGTCGGCAAACTTGGTGTCATTGGACGACGGTAGTATTAATAAAATACCGTGATCCTTGAGTTGCGGGTTGTGAGCTGCACGGCCAAGACGCTGCACAATAGACGAGATACTGGAGTCCTTGCATGGCTTGTCGCTTGCAACTTTCGGACGCGTCGGCGATCTTATTCCTGTCGGCAGGTGGCGCCAATTTATTCAAGTAGTTGGACTATTTCACGGTCTCCACCCGACTCTCGGAGTAGGCGATGGTTTTCTTGAAACCGAATAGAAAATCAAGCATTTTGAATTCCTCTTTATGCCGAAAGTACTGGACTTCCAATCTGATATTGGCGCGATCGTTACCGACGTTGATGACCTTGACTCTCGACCTGAAATGAGTCAGCTTCTTGAGATCCACTAGAATCTACGGTGGAAGAGTAGCCGATACAGCAATGAGCGCTACCCCACGGGGTATCCTCGAGTGCAGCTCTGCGATACGACCATATGACTTTCTGAAATCAGTGCCCCAAGCACTAACACAGTGAGCCTCGTCCAAGACAATCACTTGCAGTCGCTTTTGCCATTTAGGATTAAGCCAGACTCTTTCAGGCAAAGGCTTTCAAAGATGATCCCCGGCGTCACGAAAACTGCCCTAGACTTTTCATTGGCCAAGTCGGCAATCATGTCCTGTTTGAAGCCTTCTACGTTGAGAAATGATATGCTGCTGATGACCAGTTATTGGAGCTTCTGTTGCTGTTCTGGAGATCACAACAATGATGCGGTTGCTCCAGATCACGAAGGGGAGAAAGTAAAGAAGGGTCTTACCCAACCGCATCCAGTAATAAGGATGCAGTCTTGGCAAAGGCTTGAGGGAGACGTTGAATGTACCCTGGCATTGTTTGATGGCCGCTTGAAGGAAACGGTTTTTCGATGGCTATTTGGCGCTTGCCCCCGAAGAAATCATCCCCCTAACCTCTCTTATGTCCCTCAATGCAGCCTTCGGTACGTCTGGAGGGATCTGGTGTCAATAAAAAAAAAGATCCTGTCTCTTATGTCCCAATTTCAACATTTTGGGAGCGCGTCACGGCCACTCCGCTTGTACTTTTTTTTTTTTTTTTTTTTTTTTTTTTTTTTTTTTTTGGCCCGCACAGAACCTGAACCTGAATGTCCTTAGATTATTCGCAGTTCTCGCTCCATTGCCTTTCCGCAGACGCGTCGATCGTTCTTCGGGCGTAATGCACCCGTATACGCCAGGACTGGCTGCGCAGTAAGAGTTGCATATGCAAAATAGAGATACGTATAAGTTCATGGCCGGTATCTAGTGTAATGAGCCCTATGAAATATTAAAGCAAAACCGAGGTTTTCACCTACCATGCTGCATTATAAGTTGCAAGTTTGCTGTTTTATATCCAGTTCAACTGCGCAGACAGAGGCGCAGTATCGTATACGTGTGTATATGCGCACAAGACGTAGGACGCTTTAACGTGATCGGTATACTTACGTGCTTGACGACCTTGATCCTGAATATAAATATCCTCGCGTTGTCCCCTACATCCTCATCTTCATCCACACACTTTCCGACCTACTCTATTCAGACAGCTCCAAAGAAATAGCATCATGTCGGCAAACAAGAGTAACAGTAACCTCCCTCGCATCGTCCTTGGGTACGTCCTTCATGTTATAATGCGACGCAGGATTCATGACCATACGTAAATACTTGTACCGTTTGCTGATACTCTTAATTGTGCAAAACCACATGCATCCACAGGACTATGACTTTCGGACTGGAGGAGACACCGACCGAAAGTACTGTGATCCGTGTCCGTGGAAAGAAAAAGGTCGGAGAGTTTCTGGAGATGCTCCACGCCTATGGTCACATCGAGATCGATACAGCAAGGGTCTATGGCCAAGGCGACACTGAGAAGGTAAAAAACCCACGAAGTGAAAATGGAGGATGATGACGCTGTTATTATCACGGTGGTATGTGTGCAGGACCGACGCGTCAACGCGTCAACGCGCCACAAAAACAAGATCCACTTACCTCATCCTCCCTACTGTCCTATCCACATTTGCTCACAGGTCCTGAGCCAGCTGCCAACGGCCCATTTCAAGATTGCCACCAAAGTCTTCCCTGGGTATCCAGGAGCACACGATGCCATCCAACTGCCCAAGATTTTCCGCCAGTCTCTGGAAGCTTTGAATGCCACCAAGGTCGATATCTTCTATCTCCATGCACCTGATTACGACACACCCTTTGAAGTCACACTCAAAGCTGTCGATGAACTCTACCGCGAGGGCCTCTTTGAGAGAGTAAGAATTAATCCTTGACGCCAGCTGCCTTGGTAAACAGTAACAAACAGAAGGGTACATGCTAACATGGATTCTATTGTTGTTAACGACTCATTCTAGCTTGGATTGTCCAACTATTCATCGTGGCATGTGGCTACGATTTACGAGCACTGTAAGCAGAATGGTTACGTGCTTCCTTCGGTCTACCAGGGCAACGTAAGTGTATACGGTATCAACATGATGAACGCTGTTAGCTCGAGTCAATCACTCTAGTTTGCTAACCTCTGTTTGCCAACCTCTGTTTGCCTTGGTCTTAAATAGTATAATGCCATCAATCGCTCCGTTGTTCCCGAGCTGCTGCCTTGCCTGCGACACTACAACATCGCCTTCTACGCCTTTAATGTCATCAGCAGTGGTCTCTTATCGGGCAAGTACAAGTTCCAGGAAGATGAGATTGCAGAGGGCAGCCGTTTCGACCCAAACACAGGATTCGGAAGTGTGTAAGTGGACTCTCAAACTATGGGGAAAAAAAAGAAAAGCTAAAATGTCTAGCAGAATTCACCTCCCCTTTGTTCATATTTTTGCCCGGTCGTATTATTAACACTCTACTTCATCTGGATGTGATACGTAGCTTCCGCGAATACTACTGGAACAAGCTCCACTTTGAAGGAGTCAAGGCCTTGGAGAAGGCCGCCAAGGCCAACGACCTCACCCTCCTGGAGGCGTCCTTGCGCTGGATCAGGCACCACGCTGGCCTCACTGCTAAGGACGCCATCATCCTTGGAGTCTCGAACATCAAGCATTTTGAGGAGAACCTAACAGACCTCGAGAAGGGACCGTTGCCTCAAGCTATGATCGATGCCTTTGATGAGGCCAGTGAGCATGTCAAGGCGGCAGCTCCGGCATATTTCCGAAGCCCTGAAACTCCCCAACTGCCTGTTAATATGAAGAAAGACTGAGCTGCTTTGAAGTGTCTATACTCGCATTGGTGTGCCATATCGGACAGACACTTTCATAGGATCACTCTAGATAGAAGAGACCACCTGGTGACCTATATACCTATATAAAGGGAACCAGACAGCCTTATTAAAGATCCCTCTCTTGTCTCGTCTAATTGTCACAGATATTAAGTGTAGACCTTGATTTATTACAAGTACCGACTCGGTTCCTAGAACGCTGCTGTCGATGGTTTGTCTCTTCGAGACAAACTTGAGAAGGGGTACTCCCCCTGTCCAAGACTGCCATGACCTTACTGCCCCCAGTTCAAGTTTTGTATCCCGTGCAGGCTCTACCGCTACTGCCCGAGTCTGCTGCCGTTGTCGACACCGAAGGAGCTCCTTGCAGCGCTCCCCACTTCGGACCAATCTTTACCCAAGCCAACTCCGCTCTTGACCCGGTTCCAGAGTGCTTGATCCAGAATAACCTTCTCCTTCATGAGGGCTCCGTTTGTGTGCCCGATTCGTCCGATCTCAAGAAGTAGATCTTGGAAGTTTGTCTTAACTCACTCGATGTAGGACACATTGGCATTGTAAAGACATTTGATTTGGCTTCTCGAACGTTTTATTGACCCGCCATGCGAAAGTATGTTCAGGACTACGTTAATGGATGCGACACCTGCCAGCGGAGCAAAACTAGCCACCACAAGCCCTACTGTCTTTTGTAGCCCTTGCCCATCCTTGAGCAGCCATGGGCTTCGATTTCTGTCGACCTCATCACGCAGTTACCGGAGTCAAAGGGTGCAATAGCAGCAAAGTCAAGGGTCAAGGGCAATGGTGAACTAAGAACGCGTGGAAATGAATGCTGTTCAATGATCATAAGCGGGGCATATATATGCATGTCTATGGCCTATTGTACAATACCACAACGGTGTTATCATGGTGCCAAGCTCGATCCTGGGTCTCCACGCCGTAACTGTGCAGCTTGGCAACCGAATGACAATCCTGTCGCATTATGCCTCAGCACATTGGAACCCAGTATATGTTCGACCAAGCATTTTTTAATAGCATTGCCTTTGTCATTCCCGCTGAGCCCTATTGTGACCTACCTAGACTATTATCGTATTACTAGCAAATGTACGTGGCGTCCCGTAGTAGCCGTCCGAGCACCCTGACCAAGGATCCTAGAAACACATAAATAGGGCCATAGCATCTATAGCATAGAGCCCCAGTCTGCAATACAATTATCCTTTGCCTTGTCCGTCTGCCTGCTTCCTTCTTTCCGCCATTTCCTCTGAGTCTACTCCTGACAGTTATCTTCAAAAAAACCTCCTTCTACAATGTCTCCATCAACATATATTGCACAGTGTTCAGCCCAGCCTTGATAAATCTATTGCAAGCACCAGCGATAATTATTTTGACAGTTCATTTGGAAGATCTTCTGACAATCATATCATTCTGATAATGCCGTACAAAGGCCATGTATAGGAGATTGACAGCTGTCAAGCAGATCCTGTATATTTAGGACCTGAGGGCGACCATTGGACAGAAATTGCACAACAGAGACAGACAGCTTGCGAAACTCGAACTTCAGGCCGAAATTCAATAAGGTTCGCGATTTTTTTTTTTTTTTTTTGGTGGCAACAAACGACGACCAGCGCAGTATGTCTCTCTGTCAAAAAAAAAAAAAAAAAAAGCACCCGTGAACTGGTATTTGCCTTTCTGCTCTCTTCATCTTTCTATCATCCGCCCGCCTCTCTTGTCCATACTTCACCCAGTCCATTATCTTTGCGTTCTGGTATGACAGCCTGCTCAACCAGGTTGTCTCTTTGATCGCGCTTGAAACGAATCTGTTCCTCGAGCTCCTCCGCTAGGATGTCGGTGTCATGACCCAGCAGGCTGACATCGCTGTCAACGTCGTCGGTGTCGGTGTCGATGTGGCTGCCATTGTAAGTGGCGTAGTTGCCGGAGATATTGCTGTCGCTGTCATTGCCACTGCGGGGTATGCGGAGTGGCATGTTTTTTAAGAGGAAGGAACGGTTGAGTTGGCGACAGTAGTGGCGAGATAGGAAAATGAGATGTCTCTACCATACGGCATGCTTTTTCATCAGGTATACTTCCATGTACGTGCTGAACTTGGGCAACCCTTTCGCAATATAAAGATATCGAAGTTCGAACTTGAAAAACTTTATTTCATTTCGGAAAATGGTTTCGCAAGCTGTCTATTCACTCAATTGTTCTTGATAGAGCATCATTCTTCTCTCAATAAATAATGGATAGTCAAACAGCGCTAGTCTACCTGTCGATCGTAAAAAGATGATTTTACTTTTGCTTAGAGGATGGTTGACGGAATTGTGTTAGAAAAAGGGACAGATTTTTCAAGAATAGATCTTTACAGAGGAGAATGAAAAGAAACTGCAAAACTTTTGATGATACCACACAAGATATCATTCCAGAACGGGAACAAATGTGCCATTGAAAAGATAAATAATGCGCTTGGCACTTGAGTGTTTGGATGCACATGTGCTGCGCTGCGCTACCAGGTGATTTGCCAAGTCCTTAAGATGTTGAAGTACAGATTTGAGGCTATTTTGGCGTCAATAGGTCTATGCGAGGCGTTAATGGTCGGGTCTTTAGCCCGGCGGCTAAAGAAAGGAGAGGGCTGTGGATAAGATAGAAGATGGATGGTGCGGAGTCTACGTCCATTGAGAAAGATGTGTATGAACGCTTTCATAAAAATTCCCTAGGAACGAGTTTATGTTCTAGGTGTTCATATAAAATAATTTAAGGAGGCGAAAATGTGGGTGTTTATCTTTTTAAAGTAGTTTATCAGATCAATATAAGATGAATATGAAGTTGGATTCGTGGATCACGAAAGATTGTTTGGTCTTGGTTCTGATGCAAGAAAACGTTTCTCCTCTCTGTCGCGTTGAAGCTGAAAGGCGAAAACAAAAAAATTCCATCATGTAAGACGCACGTGTAGTCCATGTTAAGGTAGTAATGAACGAATTGTCGGGCCGACAAAAGAGTTCCAGGGCGGTGTCTCGCATCGATGTAGCTGAATTTCAAGGTTATGGAGTTACCATTCCCCCGAGACTTATCAGATCAGATAAAGCGAAGTTACTGCGCAAACTTATCTCTTCTGGATCTCAGAGAGCCGTCGCACTGAATTGTGAATGCAAACACGAAAAAGTCTGCGCCCTCTGTATGCGTGTGTGTGTGTGTGTGTGGGGCCAAAAAAGCCAAAATTGATGGAGAGACTAGTCTATATGTCCTTCCAACTTGCGCATACGCTGTGGAACAAAGAAAATAAGTCGAGCACATGCGCTGATCAATATCCTTGTTTGCGGTTAAATTTACGGAGGAAAAAAATAATTCAACCGAGTATCACAAACAGAACACGCAATGCTACCAGGCAAACAGGCACTCATGATTCTTTTAATGAGTGAAACTGGCGAGGTTGCGATTCCTTTCAATTCATTGTTGGGTCGATGGGAGTGAAGGACTTAGGATGTTGTTTCCACAATCTCCGATCAATCCTCGGGATATTTTTTTTAAAATAAAAAAAGGTCGTGTTCGCGAATGATGCCCTGAGGTGGATCATCCTGCGGACGCAACTACTGTACTCCTGCTCATGAGCGAAGAAAAAAAAACTGCTTGCATGTCGAGTATTAGCTGGGAAGGTAAGTGTGCGTGTGTGTGTGTGTGAACGACAACCTGTGGATCAGACCTTCTTCTCCGCACTCCGCGCGGATTAATCCGCATAGAGTTCATAACAGGCAATTTTTTTTTCTCCCTCTCACTCCGCCCCGGCAGGGAACGGGGACAACGCAACGCAACGCAAAGCAAAGCAAAGCAAAGCAAAGCAAAGCAAACAGAAATGGAAATAAAAAGTGATCGAGAGCGCTTGAGAAATGAGATTAAATATAGGGTTGTTGTTTACGCGGGATAACTATCTCCCGAAAGTAAATATTCTCTATTCTTATGGAGGGGGAGAAACACATCAAAGCGAGAGATAGGATACCCTACTTTCCGTGGATGTGGTCTGTCCCTTAGGACCTCTATTTCCTTAACTGAGGTGATGTTATAGCGCGAAGGACGATCTGGCAAGTTGAAGCAGCTGGAAGGCCAGGAGGAGTATAGGCGACTGGACAAGGGGCTGGCTGATTAGTGGTTGAGTGCAGAGCGTTCTGTAGTCCATTGAAAAGCTTCGGACGAAAATGGGGAGTTGGCAGCGGTGGATAATCTATAATGGTTAAGGAAATGGGTGGACGCGTAGGTGCGTGGAATGGATAGAATGGTAATGCCGGTTAGCGTCGCAAAGAGATTCACCACTTGTGTATGAAGGAGCATGGATTGGTTTCCTAATATGATATCGTCGGAAGGCAATTGTCGCCGTTGTTCCCGTCGCGCAGCCAGGGGAGAGTACAAGCATGTCATTATCATACGTTCGCAAGGGAGCGCTTTGTGTGTTGTTACGAGTGAGTGTTTGCTCTTTATCTTTTTAAAGAGAGTCATTTTAAAAGACAACCTTGTTCGTGTTAGAGTCTGCTGCGCTCCAACTGGACACACAACAAAGTCTTGGCCTTGTTTAATGTTATTGCTTGTTGCTGATTAGGTTGTCGAATGAGTGCATCCCCTCTAACAGAACGGGTCCCTTACGCTCTCGCCCCATCCATCGAATGGATGTGGACAGGGATATAAATACTGGCCAAGTCCCGCCTCCCCCACACCCACCATCTTTTCTCTCTTTCTCAACAACAGCAGCTTCCCCTCTCTATAACCCCACTCGTTGCTTTTTAATAGTCTCTCAAGCGATCGCAGCCATACATCGCCGATTTCATTCGCACCAAACACCAAATCGCCTCCTTCTTGGCACGCATACACGCATCCTAACCACCTAGTCACACAAAAAATATGGCCTCTAAAGCCGATTTCAAACAAGAGATGGACGAGATCCCTGCTGCGACCGCTTCTTCCACATCCATCCCCATCCCAGGCTCAAAGGAGACATTCCCCGTCAAGGATAAAGTCGACCAGCACGGCGAGGATGCTTCTTCCATCACCGCCTCAGAGTCTGCGGCGCCAGCCCCTGCCCAGCTCTACCACAAGCCGCCTCCCAAGCAGTTTGTGCTTATTATGATTGCGTACGTTTTTTCTTCAATTACCCCCTCTTCGGTTGGAAAAAACGTTAAATAAGGTATTCGTAACTAACTGTGCCCGATTTTTTTCTTTTGTGCTCTTGTGCATGTGCATGTTAATACATATTCAAATAGTCTGTCGCTCTGCGTCTTCCTCGCCAGTCTAGACCAAATCATTGTCTCGACCTCGATCCCTGCTATCACCAAGGAATACAACTCTCTCGGCGACATATCGTGGCTCGCAACCGCCTACATGATGACCGCGACCGCGTTCCAGCCACTGTACGGAAAGTTTTCGGATATCTTTGGTCGCAAGGCCACCATGCTCTTTGCCAACGTCGTCTTCTTGATAGGATCTGCCATTGCCGGATGGGCTACCTCGATGACCATGTTGATCATCGGACGCGGTGTTGCGGGTATGGGTGCGGGTGGTCTTATGGCCATGGTGTTCATTATTCTTTCGGATATGCTTGACATGCGCGAGCGTGGCAAGTACCTTGGATTCATCGGAGCCATCTTCTCGTTCTCGTCCGTCGTCGGCCCATTGTTGGGAGGCGCCTTCACCGATCATTTGACCTGGCGCTGGTCTTTCTGGATCAACCTGCCCTTCGGTGCGATCTCGATCCTCTTCATCACCGTCAACCTCAACCTGCCAACACCCGCGGGAAGCCTCAGCGAGAAGCTCAAGCGTATCGATTACCTAGGCTCGCTCTTGTTGATGGCCACTGTCATCCTGATTCTCTTGCCCCTCAGCTGGGGTGGCGACAAGTACGCATGGAACTCTGGCATTGTCATCGGATTGCTCTGCGCTGCGATCGTTGTTGGTACCATTTTCGTTGTGGTCGAGTGGAAGGTTCCAAAGGAACCTATTATCCCTATCCATCTGTTCAGGGTCCGCAACCTCTGGTCCACCTACGGTTCACTCTTCTTCAGCGGAATGTCCTTCTTTGGTATCCTGTTCTACCTCCCCGTGTACTTCCAGGTCATCAAGAAGGAGAGCGCCACCATCGGAGGTCTCGAGACGGTTCCCTTCGTCATCGGTATCGTCATCACTTCCATTTCATCCGGTATCTGGGTCCTCAAGAGGGGAACCTTTGCTTTCTTTCCCGCCCTCGGTAACGCCTTCTTCATCCTCGGTGCGGCTCTCTGCATCCTTTTCCAGAAGGACACTCCCCGCGTCGCTACCATTTTTATCCTCCTCATCTGTGGTCTCGGTATGGGATTCACGATGCAGGCTTCGACCTTGGCCGTCCAAGCTGCGGTCAATCCCAAATACATGGCCACAGTCACGACGTCGGTCCAGTTTGTGCGTAGTTTGGGTCAGGTCTTTGGAGTGGCCATCGTCGGTACGGTCTTCAACAACAAGTTGCACAGCGCACTTATCGAGAATTTCCCTGGCGACCAAAGTATCTTCAAGGTCACTCAGAACTACGACCTCATCCACGATTACGCCCCTGAGCAGGTCCTGACGATCTATGATAGCTATGTGCACGCATTGCACTATGTGTTTTACTGCAGTGTTGCGTTCTGTGGGCTGGCGTTTATTATGAGCTGCTTCATCCAGCACAAGGAGCTCAAGACCAATGCGAACCATGGCAAGCCTGAGATGTCTGTTGAGATGGTCTAAGTAGCTCTTGGACACACCTCTTTCTTCATCCGAGCCTTTTATTATCATTGTCATCTCCATTGTCATCTCCATTGTATATCCATCCATAATCTTTCATTATCTAGTCTAGTTCTCATTTCACCATTTTTCTAGTATATATGCATCAACTAATAATAACGACGCTTCACTCAGAGGCGAAGGATTCAATATGAATAATTCCATGCTATGCATGGTGCTTTTTTTTGTTTTATTATCATTATGATTATTTTGGTGGCAAAATATGAAATGTGACACGAATGTCACACTCCGCAGCTGTGCGGGACTTGCAGAACATGAGGGGGGCTTCCTTACTAACGATGACGGCAACCACATCGCTTCGTCTTTTCCTGCACTCTCAAGCGAAGCCAGAGATTCCTCTAAACTAGAGATTCTCACCGACTGTTTTATTTCTATTCAATAATATAAAACGGTGAGAAACGCTACCCTAAACGCTTAGCTTGGTTTTGGGGGGCGCGGGGAAATTAAGGGAAGTGAAGAGGTCATGGTCACGCTACCTAGGCTCGAATCCAGCCTCCCTTTTTCTAGCTTCCTACCCGTTTGGGGACTACGCACTCACTTTTTTTTTCTATTTCAGGGCGCATTCTCCTCGTCCCCTCTCTTCTCTTCAAACAGCCCTCCCATCTCATCCTTCTCCTTCTCTTCAAGCCCTTATCATACACACTCTTACCTCTATTTGCCGCGCTCATCCCCTCTCAATCGTTCAAGTGACCAAGCAGCAGCGTATTCCGCATCACTTCTATCCTTCTATTTATTACTTTCATTACTATCGACCTTTCGCCAACATGCTGCTGAAGATCTCCACCGTGTCCGCCCTCCTTTTGGCCGCCTCCTCTGCTGTAGCCTTCCCGTCCTTCATCCAGTCCGAGAGATTGGCCCCCGTTATTTCCTCCGTCGAGGCCGAGGTCGTTCCTGACTCGTACTTTGTGGTCTTCAAGGACGGCGTCCGCGCGTACGACCAAGCTGCCTGGGTTAGCGACCTTCACCACCAGGACCTCATGATGAACGGCGCCTGGGACGATGGTTTCGACGAGAGCATGATAAACGGTGTCAACCATTTGTATGACATGGGCTCGTTCCAGGGTCTTGCTGGTCGCTTCCGCCCTGAGGTGTTGGATGAGATTCGTAGGAACCCCGACGTAAGTGCTTTGCCTTGTGGAACTTTATTGGTTCATTTAGTTCGATTTTCTTTGTTGGGTTCCTGAAGGGGTGTGTGTGTGTGTGTGTGTTTTTAGGGTTTGGATGCCCGTATGACCGTATGACCTGGTAGTTCATTTGAACAAATCCCCACTGGGCCATGGTCGTATCTGGGACACTTGCCTTCGTATGTGTCTGCTATGGAGAGACTGAGGAGCTGAGTAGGAGGAGGTGGGGGGGGTTTCTTTCATTGTTTCATTCGTGCGTTGCTTTGTGGGTCTTTGCTGTTCTTTACATGATACATGCATTGCATGCGAGGATGCGTACATCATGTACGTGGGCCCTGTTATTGTGTCACGCAGTGCTCTGCTGGTGTGATAACGATGGAGATGCACACTATTTGCGGCTGGCAGTTACCACCTGTTTGCAGGCAGAATGAAGCTTTGGCTTTACCCCTTTCTTCCCGATGCTCCCCTGCGTAATACGCATCCTCCCGTCCATTCCTTCTTTCCTGTGTGCTCGTGACCCGGACCAACAAACGCGCCAATGGAGGGGCTGCCCTGCAAATTAATTTTGCTAATAAAAATAAAAAAGAAAAAGTGGGGTCCATGAGGTCGACACGCATTTAATCCACGTCCCCCCTCTGTACTTTTAGGTCGACTATGTCGAGCGTGACCAGTTTGTGTACACCTCTGATGTCCAGAAGGACGCCCCCTGGGGTCTGGCCCGTATCTCCCATCGCAAGACCCTGACTCTCAAGACCTACCGCAAGTACATCCACGACCCCGAGGGCGGCAAGGGCGTCACCGTCTTTGTCATCGACACCGGCATCAACGTCAAGCACAAGGAGTTCGAGGGCCGTGCCAGCTGGGGCGCTACCATCCCCATGGGCGATGCCGACATCGACGGCAACGGTCACGGCACCCACTGCGCCGGTACCATCGGCAGTCAAGCCTACGGTGTCGCCAAGAAGGCCAAGGTCGTCGCCGTTAAGGTCCTCAGGTCCAATGGCTCCGGTACCATGTCCGATGTCGTCGCCGGTGTCGACTTTGCTGTCCAGGAGCACCTGAGACTCAAGGTCCAGCAGAAGGGCAAGTACAAGGGCTCGGTCGCCAACATGTCCCTCGGCGGTGGCAAATCCCGCCCACTTGACTCTGCGGTCACGAACGCGGTCAACCAGGGCTTGCACTTTGCAGTTGCTGCCGGAAACGATAACAGGGATGCGTGCAGCTACTCACCTGCGGGTGTCGAAGTTGCGGTCACCGTCGGTGCCTCCACTGTTAAGGACGAGAGGGCATATTTCTCGAACTATGGTTCCTGCGTTGATATCTTTGGACCTGGTTTGAACATCGAGTCAACCTGGATTGGAGGGCCTAATGCCAAGAGGACGATCTCGGGAACCTCGATGGCCTCACCCCACGTTGCTGGATTAATTGCGTATTACCTTTCGTTGGCGCCGGAGAACAGCTCGGCGTTCTCCTCGGGACCGATCTCTCCAAAGGAGATGAAGGCGTTGTTGAAGGAGACTGCGACCAGGGACGTGCTGACAGATGTGGATTCGAGGACGCCTAACCTGTTGATCTACAACGGTGGAAAGAAGGACAACTACTATGCCTGGTAAATGGCTGATGGACCTTGGTCCCCCCTCCCTCCCTCTCCAATCAAGATGAAAAGCGGTGAAAGAGAACATGATTCTTTTTGTACATATATATATTATCCCTATTATCTGTTTATTACTACCAATATATCTACCTATATAAGAGCGTCCCTGCAATGTGCAGTAAACGAAATAAACCAGCGCCTCGAGCAAAAGATTTTTTTTTCTAGTTCACTCCTTTGAAAGAGATGAGTATCTCCCAATGTAAAAATGTAGTGACCTGAGTAAAGGAGGATGAATAGATGGGTTCATTCGCTTGAGAACGAAGGAGCTAGGATTCCTTCGCTCGAGGCACTGGAATAACCGCCTAAATGAACGCGACTATCTTGTCTTTGCGAGACAGATGAAGCTTTAGGAATGGGCGAAGTGCTGCCAAGGAATGTATCTTGTCCTATCCTACCTTCAGGACTATCTCTTCTTCTATTTAGCACATGAAACTTCTTTCTGTCTTGCCTCTCCTCTTTTATACCCGATGTAAGTCTTGGCAAGAGGCACAGGACGGTTTGGGTAGTAAAAAAGGTTGATTAATTGGATGCATATCTTCTACGCAGCGGCTAATGTCTTTTTTTTTTTTTTTTTGTTATTATCATCGTCATCATTACCATTGCCACACATGCCAAGTCGACTACATAGAACGCGATCAAATCGTTCATACCGTCAAGGTCCAAAAGAATGCCCCCTTGGGACTGGTCCGTATCTCCCACCGTAGGAATCTGATCCTCGGGACCTACAACAAGTTCAAGTTCATCCACGACTCTGAGGGCGGCAAGGGCGTCACGCCTTTGTCATTGACACCGACATCTATATCCAGCACAGAGAGTTCGAGGGCCGCGCTCGTTGGGGGGCCACCACGCATGCAGGGGACGATGACACTGATGACCATGGCCATTGCACTCTCTGCGCTGGTACACTCGGCCATCGCGCGTACGGCGTCGCCAAGAAGGTCGATATCGTAGCCGTCAAGGTCACCGGATCCGACGGCTCCGGCACGTTGTCGGAAATTGCTGCGTGTGTGAGCTATGGGGTCCAGGAACACCTGTCGCTTCAGGTGGAGCGGAAGGGGGAATACAAGGGTTCGGTGGCTAATATTTCGCTAGGGACTGAGAGGTCACGGTCACTTGATGAAGCGGTTGCAAATGCGGTCGCGCAGGGTCTGTATTTTGCGGTTTCGGCTGGAAACGATGATAGAGATGCATGCCTGCAGTCACCTGCGGCGGCCAAAGGTGCGGTGACGGCGGGAGCGTCGGATGTTAAGGACGAGAGGGTGGACTTCTCAAACTATGGATCATGTGTGGATGTGTTTGCGCCTGGTGTGGGCGTCAAGTCGGCGTGGATCGGGGCTGTCGATGCTACGCGGACGCTGTCAGGGACGTCATTATCCTCTCTTCGTGTCGCGGGATTGATTACGTGCTATCTATCGTTGGCGCCAGAGAACAGCTCGGCATTCTTCTCGGGACGGATCCCACCAAAGGAGATGAAGGCGCTGTTGAAGGAGACGGCAACAAGAGATGTGCTGACAGATGTGGATTCGGAAACGCCTAATCTGTTGGTGTACAACGGCGGTACTACGCGTGGTAAAGGAAAACAAAACAGCCGCAACCTCTGTCGGGCGACGCGGATGAGGAGAAAGGGTGAGATAGATAGAAAGCAGCCCATGGCCGAAAAAAATAAAGCGAATGCTTGCATGCATGCGCGCTATGCATTATCTCGCTTGAGCGGGCAACAATTAAGGTGTGACAATCGGGCGTTAATATCTGCCCTGCCATTGTTGCCGCCGTATGGAAACCACAACCGCCATGTGGAAACCACAGCCGCCACCAGCGTATTTGCTAAGAATAGCCCATACGCGTCCTCTACAAGTTCCAAAGACGCGCCTTTGTTTTGTAAAAGAGGCTGGAGGGACGCGCCGCCCGTTGGCGTGATGGCTACATGAAACGAAAAGCCTGATATTAACTTTCGTAGACCAATAAGGAAAAGACCCGTATTTTCGGTACGCCGTATACTATTTATACTTCCCCCTAATCCCTCAACCCATCCTCTTCATTCAACTTTACCTATTCCTTTCTCCCTCTTCCCCCAATTCGATTAGAATTATCGCGGAAACTCTATGTTGCTGAAAATCGCTACCGCCTCTACCCTCCTTTTGGCCGCCTCCACTGTCGTGGCAAGCAAGCAATCGGTCCTTCATTCCGAGGGCTTAGCACCCATTATCTCGGCAGTCGAGGCCGAACTGGTCCCAGATTCATACTTTGTGGTCTTCAAGGATGGTGCCCGAGCGCAGGATCAAGCTGTTTGGATCCGCGAGCTTCACCATCAGAACCTTCAAGTGAATGGGGCCACCTGGGTCCATGTCGGCAATGACGGCATGACGAGTGGTGTCAAACATGTGTACGATATGGGCTCGTTCCAGGGTCTGGCAGGACGGTTTAGTCCTGGACTTCTAGAGCAGATCCGCAGAAACCCCAATGTAAGCTGAGGAGCACGCTCATAGGCCTGAAATTGGCATCCTCCCCCCCCCTCCCCTCTATTTTATTTTAAGCTTTTGTTCGGCGGCAAAAGAGGAACATTTTGGATAGCCCAGAAGTAATTATAGGGGGACGCCGCGCCGATAGTTATTACATGCTCAGATCTTCCGATCTGTCTTTTGTGCGACAACTTACCGACTGTATTTTATCTTGATATTCAGGTCGACTACATCGAACACGACCAATTCGTGTACGCCTCCGACGTCCAGGTAGACGCCCCCTGGGGTCTAGCACGCATCTCCCACCGCAAGCCTCTAACTGCCAAGGACTCGCATAGGTATATCTACGACCCCGAGGGTGGCCAAGGCGTTGTCGTCTTCGTAATCGATAGCGGTATCAACATCGAGCATGAAGAATTCGAGGGCCGAGCTGACTGGGGCGTAACCATCCCTCGAGAGGAACTCGACTTGGACGATATCGGCCATGGAACCCATGTGGCGGGCACAATCGCCAGTCGAGCGTACGGTGTCGCCAAGAAGGCTAATGTCGTGGCCGTAAAAGTCTTGGGCTGGGACGGTACTGGTACGACCTCTGACCTCGTTGCCGGAGTGGATTATTCGCTTAAAGTTCACCTAGGGCTTCAGGAGCGACAGAAGGAGAAATATCGAGGCTCGGTCGCGAACATGTCCCTTCGGAGCGAGAAATCACGGTCGCTGGATGGAGCGATCACGAGCGCGGTCGAGCAGGGTCTGCATTTTGTGGTGAGTGCCGGAAACGATGATGAGGACGCCTGTAAGTTCTCGCCTTCGGGGATCGAGGCTGCAGTGACAGTGGGGGCTTCGACGGTGGGCGACCGGAGAGCGGTTTTCTCGAACCATGGTCCGTGTGTGGATGTGTTTGCGCCGGGGACGGATGTGGAGTCAGCATGGGTGGGGAGTAAGGTTGCGAAGCAGAAAGCTTCAGGGACGTCGATGGCTTCGCCGCATGTTGCCGGATTGGTTGCGTACTATCTGTCACTGGCCCCGGAGAGCGAGTCTGGGTTCTTTTCGGGACGGATCTCACCAAAAGAGATGAAGGAGCTTTTGAAGGAGACGGCAACAAAGGGCATGTTGAAAGGCCTCAATTCAAAGACGCCTAATTTGTTGGTCTACAACGGAAGAAAGACAACTACGACGGATGATGAGAAGATCGAGTAGCAGAGCGGTGAAGGAGAGAGAGGATCCTCTTTATTATTGCAATCTAATTTATGGTATATACGCGTAATACAGCAAGAACATGAGATACGAAATAAGCGACATAAACAGATAATCGCATGCACTACACCGGCACAGTCGTGAAGTTTCTTGACCGAAGCAATGGAGAGTTGATAGTTCTCTGTGGGAGCCCTAAAAGACGGCCCCCTTTGACGACGGTCTTGATAGCTGGACTACAAAGTGGGCTCAGATATGAGTGCGGCGTAAGCTCATTCCAGGGTTACTACTGGATGCTTCTCTCCTGAGCTTGTTGAAGACATCCATACTAAGCAATCAATTGGGCGCATATTATTTTTTTCCCAAGACGAATGCTCCTGTACCGCAGGTGTTCTTCAGCCCTCATTTCTACAAAGGAAAAGTACAAGTGGTCCGTGCTACGGACCCCGGTCATTTTGCTATCAAAATTTATCTCACACATGCAACATGTGCAAACCTACGATGAGCAATAGGCAAAGTATAGCAAGTATGTCTCCTATCATTGGACCTTGTCCTGCCTCCAAACTACTCACACCATACCTCTTCCTCTATTTAACGCATGACACCTTGGCCGTGGCCTTCCAGTCATTCTTCCGCTCTGAATGACTGGGACCAGTTGTCTCGTCGCCCTACCCTGAGGTCGTCCCGGACTCGTACGCCGTGGCCTTAAAGGATGATGCACGGGTCCACGATTAAGCTGCCTGGGTCCGCGACCTTCAGCACCAAGATCCTCTTGTAAACGGCGGCTGGAACCACAGCCAGGATGGTAAGCTTGCGAGCGGGGTGAGGCACTTGTATGATGTAGGATCGTTTCAGGGCCTTGCTGGACGGTTCTACCCTGGGATGGTTGAGGAGATCCGTAGGAACCCCGATGTAAGTCTTGGCAAGAAGCACAAAACGGTCCGAGTAGTACAAGGAAAAAAAAAAACTGATGATGGAAATGAACACCCCGTCTCTTAGTTGGATGGATCTTCTGTGCTGGCCTCAGCACTGATTTTATTGTTTCTGTTTCGAGGTCTAGCGGTTCGATGCGCTTTTGCCGCCGTCTATGCTCGCCATCTCGGATTCGCTGTTGCAAACGAGTAGTGAGAATGCTATGGTGTTGATACTTCTTTGTGTTTTATTAAACAATTATATCTCCAATGCTGCCATGTTACTGCTCATGTTTTCTTCTCTTGCCTGGGGGCTGTGAGCTTGCCTCCTCCTCCTTCTCCTCCTTCTCCTCCTGCTCCTTCCCTTCTTCCGTACCCGGCTTGCGCGCGCTCTCATCATCCGCTCCTCTCGACCTCCTACCGTTCCTACCGCTTCTTCCATCCGATCCTAGCTTGAGCTTATTACCGGCATTCGCGCCTTTCGCGCTCCCCTTCTTGTGCTTCACGGGTGTACGCTTTGCCAGCTTCGACTGGTACAGAGCCTGCGAGATCTCCGCCTCGAGTTCAAACGCACGTTTGAGCTCAGGTTCTTCAGTTTCCCAAAGCTTAGACGAATCCTTTGAAATCAGAGCTCCTGACCCTTTCGTGGACTTATAGTATTCCTGCTTGTCCTTAGATCGCTGGTTTCGATAAAGTAAAAACGCATTACATGGTTTCTTCGGAGCGTCATTCTCCTCAAAGTCGTCTTGATTATCGTCATCCAATCTTGCTCTCCTGCTTCTTTGCTGCCCATCGTGTTGCATCGCTAGCATGTCTGGTGACATATTGAAAAATACAGTGGGCATTGAAGGCCTGGTGACCGAGCTGGGAGCGCCAGTAGTCGCGCTCGCTTGAGGTTTGCTCGCAGATGTAACTGGGGCCGTGACAGGCCTCATCCACGTTGTCTTGGTAGCGCCGGTTTCAGAGCCGAATTTAGCTCTGTTGTACCTTGGCACGGACGACGATGACGATGACGATGACGACGACACCATCGGTTGGAGTACATCGGGTCCCGCTGTCACTCCCACCTGCGACAGAGGCGCAATTGGGAATGCTGTAAGCGACAGAGGGATACCGGGCAACCCCCTTGGTGCGTGCGACGGGTTTCGAGGCCTACGCCGTGTGGCCGACCATGTCAGCGTTGTCAGAGGGATCTGCGGTGCAGATGCGGTGGGAGCGAAATCATTGGCGGTTAAGACCGTCGAGTCTAAAATAACATGCGAGGAGAGAAAGATACATTAGATCTGGAATGCGTGAAGAGTCATTTTACAATACGTGTACAGAACATTACCTGCAGTGATAGCCTGAAGTTGCTGTTGGGTAAAAGGATACTGATGATATAAATAGGCTGGAATGTTTTGTACCGGCTCCATGTTGGGGGGGATGTGGGCGGCGCTGACTGTATTGTATGATGTCGACAGAGCATCCAATTTGGCGCGGCTACCGTCTTGGTCGGATTGGGCTGGCGCAAAGGCAGATTTCCAGAGCAATGGCTCTGCTGCTGCATCGCTGTGCGACACCGTGTCCGACATCTGGATCGAATGCGAATCGTGCGACAAAGAGGCCGGACTCGACTCCGAAGAGCTCCAGATATCGGTGTCTGATGAAGACATGTTGTTGCAGTTGAATATGGCTTCTGGTAAGCCATCGACCTTAGAAAAACTCGTGGAAATACTACTGGACGACATGCTTTGGTTCATGAAGACCGGCATAGGCGCGGTGTGAATGAGATCCGTTGATGTGTGTTGTAGGTGGTAAGGGAGCGGCTATTCGAGAGTGCAGGGTACAGAAGAGTCAAGAACGAGCAGCAGAAGTAAGTACACGGTTAGTCGAATGGCACCCATCGGACATGCACTAGCGGAGACGTCGTATCCTCTTGTGCCTGAACTCACCGAAATATTCATGCCATTTACCGCCTGGAATGTCGTCGAAGGGGCCTGGGGCACGCATGGTAGTAATATTTCGCCCAAATCAACAGCCGCCGACATAGGCATTACTGACGGCGGCTCCTCATTTGCAATGAAGGAGGGCGTAGGCGCTATAGCGTTGCTACTGCTGTTGCTACAATCCTGTGGGTACTGCTGTAAGAGCTCTTGCAATGGCCAGCTCTTACATATAAACGAGCGCAGATACAGCTCAAATTCTGCATCATAAAGATGTTGTAGAGGAGTTGAGAGAGAACCCAGATTTGATATCTATATTTTCCGTATGGTGTTCGCGACAGAGAATGGAAAGAGCATTGGATACATGATGTACAGACAGTCATTGGGAGGGGGAAGTAGGGTTAAAGTATGTACCATGCGAAGAACGAACAAGGACAGCATGTAATTGAAACAGTATAGGGTATTATACCTGGGTGTAGTCAGCCAAGATACGATGATGCCCACGAATTCTCCCCATGAGGGGCGTAGCGCAGCGATCGGCGCCCTTGTTGCATTTCAGGGATGCCAGATAGTGTTGATCAATACAGTAAGCACCATTGAAGGCGGTGGCATCAGAAGCACTGGATAGAAGGCAACCAGCATAGAAGCTCATTGACCCGCTAGCAAGAAGCGCACTGCTGGCGCCATTCTGCAGCTGTGCGAAGTTGCTGTAATGGTTGTTGGCGTTGCCCATATCCATGGCCGTTATTGGTGCAGTTGTTGGCGTAGATGTTATGGGAAGCATGGAAAAAAATCTTGTCCTCATGAGCTGAATTTACGACGGCGCTGTCGATTTATGTCGTTTTGAGATAGAAAGGCGAACTTGAAAACGAATTCCGGGTTGAAGCATATCCAAGTGCCAAAAAAAGACTATTATGAAAACACATCCAGGTGAAGAGTATGATATGCGCATCAGATAGGGGTCGACAAAAAAATGATAAAAAAAAAGACACAGGGGCGCATGCTGCAGACACGAATAACGTCTGTCAGGCTAGTACAAGGCTAAGCAATCGCCAAGGAATCATGCGTGCGCGACCCCAAAGCGAAAGATTTGTGAGGGTAAAAAGGCAAATGACGAGGATACGACGTGAGAGTTGATGTATGTGTATGGGTGTGTGAGGCGCCAAGGAAATAGACCCTTGAGGGCATGCGGTGCACGGCCAGAGATGAAAGAAATGGTCTGGGCGAGGGACATGCGCCTCTATGCGAATGAGAGAATTTAACTAGCTCTGTTCGAACCTCTCCCACTCTTTCACTCGCTAGCTCACTACTCCCTGCCTTCGTTGCCCTGCCCTCTTGTTGCAGTACACAGCTGTAGGGTGGGAGGGCAGTGTGCATCAATGTCGAGTTGGTATCAAAGTAAATGGAAGGATGGAAGGAGTGAACGGAGTTTCTTGGACATTGCTTGGAAGTTTTTTCAAAAGGACGTATTATTGACCGTGTTAGGCATAGCTTGCCATAGAAAACGGGAGATGGCTATTAAAAGAGCAAGGGCGAGTCCAATGTGTTTGCTTCGAGTGAACAAGGTATGAGCAGCAAAAGATCCTGAAGCACCATTTTTTAAAAAAAAAAAAAAAAAAGGCAGCCTGACCACCCAAGCTGTTTACCGAGACTATGTTCTCGATTTATACGGAAGACCATCTTCTTCTCGCACCAAAGAGAGGATACAAAAAATGAGGTGTCAAAAAGATATAATAACAATTTGGGTGGCAATACCGGGATTTCGGGACGCATTAATATCGATTGTGTGAGCGGATGTGTTTAATTTACATCGAGACAACACTGGTCATAGGCGACCAGTGCAATGGCCCGGAGTAGAGAAGTAGTCTTCATGGCCGTTGTTCTTTTAGCAAAATGGCAATTAGGGCAGGCACAGCTTTAAAAGTTCTGTTGCTTTCGCATACGCACCTTGAATAAGCGAGGATGATTAATGAATGCCGGGTGGTCTTGTTAAGACCCTGAAGCTGAGTGCGAACACTTTTAAAAAAAATCAACGGCCAGATGTTAGGGGAGTGAATCGAAGAGTTGAAGTTTGAAGTTAAGTGTAAAAAAGAAAGGAATAAACCGTGCCTTGAACGTTCCTGACCATGTCAAAATAAAGCTTCTCGACGGCATCGCCTCCTTGTTGTGACACCTTACTTGAATGTTTAAGCCCTTCGTAGATGAATTCATTGAATGTTGGCCTTCAGGGCACTAGCCATGGTCCGCCCCCTTTCTCTCAGGTTTCGGGTTGTGCAATAAGGTCGTCCTGCAATGCGCTCAGGGCCCATCACCTGCACCACCGCAAACTCCCTGCTTGGACCAATTGTTAGCTTGCAGTCATCAAAGCGTCGGCGGCCTTGAACTTCTTTAATATCAGTAGGAGGCATGGCCTGCCGCCGCTGCAAAAAAGAGAAATTTGACGGTTCCATTCATAGCTCATTCCATGCACAGTGGGGCGCAATAACCATTCATTTGATTGCTTAACAATGACTTGAACAACTAAAGCAGTGCATACATCTGTCTCTATTCTGAGTGGACGCTGTGAGACGAGAATAGGCAGGAATGTTGATGTGTTTGTACCCCGATCCAACAGTGTCGGCTAGTATGCAGATGCACAAATGCAGATAAGACACGCTAGATTACTATAAAGGAACAACGAAAGTGGTTCATATAACACCCTCTTCAACACACCAGAACCATCCGACCATGCAAGCAGGCATGGTGGACGGCAGACATGCCTTGGCGTCGTATTGAAAGGAAAAAAACTTCTGTTTTTCATCTGGTTGTTTGCGTGCAGACGTACAAAAGTATCGAGATGGCATAGCAGATTCATACTGTTCCGCATTTGGGATTGCAACGGGGAAAAACATAGCGCTGTTATGTAGGCTTGGCACAGGTTTATACGTGAATACCTTCGACCGATAAGGGTGTAATGTGTCGCGGGTAACAGCATCTGTTACGATACCGTTAGCTTGTAAGGAGGTATTTTTTAAAGACATCACACAACAGGATTCGGTCTGGTCTAACTTGCTATAAGAATTACCATCGGGGAACACAGCTACATAGGTTGCGAAAGTCTTCCAATGAAGACACCAAGGCGAAGTACCCATTCAGATAAAGCGCTTTGTTCCCTTTCTTCCTTTTTATTTTTATTTTTGCATGAAAGTACTGTTCAATGTTTACGCTCAAGAATTGCTGTGTTTTGTTTAATTCGAGTTACTAACAAAAGACAATCGAAAACATGGCCATTGCATTCTTCATACTTACCCTTTACAGAATGCCGTGTTCGCCCAACGTCGCTTTTTAAAAAAGTCCTTTATGTTGGCCGACTTCTTATCTTTTCTTTCTCCTCTTCTTTATTTTGTATTATATCCACGATAGACCATAGCGAGCCAATTAAGCGTGCGGTAAACGAGCGACTAGCATGGTCGATGATCGGAGAGGACCAACAGGCGGGGGAGCAAATTATTCAGAGATTTTTGCTCTTTACCTAGACCTCTACTCAGGGCAGGACTGTGATAGCATATGCACCATGGCGAAGCCCAAGCAGGGCAAATACCATAGGACAGATCAAACAATAAATTCATGTACTATGGGCCACAATTTAAGGTTCGCCTTTCGTGTTCTTCGCGTAGCTTGCTGAAGTCGCGTGGTTAGGCACCCATCGCCTAGTATACATGTCTTTAGATTACAGAAAAAAAAAGCCACGCATGATTCGTATTTATTCCCAAATCAGTGAAGCTTGAGTCAGGGGAAGGGCCAGGAGAAATAGGAGGTACCCCGGTCTTTTTGGAGTTTGTTGTGGGAGACCCTCGAACGCTTTGAACATGTTTACCTTTTGTCTTTTGACAAGGCGAAGTGCCATCTACTTATTACTTTCAAGCCATTTTCATTACTTATTATACTTTGTATTTTGAGCAGGGGGGCGGAGGGGAGGGGCTAGAAGGCCTCGTTCCTTGGTAGGTTCGGCAACTGGTCCAATTTGAGCATTTATAGCCAGCGCAAACCAGGACAAACGCACATGGATGTTCAACTCAATTGACTCTTTATAAAGCAAGAGACTTATTTCATGGTGTCCACCACACTTTGCTACAGGGTTGGAAACCACAGACTGCATGAACAGGAGCGATGCAACACAGAGAGGCGAGTTTTCGACAGATATATTTATTTAAGGGCATAGCTGGCTAACTTCCAAATAGGTCAATAGCCAAACAAAAAGAAGGTCTCGACTTTTCATGGTTCATCGAATCGTTTGTTGCCATTGGCGTTGCCTTCGCCCTGACCATCGTGTTTTCAAATATCAAGTATCGTACGCGTTTTGTGCTGCCTAATCCGCATCTTTGAGAACAGAATTCCCGCCCTTAATAAATCTGCTTTGCAGAAAGTGAACTTGTAATGGCATCTATTGGGTCCTTCTTTCCTCAATCTAATTCAAATTGAAATGGTACTGAGCTGGGAACAAGGCATACATATCCATCAGGAGCACAATCCATCCATCGACATGTCGGCATCAGCGTACTGGCATAACAGTTCAATTACTATCAGGAGTCATCTCAATTCTCTATCGATCGATATAACTCGACTACTACAAGGAATTGAACAGTTTACTTGAGTGATGGGGCAACAAACATGTGGAACCTCTGATTAAGCATTATGCAGGACACCACTGCTCAACATCAACACAGACACTGGGAAGATGTCTTTTTCTGGCTACGAAAAGTACGATGCAGACGGATTCCATGCCGAAACAGACATCCTTCAAGGTCTGCGGACTGGGATCACAGCAGAGCGTTACAGCACATACCCATAGTCGTTGATTCCTTTTCACAAACAGCTTATGGATCGCCTTTCGCAGGAGTTTCAGCAAAAATGAAAAAAAGACAGTAAGCTGACCTGTTGGATTTTTCTATTCGTGGATTCTCAAACTACGTAGGCTGCTGTCAAGGCTTACGAGTTGCAAACCAAGAACAAGGCTGAGCTCACCAAGCAGCTCGAGGAGCTCAAGCAGGAGCTCGCCTCGCTTAAGGTCCAGAAGGTTGCTGGAGGTTCTGCCAGCAAGTTGACCAAGATGTAAGCTGTCATTCTTTGAGAGCGCCAGGAGAGATGCCAAGAAGGACATTGAGCGACATTGTATCAGGAGATAGCATAGCGAGCAATTAATTGTCCCAGACGAGGACTCGTTTACAGGATACAACTACTCCCGCACCGACCAATGTAGCAGGATATGCATACCGTGCACGTTTTGGATTCGCTCATGCCGGCGATAGCAGGACGCATTCTATTACTCATGTATCGAGATATGCGCGCAGAAACAAACGGAGGGACATATCATTCTCGATGCACTAAGGATGTCAACAGTGGAACACAGACCAATGATCTGGCCTTGGTCGACCAGAGATCATTCACACCATTTTGGGAGCGATATAGATCGTTAGTGCACCATTTACGACTATCAATCGTTCAAATCTAACGCCGGATATTGCTATTTGCTGTGCATAGTTCTGCTGTCCGCAAGTCGGTCGCCCGTGTCATGACCGTCATCACCCAGAAGCAGCGCTCCCAGCTCCGCATCTTCTACCAGAAGAAGAACTTCTTGCCCTTGGACCTCCGTGTCAAGAAGACCCGTGCCATCCGTCGTCGTCTTACCAAGCACGAGGCTTCCCGCAAGACCGTCAAGCAGCAGAAGAAGGACACCCACTTCCCTCTTCGCAAGTACGCCATCAAGGCATAAAGGATTCGTACGTGTGTGCAACATTTTTTTCCAATAAAAAATCATGCAAGGGGAAACCAGCAACTAGTTCAAAAATATTTTATACAAGATCAGTGATTAGGAAGACAAGAGCGAATGTACGCTGAAAGCGATCTATTCTAACCTTTGCGCACGCCAGCAACAATGGCTAGCCCCGAGATGAATTTTTAGTTCCGCTGCTGACAATCAAGATCGATTTTAATGATAAAGCTTTACACTGAACAAGATATGCGAAGCGTCTTCGAAGTTTTTTTCTTTTTTAATATACAGCAGGCAGGCAAAAAAATGGTACATATAGTTTACAAGCGAAGGAGCAGGAGAGGGAATAATGTGAGGGATGAAGAAAAAAAATAGGCGAGTAGATCCTCCTGCATTTAGAAGCCGTGCAGCTTGACCTGCTTCTTGTCAACACCGCCTTCCTCCACAAGAAGGTTCAAGACCTTGGTGCGTTGGTCGCCCTGGAGCTGGATGACAGATCCGAGCTCCTCATCTTCCACAAGAGTTCCGTTGCAGGCAAAGTCCTTCTTGAAGATCTTAAGCATGCGCTTCTTGTCAAAGTTGGCAGGAAGACCCTGGATTGTCGTCAAGGTCTTGCGTCCGTTACGCTGCTGAATACGGATATCTACAAGATGACAAATTAACGAAGCAACTGGGCAAATTAGTCATCAATTCCCTTTCAGCCCAAACTAATTAATCACGGAAAGGCGAACCTCACACCCGTAACGAGAAAGAGAACAGAGAGGAGCATAGCAAACAGATGTAAAAATCAGTGTAACTATGACATAAGGCGTATATAAAATATACTACCGTCAGAGCAGGAAACAGACCAAAACGGCCTGTCAAAGCCCTGCTACGGCAAAAAAAAGTTATCATCACTTTTTTCAGGATTGCATGCCTCTCTCTATCCATCGCTCCCAACAAAGAGATAAAAGCAAAAAAATAATTCCCGTAGAGGTTCAAGGGGAAAAGGGTGTAGTGTAAAGCGAGATCGGGCAAAGCCTGGTCCATCAACAATGGAGCTAGACACGTACGGATATATTCCTGCTGGGCGCCGGTGTCACCTGAATCGCCAAGATCGGCAAAAGGATCTATCGTCCGATGAAAAATATGAGCACTTGTTAGGATCAAATCAAGCTAAGCGATCTCAAGATCAAGATCAAATACCGCCATAAAAAAGCGATTCCTTACCATAAGACTGCAAATTTTGAATATCGGACATGGACTGAAAGAAAGTATCGATCGGAGACAAATAAGAGATGTGTGTTCTGGTGACTGAAAGAGTGCGAGGAGTATGTACAGGGGTGGGGGAGGTAAAAGGCGAAGGGAAAAAAAAGAGTGCGTTGCCTTTTATACGATTTCAAAAGTAAACAAAAAATAAAAGGTGACGTCATGTTCACGTGAACATGCTACATATCCAGTCATGATGCCAGTACTCATTTTATTACCAGCCAAGCACGTCTTTCCATACCAACACCCAATGAGTGGTTCAAAAGTTGTCTTTGGTAGGACCCGAGTGCCAAGGCTGGAGCACATGGAGAACCTCGACTCAAAATACCTATGACTCGAAAAAACATCAGCTAACGATCAAGATGCATTTTGTGTCTCTGTATAGTGGGAAACATTCCTTATGAGCAGACTGAGGAGCAGCTAATCGAAATCTTCAGCGAGGTTGGACCCGTTGTATCTTTCAGGTATGTAGCACTGGACTATGCGAAAAGGGCGGATATATGTTGCTCCAGTTATTACGCCGTATGCGTCAATGATGACTATATTGAAGACTATCACACTGAGCCGCAACATTGGATCTCAATCATAGGCTAGTCTTTGAGCGCGAGACAGGGAAGCCAAGGGGATATGGATTTTGTGAATTCCAAGATGAAAGAACCGCAGCATCGGCAGTCAGGAACCTCAATGGCAGGGAAATCGGCAACAGATCATTAAAAGTCGACTTTGCAGAGACGGATCCTGCCAGGAACGGTGGTCGCGATTTGGAAGAGGGATTGTATATGAGAAACATTGGACCTGGATCAGGACCCTCAGGACTTCCACCTATGCCGCCTCACCTTCAACAGCAGCAACAGCCACATTTTATGCCTCCTCAGGGTGCACCACAGAGACTGGATCCTCGACTTGCCAATAACCCAAATGCAGCACTTCCGCCAAATCGACCTCCTATGCCGCAACCGCCCATGACAGGTGCACCACCACCACCCATGGCACCAGGGCCTAGCTCTGCGGACGCCATTTCAGCCGTATTGGGAACAATGACACCGCAGAATGTTTTCGATTTGATTTCATCAATGAAGGTCTTGGGAACAAGTGAGCCTGAGCGAGCTAAGGCTGTCTTGAATGATAACCCACAACTGTCGTATGCATTGTTCCAGGCACTACTCATGATGAATTTGGTCGAGCCAAGCTCTTTACAGGTACATACCGCGTTCTGGATCAGTTCGTTGCCGGCCAATTTCAAACGGAGCCCACTGTAGTCAGCAATCAGTCACTTACCAGACCGGTGCCTTTTCTTAATTAATTGTAGCGAATGTTCCCTTCAATGCCTGGTCCCAAGGCCCCAGCACCGCCTGTATCAGTCCCTCAGCAACAGCACCTTCCGCCCCCACCACCTCCGACACATATGGGAATGCCACCGCAGCCACACCTTCAGCAACAGCAGGTGCCTCCATTTGCGCCACAGGGATATCCAAGCATGGTACCGCAGCATCCACCCCAACAGGGAGCACCTATGGCGCCATCTCTCGGTAGGTGGCATATCTTTTTTTGTTGTTTATTTATTTATTGAATCGGACGCGGTGTCGTGGTGTTAGCCCACTGTATCACCGTATCACATTCTCTAGACTGATGTTCTGACTATATTTTTCTCGTCAATACATTATAGAACAGCAAAAGGCCTTGGTTGCTCAGGTGCTGGCGTTGACCCCTGCGGACATTGCCTCGTTACCGGAGGATCAGCGGGCGAATATCATTCAATTGAGGGCTCAGCTTTTGGGAGGCAACGTTTAGATCCGTTGCATTCTGAAACGACAATAAAAAACAAAAACAAAAACATAGACTGTATGAAATCGAGCATGGGAGTCGATATCGTATCTTTTGATGGTGCGAAAGAGGGCGGATTGTCTGTCACCAATTATTTTTAGCTAGAAAATAAGAATAATGTCACCAATGGCCCAGGGTTTTCATTCTTTGAAAACAAAAAGAAGTTATTGCTTCATTCCCACAATTAGCAATGCGCTTGTCAGATAAGTTTCTCGAATCATCTCCTGTGGTTCTTTTTCTCATTTCAAAAGTCGACATTGGCCTTTTTTGAGGGGATAGGCACCATGCTCAGTCTCTGTGTCAGGTCTTGTGGGAACACCACCGGCACAGTAAAAGCAGCTCCCTGGCTATGGTTGCTGTGCGGCATTGTCATAGTGCCTATTTGGGTCTGCAATAGGAACTGTGAAGCATGCTGTTTCGCTCATTCTATCACCTTAAGCTTGTGGATGTTCTACGTAGTTGCTAATTGAACGAGATTATTCAACTGATCGGTCCAACTCTGACTTGCTCTTGCTGTCAAGTGTAAACGATAGAGGACACCTGTAGCATAAACTTCAGCAATAATGCCTGGTCCCTTAAGTATCGCGAGCACGTCGTGTCTTTTGCCTACCTCTTCTCTACCCCCCCACCCTCCATTCATAAACCCAGACTCCTACGCAATAAACCGCACTACGCTTTTTCACCTGCACCTCCTCTACTCCTGGCTTGGAACTTGTTGTTTATACAACCCATGACTCTCTGTAATCTGCAATTGATGACCTCCCTGTTCAAGGCAGTTTGCTTCCAGTGCACCGATCCACAGACCTGGGCGACAGCACCATTCTTGACAGCCTGGCTCGTATGCAGATGGAGCAATTGGTGCTGTAGGACCTGAAGCAATTACTATGCATATTTTTCGGCACTTTGTAAGGCATTATTGGCTCTTTATCTCTTTATCCCGTACACTAGCGCGTCCTACGCTTGTATATGCAAATATCTTAGACTGAGGCATTGAAGACTGTAAAAATTAATAGATAAGTCGAGAATGGTGCCGATGAGCATATAGCCGGAGAGGGCAACGATCTCGCAGCAAACAATGACTGTAAACGATTGAAATCAGCGGTGTAAACCCAGGATGAACAAAGACTTTATTGAATTGAATGGTGTTAGAATGTTGGGTGCAGCACTATCAACGTCCCAATATAGTAAACATTTGCAACGGCGAATAAGCAGCACAGTGATGGCATATTTAGAGAGGTCTCTTCTTTTATTGCTCTTGCACCGTGAATATCTACTATCTTCTCAAAGAAGAGCCAGGGAGTGCAGAAGTGAATTAGGGTGGGAAATAAAGATGGGACACATGTGGTCCTGGCCCTCAGATAATAAAGTTGAGTCTTCATGTTATTCGACTCTGCCAGCTACCAATATATTTCGCTTTATAGTCGCTGAAGGACAAACCGCGCAGAACTTATTGCAATAACGTTGAATGGCGTGCGGGCGATGCTGGACCGTATGTCCATCAGAGTCCGTACCACATTAATATCATAAATAGGTTATATGGGTTGTAGGGTTATAGTCGTAGCCACTCTTCATCCACTTTACATGCACTTTTCAAGAGCTGGTTTGTATATAGATATTTATTAAGCTTTCATGGTCTCAGAAATGGTTCAGGATGTATAACGCGGCTAACTGGGATGATATAAAGCTGTTGTACGGAACTGCCGCTTCTAGGAAATTTGAGCAATTCGTCAATGTTCCCAAGATCGTCGCAAACCATGCACGAAAGCTGAATCAGAAGTGGAACCTCAAATTCAAAGAGCGGCGCAATGCAGTTCTCCTGGCCTAGGCAGAAGAAGATGCAATGATATCGTTCCAAGCTGGACAGCACATCGTTTTGAAAAAAAAAAACCGGTCGCCGGATATAAACAGGCAACGACACAGGACATGGTGTATTATTCGTTACCGACAAATGCATGGGAAAGGAAGGATGTTTAACGGGAAGCATCGGCTCTTGTTTTGTAATTCGTAGTTTCACTGTCCCGTGTGAATTATGAACCCTGCCGTCTCTCTTCGTCAAACATCTTGAAAACCACCTTAGCCAACATGACCATTCCAACAAGACGAAGGGGACTAGGACGACTAGCCGAAGCCACAGAAGCTTCAGAAGCCGTAGAAGCAGAATAGGCGAAGCATGGTACTAGCTGCAGGAACATGCAAGGTGCACTTGATCTATTACCTGAACGAGATTATTAAAGCACAAACGTGCACACACAGTTTCTGAACGATTATTCCCTTTTTCTTCCAGCAGAGACCGAATGCCGCAGCGAACTCTCGACCCAGCAAACGCTACCCATCCACTCGTGCGAATTCCTTTCATATCAATACAGATGGCCTGATCTGGATCGCGTACGAGATAAACAATGAGGGTGCGAGAGCAGCCTTTCACATATTGCGGCTGTCTAGTGTCGTATTAGAGATTTTGCCTACTTCCTGTAAGTATACTTTTTTTTTTTTGCTTGATTTGAGGACTTGTTCATTTGACCAGAAATGTATACCATAAAACCGTGAATAGCACCTGGGATACCACGTAAGTGCTGGAAGATTTAACGGCGCCCACAGTTTTGACGATCGAGTGATTGCTGATGCGGGAGCTCGCACGATTCGAGGAGTCGCAGCAGCAGCAGCTTTGCCGGCTCAAGAACGACTTGGAATCTGGTTACATCAGTACGTATGCCAGATCAGATCCATTGAAAGCATATTTTTCAGCTGCTTTAAGTAATTGTGAGGTGCGCCTGCAGCATGATGTGGACTAGATTCTGCCCTGTTGTATAGCATCAGCGCGGTATAGAGTTCTCAACACAAAGTCCCGGGCGTAATATAGCTTGGATTGAAGTGAATAATACCTCGTTCTGGATTTGCAGAACTGAAGATGAGGGCGGGGATGAGGATAAAGAGGATAAAGAAGGTAGGATGATTATGGGATGGGACGTGGATGGGCGCAGATTGGTGGCAAAGATATTATTGAATTGGGCTTGAACAAGCTTTAATTCCTTGCACCAGAGCCTGTAAATCCCAGCTAACGCGTCCTGTGACGTATTTGAGCAGGTATTGCAAGGCGAAAGTCATCTCTCTCACCAACCAACAGCACACACACACACTCTCTCCAGGATCATGTTTTGCGCAAGTAAGTCGGCACATCACGGCCAAGGAATACACTGATTCGCGAGCTGGACTCGATCAAGAATCGGCAAGACCGGCAGCTGGACATGCAAAAACAGCAGCGCGTGAGATCTCTGATTGCGATCACCTATTTCCTAATCCTTGGATCGCTTCTTTTCACTTCAACTGTACAGTCTCTGGCGAGGCACCCGAGCACCCAGTGGTGTCCAAGAAGAACGGACAGGTCTATGAACGCCGCCTGATCGTTAAGTATATCGAGGACAATGGCAAGGATCCCGTCTCGGGCGAGGAGCTTTCGGTCGAGGATCTTTTGGATATCAAGACTGGTACGTTGGTGTTACCTCTTGCTGTGCGGCGCTGACAAGGACCACCCTCCGTGGTTTTTACCCCTCGTGTCTCTTTTGGGAGATGAAAATGACTGAAGCGCTGACCATCTTTTGCATTATGACAATAGCGCCCAGCACTGTCAAACCCCGTCCACCTACGATGACCTCGATCCCATCGATCCTCTCAGTCCTCCAGAACGAATGGGACTCGATCATGCTCGAGACCTTCACGTTGAAGCAGCAGTACCAGCAAGTTCGCCAGGAACTCAGCCATGCCCTTTACCAGCATGATGCTGCCTGCAGAGTTATTGCCCGACTTATGAAGGAGCGTGATGCAGCTCGCGAGTACGTCGTTTTTCATTTCACAGGGCAATTGACAACCTTGCAGGGACGCTATTTCCAAGGCGATCTCAAACGCTGACTCTTCCCTGCCGATTTTTATTTACTTTGTAGGGCTCTTGCCAATGTTCAGGCACATTTGGGCACAAAGGCTGCGACTGGAGAGGCTGGAGAGACTGCAGATGTTGCGATGGAGGACACTACGGGATTGCCATCCGAAGTCCGCGAGAAGTTGGAGGCGACAACTGCGGTTCTGTCAAAGACGCGCAGACGTAAGCCCAATACTACTGCAGAGGCGATCCAGACCTACAGCCAACGCAAGGTCTTTGCAGGATTGCATACGGCTCGCTCACCAGGCATCACCAGTCTGGATCTGGATGCCAAGAATGGATTGATTTTGACAGGAGGTAACGACAAGAACGCACTGGTGTTCAGTCAGTCTGAGGAGAAGGTGGTCGCTACTCTGAAGGGACATTCGAAAAAGATTACGCAGGTTGCCTGGACTGGACGCTCAGAGGAGGCTGGAATGGATATGACGTTGACGGCCTCGGCAGACAGTACGGTGAAGATCTGGACGGCCAGCAAGAGCAACAGCTACAGCGTCGCACATACAATTTCGGGACATAGTGCGGAGGTGACGGGATTGTGCGTGCACCCAACGAAGGATTATGTTGCTACGGCCTCGATGGATTCGTCGTGGGCGTTCCATGACCTTGAGACTGGTTCGACGCTATTGACGGGTCGCTCGGATGATGTGACCAAGGGCTATTTTTCGGCAGCGTTTCATCCCGATGGACTATTGTTCGGTACAGGCACGACAGAGACGGTCAAGATTTGGGATGTTCGTACAAAGGAAGCTGTTGCATCGTTTGATGGTCATGTGGGCGCAGTCAAGACGATGACGTTTAGCGAGAATGGATATTTGATGGCGGCCGCAGGAGAGAACAACGAAGTGAGCATCTGGAATTTGAGGACACTGGAGATTGTGCAGAAGCTGAAGGTTGCGGACCAGGGCGTGATCAATGCCCTGGCCTGGGATCAGTCCGGAACATACCTTGGAGTCGGAGGCACTGACATTCGGTAAGCAATTGCTTTCGGTCTTCCGGAGTGCGCATGGTCCATCTCATTCTTGTTGTGAACCTGCCTGACTAACGAGCACCTCTTCCTCTCTCTCCCTTTCTTTACGACTGAGCAGTATTTTCAAGGTCAAGACGTGGCAGGAGCTCGCTAACCTTTCGGATAACACTGCTGATATCACAAGTCTTAAGTTTGGACCATTGGGCGACTACCTTGTCTCTGGTGGTTTGGATCGTGCCCTTCGCATTCACGGTGTTTCCGAGTAATATCTGCGGGATATAGGCGAATGGAGATGGGGACGATGTGGTACTGGATGATCGACAACCCATTGTTGCCAAGGATTTTAATACGGCGCATGAATATACTATTATTCTTCACCACCACGGATGCTGTCTTGATCGTCCTATTGTCTGCTTTTTCATCACCATGGTCAACGAACTGTTCTGTTATCTTGCAGTTATGTATTCTGACCATGCAACGCTAGGATTTTTTTTCTTTATATTTTATTTCAAGTGGAGTGTGTGTGATTGTACAATGAGAGTGATGAAGGGAATGATAAATACGCCAAATGTATGGAGTGATTAATTATCTATGCTGACAAGGCATCTCTCTTATATCTATGAGAAAAGACGCTTGGTGTAGCTGTGAAGGGAGTGGACACCACCCTCAGCTTGGGCAGCAGCGGTGCGGCGCTCGAAGCGGACAGTGCCCTCGCGCATACCCTCCTTGAGGGCATCAATGCTGTCGATACCGATATCCTGGAGCGAGTGCTGAAGACCGGTGTAGAGGTATGGGACAAACTTCTTGATGGAGCCCTTGTCGACGACGGAGCCAGAGACACCCTGGGCGACCTTAACAGAGTCCGACTCGGAGTAGTAGCGCTTGGTCGAGCCGTTGCCACTGTCGCCGGCCATCTCCATGGCGTCGAGGGAGCCCATACCGCGGTACTTCTTCAAACGTTGACCGTCGAGGTAAAAGTACTCACCGGGGGATTCGGTCGTACCGGCCAAGAGACCACCCATCATCACACCGGAGGCGCCGAGAGCCAGAGCCTTGGTGATGTGACCAATGTTTCCAATACCGCCGTCGGCGATGATGGGAACACCGTACTTAGCAGCGAACTGGGCGACCTTGAAGACGGCAGTTCCTTGAGGGCGACCGCAAGCCATGACTTCCTGGGTGATGCAGATGGAGCCCGAGCCCATGCCAACACGAAGACCGTCAGCGCCAGCGGCGATCAAGCGAGCAGCTTGCTCCCAAACGACAACGTTTCCGGCAATGACATCGATATCGGGGTAGGTGTCCTTGATCCACTTGACCATCTCGATCTGGAAGGAGGAGTTACCCTGGGAGGAGTCCAAGACGACGACGTCGAGACCAGCGGCAACGAGGAGGCCGAGACGATCGCGGTCGTCGGGACGGGTTCCGATGGCGGCACCGCAGAGGAGCTGCTTGGACTTGGGGGCCTTGCTGGCGAGGGGATAGTTCTGGTTCTTGAGGAGATCGGAGCGGGCGAGGAGGGAGCAAAGTTCGCCGTTGTTGTTGACGACGGGAAGCTTGCCCTTCTTGGACTCGCACAGGATGCGGTTGGCCTCCTCAAGGGTGACACCCTCATGGGCAATGACGAGGTCGGTGGTCATGCAGGCCTTGAGGGGGGTGGAGTGGTCGCTGACGAACTGGATGTCGCGGGCAGTGACGATACCAACCAACTTGGAACCGAGCTTTCCGTTTTCTGCAAAGTTGATAATCGTATAAAAAAGAATAGAAGAATGAGGTTAGGATCAAAAGAAAAAGCGATCAATTGCTTCGCAAACAAAATAATAATAATGATAATAATAGCAATAAAAAAAGTGTTCCCTTACCGGTGATAGGGATGCCGCAGAATCCGAAGCGATCCTTGATGGCCAGAACATCGGCGACGGTGTGGCTCTCGGCCAAGCAGACCGGGTCAGTGATGAAGCCGTTCTCGAACATCTTGACCTTGCGGACCATGTCTGCCTGCTGCTCTGGCGTGCAGTTGTGGTGGATGATACCAAGACCACCGAGCAGCTATTTTTTTGAGGGAGCAGATAAGGTTTGACTATCGTGTGAGCATTGGCTGCAGCCGCTGGAAGATAAGACCCAAACCAACCCAAATAAAGGAATTTGCGGGGAAAGTGAAAGCAAAAACAATAAAGGCAATAAAAGCATGAATCAATCAGCATAACGGGATCAGATTCACACTTACAGCCATGGCAATGGCCATGTCAGTCTCGGTGACCGTGTCCATGGGCGAGGACAGGAAAGGGGTCTTGAGGGTGATCCTCTTGGTGATCCTAGACTCGAGCTGGACGGCATGAGCCTGGAAGCCGATGTAGCCGGGCAGGATGAGGAAATCGTTGTAGGTCAGACCACCCTGGGTGATAGAATCCATCAACTCCTCGGCAGAGAGACCATCACGACGGTTCTTGCTTCCGGCAGCCTTGAGGTCTTGAAGGGCCTGGGCAGGGTCAGCGTACTGGGCTTGCACGGTCATGATGCGTCCTTAATATATGGATCGGAGGAGCGAGAAGGGGAGAGGGGGAGGGAAAGGGAGGAAGCGAAGGGAAAGGGAAAACGTGTGGTGGATGTGAAAGAGTGACCCCAGAAAAAAAAAAAAAAACCGACCTCCAAAAGAAACCTCAGTGCCGAAAAGAAAAACGACGAGTTCTTTATAGGGAAAATACACAGTCACGGTAGGCCGCTTTTTCTTTTTTTTTCTGAGTAAATATCAACAAGCCACGGTATGACTGAGTAGGAATTCTAAACTTTATTTCTTTCCCGCATCCGTCGTCTCAGGGGAAAGGTCTCAAGCGAAAACGATCTGAGGCTCCTTGAGATAGACCAGTAGGCGAAAACAAAGACACGAATTGAGCGAAAAAAAAATAATTGTCCAATGGATCTGCCGTGCTGATAAATATCCCTGCGCCGAGCAATCCAAGATATCCGTTATCAAAGCATGGCATTGGGTCGAGGCCGCACACCTCATTCCCGCCTGTGCGAGATGGAAATTTTGCGTGAGCGAAAATGCGAGGAGGACGCTACATGCAAAGTGTTGGCATGTGTACAGATTATTCCACCAACTCGATACAAACATCTCCATAAGGCGCCGCTTGTGTTGGGCGCATCCTCCCCATTGTCGAGAGTGCTATGCATCGAGTAGAACCATGACAATAAAGATACCTTAAGATACAGTATCCTTAATTCGCGTATGGAGTCCAATAAGCAGCAGCAACAAGGACTCACTCAAAATATGGTAGAACGCAGCAGCAGCAACATCGCGCCGTCGATGGGCAGCAGTCACCTCCGAGAACATGAGCGAATTGGTCTTGGCATCCCTCAAGATCGAGCGCACGTATTCCAAAAAGTTGACGGTCTCTCGCTCAATGATAGCGCGTTCCAGAGTTTCACCAGGTTGCTCCTGATACTGCTCCCCCATATCCATAAACAGGTCATGGACATCCACTGACGAATCCGGGCCGCCTCCGTCAGCATACTGTCGACTAGGAGGACGAGAACTCTCGCGTATACGAGAACCAGACCGACTCCTTGGCGAGGCACGGCGATCCCTGCTCGTCGGGTCGTTCATCAGCTTCCGAAGATCCAAAGACGATCGGCCCGTTTCTGAAATCCTTCGCTGTCGCTGAGTGGATCTGCCTGTCAATGGATCAAATATGGTTTCAAAGTCGTGCCGGATATGATCGGAAGAAGGGGTCGAACGCTCGCTTTGAGTGTCGGCGCTTGAATGTAGATAATCAATGGACCATGGCATATGGTTGCCCTGCCTGCTGCCGTAATTGCTGCCGCTGCCATTACTGTCCAAACCAATGCCGCTGGCTCCTAGATCCACAGCTATGCCGCCAGTGTCTGTGCTTGTCTGACGACGTCTAACCTCAGGCTCTGGCGGTTCCTCCATAAAATCAGCAAGAGATCCCTGATCCAGAAACAAGGCCGTATAGTTGTCAAAGACATTCTCCTGCCGAGCTTCCGTTTGATCCCTTAGTGCTTCAGGACGATCGCCAAGTGTGCGTGCGCTTGCTGTGCTCCAGAAAGACGCTAAATCAGGTCCAAAGTTAGACACCGAGAGAGGTTGAACAAGGAGATCCTGAATGCGCACTCTGGCCACTACTACAGCCTCCTTGTCTTCCCGTTCTCGAATCAGCTTTGCCTGGTTCTTAATATAGTTGTCCCTGCTTGCATAGATTTCTTCGCGTGTGAGCATAGTTTGTTCGTCTATCACCAATCTCACTCGCTTTTGATGCTTTTCTCCGCTCCGCTGTCTCTTTCGAGGCACGATCGCATCATCATCCGCATCAGGGATCGCTACAAGGACTTGACCGTTGTCGTCGAACGGATTATCGATATTTAATCCTTGGTCGTCGCGCCCAGGCTCTGCGGACCTTCTGCCGTCCTCGATTCTCGGGTGCTTTCCAAGTGCACTGCTGACATCTGGTGCACGTGGAACCATGGAGATATCATCGAATCCTCGGAAGCCAACATCAGGCATAGTATCAACGAAGTTCCCGTTCTCATCAAAGAACAATCTACATTCACGACAAAAGTAACACGATTAGCGAAATCATTCATCGCACTTAATGACACGTTCAATCCAAGGGATAGCGTGCTTACCCACTGTCATCAGTTACGAGGGCGTCGTTCATCAGTCCAGCGCCAAAGTCGGGCCTCATTTGCAATCCGTGCCTTATGGAGTTTTCTTCCAATGTAATCTTGCGACGTCTCTCGTCCATAGCTGGCATCAGCAGCACTATGTTTTTTAGTGTTTTTGTCAAAACATCTATGCTCTGCGGCATGACCACAAGTAAGAATTATCAGGGTTGTGCTTACATTCGCTGTGCGAAGACTGAGTATCGGATCCGCTGTCTCCAAGGTTCCATGATGCAGACCGAGTGGCCCATCCAAACTCGACAGCCAATTCTCTGCTGCTGTTATTGCGCTTTTACCCAATAGTAAAGAAACAAAGAAATGGCGTTGTCAGTCGTTAGGATTTGCATTGGTATTTTCAGGATCGACAAGAAAGCTGAAAAATAATGGGCACTCTGGTATACCGCTGCTTCCAGCACGAAATCCTGTGGAATCTTGGTCGGCCGAAAGATGTCTTCCTCGATTGCCAGGTCGTAGTCGAACGTAATCACATTCAACCTATACAAAAAAAAAAAAAAAAAAAAAAAAAACGGCGGGAAGAAGACACAGGAGGCGCTTGTTAGCAAAAGACGTGTATTTTCCTGAGTACAGGCAAACAACGTTCGGTTGGTTCTTACTTTGCTTTGGGGTTCACCAAGTCTACTTGCTCTGACTGCATTACGGCCAGATCCCGTCTCAAACGGACCCACATGCTGTTGACATCAGCTTTTAGATCAGGTGAAAAGACAAAGCAGGAACTGATCATTATTTCGCTGATGTATGAGGGGAGTCAATGTCAGTGCAGGCGGTGGTGGCACGGATTGTAAAGACTTACAGTAATAAAAGTTGTACTGCTGGTTGTAGACACGAACGATTCCCACCATCAGGTTCGACGAGAATCTGAGTGCAAAGGGCTCTGGTGGTTGAGAAATATCTTTGCTTCCGGGATGCAATGGACCGTAGAGAGAAAGACAGATATAGGTTATGATAAACCTGAGCATCATGGCTATGAAAGCCGACCGATCCTGGCTTTCAAATGACATACCAGGTCTTCACGATGTTGACGCCGTTGACCTCCTTCCTCGACAGTTTATTGCAACGGGATCCCATAGTTGCCATCAACCTTGATAGCACAAGAAAAAAAAAAAGCGCGTCATCTTCAGGGCCTTTGAACGAAAGAAGACCCCAAGGAACGACTGGTTTCGACAAAGCTGACGGGGCACACATGTATTGCGTACCAGATGAGGCCGAGACTGTTGTCTTTGCGGACAAGGATGTCTTTGCTATAGAACATGGTGGCGGGTGGAAGAAGAGGGATTTGTGGATGTTAAAGAAGGCGGACGGGGAAGGAGGAGAGATGCCAGCAAAGACGCGTTTAAGCTGCGGACAGTGCTGGTTCCATACGTGTCTGAGTCGCGTTGTGTACGTGTGCTTTTCAACCGACTCAGTACACCCCTGCCTGCGCAGCTGTTTGTGGAACCATGCTCTTCGGGCCACAGGAGGCTCTCTCATTCCCACGTTTAGCCCATCACCTCATCGACCCTTCTTTTCCTCATTCTCCATCATTCCTCGTTCCTCATCCCCCACAGGACAATGTCTCCATCCCAGCAGCCTGACTCATCTGCTCCTTCCTTACTGGCCCATATCTCGAACGAGACCGCTTGCTCCAGCTATCTCGCAGAGCTGGTCAGTGAGCTGCCCCTGGCGTCATCCCAATTCGGCATAGTCCTTAGCACGGCCCTAGGAAACAGAGAGAACCCAAGCAATGTGCGTCCGAAGCGTCCGGGCCAGGATACCGCACTCGAATCAGGATTCGAGGAGCCGCATTACCGAGCAATTCCTATACCTGTCGAGGATACATCCACAACTACGGAGATGGACGTGACACTTTCGGGACATGCAACGACGTTCTATGCCCGCTGCGAGGATCTCCTGATGCGCGCTGCAGTCCGTGCAGCTGACACGGCCGACACGGCCGATGGCGGTTCTGATGCAGACAAGGCGACGGCGGGTAATTTCGCAAGGGCATTGGTGACCAAGCCTGTGGATCCAATCGTTCAGGGACACTGTCGAAATGTGCTGACTGTTATCTCTAATATCCTGGAGCATCAAGCAGCTAAGAGGGCACGTCTTGGTAAGAAGATGAAGAAAAAATGCCGTTTTCTCATCTTTGTTTTGCGCTCGCTAAACTTGCTCCCTTACGACCCTGATTGTAGGCAAGGAGGAAAACGTGCTGGACGTGTTTTTCTGTGTCAACGATATCTGGCGACAACCGCTGGAATCTCTTCCCGGGAAGCTGATCAGGATTGGCAATCGCGCTGTTAAGTTTGTGATCTCGGAGGAGGAGCTCCTGAAACAAGAGTCAGAGGTTCAGCAGAGATGCCAGCAACTGGAGCAAAAACAGGGACTGGTCCTCGAATCCATGAAGGAAAGTGATGTTCAGTTGATGATCACACTGAACAAAGTCTCATACAGTGAAGAGTACGGCAAGCACATTATTAGACACTCGCGCTGTTTCCGAGATAAGGATGGAAACATGGTCGCTTGGGCAGGAACCCATGGGGATTGTAAGTGGTGACAGGCATGATGATGGTTGAACGCGTATATGCTACCTAGATACCTAGATTGAGCTGCTTAGCATCCGAGTTCTATTGTTACCTCCCTCCGTTTATCGTATCCTAATGACTAGTTTCCATCGCGGCATTGCACGTTATGCCAGAATACCGCAAGATGGGTCTTGGGCGTTTGGTGCTCAATGCTCTCGCATTGGTTCATGTGCGTCTCGCTCACGAGATCTTGACCACACTTGGCGGCAAGAGCAACGGCGATATTTCGCCCTCGACACTTTATGCACATGCGGACTGTTTGGAGGATAATCTTCCTACAATGCTTTTTATGGAACGCTGTGGATGGCGTCGTATTGGCAACTACCTCTGGCTTGGGATGTATAACAAGGATGCTCCTGAGCCCGTATGGAAGTAAGCACTCGCATTAGAGCTTGCATATTTAAAGGAACCGCTTTGAATAAAAGTATCACCCACCATATCCTCCCATAATAAAGGAAGGTCCCTGACGAAAAGATGAAGAACATGCGTAGCTCTATTCCCCCTTGAACACGAATTTCTAGTGCAACACCGATTTTATTTCCTCTGTGTTCCATCGCTCTTCGTAGCGGGTTTCATGCACAGCATCACATTCCTCGATTTACCGGGCCTTGAGAGATGAAGACTGATGCGGTACTATGCTATCGCATGTTGTCTTTATTCTTTACACCTCTATATTATTGTCAGTTCCGCTATCAAGTTAGCTCTACCACTATGACGTAGGCTAAATCGCTCCCGAGATGGATCCATCTCTGCTGACTCTTGTGGACAGTACTGCTGCATGCTTATATGCAGGATCCAACGAGGGAAGGAACCGGTTGAGGAGGTTCGTTTCGCGCACTGTATTCCATTCTTCACATATGCGTCCCCCTTTCAACGAGGAAAAAAAATAAAATAGCTGAGACTTTTTCAACCCCGCGTGTACCATATGCAGGATCCTTCCCTTCATATACACAGATGGTTGCTGTTAAGGAATGCCCAGTTGTGGTCTGTATCTGTCCCCTTTTGTGAAAAGCATCGATAGTTAACAATCGCTCGGGAGATATATTTTTTTGTTTTGGATGCGCGAACTACTCTTCCTTGTATCATTCACATATCTTGGTTCGAACCCAAGCGCTGTCTTTTGGTTCAAGACCCTACCTATCCTTCGTCTCTTGATGGATAACACAACGAAATCTCAACCAGCATCTTCACCGGCATCAAACAGAGCCCCAGGAACAAACAATCACTCCATTCGAAGCTTTGACGACTTCAGAAAGCCCAATGGCGACCACAGACACGGCAACAAACACTAGTTCTGGAAAACATGGAGAGGCAGAGGCACAGAGACCTGGTTCAAGATGATATCGCAGGCCCAAAATTGATCCACTCTCTCGAAATTTCGATATTCTGTTCCTGGTCTTCCAGCACCTCCGACAAGGCCGCAACCGTACCACCCACTCCACTTCCTCCGCCTCCTTCTCCTCTTCCTCTTTCTCTTCTTCATCCTCCGCTTCATCTAGCAATCCATACGACTTTGCAGCCCTGAACCGCTCACATACCGCCTCAAGCACCGCCTCAACCCTCACTTCTGTCAAGACCACCGCCGAGAGTCGGATATACAATCTTGTCCAGGACACCTTCTCAAACCTCGTCCTCGTTAACAGCGCCTTCGCGAAGGCTGGGTTACCCTTTCTGTGGGAATGACCGAAAATTAGGACATGTAGGCAACTTGATCGATTCGCCTACACACTCGAGCACCACGGGCGACACTATGTCGGACTCATTCGCGAACTTGTGGTCAGACAAGGCACGATCCCTGACCCCACTCAGGGGAGTCTTTGGTGGGGCCATGCGCGCTGCCGCGCAATTCTGTCGAAAATCGCAACAGCAGGTGGGCGTCTTCCATATCTGGATTGCAATTGGGCAGGATCGCCGTTCGACCACAATATGATGCGAGGGCTGACGGAGACATTGTTCAGAATGCTGAGGGCGCTTCGGCTAGCACCTTTACAGATGCCATCAAAAAAGCAGTGTCTAGACGAAACCGATTTTAATAGACTGATTAGTTACTGTCCCGACCTGGAGTCGTTAGAACTGGAAAATGGGTACCAGATCACCAACAGGTCTACGATCCATCTGCTTGTTACCTGTCCAAAACTCGCTCATTTTGTGTTTGCTTCAACTTGGATGCCTGGATGGATCGATGCGCTGGATATGGGGTACGGCGAGAACTTGCATTCAATCAAGATTTATGAAAAGCAATCAAAACATGAATATTCCTGCTCTGAGCAGGACTTTCAGCTGGACGACTTCTCATTCCATCCCTTCGTCCTTCGGAAGCTGGAATCGATCAGTTTGGAGAGCGGTTGTAGCGAATATGTGGAGGCACACTTCTCAAGACCACAACTCCCCGCCCTCCGATCTCTCCGAATCCTTCATCCCTCCAACGCTGTTCTCTATATCCTATCCCAACGTCTTGCTGCGCAGTTGACCATATTCAAGACGAAGCTGAACGAGCGGACTGATCCAAAGATATACAGGGCGTTCTCTCGCAAGACAACTTCACTGCAGTCGCTCGATTGCAGTCCCAACCCGGTAATGGGTCTTCTGGGCCGCAACATCACGACCCTCTCTGCCAACAGCTCTCTTCGGCTTTTGGACAGTATTGCAGAGCTCTGCCCGAACCTCGAGAGCCTGACGCTCTGGGGCGGGAGTATTTCCAGGGATCCATGTCACCGTATCCGGTCGGATCCACAGATGGGGATGATCTACGTGATTGAGATGTGTCCGATTAAGCGGGTACGACTCGTGAACGCGTACCTGGGTCTCGGCTCACAATTTTGGCAGACGTGTGGCGAGTTTGGGAAGGGGCTGGAAATTTTGGATATTGAGTTGCTGGATTGTAAGGGGATGAACTCGTGGGGCATGTTTGAGGGATTGAGGGATTGTGAGAGGTTACAGTGGTTACGGTTGACCGAATTACTGGGCGTTCGAAAAGAGGTAGGTTCTTGCAATCTTTTTCCAGTTTCTGAACACCTCTCGCATAGGACACAATTATTAACCTTTGTTTGCCTACGGCCCTTGCTTGTGTATAGGTGATTATATCATGTCTGGAGGATTTGAAGCGATTGTGCGCGTTGTATCTGAGCATCCCTGATATGGAGACTGGATGTTTCTCGATATCGATGGAGGAGATCGTATCGCTACTGTCGTCCTTCCGCGAGCTGTCCGAGGTTCATCTGATAGTGCCCAAACCATGCCCTAATTCAGCGACGACGACACCTCGGAGTTCTTTGGATATGGGTGAACAGGAGAAGAAACAGTGTTTTAAACTGCCGTTGGCTCGTGCGGAACCGACCATGGTGTTCAAGAACGCATTCAACCAGAATATTTATGGGCGAGTCGAATGGTCTGTGCCCGGCCTTGGATACTACTAACAGAATAATAAAAAAACATACACACTGACATCAAGTAGAGCCCTGTCGACTATCGGTTTGCATCGTCATTTAGAGAGCTCATTGCCACGCTTTCACTCATTATTTTCCAAAAAGCCAAAAAGTACGGTGCCATACCATACAAATTCTCATCCTGGTACCGCTCCCAGGTCGAATCAGGATCCTGGTACCTGTTTTTCACAGCTGGTAGATGACAATAGAGCTTCAGTTTTATTCCGATATGCAATCCCATCGTTTGTGCGGCGTGATCCTGAGTCGTCCTGAAGTTGTGGCGGGTGCAGAGCTCTGCCTTAGATTGTTTCCAATTCATAAACCTTGTTTTATTGCGATACATCTCCTCTTTTCTTCTTGTGCTTCGCCCATTCATCCACCGAAACAAAAAACAAAAAAATCTGCCTGTCATCTACGACATTACCGCACTTTCTCACCCATAAAAGTAACATAATAGCTACCCGAGGGTATACCGTGGTAGTTCGTCATTACCCATTGACATTTGCTCAACTCTAAAAGGGAACATCACCTTGATTGCAAAAAAAAATATCGTAAAGAACTCACTCCGCCCCTGAGATTCCCGACCCGAGCTTGTAGCGTGCCCCTCCATGAACCGCGCGTACTTTGACACACCTAAGGAGCGTCTCCCTCCTCTCGACACCACCACCGCGCTCCTCAGGAAGCAGCCTCTCGTCCACACTCACGCCTTCGCTGACGGTGTCGCAAAACCACGTCACACCTGGAACACCACCGCAACCCTTGATACCTCCCAACCACAGACTGCAAAGTCACTGACACCAGGTCTGGGCACATCCACGCCCACACCTTCGACATCTTCGACATTGGTTACACCCTGGACCCGATCCAGGTATCATACACATCTTGCGGTGTTCAAATATGATGGGCAAGATCTTCTGGCAACAGATATGTCGCCAATGACAGCTTCGTATGTTTCTCCAGCGTGTTACTCCCCTTATGAGAAAAGAACCATCGACCGTAACGATCTTGCCCTCTCTCCTTCTATAGCCTCCATCACCGGTATAGGAGGAGTTTTACAAAGATCGCGGTCCAAGACTTGTATCGCTTTTTCTGCTATAGAAACGGTTCAATTGTCTTCGCCGGATTCTAGGATATTGGAAGATATTGAGCAGAATGCGAAAGACCCCATGATGCCGTTACGGGACTGGCTCGAGAGTATTAAGCCAACGGTGGTAGTGGACCAGAGTAAACAGGGTCGTCAACAACAACAACAGCAACAGCGGGAGCGGGGAATGAAAGGAGGGAACTGTGGGTCCCAGGATGCAAAAGAGCAGGCGGGATTATATAAGAATGATAATGATGCTCGAAAAGAACCAGTGCCAACACCAGAATCGGTAAAGCGGTATTCGCAGCAGAGTCATGCATACGGAGATAGACATGAGCATTTGCAGAGAAAAGGCCAGAAAGAGAGGCGAAGGCGACAGCGACGACGGAGGTTCCGCAAGTTGATTCTTCGAGGCGAGATGTACTCTGCAGCAACACGTGTCAAATCTTCAACACGGACGCTACCTTTGCCACCCACGTTCATCTCCAGGCTTGAAGTCGCGGCCGATGCGGCAGTGGAGCGCATATCGGATCTATACTCCCAATGTCAAGGACTGCTCTCGCTTCAGCAGCAACAGCAACAGCAACAGCAACAGCAACAGCAACAGCAACAGCAACAGCAACAGCAACAGCAAGATGCTTTTCTGAAAGGAATGAGAGAAGAGGAAGGTGGGAAGAACTGTCCTAGCAGCGCCAGCGAGTCCAAGGGTAAGGGTATTGTAGGCGGCGGAGAAGTCGTAGGAGGGAGAGGAGGAGGAAGGATGAGTGTGGGGAAAGGAGACTTAGTGCTGGGGAAGGATGGCGAGATGATGCCGTGGTTGCAGGAGGCTACCCGAATGATCGGGGTGTTAGAAGTGCGGCTCCTAGAACTGGAGGAGGATTGCAAGGTAACAGCTAAATGTTCTCTATTCACTCTCGTGTCTGAACCTATCCTTTTCCGTCTACATTTCGAATTGCAATACTAAAAACACTTCCCTCTCTCTCTCTCTCTCTCTCTCTCTCTCTCTCCCCATGTACATGGTTTGATCATATCAAATGTTACGCAGTCGCTCCCGCTATACGAACAAGATCGTGCCCGAATGATCCAAGTCATCCAACAACTTAACTCCATTGTCCAGCAGGACCAAGCCTGGATCCAGAACACCGAGAATGCGATCCAATGGATAGCTGTCGCACTCGAGGAGGCCCTCCTTTCCTCCTTACATCCCTCATCTGGTCTTCCTGATAGATCTAGGGGCGAACGCCACAAAAGTGAGACAGTATTGAAGCAAAGATCGTATTCTGAGGGGGTCATGCCCTCTCTGATAACAGCTGAAGCTATAGTAACGGGGGTATCGGCGACACAGCAAAGCGACTCAGCCGATGATACCCAGCTTGAAGGCACGCGACCGCAGAAGATCGAAAATGGTGAGCGACGGAGCCTACAGACCCGATACTCGAACGCCATCCTGGCGGCACTTCGCCACCTAAAGTCCATCGAGCATTTCCCCTCGATGGTGGACGGGGCCACGACAAGTGTCCAAGGGACTTGCAAGGAAGCGAATCCGCCGAACCTGACTCTGGATGAGGGGCTCGAGACTGCGAGTATGATCAGTCTTGCAAGTGATAAGCATCCGAGCAACATGAACAACCGATCGACAGAACTTGAGGATTTTGAGATGGACAGACGCTGCGCAGGAGAAAGCAGCGATGGAGGTAACACTGTGACCGACGAGTCTGCACCCCCTAGAACTGGAGAGAGGCCGGGGTTGACTGAGGACCAGGGGCCGGAAGCCATACATACAGGACGAAACCCCACGACGGGTTCAATTACACGCCAGCACCGGTCCATTTCTACTCCTAGTGCTCCCCGGAATCTCTACCATTCAATCTCCTCCACCTCACTCCTGGCGACCATTTCCGGGAGCTCCCAATCACTACAGACCGACCTAGACGATTGCCTAGTGGACGAGCGTATATACCTGAAACAACATATTCAAGCGATTGAACGGCTACGGATACAAGAGCAGGCCCGACATCGCTGGGCGGAAAGCGTGCACACACAGCTGGTTGAGGATCTGATCAGGTTCTCGAAAGAGCTTTTGTGGAGTGTGGATGAATTGACGTGTACGCAGGCTGCGGTAGTTGAGGCGAGTGAGAGTACGGTGATGACGTTCCGAAGCCTTGAGGGAGCTTTCAATGGGGCGAGAGATACGGAGGAAGAAGAGAAAGTGGAGAGGAAGAGGATGATGGAGGCGTCGTGCAAGGCGGTGAAGGAGAGTATGGCGATGGTGGAGCAGGGGGTGAAAAGGATGAGGACACTCGCAGCGGATTGTGTAGGGATCCTGGAGTTGACGCAGCGGGAGAGCGCAGCGGTGAATGGAGCAGAGGTGTTGGAGCAGCAGGGGAGTAGTGTTGATGTGTCAGACTCGGTTACTGACAACGGAAGCGCGGAGCCTGTGGGGTTAGTCGTGTCTGCCAAAATGCCTTTGTCACCTCATTTGCCTGGTCACACCTCGTCCTCAAACACTCTGCCATCGATATCGACCGCAGGTGCAGCAGTAACAGAAGGAGCGGAGGTAGGAACAGCTCTAGCATCAGATCAACTGTCATCATCGATATTCGTGGACGGCATCGCACTTCAGGAGTTCGAGTCGCACCTTAGAGCACTCCGTTCAACCAGCGCCGCCGATACAACCTGGCGAAAACTGAGCTTGAGATTCATCAAGCAATCCATTGCCGATAGTACGGGCACCTTGCAGAGCACTTCTTCTATGGGTATGGACATGACGACGCCGTTTATGAAGCGTGTAATGGCGGAGGATATTCACCCGTGCGTGCTGATCCATCGGCAGAGTGCGCCAGTGTTGGCCAGGCAAGGAAGATGGGTGGGTTCGTTCCTTTTGTCGGCAGTAGCAGCGACGACAACGGCGAAGATAGGAGGGGGAGGATATTCGAGCGCGAGATGCGTATCCGGTCCGTCAATATTATGGCTGCGGCGGTTGCTGAAGGCCATGGAAAGAAACGCGTGCGAGATCGAGGTTTGGAAGACGACCTATCATCACCAATCACAACAGCTGCAACCACAAAGATCCACGTCGAACGGTTCTGCAAGTACTGTCTCTGCCAAAGATGATGCAACGACAACATCCCAAGGAGCATGCTGCCTATGTGGAATAGTCCGTCCATGTGAGTTCCGTCTCCGTCTCGTTGATCAGGACCCTGTCTCCAAACCGAACCGCCGCAAAGCTCGCAGTTCTGTCAGTGTAGTACACGATTCTTCCACCTCGGACGTGACTTCGTCGTGCTCGAATTACCATCCACTCGACCGATTCTGTCGTGACCGGATCGTGGCTGTGTGCGATTTTTTTACGTTTATGGGACACCTCCGGCAGGGGCTGTTGGATCACCAATCGAATTTGGAGTTGTTTAGGAAGGTGGTATGGTTGAGACAGCGGATGGGGTGTGCGAGGATTGGGTCGAAGGATATTGTACTGGCGGCGCAGAGGGTCTAATTAGTGGATGCCGTGAGGAAAGGAGGGTCTAATTCGTAAAATAAAGGCACATGGGTAGCATTCATTTGGGCCAAGCAAATAAAAAAAAGCTTGTCTTCTTTTGTTTTATTGGTTGATAATTCTAGCGCGTTGACTCCTCGAAGAGAATTCTCATTCACAGGCATATCACATATATGGCATACATATTCAATTCTTGTTTATAACCTCCATCGACGCCGAACGGTCTGTGTCATTGTCATTCGGAAAGAAATCCTGAGCGTGCTTGATCCCACATATGAGTGCCTCAAGATTCACCTGTGCGCGAACGAGATTCTGAGTCGCATCCGAAAGATTCCTCGCGGTCGCGATTAGGTTATTAGCGGTCTGATCGAGTGCTTGTTGAGTGTTCAGAAAGGGTTTTGTGGCCACGTTGGAGAGTGAGCGATGGGCCTTGTCGAGCGTTTGGGTCAGGTTTTTGAGGTCTGTTGAGGACGGGGACGGGGACGGGAATGGGGAGAGGGGCTGGTGTTGCTGGAGATGTGGCAGGGTGGTGGAACGGCGTGGTGTGGGCGTTGAAGATATGGATGTTGCCATTGTTTTTAATTGACTCGTTTGGTTTACTGTGATGATGCCGAGGTTTGGATGTTTATGTGTGTGTAAGCGATGCTATGGAAGGACGATAGAAAGGGTTAGAAAACATAAAGAGACCGGAAAAAAAAAGAAAGGCGGGACCCTGCCTCGGAGTGCATTATTGGATGAGTTTTGCATTCGTCAGAGAAATGGCTCCTGCCCCTGATAGAGAGATTGAAATTAAGAGAGACATCTTAAGAGCCCAAGAGATCAATCGATCGGAAGTGGAGAGAGAGATAGGAAGATGAACCAGGAAAGGGGCGATAAACACGTGGTGGAGTAAAGCGGATGTACCTGTATGACATACAGGTACAGGTTACCCAAGGCATTCGAAAGACCACAATGGAGAAAAAAAAAAGAAGCAAAGAACCTTCGGTCAAGAAATTTCGAATGGAGCAATATGTCCTTCTTTTGAGAGGTTTTACTACGGTGCAATTAACGCTAAAGACCTATTGCACACGACAGTGGGACAGAGGAGACCTCTGTGGCTCCTTTTTAATTTATTCGTCCATTCACTCCTTCGTCCACCTATCTTATCCACCGCACAATCGGCTCCAAAGAAACAAAAAACCAGCAGATCGAAAAAGAAACACCCTCCAGCATCTCCACTTTCGCCGTAAATGCAGCTGTATTTCACGCTGTTACCGCCAATTCCATCCCATGGTACTCATAGTATCCATAGTATAAAAGTAATACATAGCCTACTGGGTTTGCTGCTTCTTCTCTTTTCGCCTTGTGGCATTCTCCTCCTCCTCCTTGCCTTCCTTTGACTTCAATTGCAATCTCCTCCTCTTCTCGTTTCTGTCCTCTGCTGCTGGCTCTCGTAATATTTACCCTGCCTAAGTGGTTCTGACTTGTTCCGAATCTTCCATTCCTTCCATCCTTCCACTCATTCAGTCCTTGACCAGTTCAATCAGTCAGCCGGCTCAGCCAACCAACCAGCAACTGAACACCCTCACCACCTCACGCTCTTATTTCTGTTACACTCTTCTCTAATTTTTTTTAAAAGTAACACCTTCTCGACAGTTACCTCCTGTTGTCCCATTGCACCGAAGCAACGAATCCATTCTTCAACCGCCTTCTGCCATTCCTCAGTCAACATGCGTGTCATTACAATCCCTGTCCTTGAAGGTATAGAAAACATCCTATCTATCTGGCTCAATGAGCAATGGCCATGAATTACCTTTTACTATAAGAGCTCGTTGAGGGAGAAGGAGCGTGAGAGGAGCAGAGGGGAAGTGTGAAAGAAAATAAATAGTCGACCTAAATGTTGACACGCTGTACCTTATTTTCGCCCATCACAACACTGCACTCTTTTACGCGTTATTTGTGTACCAAACAGTTGCCCTTCCCGAAACGCGCTTCGTCTACTCATAATTTCCATATATTTTGCTTTTTCCGTATGACAATTATCAGACAACTACTCATACATCATCCTCGATGAAAAGACCTCCGAGGCCGCCGTCGTCGACCCAGTCGAGCCCCAGAAGCTCATGCATATCTTGCAACACCTCGGCGCAAAATTGACCTCGGTCCTCTGCACACATCACCACTGGGATCATGCCGGAGGCAATGTCGATTTGATCTCAAAGAAGCCAGGTCTGGCGGTCTATGGCGCAGATGCGCGGATCCCCGAGATCAATTACGTGGTTAAGGATAAAGAGGAATTCAAAATCGGCAACATCACGATCCAGGCGTTGTGGACGCATTGTCATACGAAGGGTAGCATCAGTTATTATGCGAAGGATGATACAGACAGGGCCGTCTTCACCGGCGACACTCTGTTCTTGAGTACGTTTCAATTGTGTGGGGAATGAGATGCGCAAAAAGAGATTTTTTCTGCAGTTCGCTGACATGTGTCTTATTGTTCGATTTGCTTGGCCTAATTTTTTTTTTGCATAGGTGGGTGTGGTCGATTCTTCGAGGGTACTGCAGCAGACATGTACAACAGTCTGCTTCACATCCTGGCTACCCTTCCTGTAGAAACCAAGGTCTATTGCGGACATGAATACACAAAGGCCAACCTTCAGTTTGCACAACATGTCGAGCCCGATAACCCACATGTGGCCCAGAAATTGCAGTGGTGTATGGATGAAAACGTTAAGATCACGATCCCAGGAACCATTGGCGAGGAGTTGCTGTGCAATCCCTTCCTTCGTGTTAAGTAAGAGCCTTTTGTGTTTTCGAGTTACCCTTGGAGGAGGGAGGAAGAGGGAAGGGTTTATTTGAACAGGGGTCACTTGATATGCCGTGAGAGTACTAATGCACGATTTCTTTTATTGCTTCTAGCGAGCCTTCTTTACAAGCATTTACGGGCAAGAGCGATCCTATCGATGTGATGCATGTCCTCCGAGAACTGAAGAACAACTTTTAAACCCGAGAAGTAAAAAAACCCTCCCTATAAAAAACCATAACCTTCCCCCCCCCCCCCCCCCCCCCCTTCCCAATAAAGGACAAGACCAAGTAGCTATGGAGGATGTCGACACGAAGCTGGCTTCTGTCACCGTCGTCCTCCTTGTCTATTTCTATCAATTGCTATTGATTGCTCTGATTTATGAATGCGGAGGCAGTTCAGCAGTCCTATGAAAAAGAAAAAAAGAAAAAATAAACATAAACAAAGTGCACACAAAAGAGTAACAGCAATAGATTCCCTGCACTTTGTTCTCAACCTCAACCTCATCACTCACCTTTGACCTCACCATGGCATTCCGAAAGAAAAAGATATTCACAAAGACGAAGCTGAAGTCAGCACTCTTCAAGATGCAGGATACCCACCAGAAGCGTCAGCGTGCAACAGAGATCCGGGACCAGAAGGAAGCCGCCCTTGAAGCAGGACCCAAGAAGAAGGCCAAGCTGCAGGGTGCGAACGGCGGTATTTCGTCCGCAGCTTTGAAGGCCCAAAAGAAGGCCATGTCAAAGCTGCCTCCACCGCCTTATTTCGACTACGATACGATCCTGCTTGTGGGAGAGGCCAATTTCTCGTTCGCAAAGTGCCTGGCGCTGGAGATTTTGAACCGCGGGGATACGATTACGGCGACGACTTTAGATTCGTTCACGAACATGACAGAGAAATATGAGGACGCACAGGAGAACGTAAAGGAGTTGGAGGATGCGGGAGCAACGGTGCTGTTTGAGGTAAACGCTACGAAGTTGAGCAAGATCAAGAGCTTCAAGGGAAAGCGGTTCTCGAAGATCGTCTTCAACTTTCCTCACGCAGGTACTGCTGCCATAACTAAAAAAAAAAAAAAAAAAAAAAAAAAAAAATCGCCAGCAAGGAATCGTTGTAACGCATCACGTCGATCACCTTTTCTGACCTTCAGTTGCTCTGTATTTCCTTCATTAGGCGCTGGCATCAAGGACCAGGACCGTAACGTCGTGAGCAACCAAAAGCTGCTGCGCGCGTTCTTCGAATCTGCAGCCCCATATCTCACAGACACCGATCTCGGCGACAAGAAACCTGGTGAGATCCATGTCACCGTTAAGACTGGAATTCCTTACGATCTCTGGAACATCAAGCGATTGGCAACTGGAACCGGTTTGTTGGGTGTCAAGACCTCATTCCCGTTTAGACCGGAGCAGTACCCTGGATACGAGCATCGTCGGACGATTGGATTCAAGGAGGGAGTGAGCCAGGGTGAGAATGCAGAGATCAAGGATAAGAACCCAAAGACGTTTGTGTTTGTGAAGAAAACAGCCAAGGAGGCGGAGACGGCCAGGGAGGAAGAGACGGCGAACCTGAAGAAGAGGAAGAGGGCGGGCGAGGATGTGTCGGACGAGGATGATGGCTAGGCCAGAGGAGGTCGTCCTAGTATCTGTCTTTGCCGCGCGCTTTTCTTGGTTTACTCTGGATATCACACATAACTTGTACACTAGCATTCTGTTCAGTCATTAAAAGGGCAGCTCATCCATTGTTAACACTGTTCATCATATCTGTACCAGAGTCGTCCTAGCCTCTTCCATGCTGAACAATGAGAATATGACATCGAAAGGGATCGTCCTTATTGTGATGCAAACGATCGGGGCATCCCTACGTTCATCTATCTGCCTTTCCTTTTCCTCCACATCGTAGTTTACACCGTTTCATGCATGCTGACCACATGGGACATCGAAAAAAAAAAATTGCCCGAGAACAGATGCGTCATGAGCAGATCGTAACAATAGCGCACAGTCCCCATTCCTTATAACGTTGCCAGTCGAGTCATTCACTCTTGGCCCTATTCTCGAAAAGAGCAAGAGAGCTACTGGATGCACGAGGACAGGACAATTGAACGGCCAAAGACATCTAAATGCCGAGGATCAAACAAAAAACGGAGGGTGCTGTGCGCTTTGGCCGCTCTTCGCAGTCTTTTTTTGTGGTAGAAAAGAGGGACGGATGCGTCCGGCCCTAAGACATCACACCCCGAGCTGTTCCGTTTGTCTTTGAGCTGGATGGCTCTTTTTGGTGTGCTGCAGGTGGGTGTCATCCATGTAGAAGACTGTGGCGTTTGATTTGTCTTGGGGGGCTTTTTTTGGACGATCTGCTGTCAAAGCGGGAGAACAGGGCTCCTATCTGGAGGGCACAAGACAGGTGTGCGTTTATCGTGTATCTATTGGGATCAATGGCGAGAAGATGGTCGTGTGTTATGTAGACTATAGTAGTTGTATCCTCAGGATATGAGTACACTAATAGACAGGACTATAGCCCCCTCCTCCTGCAGGTTGATGCTGCGTATCACTCAACAAAGGAATGGAGGGGTCGGGAGCCTTCAGCCTGCCTCTATTTTTGCGGAATGTAGAAACAAAAAGCGACAACTCACTGCAGAGCACTCAGCCTCTTCCTTATTATCCATGAGGGATGTGACGCATGCGTAGGGGTATGATGGAAAACGAATAACTTTATGTAGGGTTCTGCAGAGGAATGCTACTAGTTCCGTGAAGGATGTACCCGGGTGGTGGAGAAATATAATATAGCAACATACTGCCGCCTGGGGCATGTCAGTTCCCTTTTTCCGTAATTGCACCTTGCTGGTGGAATAATAAATGCAAGACCCGCGTCGTGTCTTGGGAGAAGAAGGATGCTACATCCTGGCCCCTCCCCCAAGAGAAGTTCCACTTTTAGATGCAACAAAGCGCAAAAGCCCCTGCCCCTTTCCCCTTCCCCTGGCATGTTTATTCGTTGACTGTGTCTATTTTTCTATTTTTCCTATTTGTCTATGTTGTTTGTTCCCATTGGCCCTCATAGCCCCTTTTTGTCTTGTCTTTGAATTAACGTCCCAACCTTACCAGACAGGCGAATGAGACATTCGAACCATAAGTCGCCGAGGAAAGGCCAAGGACCAAGCCAGTGTCTATGCCAGTGCCATGTAAACTAGGGTATGTGGACTAGACAGTGCGCACGCTTTCCTTTCTTATTTTGGCAGTGGCCTTTTTTTATTTGTCTCTGATTCCAGGCACGATTTTGCATGCTGTCCAAAGGACATTTCTCTCTTTTTCTTGATCTGCATTTCCTTCCCCTCTCTCTCTCTTCCATTCTCTTTCCTCTCTTACCTCTCTCTCTTCCTTTTCTCTCTTCCTTCTCTCTCTTCCCCTCTTTTCCCCTCTTTCAACTACTTGTGTCGACTAATAGCTCCTCCAATCGCCCATTCTCACTCGTCTTTATCCTATTTGTAATTCCTAATCATACCCCATCCTGTATCACTTCTTCCACTGTAATTATTCACACATCCACCATACACAACAAAGGGTAAAGAATCCTTTTGTTGTCCACAGACATCTCCCTCGTACATCTTCTCCTTCGCAATTCAAGCGATTAGTCTGTGTACTCATCTGCCTCTCACTTATTCTTTCCCTCCTCCTGCCTTGTTCCTCCCACTCTCCTCTATCTCTATGTCATCCTTGGCCTACCCACCATCCAATATTCCGCGCACCACACAGCAGCTAATCTCTGTAGATACCTCCTAGACTCATTTTACGCGCTACGAATCAAGAGCTGGTCTCGAAATTTCATTTCTAGTACCCTTTTCCCTCACTAAAGGTAGGGCCTATCCCACGAGCACGGGAAAAACGGAGGATTATGAAATTCTTCCTGTTCGCAGGGACACTTGTCATGTTTGATTACACGAGAATTAAAATTTGACTACGGGATAGAAAATAAACCTGACACGCTTAGACCCTTACGTTACCCTAACCCGCCACTTTTGCGATTCTATTTTTTAAACTAGCAGTAGCTGCAAGTGATCGTTTGCGACTACGGTCATAGTGTCCCAAAACACCAAAAACACACCAGATACTCCACTCTCCAAACTTCGCCCATCACACACACCCATTGTATATACAGCATCTCTCTACCCATGGCATCGTCTATCATTGCTTCTTTTCCTAATCCTTCATTCAATACCATCCCTCCCTCACTTTCATCCTATCGCCAAAATACAACCAACCCTCAGCAGCATACCACAATGACCAAGGACTCAATAACACCTGCTTCTGCCCCATTGCCGCTTCCCTCCCTGTCCGGTCCTATCCCCATCTATGACACACCCAACTCGCCACGTCGATCAATGTCGCCCATAAATGGCGCTGCCTCTGCAATGAAGAACTTTCTCCGGCGGAGGCGGGGCACCATCACCAGTAGCATTAGTAATAGCAGCAATAACGACAGTAACATCGAAACACAGCAAGACACCAACAGTACAAGCAGTAACAGCAGTAGCCACGATCAACCACTATCTGAATCACTCTCCCTTGGACTCGCTCAGTCGTTTGTCTTTGTAGGAGGATATGGTGTCGAGCCCGGAACGACAACGCTCGTCTATGATGTGGATTTGTCTTCTGAATGCGACTCTCCAACGTTCCCCAAGGACCAGGCCGCAGTCTTGAGTTCCTCCTTTGAGCCCGGCGAGTCGGTGACTAGCCTCGATGATTTGGCTTCGGAGGGATCGATGGAACAGGCGCCGACCTTCTCACAGACGATGATGGTCCACTTTGACGGTGACGAGACGCTTTCGATGCGCCCATCCGTGCGTCGAATCAGACGCTCGCGTCATAGGTCGATGACTGCCGGGGTACCGATTAACTGTGCGGAGTTTGCTACTTTGATGTCTATGGCCGCTTTAGACGCTGAATCGCCGAACGACTCGGACATGATGATGGCTGCTGCAACGGCTGCCTCAGTCCAGAAGAGATTGACGATGAGATCGATATCGATGGACAGTCTAATGTCGACCTTTACGTCAACGGCCGTTCAGGGGGAGGACGGATGTGAGATGAACGATGCTGTGTTTCAGGACCGCCAGGACCAACCCCAGCTCGAAGCACCATCCCCGGACAGCGCTAGAAGTAACGAGATTCAGAAGGGTGCTGAGGAAGAAGAGAAAACTGAGCTCGATGAGACAGATACGTGTGGTAGCAATTTGGACAGTGAGCTGGTTTGGTCGTTGGATGCGACGGACATGCCTGCGGAGAGTTTCAAATTGCAGTTCACGCTTGAGGATTTCAAGACTGATACAGAGGAGGAAGATAATGATGAGGCGGAGCAGAGCAAGGATGGTGATGAGGAAGAGGAGGAGCAACCTGCGGAGCGGCAGAAGCATCATGAAGAGCAATGGGCTGAGTATTTACAAACAGAAAAGAAGCAACAGCAACTCCAGCAGCATCAAGAACAAGAACAGCTGCAGCTGCGGCAGCAATTGCAGCCGCAACCGTCGCTGATCTACCAGAACTCTCTCAGGCTCCTGGTAGGACAAGCTTTCACGTCCTCAACTCCCTCAAACAGCAAAATGACTAGCAACGGCAACGAAAACAATAGCAGTATCAACGGTACTGCCAAGCGGCCAACCGCTGGTGCCGCCTCTGCACACCTCCAGAACACGCTCGAGGATCTTGAGAAGGAGATTGATGGGTTTCAATACAAGGAGTCTGACGAGATCGAAGGTCGCTCGGGCGCGTCTGTCCCAGTACAGAGTAACAAGGTCCTGCTGGTCTCGAATTGTTCCTCACCGACACAGTTCTATGATGCACCGCAGACACGGTATGCGCTTCAAACGTTCTTGGCGAGCGGCGAACGAAAGTTTGAGGAGGTGGTCGAGTACGGGTTCCCGTCCGAGGTGCTTTGTAATGCAGATGGCCGAGCTGGCAAGCACACGGTAACTGGTGTTATTAAGCGGGAGCAGCGGAAGAAGCCAGAGAGGTGTCGGTATGTGACATTGAGGGTTACACTGACGCCCTGGCATGCGAGAGCGGACGAGATCAAACTGTATGGTCCAATGGGTGCGCCTGGCAAACAGTTGCAGTTCAGGTCGATGGTCCATAGGATCTTTTCACGGTCGCCCAGCAACGGCAGTAGCGTCGCCTCGTCTCCACGTCTCACGGCTTCTATGAGGGTGCCCTCGAGCCGGGCCATGGTTAATACGGAACAGTCCATGGACGCTGCTGGGACGCGGCGTCCACGGGGTTTGACCGCCAAGGAAGCGATGGAGTCCGATACGGCCACGCCTTGGTCGGAGCCGATTCTCACACCGCCACCATCCGGGCGTTTGGAGCCTAGTGACCTGTCGCGCGCCACGAGCTGTATCTTTGACAAGACCCAATCCGAAAGCCGGACCAGCGACCGCACCTTTGGAAGGGTGAGCGGTACAGTCAGGCAACAAGACAAGGTCATCGTGATGCCTCCTTCTCCAGATCCATCGCCTGCTCTGAATCCGCTTTCGTCGCCAAAGGAGATTCAGGTCCAGACTCAGGCTCAGGCGCAGGAGAAGAATGCTTTGATCGTGGGTACGGGGATGATCTCTCCTCCTGGCACGCGTTCATCATCGCCGAGCTTTCATTACCATTCACAGTCGCAACTTCCAAGGAGGGAATCACTCTCGCCGTTGTCTGTTCCGATCAAGAACCTTTACGATAGTCCCTCAACACCCATCATGGCGCCCATGCCCATGCACATGTCCTTGCTGTTACCGTCATCGTCGCGCCATAAGCACTCCTCATCCGCCAACGAAACAGACGCGTTCCGCGAGAGTGTTATCACCCCGATTGAGAGCCCAGGATCTGAAGGTACAACGATGTCTACCTCTACCAAAGATTACTTTAGTCGCCGACGTGCCGAGAGGGGAGCAAGTTACCGGGGCGATGTGAGTCCTAGCTCCGGTCCTGGTGCTAGTCCTGCACTTCAGCCCCAGCAGCAGCAGCAGCAGCCGAGACGGAGTTCGAGGTATCCATACCAGCTACATGCACAGTACCAGGAGCAGGTGCTCCGACAGCAGCATTTGGCAGCGCGCTCGCCCGTTCCATCTCCGCACCCACGTACGGTGTCGACAATAGAGCAACAGCAGGAGTATTATCAAGCTGCAGCGGCCGCGATGCAGCTGCAGCTGCAGCAACAGCAGCAGCGGCAACAGAGGGAGCAGAAGGAGCTGGCGCAGGCGAAGCAGGGCACCAAGCTGTTCCATTTCTCGTCGAAGGATAAGAAAAAGAAGTCGAGCACACCTATGGTCTCGGTCTTGGAGCTGGAGGACGCTGAGGTCGAGGAGGAGGAGATCCAGCAGCAGCCGCGTGTAGGAGCTAAGAGCTGGAGGCGACAGAGTCAGCGTGTCGTTGCCTCGGGTACTTCTCAGAACTACCACGGCCATAGCAACAACAACAGCGGCGGCTACGGCGGTGCAGGATACCAGCAGCAGATGGTGTGCGCGCCGTACGAAGTTTCGAGGCGGGATGAGAATGATGACCAGCAAGGCGCGGAGGCGTACTTTGAGACGAATGTGGACTATCATAATCACTATGGAAAGGGGCACGGGCGAGAAGGCGTAGAAGAGTATTTTGATCGTCAGTCGAATGCGGCTTCTGCGGCAGCCGTGGGTGGATGCTGGAGGGATGTACAGTGTTACCAGACGGATAACATGAAGGATTATGCGTTCCCGTGAAGTCGATAAGAGGAAGGCATAGGCGAAGGCGCAACAGGCACGAGTTATAGACATGAAGCATATAGCGTCCTCCTTTCCATGACCATAAAGACACTTGACAATTCTAATGCTCTCCTTCTGAAAACAATAAAAAGGAACAAAAAAAAAAGTACGTATATTTTTCTGCATATTGCTATGAGCTCTGAGGGCGCGTCCTCCTGCAAAGTCCTCATTCAAGTCGCTGCTTAGCTGTTATGCTCTCACTATTATGGCGATTTTCTTAGGTCAACCCTCCGGATATGGTTTTCTATTGTTGCTTCGCATGAGACGTTAAACGCATACCGCCTCGATTCAGAATACTGATGCGATGCGGGTACACCTGTGGGGCATTTATTGGCTCTTGTGTCTTGAATGATGTTGTTGGACGTTCCGCGATATAAATCGTCGTCCATGAATTTGCATCTTGTGGTGAGATTCTGCTGTCGCTTTGTCGTTTCCGACTCGTTTGATGGTGTTCTTTTCAGCAGCATAACTTTTTTTTAGTTTTTTTTTCTGGTCGTTGACGTTTTGGGACCAATGTCCATTCTTCTACTATGAAATTGTTCCCTTATTTTTCTTAAACCAGCTCAACCGTAGACTGTATGTAGCCCGAATGTCAGAGACACAGAAGAGGCTTTAGAAGAGCCAAAAAAAAAAAAAAAAAAAAAAAAAACTGAAGTACTGCATGGAAAGCTTACATCTTTTCGTAGGATGGAGAACTATGATAAGCCAATTCTCCTTGCATTGTAACCCTAGATACGATTGAGAACTGGCATGGGTTTGTCTAGAGGGTTTCGACTAGTTCAGCAGACTAGTATCGGGCTAGTGAAATGGGACGGACAAGACTGATGCTAATCCAGACCCTGCTGATTCCCGTGGGTAAGTGAGTGAGCGGAAGAGCAAAAGTGGAGAATAGAGCGTTTCAATCAAGAAACTAGTCAGAAAGGTGGGAAGTTTAGTCCAGGGTTAGAAATTGACGAGCGAAGATACAAACACTCTTTTACGAGGAGTCAAATCCGCATGCATCGTGGGCAAGTAATGTGTCATAGATATCTATTGCTGTTGGGCCAATGGCTGTGAAAGATGCTCCCTAGAGGGATAGGACAGGGAGGTTGTGTGCCTGTCAATGACGGTACTGTGGAGTGTCTCAACTGCTCGGTTCTGAGGGTGACCCGCGCTGACGAAGCCGCGTATTCCAGTGATGTCCCCGGTTATAGACAGGGAATTGTGTGAGAAAATACAGATAGGGATTACAAAAAGAGCTCTTGCGATGTATGAGCTGTATGCGCTCTATTCAGCCAGTCCGTTGCACTTAGTGGGAGTGAAATGCAGTTGGTGGCGGTGCTCGTCTGTTGGATCCTATTGGCCAACTCTATCGGTTTCATCTAGCAAGCAATTGTCGCCCTTACTTGCTGTCTCCTTGGACCACTAACTAATAGTCCAGGTAAGTTGGAAAGGCGCCGTAATTTAGGTTTTAAGGATAACGCTGACAGGAGACAATAGTTATGAATTAGATATCAGACTCAGCAATGGTTCATTTTTGCGATTCATTACTAAACTAATTCTCATCGCAGCCGACTTCAACCCTAAACGAATGTAAATGCCCCAAGGATAAGACAGCACTTGACCCAATATCTCGGCATCCTCAGCTCATAGCCACGGCTCCCGTCAGCAATAATGGGCATGCTAACATAAACGTGTTCATTTTATTCATAACTGTAGCGTAGCAGTCAGAAATATGTTGAATCGAGTGAAGAACTTATTCGATGGTGAAAGGAGCAGCCTTAAATCAATTGCCTAGCAATCAACACTATTGGCGACAGGTACGGAAAAATACAGCATGAGAGCACGCAAAGACGCTGTAGATACGTATTTCACTCACGCCAAAGCTCATTTAGAATGGACTTCAATGTTTGTAGCCATAAGCGTATGAAGGTGCATGAAAAGCTGACGGCATTTCTCTTGCCCTAATACTGGCTCTCATCTAGTTCTTCATCTTCTCATCTTCATCTTCGTTGTCTGTCTCGCGCTTTCGTTTCGTTCTCGCGCTTCCCCAACGCGCTGCTTGCCGAATCTGCTGTCTTCTTTTTCGCGTTTTCCGCGACCGCCATAACCAAGCGCACTAAATCCGTCATTATGGAAGATACAGTGTTCTCGTAGAGGCATGCGCTGATAAGGAATGTTAGAAGGATGTTACCATGTAGAGAGAATATTTGCGAGAAACAGCCAGTGCGTTAGATGTCCATATCCCCCACCGCGATGAGAGTAAGGAGAGCGTTTCTTGCAATGCATTTATGCTCATGGTCCCTCTATCTACATGTTCGCGCTTGTGCCCGTGTGCGTTTTAGTGCTGTTGTGTGGGAAGTTGCTGTTTAATACGTTGTATACAGTGCTATCATTGTGGGAGCCCTCACTAGCTGGGGATGCGAGATTATATCCTTGAGAAGGGAAAAGTAATACGAACGGGTGTAGATTTGACCTTCGAAATAGGGCTTTGACCTGTTTATTTGTAGAAGTATTATGGAGAAGCGAGCTGGTAGGAAATTACCAGTAGCGCGGCATCTCGAGGCTATGGCGCAAGGAATAGCTATAGTGGACCAGTTGGCTAGTGAAACTGAAGAAAATATCGAGCAATCGAATTAGTAACTTGGAAGACCTCAAACGCTGAGAAATGGATATGAGCAATAGATAATCAGTGAAATGAACGAGCGTATTAAAAGAATATATTGGTAAAGGTTCTACTTCAGGAAGAGGCGCGAAGCGACAGTAGGTCCTTCAGTTCCTGGGACTTTTGAACCTGTTACTTATACTGAGCCATCTGCTCCTGCTGCTGCTGTGCCAACTGCTTTTTCATTTGCTCATTTTCTAACATGAGCTGCTGAATAGTAGCGACATTGGCCGTCACTGCCTGGTCTTCAACTGTTGGCAATAAATTCCCTTGGTTTTCCTCCTCTTGAGCCACCAACACACCACTCTCTGCATCCGATGCAGAGTCTCCGCTCGTCGCACTTTTATCCATGCCATCCACACTGTCTACCTCTGAATTGCTGTCTCCGATCTGCGTATCCTCATCGCGTTCCCATTCTTCGATCAGCTCACTATCACCTGTATTGACCTTGTCCCTGAACTCGGTACCTCTTGCGATATTCAAAGACACTCTGAGTTTTAGCAGTGAAGTAGATCTCTTTAGGGAACCAGTTGTACGTCTGCCGAAATCCTGGAATGTGGTAGGACATGTTCTCATCGAACTCGATATATTGCAGTGGGGATTCGACCCAGGCAAGGCGCCAGCTGTCACCGACCTCCTTGAACACCTCGTTGATTAGGGCTATGACGTGTTAATGTGTTAGACAATTGATGAGGTGGTTAGGGAAGGAGATAGGAATCTGCCGCGAATTATGCTATGAAACACGGCTTTTATTTCTGTGTTGCTCTTTCTTTATAAAGCTATGTTGGCAACAACAGGGTGCGTGAATTCCTTGATATAGTGGCCACGGATCCTGTTTGACAGACTCGGAGATTCAATCAGATAGCGAGCCATGCTTAAATAACCAATTGCTTCAATGGTGACGACGTCGTCGAGATCGGAGCTGGGGTTGCAGTTGGCAAGGGCTGACGGCATTAGGGATATCACTTTATGTCAAGAATGAAATGAGAGCCTGGCCAGAACGGCTTGCTTCATCTCCATAATTCAAGCGCATCTCTAAATATTTTCTCTGCCCTTGCATCTCATGGCAACTCCCAAGCTGTGCCATAAATGATGCAGATCCAAGTTAGATCATTGGGCGCATATAGGCGATGAATTCAGTTACCGCTCTACCATATTACACGTCTTCCAGCGGAAAAGGCGGTGGTAATCTCCCACGGCGGGAAACACGCGCCTGAAATGAATCATGCGCGGTAGCAGAGTACGTAGTCCAAAAACAGATGGCGAAGGGTGTTGTGTGACCACAATATCAATAAAATCCATGACCAGCGATATGGTGAATACATGCGGCGATGGAGATCCCTGCGGAGGAAAATATGGAGACTGGGAGACGCTGCTGTAGCGCTACGCTAAGTGTGTAATCCAAATGCACCTAATCGATACCAGATTTAGTCGGTCGATCCTTTCTATTTGATGTGTGCACAAATAACACCCGTAGACCCCAAAAGTTAGTCTGATTGCACCAAAGATGTATACAAGCTGTTGGCGAAAAGATCAACAAAAAAATAGCAAACAAACACGCTCGACAGTGTTCAATTGCACGGTATATATTTAAGTCTAAATCTATGTGCATAGCAATATATGATTCATTTCTTTCCACCATCTAGTATCTTTCCATTACTCGTCCCGAACCAGCCTGACACCCTTAAAATCCATGAACACAAACTCTCCTTCTCTCTTAGGCTCGCCCTCATACTCAATCCTATAGCCATTATACAACTCTGGGACCGTCAACACCATCGTATGGAACTCTCCCATCTCGCCACCCATATCCACATCCCCCTGTCTCGGCTCCAACATCGTTTTCTTGAATTCCGGAGTGAGTTTTTGGCCGACGAACTGGCGGGCAAGGGATTCGTCATTGTTCAGCTTTTGAATCGACGCGCAAGTGATAAGGAGTGAGAAACCACGAGAGAAGAGCGTCGATAGGAGCTCATTTCGATCGATGGCCCAGATCGGACAGGAGAGCGGAATAATGTCCTGAGTGGCTCGGGTCATGAAGTTATCGCACACGTTCAGGATATCGCCTAGGAAAGCAGGGCATGGAAAGCGAATTGGAAAATGGTTAGTGCGGAAACGCATTAATTAATTGATGAAACAATTGCTGTGCAACGTTCCATTGCTTCGATTGCACACCCTAAGAACTTCCCGACGATGCAATTGCACAACATACCGGTGACAAGGAGGTCGAGGTTATATATTTCCTTGACCTCGGCAATCTTTTCGCGGTAACATTCGAGATGGGTCTTGCCCTCTTCACCGATCTCAACCAAGATGTGAGGGATATCGAGCGCCTTAGCCTGCAACTTGATGACTTCGAGCGAGTGTGCTTTGAAGGAGGTGAAGTTCTTGGGGCCAAATGTGATAAGAACCACAACGTCGTGCGTCGCTTTTGTCAGGCACAGCGCCAACGTACAGTCCTTTCCACCCGTGAACGATACCGCGGCTCTTTTTTTGGTTGTCATGGAGAATGAGTAGGAGAGTGCGGAATGAGAGATGTGTCGAAGGGAGATGTGATGTAGAAAATGGAGGGAATAGGGTGGTTTTCTCGGAACAGAAAGTCTGTTTCCCCGCACCGCGCTGACATTCCCTCATTTGACCATTTCTGAACGAGTACCAAAACCACATCGCCCTCTTTCTTTTTCATGAGCAGCCTCCTTCGCCATCAACGCGACAACGACCAGCATCGACACCTCCCGACAAGCACAACAGGACACGCCTTCCCAGACAACAAGCCAGCTCTGTCCGTATTCCTTCGGGTCTAACTATAACATCTCGCTCTTGAACACACACTTCAGCATCGCTTCAACTTCAACTTCAACTTCATGGACCGCTGGGACCCCATCCAGCTCACGTCAACTTTCCGCCCCGTGCTCGAGCCACACGAGACGATCCAGACGACCCAAGACCAAGTCGGTCTCTACGACGGGCAAGTTCATATCTCTCAATGGGTCCCTGTGGTGCTCCTACACCTCTACATGCTGGGAAAAAGCACACCTGAAACCTATGTTAACGACGTGTCCTGCTTCGCCAACTTTTGAATGATAGCCGCCAAAAGGCAGAGGATTACCCCAATGGCACCGTCTATCTAACTAGCTACCGCATCCTCTACATCGATACCAAAGACCCCGTCCGGAAATCTATTGGCCTCCAGCTACGGCTCATCAATGGCATCCAGCACTATGTACGTCCCTTCTCTCTTCTTCGTATCATCAGAAGGACAAACAGGTCACCCTCGTTCTGTCATTCAGCGCCTAAAACTCACACTTCTTCTCTCCCTTAGGGCGGATTCATGTCCTCATCGCCAAAACTTACCCTCGATCTATACCCGCGCCCACATTCCTCCTCCTTGGATCCCACTGCCTCCACCTCTCTAACCAACGGGACCACAACTCTTTCAGGACTCGACACAAGCCTCTCAACCCTCTCCCTCAAATCCGAACCCTCCTGGGTCTGCGCGATCTGCTACCATTCCAATCAAGGCTCCTTCCTCAAATGTGCTGTTTGCGGTGTTCGGAAACCGGCCCCTAGTGCTGATACTCCTATCCCCGCTACCCCAGTAGCCAATCCCTTCCAGGTGACAGAATCTTACAGCAATATCATCACGAGCGGAATAGGATCGTCAAGTCCGCGGTCTGCTTCGCAGAGTGGACCTATGACACCTCCGATAGCGACTGCAACTGCGATGACAACAGGAGGAGGAGATGGAGAGCATCCAGGAATCGCATGTCCGGCGTGTACGTTCCACAACGATCTCTTTATGATTCAATGCGAGATCTGCGGAACCCAGTTACAAGATGCTCAGAGTATCGCCTTTACGTTGCATCGCCAGGAGCAGCACCAGCGTGCTATTCGACAGTTGCCCTCGACCACCGATGTCGCCACTGAAAGCGCGCGCGCCTCAACACCAACTGCGGCAGGAGTAGGAGCGGCGGGAGACATCAAATCTGCGAGCACAGGCGGCTCCAGCGCAGGGGGTAGTAGGTTCTTGGGACTTTATTCCGGTGCAGGAAAGTCAAATGTAGAGGATACGAATAGTGTGAAGTTATCGTTTCGGGCAGGAGGTAATTCGAATTTTCATACATTGCTGAAAGCGGCTATGGCCACCAGAGCTTGGGAGGTAAGGCGAGGAGACTGCTTTGAGCATGTAACGTTTGGCGAGCGTCGTTTCTCGTTCTTTCTTTTCATGGGTATTGGGGGTTTACTGATAGGACAGGATGGTTTTTTTCTTCTTCAAAATATTGGATATAGGCCAAGCCAAAACCGCACCCAGAACCGACGATGGGACTGGCTTCGTCGGCATCACAGCAGGACTCAACTCCAGGATCATCGCCGGTCATCAAAGTCGGCGGTATAAGTACGTTTTTGTAACAATAATTACCTACTTTGGTCTAATATCATAACCTGGACTACTCGGACTGTCTGTCAAAATCTACGATCCGTGGACTAAACATCCATGATCTCTTTTCTTCATTCTGTCGATTTCTGATAGGCGGGATTATGCGCACGGTAGAAACAAACAAGAAAGCGACCGACGAGACATTATCCCAGGCATTCCAAGATCTACAGGGACTGATGGACAAGGCCGCAGAGATGGTCGCCCTCGCAGAGAGTATTTCGAACCGACTGGCGAAATCCAATACGATGAATAATGAAGAGACCGCGACCTTCAAGACCTATCTACTCAGCATGGGTATCGCGGCTCCTGTCACAAAGTAATAATTTCGTTCTCAGGTTTAATGTAATGAAGTGAGACGCACGTTTATGAGCATTGGCTAACATCGTATGCGTTTTTGATTGATCGCGTGGGGAAAAAAATAGGGATACGGCAGGAGCGGTTTTCCACAAGGAACTGGCGCGTGAGTTGGTCGAGTTCATTTTACCGATCGTCGAGAAAGAAGGCGGAACTATGAGTCTCATGGACATCTATTGTGTCTTCAATCGTGCTCGCGGCGTTGGTAATATCATCCTCCATTGTTACTCACTGCGGATCTTTTTTTTTTTTTGCTGGATCAACAGCTCCCTGTACCTCATTGAACTAACATCTCTCTACTTCCTGCTTTCTCACCCTCTTTCGCCGCCTTTTTTTGCTTCAATTTACATTATAGAATTGATCTCCCCAAAGGATCTTCACACCGCATGCCAAATGTTCCCGGACCTGAACTTGCCTTTGCGGCTACGGAAATTCGATAGCGGTCTACTAGTCATTCAGACAATGGCCCGATACAGTGACGACGAGGTCTCGAGTGCAATCTCGAAACGCATTCAGGAGCTCCCGCCTGGGGCACCGGGTCTATCAGCCGTCGAACTCGCGAGCGCCATCCAGATTAGCGTCGCCCTCGCTCAGGAGCAGCTTTTGGTATGCTTGATCTCGTTTTTTTTTTGGGAGGGGGGGGAGTCCTGTTGTCTTTGAGTATGTGCAAGGAAACGATGTGAAGGACGTATATCGGCAGGATCGACAAGAGTACTAATCCGGTTTTTTTTTTTTTTTTTTTTCACTGCTGTATTATTTTTCAATGCGTGTGCTTTTGTTACGCTCTAAAAAAAATAGATGACCGAGGCAAGGGGATTGATTTGTAGAGACGAGTCCGTTGAGGGACTACGTTTCTATGACAATTTATTCGCAAAGTGGGAGATCTAGAAAACTGTCAAAGCATTTACATACATCCCAGCTCTGCGCACATAATTTTCGAAAATCAGAATAAAAGCGCATTTATTTCTTCATTCAAACGCTTCCTCCACGTTTCTAATTAAAAGTACATGCTACTCATCGTTGCGGAACAAAAATTATCAAGGGGTCCGAATGTCCCCCTCAAAACGGCTGATCTTCATCGCTACTATGTCCCTGGGTCTTACAAAGATCGAGTATCCAGCGCCGTGGTATCTAAATGTGAAGACAACAAGATGGTTCCATCCTCAATTCCATCATTTGCTCCCTTAATCGACTCCTCGCCCACATCCACCTCTCGTAGGCCAATCACTCCGGTTGCCAGATCCTGGCCCTCGTCTTCGCCAACATCGTGTCCATCGAACGTATACTGTGTCCCTGACCGCTGCAGCGCCAGGTCTCGTCTCCGAATCTCATAATACTTTTGATGCTGCAAAGTCTTTACATACTGTCCATGCTGTATATCCGCGAGCGTCCGCGAAAGCTGGTATCCCTTCGAAAACGTGCTGTCCGAGCTTTTTCTGCTGATCATACTGAAGTCACTGGATTTCATTGAGCCAGAGCTCGTTCTTGTTCCTGTTCCTGTGTCAAACAGGGTGCCCGAATCCATGGGCGTGCTGTTGTCGTGGTCTGACGAATACGCTGTCGTCGATGGAAGCGACATCGAGGGCGAGTTCGTATTGGGCGCGTACGGGATGATCAAGAACGGTTCTCTTTCGCGTTCGCGTTTCGTCGACACTCCAGAACTTGCTCTTGCGGCCGATGATCCCAAGTCCACAGTACTGAGGTTGATCGTATTATGGCTCGGATTCGAAATAAGCTGCTGACTGTGGGTTTGATGCTGACGAGTATGTTGATAGTGATGCGCTCGGAACGGGACCATGGGCGTCGAGGACGCCTCGGATCCTGTCATAAAATCTTCCCTGCTACCGTTGTCATCCATGAGCGGTTCCCTTGACCGAGAGTTCCTGAGCGTTCCAGAATCGTTGCCCTTGGGCAGTTCATAAGTTCTCCATAGTTTTCGTGAATATTTCACAGCAATAAAGGAAATGACGCCGAGTAATATGACACTGGTAATGACGATCTTGATGATGACTGGTATTGACATATTTTGGCCTTTTGAGGCGATGGATGCGGGTGTAAAAGTCGTGGTCCAGATCCATGAAGTCGTATTGATGATAGCCACTTGGGGCTCTGAGAATTGTCTAGGTCCCGTCAGTCCGCCATCAAACCCTGCCGATATTCATTGCAACAAAAGAAATAAAAGAGGTTAAAATCATGGATTATGCTATCATGCAATGGAAAGGACGAGGACAAAAACCATCTCATGAAAGTGCGTTACTCTACCTCCAACAAGGATCAATTGATCCAGCGTGGCAAGCTGACAGGTGGCGCCCGCGCGCCCTGGAAACGGCAAGTTCATAATGCTCATCATCCGCCACGTCCAATCGGTTGTACTCAACACCCATGAATCCCCTAGACTACCATTCACCGAGGCGCCTCCGTACATGAACACGTCCCCATTCGCCAGCACCACCGTACACGGTGATAACCTTGGCACTGGTATTCCTACACCAGCTGCTGCGCCCTTCAGCGGTATTGTTGAGATCGGCACCGATGGCGGCGCCCCGTTTGCGACCGTCACCATCGAGTTCACCAGGTATCCCGTTCCAAACGGTACACAGCTCCCAACCGTCCCATTCGCCGGATTCATCAGACTACACCCTCCCATAATCAACGTCTGCTTCATCCTCGGTAAATACAGCACAATCGGCTGTGTCAATCCCGGCGGCGATCCCGAGCTCGCAATTGCTGCCGACCAAGTCCACTTATCGAACCCTGGCTGCGTATCCAACAAATCAAACTCGGCCGCCATCGAGAACGTCTGTGTCCCTCCTCCTCCAGTAGCAAGTGTGCCTCCATAGAGCACCATCTGCCCCGTACTCTCATCCAACGCTATCCCCACCGATGTCCGTGGGGTTCGTGGGAAAACGCTCGCCACGGCCGCCGGGCTCAAATAAGCCCATTGATTCTCTGTGATATCATACACCACAACTAGCTGCCCAATCTGATCCCCAACCCCCGCCAGGACCAGATTCTTCTGGTCCGCCGAAACTGCGACCTTTGCATCTTGTACAAAATATCCCGCCTGAAGCCGCTTCCATGGAACCTTTGTCGTTGCAAATGTTGCGTCCAACGGGATCGCGAGCGTGTCAGCCGTGGCCAGGAACGGTGGGATCATCGAGATCGTGCCCGAGCAGATGTAAAGGACGTTGTTGACGATACTTGATCCGGCGTTGTAACGAGAGGTGTATATCACTTGTGGGAGCTGTGATGTTGGCTGAGGTTGTGGTTGTGCGGAGACCGTCGGGAGTGCATGGAAGAGGAAGAGGAGGAATGCTGTTGTTGTTGTGGCGAGAGCTGTTGGGCGACTACGAGAGACGCGACGGGTTGATTGTTTCTTGACCGATAGAAGGCGCTGTTTTTGCTGTTGCCTGTAGCATTGGGTGCAGTACAAGAAAAATGAAGGGAAGGGGGTTATATTATTCATGAGCATGATGTAAATATGAAGAATGAGCGGCTGAGTGAGAGATAAGCTGGTAAGGATTGTCTTTGAGCGAGAAAGAGAGAGTGGTGTGTGCACGATTTATTGAGATAGTGTGTTACGAACACTGTTTTAAGCGTGAAGTGCAGAGTAGTGCTTCAAGGGTGAAATAGAAAAAAAATAAAAATAAAAATAAAAAGATCGCTGAGAAGAGGAGGATGAAGGGCCGAGGGATGGAGAAAAGGAAAGGAATGAGAGATGAAAGAAGGAGAAGAATGGGGAGAAAGGGAGCCGTTGAGGGGGTGTGGGTTTGTGAAGTGTGAACCAAGGGCTGAGTGCTATTTATGTGATTCTTATTTTACTCAAGACAAGAGACAGGGGCAGATACACAACGGAACAACCAACAACCCATCGCAGTGGGCTGTCATCATGACCGAGAAGAAAAACGACAAATGAGGAATTACCATCACTACTGCCATCAAGGACGAAGAGTGCCCCGTCATAGTGCTTTGCTTCGTTTTTCATACGGTCTTTATTTAGACGAAGCTGACATTCTAAAGTAAAGACGCTATACAGGCATCGCATTGGAATTAGACCAATGCTATGCCCGCATACTCCCTGCTGCTGCTGCGGATGCATCCCCCCTCTCTTGACCAGGGAAAAAACAAGACCCTGCCAATGTTTAATTGCAAAATGCAGTCTGCTCTCAAGGGCCAATGGGTCATTTTTTGAGTTATTTATTTCTCCGCCCTGGCTAGCACTGCCCTCCCCCATTTCCCCATTTCCACAAAAAATAACCCCCTCACAGCCACACTCATGCCCTCAGCCCGAACTAGCCGATCGATCATTCGCTGTGTTTCTTGGTGCGCAGCCGTTGAGATGATGTGAGTATTATCAATCATCCTCACACACAGCGTACCACCGATCGACCTGACCGTACTCCTTTCTATTGAACATTGTCATTCATGTTTCTATCACATTTATTAAATTGCAATATTCATCTCAAACCGTGCTCGCTTCCCTTTTCACCTCACAGCGATCGACCAGTACGCACAGCTGCTCTCATCTCCATACAACCCAGGGCTCGTCATCGGACCCACCAAGACCCCAAAGAACACCATTCCGAGGATAAATCCCACATAAACCCACTTCTTCCACGACCCATGTCCCTCAATCGAGGATACGTCCGGGAAGCCCATCAGGTTACAGAACGAGTGGCTCAAAGACGGTCCCAAAAGACTTGACGTTCTCAAGAACAGGAACGTCGCGAACCATCCGAATAGGGTCGTGTATGTCAACTGGACTAGGGCGATGAGCCCTGCCTGGATGAGTGCTTGGCGCGTCCGGCCATTCTTTACGAACGTTCCGTAAGCATGATGCAGGTGAGCTGATCCGTTTGAAAGGCAAAGTTACAACAATAGAGGAAGAAGAAGAAATAATGGAGGAGGGGCGGAACACGATAAATGGGATGACGGAGAGAAGGATTGACAACATTGTAATTTATACACAGGAAGGACATGACAAAGTGCTTACCAATACCAAACACCATCGGGAGCCCAAAGACCATCGAGCGTATCGAAGCGCCCGAATAGGAAACGACCGCAACCATGCATGCTCGAAAAATGAACTCTTCTGCGATGGGACCCTATTCATTTCATCCCGTTCGGTACCACAGAGCCAAGAGGCCGGTATATGTATACATTAGCTCCTCATAGGAAATATTGCGTTACAATCCAAATAAAACACTTGATATTCGTGCTATAATACATACCACGATATAGTTCCTGATCCCGATCCACGATGTCAAGTACCTTCGTTGAACCGACCAATGGAACCGAGCCTGAAATGGCAGCTCACGATCCAAAAACTGCATCATCAACGGACCCAGGAACAAAATGGCGACCAACAGCACTGGAAGCACAATATGGTTCAACGCCTTGATCGGGTTCGTGGCAGGGATCGTCAGTCCCAGAAGCCGGAAGAAGTGACCCATACGCGTCCATAATGACTATATAGATAGGTTATTATTTTTTTCAGGCATTTTATTGTTGCACATAAGAACACATTAGGACATACACATACTGCAGGGTTGAACATATGGACATGGAATAAACGAAAACAAAGAAATGGCGGTATCATTATTTACCATATCCACTGGGAACACCCCTGTAGAAGTAAAGACGATCCAGAGATAGACGGGTACAACGATCATGGTCAAGAGGATGCCCTTTATCCGCTGTTGGATCACCAGAGGGTGGTCCCTGTCCAGAGGACGTTGTATTTGGTAGATATGCTGAGGTGATGGGCTGCTGGGTGCTTTAGTAGCATGAGCGGGGAGGGGGAATAGATATAGAAAACTAACAAAGAGGACAGCGAACAGCACGCTTGAGATCCCTGCCAGCCATGGCAAGATGAGTCCTTGATGGAATGAGTTCATCCTACTCAGCCGGTATTTCGCTTTCTGTTGGCTGGCTTGTAAACAATTGAAGTGGATCCTGTGGTGGGGGTTGTAGACAGTAATGAGATGAGCGAGCGGTGTTGCTTCTTCGCTTCTTCATCTGCTTCTCGAGATGACTTCGCCCCGTCCCTGTTTCGCTCGAAATTAAGGTTTTCAGGATCAGACACCACAACAATGATTTGACCTTCTTTTTTGTGTCACCACACAAAAAAAAAAGAAAAAAACGCGGCGTCTACTCGGGGCTGACTACATTTGTTCTTCTGGAGAGAGAGAGAGAGAGAGAGGAGGGTTCTTTTAACCTGTCGAAGCAATAATGGCTACAAGCTGTTCATTTTCGGAGTCAGCAATAGAAAGACTAGTTCCGAGATAACCAGAACCAGGAACAGGGGCAAGGAGAAGCACACGAGGATTGATGGAGGATACAAACCGGACCAGCCTTTTTTTCTTTTTTTTTTTCTTGTTCACAGGAACTCATGGCATCGTAGCGTATCTACGACTTTCACAATAACACCTCATGCCATGCAGAAGCTATACACTGGCTGCGAAAGTGTTGATAGTCTACCAGGGCGTAGCAAAGGAACTCAATGCGGAAGTGGCTCGGGCCATCCGACACGAACTTTTTTGAACTCGATTTGCAAAACGATCACCTGCCATCGCACAGGCTGAGAACACCGGGAAGGCAGCGTCGTTCGTCGTCCAATCTAAGAACTCAACTACCCGCGCGTTTCTAATAGAATCCAAGAAATTCCTCTTCCTGGCCATCCGTTAATTCCCTCCCATCGAGACCAGTCCACCCAGTCTACCTGTCATTCTCTTTGTGCCGCAAGATAAATGTACTCCCCTACATACATTGGTCGTCAAGAGGCAAAGGCAAGATCCGTTTGTCTCATCTCGAGATGCGTCGACAACGTTCACAAAGAGCACCACCATGGCTATTGATGTTAACATTTTGGCTTTTGGCTTTTGGCCTTTTCAGGAGCCTGGCCATCTCCAAGTAGCAAAATAGAGCCTTCCTTGCATGCGGCTCATGGTCCCGGCCGCCAGATCCAGATTATACTGAGACGGGACCAACTTGCTCCCAAGTTGACCAATGTGTGGTGGCGGTTGATGTTGGGAAATTAGGAAGGTCTTCAAAGAGGAACATCAAGATGGCCCAACCGTCCTAATGCTTTCAGGGACTCGTTTGTAAAGATGTGGAGCATGAAGAAGCTGTCGTTTAATAAAAGGCGCCAACACCTATAAAACAACTTTTTTTTCTCTTTTTCTGCATTGAGTATCAAGCAGCATGCACAGAAAAACGTTGCTCCGTATGAGTAGACAGACGCCCAGGAATGAACATTCTCTTTATTCAACAAACATGTATGAATGTGTGTGAATGCCTCCAGTAAAAAATGCCGATATATGTCGCGCCCATCCTCTCTTGCTTCCACCGCCCATTCACTCTTCGCCTTTTTTTTTTTTTTTTTTTTTTTTTTACTTCGTCTTTCTTCTATTCCTCGCCTACGTTCCGCCAGTTTAGGTTGATCCCTGAGGCGGATCAAACGCATCGCACCACCCATTGATCGGCAAACAGCTCAAATACTTGCACCAGCTGCAGTTATTCACACCCTTGTAAAAGTTCGTCAATCCCAGGACAATGATCAAAACAATCACCGGCAGCGCAATGAACCGAAGTCCCAGCTTAATGTACTTGTCCCGCTTTGAGAAGTAGACCACAGGCATGAACACAAGTCCTGTCAAGATTCCGGAAAAGAACCCTCCAATATGCGCAAAATTGTCCAAGAACGGGAGCAACCCGAACCCGAATGATACCAGGATCATGAGCGAAAGCTGTGTCAAAAGAAAAGAAAAAAAAATATGGATAGTTTCGTATAGATTAGCAGATATCCTTTTTTTTTTTTTGCTACCTTGTCAATCAAATATGCAGCACTCTGATAGTGTGTCCGCTTCATCAAATAAAGCCTACCTTGGACAGTTCCCAGCATGGCCGCACGACCAACCTCCAGTTCTGAATGAGATCCAGTACAAGACAGCCGATCAATCCAAAGATCGCTCCAGATGCGCCCATCGATGCTATATATTTCAACATGGATAAACAGAAAGTAAGGAGAAAACGTTAATGAATGAATCCTGCAATTTGAGACCCTACAGCCCACAAAACAAAAAGAAACAAAAAAGCCTTTGAAGTGCACTTACGTGACAAGAGTGGTGCAAAGTTTCCTCCAAAGATGAAGCCCACAATTCCCGAGGTCATATAAATGATCCCAATCCTCCACCATCCCATATCCCTCTCCAGGTCGGCTCCCGTCCGCATCTGGAACATCAAATTGAACAACAGATGCACAACGCCTCCATGCAGAAAGATCGGCGTAATGAACCGGAACCACTGGTTCGGCGGCTTGCCCGTCGACGCAATCGGCGTGAATCCACAAATATCCGAGATCGTGCACACCGACGTCGTGTTGTCCGGACACTCAATCTGCATCGTGTCCAGGTATGTGCTCCGCATGCATGGCACAAATCGAGCTCCCGTCACAATAAACGTCTATCATCCAATAAGCAAAAAAAAATGAAAGGGAAAAGTGTTAATAAACCGCCCCTTCGTGCAGATATCGAAGACGATAAAAAAAACACATGCAATTGAAACACTTACCCCTGTTCCGGGACCGATCATTGGGTTAAACGGATGGGTCTCAATGATACTTCCCGTCCGCTGATATCCCTTCACAAACTCAAACACCAGCACTGCAATCTGCACCGCCGATACAAACCACACGAACCAAGGCCTCCACACCTTACGCTTGTTCAGCTGTCGTTGCACCTTCGGATCCAACAACGCCTTCGGAATTGGCTCCCCGTTGAGTTCCTGGTCATCGTGCGGCGGTAGTGGTGGCGGCGGTAGCCCTCCTTGGCTGTACTGACTTCCACGACTGCCGCCACTATCCATCGCCCGATCATTGCTATATCCTCCATGCTTGCCATCATACTGCTGTTGTTGTTGATGTTGATTTTGGTACGAATTATCCGCTCCTCCTACTCCCGCACCCGAGGTATACACCGACGCCTGCTCATCCCCACCATGCGTGCCACTGCGCCCCATTACCGGGCTCGCCATGTTCTCAGCCGTCCTCGTATCTGAAAACTGATTCCCCTGTCTTGCCTGCTCAAGGTTTGAGGAAATAATATCGATCCCGACCAATGGGATATCCGACTGTGAAGGTGCCTGTTGGTACCCCGAATAACCTCCACCACTCCAAGCGGGCGACCGACTGCTCAGGGAGGATTGTGCGTTTTCGAGTGGTGCCATTTGATGGTATTGACTGGTACTGTTCCTGAGATGGTTATGTTCGATGTCGTTGTATTCCTGTTGATTCAGTGGTTGATGGTGTGTGGGGAAGTAGCTCAGAGGACGCCCGACGGGGTACTGGTCTTCGTCGTCTTGGTCGTATCGTTGGTGTTGTTGGAATTGAGGTTGGGGGGAAGATTGAGAAGGAGAGCGAAAGTTGGCGTTGTTGACACTGGTGGTTGAATAGGAGTGGGCTGGCGAGGCCGGAGTTACTCCTGGGTCCTGACGGTCATCACGAAAGGGTGAGACAGATGAACCTCCTGGCGAGCTGTAGGCGTTGATATTGTTGTTGGTGTTGTTGTTGGTGTTGTTGTTGGTGTTGTTGTTGTTGTCGTCGTCTAGCCACTCCTGCCTGTGATGATATGACATTGCTGACAAAAAAAAAAGGGTTTTTGGTGTGCGTCTGGGGAGAAGTGTACTGTAAACACAGGGGTTCTTTCTAGGGAGTAGAAAGAAGAGGGATGAAAGATGGGATTCGAAACGTGGATGAAGAGGAGAGGGAAAGAAAGAAAGAGTGATGATTGCGTCAAGTCGGCAGGAAGGGTCTGAAGAAGGAAAGAGAAGAGAGAGACAGCACACTATCACCCCTAGGCTTAGACTTTAAACTACGGTATATCTTACCTGTCGCAGGGGTCAATTGCTAAAAATACACATATTATTAGGCTGCCAAGACTAAATAATACGCGACTACATGTACCATCTCAGCCCTGCATCAAAAGCACAACAAGCAATAGCAACAGCAACAGGCAAGTCAAAGACAACGACATCAGAAAAAAAAGAGAAAGACGCCCTTTATTTGAATTAATGATCGATGGCAATACAAAAATAAAAAACATGAATGCTTAGAATACAAATGATACAAAAAACATACATCGGTAAAAGAAAAATAAAACGAACAAGTGCTACATGGGAGTTTTCTAGTAAAACACGACTGAACAAAACAAAGCAAAACCCAAAGGACACAAAAAAAAAAACCTATATCACACAATACAAGAAGAGAAAAAAAAAAAAAAAAGTACAAAGTTGAAGGATTCATTAGACTGAACGAAAGTGGTGAAAGAAAAATACCCCCTCAATGGTGCTGCAAGGTCTTTTTCGTTTCACCGGGAATATGGTGTCCGTCATTAAACAATACAAAAAAGCCCATCCTGTAGTAGCTATCCTTTTGCTGCAAATGGTACCCCGATGTTGTTTGACGGTCGAAGATAGGGCGTGGTCCTTTTTTTTTCTAATTTTTCTTTTTTTGTTGTCCTAATTTTTTTTCTTTGTTGTAGTTGTGTGGGACCTTGATGTTTTTTTTGTTTGTTTTTTGATATTGTAGTTGAAGCTGTAATCTTCAGCCGTTGTTTTTGTTGTTGGTTGGTTTTGATAGAAGTGTCGCATGTAACCCTCGTCCGATGATTACGAGAAGAATGAGAGAGAAAATAAAAAAGAAAGAAAGAGAAAGCTGGCGCCAAGTGAACGAGAATAAAAAAAGGCTGAAGAGAGAGCTGTCAGTCGCTGTTGAGAGCAACCAGGTCAGAGCGGTATCCAAGAGCGCTTTGTTCCTGAAGACCAGAAAACTAAGCAACGCTGATCGACAGCTTGGACGCGGGTGGAGAAGGTGTGGCGCTAGGCGTGATCACCTGTCCCTTCGTCAATGGGCTCGTAATTGGGATCGCGTGCGAGACCCTGGCTGGGAAGTTGGGAGGCGAGGGGGGAGGGGAGATGCGAGCAGCATAGGAAGGACGCCCCATGACCTTCAGTTGGAACGGCGAGTTATCCGCCTTCATCGAGACCTTGCCACGGGAGCCATCGTAGATAGTGTTGATCGAGCCGTGATCGCCGACACGAAACGAGACTGTGAAGGGCTCGACCCAAAGGACCAAATCCCTAGGAATCAGACCCTGCAGGGTTTCCATCGGTAACGAGCTCTTTTGTGCAGCCTAGGAAGGGGTAGGTAAGCAAAGCAGATGGTGTCAGCAACTGTGAATCACAGCTAAGCAAGTTGCCATTTTGGACATGGTTCCTTTTCCTTGCTTTATCTGTTTTTTTTTGTTGGGCGTATTCCAATTGGAGACAAAGAGACACAGCCATCGAGGGAAGGGGAGCTGTAGAGTGAAGACGAGTTGAGGATTATGCAATTGAGCAGAAAAAGACAACTGCATACTCAAAGTGCTCTCAATCGGAGGTCATGAAAGGTGTTGAGGTGGTCTAGCAGTAGTCTGCAGACTGCAGAAAACAATGGGTGATGGGGGAGTAGTTTTAGGTAGGTGGTACCACCGTTAAAAGGAGAGGGGTTGTTGTTACCTTGCACAAGAGAGGGTCCACTTTGCCGCCGAAGGAGGTGATGGCCCTGTATCCATTGCCGTAGTGTGGTCGCTGTGGGTCCCAATGGTCGGTGTACTTCTCTTGCATCAGTGCAACGGTCTCCTTCTTGAAGTCGTCGATTATCTGGGGGGTGCACGACGACGACGCAGTGAGGAACCGGCACAGAAAGTCGGACGCACAGGAGATTTCAAGTAGCATGATTCTTTTATATATTTCAGTTTGAAGAGAGCGAAGAAGACGAGGCGGGAGGGGGTGGTTTAGCCAGTTTGGGGAGAAAGCAGAGTTGAGGTTGATGATGAGCAGGGTAATGGGAAGGAGGGTGAGGATGTGCTGAATTTTGATGGGAAGTGAGATGTGATGCATCAAAGTGGGGCGACCAACCAGCAGACTGGTTATAGAAAAAATTAGCCTCACGTATGTATAACATAGTTCAAGTTGTGTACGTATTTGCCGCATTGGCCACGTGTTGCAAAGCGCCAGTTTGCAGACCCGGCATCAAGCGAAGGAAAATGTGTCATCCGTGTCGGGCGTGTAAAGAGCGAGTTCGAACCTGGCATAGTACTTCGTAAGACCCTCGAGCAGGGATGAAGGATCCTTCATAGGCGTAGTGCTTTGGTATGAAAGATAATAGCAAGCAAACACGACCATGAACACGACTGTTGAAGCTCGTTTTCTCGCGGATAGAATGCTCAGCCTCATCTACGACTACTTCCAGATGCGTATCGACGGCGCCATTACTTAATGTGAGCCATAGCAAACAAGCGTTATCTATTAGCTTATAATCAATGGAGGCAAAAGAACGAAATATATTCATGTCTGGTCCCCAGTGCATTTTCACCACGTCCCTGTCTTGAAAGTTTTCTATGAGTGGCGATATTTGAACGGAGTGCCTTCATGTCTGATCACATTGCGAATTCATCGCGTCTTAACCTAGAAGCTGCGGCAATTTTCGAGGAAGAGATGGCCGGCTTGTTCGTTCACAATTGAAGACTACAAAAGAATGGAATATCTCCATGTCTAATAACAATACATATTAACTAGCTTTTGACCAAAAGGTAGGGTGGAATAAGAGACAATACGCTCAACTGACAAGCGAGCGTGTTTATTTGGGGTCGATTATCATGGAAGTGAGAAGTAGCATGGTCAATGATAACCAGTATATTTGTTCTTACTGATGGTGGCCAGACAACGAAACTCTTCATGTTTGCTTCCAATGCATGTTCACTGCGTGGTTGCCTGGAAAGTAGGATAGACTAATTATCGAGCAAGTGAGAGTTGGCGTAGCCAACTGGAAAGCGCAGCGTGTTTGTTTGCAACGATGGCGACAACAGGACGCCTAAGCACTTCTCGCTGTCGCCATCCACGCGCTACGGCTGGAGCGCAGCAGAGATGTGAATTGTAAGAGGCTCTGGAGTATACAAGCGATACCCCTATAGCTTTCGCAAACCGCAAAATAGTAGACGCACTGTTGAGAGTCCAGGGCGTACTTGACATGATGTGCGATTTCAATGGCGCGTCTATCATATTGACCAATAGAGACATGTAGAAAAGTGTATCCGAATAAACAGTGTTTTGTCAGCATCCCCCACTTACTCCTCTGCTATTCTTCTGACTGCTTAGAATCCTGCAAAGCCCTGAAGGTTGAGCGGCAAGATGATTTTCCAGCGACAAAAAAAAACCTACCGCCGAGGGCAGGCAGGTTCAAGACTAAAAAAGAGACGGTATATTGACAATTTTATGTCGACGATGTTGCCATCGCACGCAATTCGAACACTCAACTGCAAGGGGGGCGATCCAAAAACAAATGCGTCTGTTCAAGCAGTAGTATGTATTGAATTGGACTCAATAGTGCTCTTCACCAGTGTTCGAATGGGCCTGATAATTAGAATGCATGCCAACTAGGGTCCTCAGCAGCAGCAATGGCAACAACAGTTGGCCTATCGCTTGCAGAGTGTCTGAGCACAATTGAATAAAAGAGGTCAATGATTCGCGCGTTATTTTTTTTATGCTTGTACTCCCTGCAAGAAATTGAACTTATTCTGGCCGATTCTCGCGTCATCGACCTAGGAGGATTGCTACAACTTGCACCCTGTCACTCAATGCACCCCGCGGTGTAGATGAGCACACACATGAGGAACACGAAGAAGAGGAGGAGAAGGGATCTTTGGTCCACTCAGGAGTGGCGAAACAAAAGGAGCACAAGCAAAAGTAAAGCGAAAGCGTGCTCCCGTTTGTCTGAAGGGGTGTTCCCAGCCAATGGCCTTGCACTGGCCGATGATACCACCGCTCCATGGATAGCACAACATACCTTTTGCTGTCGACCAACCTTGCAAGCTCTATTATTCAATTGCCAGGTTATTCTAACGAGCACTGGCATTCGAAGTTGATTGGGTTGAGCTGAATTAAAATTGAATTGAAAAGAAAGAAAACGCTGTTGCTCGATTGCAGGTGTTTATAATGAAAGAAATGATAAGCGTATCTAGTATCTATGTGTGTATATATTCGTGAGTTCCTGGCGTAGCTGAAGTAGGTAGGGCGGTGGTGGTGGTGGTGTGTGCATAGTTGTGGTAGAATGACGCGAGAACGCGAGTAACAAGGCAGCTGTCTATTTGTCCCATGAGATGTGTTCCACCCCGCACTCGACAACCAAAAACTACAAGTCCGCATAGCAGAGCTGTGAAATCTATACACACAGGACAGGTATAAATACCAAGGACCACTTCTCCTCCATATCTCGCACACCTTTTCTTTCTTTCTTTCTTTCTTTACTTTGCTCTGCTCACTCGTGTTCTTCGTACCTCTACCTCCATCCCCCACACTGCAACCATGTCCTTGACCTCGGCAAACGTGTCCTACCCTCCGCACTTGCCAATGCCCCAGCATCGTCAGCAGTTGTCCTATCCTCACTCCTACCCTCATCATCCCGATATCTCGCCTACCATGAGCCACGATTCCATCTCGAGCAACTCCTCTGGGCCAGTGTCTCCTCCGACTGAATCCTCGCATCCTCTCTACATCTCCACAACTACACACCACCACTCTCACCCCCACCAGCAACAACAACACCTGTCTTCATATCACCATGATCCCTACCAGGCACCATCGCCACCGTACTCATATCCTCACAGATCAGGTTCCACAGAACTCGCCCAAAAGCCCACTCTCCCCTACCCTCGTCCGTCTCACACCTACTCGACATCATCCCATCGTGCACACCCATACTCGCCTTCTACTCTGCCCCCATTAACAGGACGTGTACCTCTCTCGCCTCAAAGCCCTGTCGACTCTACGGCTCCATATCCCATGCCCAACGCCAACCGAGACGAACGACACCGCTACCGGACTGCGTCGCCTATGTCTGCGTCTCCACCACCTTCATCCAGCCCGACCTCCAGCGTTCTATCGTCAGCAGCACCTCTCTCTGCCAACGACCGGAGAGAACGCAATAAGGCTGCTTCGGCCAAGTACCGGGCAAAGAAGCACTACCAATCGGGCGAGATGCGCTCCCAGATCACAGTGCTGCAAGATCAGAACAATGTCATCACACGACAGCTCGAGGAGTGCAGGGCTGAGAACGCCTCACTCAAGAACATGGTCGAAAAGCTGAAGGGACGTCTTGTGGCGGAGAAGGTCCTGAAGCGACTACGTGAAGTCGGTCGCGAGAAGAAACGCCGTGGCAGTGGTGCTGGTCATGCCGCCAAGGTGTCTGCTCAAGACCTGGCTGTCAGCGACAGTGAGGTAGATGACGATGATGATGATGTTGTTGATGCTGTAGAGAAGGCTGTTGAGGATGATGATGAAGAGGGGATTGAGGAGAACGATGCTGTCCTGGCCGGGATTGAGAAACGCTCGAGCGAGAGGAAAGCTCATAGCCGCCGTAGAGCTGTGCGGACGAACGATGACGATGAGGACTACCGTGAGGACTAATACTCGAACACCAAACGATCCTTTGAGTCCAATTCCTCCATCTTCCTCTTCACTCTAACATTGTAATAACACCTGTATATTTCCTCTCGCTTTTCGCTGCATCGACTTGCATAAACATATAATGAACCATAATAAACCTCAGTTGAGAAAGGGAAAGCATCGACTCCCATTGCTTGGCTTCATAGACTGAACGCCATTTTCTTAAGAATAGAATAAAACGATAAACGGCAATTGAATCGACTCACTCCACAATGTCGCCTTGAAAGGACGACGATGGATGAGCTCAGACGATCGGCATGTGCGTGCGAAAGCAGCGAGAGATGAATGGTCTTCACAGCAAAGTTGACCCATACCCATACTATGCCGTTGTCTCCATGCCTCCGACCTTTTCTAAATAAAAAAAAGGTTTTCCAAGTTACTAGCCCAGAGGAGTTGTACACAAAAAAAGATTCTAGCCAACGAGCGTGCACGATTTCGCGTCTGTGACCGATGGTGCCATCCTTCCAAATCCTTGGCTCATCTCAATAAGGGACACAGTGATTGAATTGAAATCCTTATTCATTGCGGTGGGGTGAATGTCCAAACAGTGTTGAACACCTGAATGAAGCCACGAGTGCCCAACTACTGCAGATGTCTTTATCGGTCAAGCGTCCTTAAGGTATGAGGAAGAGAGGGGCAATAGTGCTGCACACTGGTACATAGTCCATCGTGCTGTCCCTGTCCGGGTATCTGCACACGACGGCCACGAGTAGGTTCATTCTTCCTACTGTAGTCTTTTAATTTAACTGCGATACAGCAGCAAAATGGCACAAGATGACGCGATTTCTGGCCACAGCGAGGTGATTTCTGCACCACTTCCTGTGTCCCTCATTCAATTGTTTATTGAGTCGAATCTCCTACTTTCGTTATCGCTTTCAGTTTTCTTTAATTGAGAACGGGGCGCAAAAAGATGTTCCCAGGACCGGGGGTTTTTTTTGAGAGCGGCATAGAGATAGAAGTCTATAGAGTCCACGGCAAAACGTAGCTGCGTTTGTTCAGTCGAAGGACGACTGTATTGTGTTTTTTTATGCAACGTGCGCAAAAGTGATCAAGAGCACAATGGCACCATCCTACGAAATATGTTGAAAAGGCGTCTACGATACCATCTGCGAACATTGCATGCGTGTTTGGGCAAACAATAAAATATCATGCTGTCTTTTTTTAAGAAACGTGTGTTCTAAAATCAATGTCGATATTCCTTTTCAGTGTTCATTGCTGTAGTAGAGTGAGCTGTCTGATTGTCTGCCGTTGCTCCCGCGGCGACCTTTTCTCTTTTTTCCACTCTCGATGGACGTCTTGATGCTGCAAGTGCTGACTGAAAGGATGTGTGATGTGCTCAATTGGCTAAGACGCGTCAATTCCTGAGGAGTTGCAGCATGCAGGACAGCCCTCGAGACCTCTAGCAATATAAACTCTACGTTCAGCTACCATAGTTTTTTTCATCATCGTGTCTCGGTTGCCTAAGACACTCATAAAATGATTCAGTGCTTCAGAGCAACGTTGAAGCGTCTCGCGGTTATAATCGTACTCAGAGTACTTGTTCCTGGTCTTTCAAGAACAATTTGCACACTTTCTTGGAATGTTTCATTTTACAGGATTAGAAATTGGCACTACCCCTGTAAATGCAAAATGACCAAACAGGGAGTGATCTCTTGCATCCCCGCAATCACGCCCATCGCGACTCTGAGCATCTCGACAGAAAACCGCAGGAAAGCAAATCCACCAGGGAGCCGCGCTGGATCCGACGCACATCATCACCGACCGGGCTTGCATCCTCGACCAGCCCGACAGGTTCGCCATCTCCGCTCGCCATCACGGATACCGTCGCAGCCTTGTCTGCATCCGTCGGATCCGTCTCTCCTCCGCTCGCTAACTGCATAACTGTCCGCACAGCACAACCTCATCTGGCTCAGGCAGGACCAACTTTAAAAATACTATCATGCAGCAGCAGCCCCCACACCATTTCCCGGCTATGACGCCGCTGCAACAGCAACAGTTGCTCCAACAGCAGCAACAGCAGCAACAACAACAACAGCAGCAACAACAACAACAGCAGCAACAGTACCAGCAGCAACAACAGATGCTGCTCCAGCAGATGCAGCAGAAACAGTTCCAACAACAGCAGCAACAACAGCTACTGCAGCAGCAGCAACGCGCGGCTGCGATGAAAAATCAGTCTCCACAGCAGCAGCAACAGCAGTTCCAGCAGCAGCAGTTCCAGCTCCAGCAGATGCAATTGCAGCAGCAACAACAGCTCCTCCAACAACAGCAGCTTCAGCAACAGCAATTACATCACCAAATGATGGCCCGACCACCAGGGATCATGCAGCAGCAGCCCCAGTTACAACAACCGCCAGTACCAGTACCGGTGCCAGTACCGATGCCGCTCCAGATGCAGCAGGGACCGATCTCGGGCCCACAACAGATGCAGAACAACCTGGTCCTTCAGCAGCAGCAACAGCAGCAGCAGCGAATGTTGGCGCAGATGCAGCAGCAACAGCAACAGCATCTTCATCTGACGCACGCGGGTAAGCCGCGTCCCAATGGATTTCCAGCAGTGCCCGGAGTCACAGGAGTACCGGGCGCACCTGTCATGGCAGGGATGCCAGGGGTGCCGGGGATGTCAGGGATGTCAGGGATGTCAGGGATGCCAGGGATGCCAGGAATATCGGCGATGCCAGGAATACCGGCGACGCCAGGAATGCCGGGGATGTCGGGAATTCCAGCGATGCCAGCGATGGCGGGAGTGGGAGTCCAGGGTGGGTCAGCGATACAGGGGATGCCGACCATGTCGACCATGCCAACCATGCCAACAATATCAACCATGCCGGGTTTACCAGGGGGTACCGTGCGCCCACGACCGCCAATGATGCCCAATGGGATGCCTACACCCTCAATATCGAAAAAGACGTTCGAGATGGACATTGATAAGGAGGTCTTTCAGGCTGTAAATGCACACGAACAGCCTTTTACGGTTAATTGATGATGATCTCTTGTGGGACATTTAGGATAAGGCCTCATCTAACAGTTTCTATTTTGTTTTTTTATTTCATGTCTGAAGCTGCTTGAACTGAACAAAGAGCTGATCTGCGTATGCATTGACTACCAAAACAGCAACCTGACTTCGGATCCTGATTTTCAAAAGTAAGTAATAAGCTGATGGCAGCAAAGTATGAAATTGCGCAGGAACGTGAGTTCACGAATCTGATGTCATGCGCATTTATACTGGCGAACTTTCAGGTACCAGGTCCGACTTCAGAGTTTGTTGTCATATCTCGCGACATGGTCAGAAATCAGTAAAACTATACCAGTAAGTGCGCTTGAAAATCCCGCTGGGAACCGCAGAGGAGTGCATCGACGCGTGATTTTGACCATCGAGTATCAATGGTTGTAGCTATCCAACGAGCCTCCACCAAAACCTGATCTGTCGCCACTCCCGCCAGCGCGTTTCCCTTCTGCAGCAAGGGCAATGGTGGCTCTTCCCAAAGTAGCGGTCGCGTTCGCAGCGGCACAGAAGGCGATCAAAGAAAAGGCGGCAGAGTCAACAAAGGCAGCAACCCCAGCAACTCCGGCAACTCCGGCGACTCCAGTAACTCCTACAGCGAAATCAGAGGCGACCTCAGCTCCTTCGCCTACTAGTAGTATCGGAGCAAGCATTGCGACTGCATCTGCACCTACCACGACTTCTACCGTCCAGAGCTCGGTGGGACCATCAGTCCCTGCAGTAACAACTGCTGTCAGCACAACCGCACCAATTGGCAGCACACTCATGTCACCAGCACCTCATGTTGCGCCGAACACTGGAAGTCAGGCGGGTACACCGCTATTGCAACGAGCCCCTACAAATACGAATCCACAGCAGCAACTGGATCAGCAGAATACGCAGCAAGGCGCGCAGATGCAGGCTGGCACGTTGAACTCCCTCACGGCGCCTTCTCCTGTGTCGACTTCTATACCCTTGGCAGCCTCATCAATGCTATCATTCCCCCCCACACAGCCACAATCCACCCCAGCATCGGCGCCACTCCAGTCACCAACGGTTGCTTCGACTCTCACGACACAGAGCCCAGTCGTGGGTACAAGTACCGACATCTCCTCAGCCTCAGGAACATCCGTGCCGGCTATTCAGGGAACCGATTCTCCAGTATCCAAGGCATCAGTATCATCGGCACCAACTCCTGTGACAGCTTCATTACCCAACGGAGTCGTGGGAGCGGTCAGGATTCAAACAGGATCGGTCTCGGCTCAGTCTTCACCAACGCTCGGTGGATTTGCGCATCTTAAACAAGGAGGAGGGAGTGCCGTCAACAGTCCTGCGCTGACTCAGTCCCAAGCACAGACACCTGCTTCGCCCCTTGGCATTGTCGCCGGATCTCCAGCACAACAGCAGTCTCTCCTTCAGCAGCAGATGCACAACCTTCAGCAGAGTAATAACGGGAGCAGGCATAGCTCGCCGCTGGTGTCGCATCAGATGCTGCCACAGCGCACAGGAACAGGATCGGTAACGTCTTCGCCGAGCGTATCGCATGCTGCTATCCCAATGTCGTCTCAACAACCTGATACCACAGGTGCACAACGGGTCGCGTCGCCGGCACCCATGGCCGCTTCTTCTGCGGCACAACTTGGATCCCCGACCGTTAGCCTAGCATTCGCACAGCCATTCCATGCGCACACTCCCAGTCCTACAATGGGGCAACCACGACCATCCGCACCCACGATGATGTCCACCGCAGGGTTACCTATGGGCACAACACCAGGACAGATGGGACAGATGCCACAGCAGCAAACTATGCTGATGGGAATGCCGATGGCGATGGGGATGGGAATGGGGATGCCTTTGGGTATGAATATGGCGCAACCGGTGGGCATGCCTATGGGCATGGGTATGAACCCTATGGCTCAGTCGATACCAATGTCGATGCCTATGCAGATGCCGATGCATGTGCCGATTGGGATGTCTGCACCGATGCAGATACCTATGACGGGGAAGCATATGTTGGGCGGTGCGCAGGGTGGGGTGCAGATACAGCTTGGACCGCATCAGCAGCATCAGATGAGTCAGTTGCAGTTGCACATGATGCAACACCAGCAACAGCAGCAGTGGCAGCAACAAGCACAGCAACAACAGGCGATGATGCAACAGCAACAGCATATGCTGCAGCAACAACAACAACAGCAGATGAATCAGCGTCCCCCAAGTCGACAGAACAGCCCAATGATGAGTCCTGGACGCGGAAGCCCCGCTATGTTCAGTCCTACTTCTATGATGACCCCTCAACAGCAGCAATTACAGCAGCAACAGAGTCAAGGACCCAGTCGTTCAGGATCTATGGACCTAAGTTCCGGAAACAATAACATGATGGGAAGCAGTGGTAGCCAACAAGGCTCGCCCGCACTTGCAGCTCGTCTTGGGATGCATTCACTTCCCGGATCAAGATCCGGATCTGTCGACTTTTCTCAACAGCAGCAGCAGTCGCAACCAACACCGCAGCAACTCCAATCTCCACAATCGGGATCGGGGGCCACACCCACTGGCATGTCCTTCGCCACTAACAGCAGTGCCAATAACCAGAGTAGTTTACAGAGCACGCCCACCCTCGGGCATAACAATCTCAGCAGCGCCATGGGCGGAAGTAACACGAACGACAGTGCTGCGAACACACCTGTCACTGGCGGAAATGTTGGGTTATCAGAGCTTGAGAACAGTTCGACAATGAATGCTGGAGATGAGGGCGAGGACATGTTGAATTTGGATATGATCGAGATGGATATGACGATGAGCCATGATTTGTACGGATCAGGCGAGTCTGGGAATAACAGCGGTGGTAATGACAACGGCGGTGGATACGGAGATGGCCAGCATCAACAGCATCAACAAGAAGGCCAGCAGCAGGAGCAGCAGGGGCTAGAAGGGTTGGAGATGGACTGTGCGGTCAATGAGGAAGACGAGGACGATGTCATGAATGGATTTTTGAACCTGTAGAACCTTCATCTCTGCTTTTTTTTTTTCTTATTCTTATTGCCGATAGCTCGATTTTTGACCAACTACAAATGTACAATAGTAAAGAAAAAAAATATTTATTTGTCGACTGGTCGGAAAATAATCCTCGCGAACATTGTGATGCAGATCTGTCCGCCAATGGCTACATGGTCTTGGTCCTGGCTATTGCCTTCGGACTTAAAGCTGCCGATGATACTGCGTGCAAGTCTGACACCAGAGTGCTCCAAATGGAGCTATGCGCACAGCAGCACCATCCTTAGTCATGCAGCTGTGCAGTAGGCCCGCAACATGCTCACTCCATCAGTCATGCAGACATCTGTTGTAGTAAAGTAACGTCCTGCTCCAGCGCCTTTTCTGTCGCGGCCGGAAACGTAACCCATGCATACCACATCCCTCTTTTTTTCTTTCTGTCCCCAGGTGCGCTGCACTGCTTCAACGCCCGCTTAGTCCTGTTCTCTTAAGGACAAGGTCCGCGGACGGAACTCGCACCAAATGCGAACCTGATGGGCACAACCGAGACAGCACCTCCGCCTCTGCCCATCGACTACAGTTCGCAGATAGACTTTGTTAGCTCGTCATCAGCCTTGACGGAGAGCCATCTCCACCCAGTTAGGCAGATGAACAGGTGCACGGGTGTGCAGAAGCCGGTCTTCGTTTCGTACTTTCTACTCGAGCATCTACGCTATTTTTAGAGGTGAAATTCAGGTCCATTGCCGCTGTGCGCACAGCTCCATTTGGAGCACTCTGGTGTCAGACTTGCACGCAGTATCATCGGCAGCTTTAAGTCCGAAGGCAATAGCCAGGACCAAGACCATGTAGCCATTGGCGGACAGATCTGCATCACAATGTTCGCGAGGATTATTTTCCGATCAGTTGACAAATAAACTAGTACTTTCAAATATTGTCAGAAAATCAATGTATTTGCAAGGCGAGTAAAATAAGCGATCTAACAATACTATATAGTTTGGTCGACCGAATAATCAAGGAAAGAGGAGGAATCTCGTTAGAGGTTTGTTCTTTCAATTGTCTGCAGAGTAAATGAAACAAAGATGACATTATATCCTGTGTTCAAAGAGGTTGACAACGTACCTTCGTTTACTTCTTGGCAACAGCAGCCTTGGCCTTCTTGGTGCCACGGAGCTTCTTGCTGCGGTTCTTGCGTTCCTTGCGCTGCTTGCGGGAGGCCTTCTTGATCTCCATGAGGCCGTGCTAAATTAATGAGATGTTTAAAGAGAGGAAGAGGACGTGTGTTCAGTCGAAAGGGTAGTGCATAGAGACAGTGAAATGGTGACACTGTGAAAAGTGTTCCCCTGATGCACCGTAACTCCAGAAGCAGCAGACACTGTGTTTGTAGTTCTGGCGTAAAGAAGGATTGTCTGAACATAAGCGCCATTCCGATGAGTTAGGTCCTGTTCATTCTCATGTGCCTTTCCGCGCTTCGCTCATCGCTGAGTTCCCATAACTGTAAAAGTCCTTGGAGCATAGTTTCCAATGCTTTGCCGGCATTTCCAGTGTCCATGCTGGTACCGTAATTGCTCCTGCATATCCAGTACCGTTCTCCTTCCTTTGCCTTTCCTATAATCGTCCTTTGTCCGATCCTGTATGGTTTTTTTACGCGCGAAGCCGCCCTAACAAAAGGACGGCTCGGCTCGTTGCTTGCTTGTTTAGTTGGTAAGATACATACACGAACAAGGCGGTACTTGGGCTCGAACTTCTTGGCAGACTCCAAGTTATCGTAGATCAAAGCAAAGCCAGTCGACTTTCCACCACCGAACTGGGTACGGAAACCAAAGACGAAGACAACCTCCTTGTCAACCTTGTACATCTTCGCGAGCTTCTCGCGGAGCTCGTCCTTGGAGATGTTGGCGCGGGCGGGGTGGATGATATCCACGACCTATCAATTCGAGGTAGACAAATGCAATTGTATTAAGTGGCGTTGTCCTGATCGCGGTTATTGTTGGTGTAGCTGCGGTTGCAGGTTGGATCGTTGGTCATCGTGTGGTGGCGCGTTTACCATTTGCTTTCTGGCCAAAAGGCGGTTGGTCAAGAACTTGCGGGTTCTGATGGTAGCAGTGGAATCAGCCTATTGGTGGAGTGTGCCCGAAGGAAAAGATGGGAGTTGTCAGTGACCGCAGCGTCATAACGACCACATGGTTCATTTCTGATTGATCCCTCCTGTGTCCATATATCGCGCTCAAAACGGTTGTTCGATTCCTAGCCCCTCGCCAATGTATCGATAAACACAGCGAGTCAAATCCCCATTGCATTGTTGAAGTTCGGTCCAATCCGAGTTCACACCATGCATCCGTCCTGCCATCATGCTCCCCCGCTTCCAACATGCATCGAATCTCTGCCTGAGCCCTCTGTCCGTCCGATGCGATTGACTAATGATCCTGCTATGAACGATACACATCCGTCCATATAAGCTGAATAGCATGATATCCTGATCGATGGTTGCCATTACTTTAGGTCGGTTGCCACTCCTCCATGGATGTGTTCCCCTTGGCCCTCTTCCAATCCTGTGTGACTGTCCGGTTCAATACCATTTTTGATCAAAAGAGGAAGATTTCCGTTTGCAGCTCCGAGATACGATTTTGAGGACCAAGATGTGAACAGTGGCTTGTGGTCTTCTTTCTCCCCAGTAGAACAATCGTGTACAAATAGGGTACAAATGGGGTACAGGCGCATTGGGCCTTCCTTCTTTAATTGAAGTTGGATTCCTCAATCGTTCGATTGATAAGAGTGAGTGGAGTCATAATTGTTGATTGACTACATGGCGTGCGGGAAACTGAGAAAAATTAAGTGTGAGGAGTGATAGTCTATGGCACCCAGGATAAATGGTATTCAAGACGCGTAAAACAAATAAGCACAGTACACCATCAAATTATTGAACACATCTCATTCAGTCCTTAATCGGCACTATCCTGATATGCATTGATAAATTCGACAATTGACAATTGACGCACTGGACAAGAAAAGATACGGATATGTTTTGCAGAGAGAACAAAGAAAAAAAGCAGACACTTTTTTCCTTTGTTCTCCTTCCTCAAGGCCTATTTTTATTCAGAGACAATCTAAGCACGACGGGCACGGGCAGCGAGCTGGCGAGCGTTCAGCTTGGGCTTCTTGGCCTCAACCTCACGCTTGACAGCCTCGTTCTCCTCAGCGAGAATAATCTCGATGTGGCAGGGAGACGACATGTAGGGGTTGATGCGACCGTGAGCACGGTAAGTGCGGCGGCGCTGGCGGGGAGCCTGGTTGACCTGAATGTGCTTGATGACGAGAGCATCCTGGTCCAAGCCCTTAACCTATTTTTTTATTTCGCAGAGGTGAGGAAATGGTGTGAAATGGGAAGGTCAGAAAACTTGAAGTGAAAGTATTTTTGAGGCCCTGAGAGTACATGCGGCGCTATGCGAAATGGCAATTTGTAGTGCGTAAGCGCTGTTGTTTGTCGTTCCAATTGCTGGACAAGTGCTGATATGCCGACATCCTTTTTTAAAAATATGACACAAAAGTAAGGTTGATCCTGAATGCCAATTGTCGATTCCTCTGTATCAATTTTTTCCCAGTGGCCCTAGTAAGAATTGTTGTTGTTGACCTTGGCTTCAAAAGCAAAACTTCCTCGTCCTGGTGTCCAGTATCCCGACTCCATCATCAGCAACCAAAACTTACGTCGGCGTTGGACTCGGCGTTCTTGAGCAAGTCCTTGACGAACTCGACAGACTTGACGGGCCAGCGGGCCATGGTCATGCCAAAGGGCTTGGCCTGAGCAGTGCGACCGATACCGCCGTTGAAGCGACGGAAGGGAATGGCCTGCTTGTGGTCCTTGACGGCCTCGAGGTAGGTGAGGGCCTTCTTCAACTTCATGCCGGAGATCGCAGCAGCGACCTCACGGGTGTTCTTGAAGTGAACACGGAGGTAGGAGCCGCGAGACAAGGCAGCTATTGTTCGCAAAACAAGTTGACAGTTGATAGTTGGATCCGTATTAGTTATGTGTACTCCTCTGGGATCAATTTTGGTAATTTGAGTCGGTGATTCCTCGCTTCCTTCTTCTGTCCTTGACCGAGCGAGTCTATATGCATCCTGCTATAGTTGCGTTCCAAATCATCGTCGTTCACTTACTCTTCGAGCTGTTGGCAGGGGTGGCAGCGTATCTCACCATTTTGTCCTACGAAAGCACGAGTAAAAAGGAAGGACAGCCTGGTTAGATTTCTGGTGATGTGATATCTCTCAACCTGGCTCCACATCCTGCCAATCGTTGTCTCCTGGAAAAAAAGGTCGAGCTGTAGTCCAAGGGATCAAAGTTCTGTCCTGTAACATCGATCTGTTGCGATTCCGTTGAGGGCTGAAGGCCATGCGTCAGCGATTCTCGATGCAGGCCTGTTGATGCATAGTTTCCCCTTGCGACTCGCTTGAAACAGTTTTGTTGGGTTCGCAAGGTGCCGATTCTGACGCACAAGTACGTGCTGATGTGTTGCAGAGGGTCAGATGTCTGTGTCGGCATGCATTCTCGATCGCCGCCTGTCAAAAAACTTGACAGTGCATATGTCCTGAATAACGTCCCTCAAAAATGTTCCAGTCGGTCAGTTGGCGATTCCTGTAGTCCTTTGCGGTGTTGACTCGATGGATGGGTATCTGGCCGTGGCGAGGATGGTTGGATGCATAGTGCCGATCATGGATGTCCCGCTCCCTTTCAATTGGATGTGACTGAGCCCTGTAAGTCTCTACCTTTGGATTAGAGATAGAGGAAAGAAGGATCGAGCGGAGCAGTCCGCGCAGGGCAATAAAATCGAATCCAGCCCAGAGCAATTAGACCGTGGCTTTTTGAAGTCTGCAGAAAGTGAACCGCGCTGTGTGGTTCATCACAACGACGACGCGACTCATCCTCTACCAAACGCAACGGACACTCAACAACGCGGTAACAACAAGGACCAGTATCAAGTATGGCAGGGACAGAGGACCTTCAGGCTGCTCTCGAAAAGAATCAGAATGCACTTCAGGACATCGAACACATGATCACCTCTGTATGTAAATCCAGAACTCTTAGACAAGTTATACGAAGCATAGGACTTGGAACCATATCCTAGACCCTATCCATTGACCACTATTGCACAACTGAATAGCTGAATGATGTGCGCTCGTCTGTTCACCATGTGTTTCATATCCTGCAAGGACGTACAGGTATCGTCAAGGAACATTGGATATTGACCAAAGAGTAACTAAAGATCCCAAGAACAGTTCTGACCAGCGGTATCTTTATTATTATTGTTACTTAGAACTTGAATCAGGAGCCGCGTTTCGGGAACATGCAAGATTCACATACAGTGCTTTAGAATGCCTTGCAAAACTGGCCATTGGCTCGGACGGTATGTTTAGATTGCTCTCAGTAATCAATTGGAGGACTATCACCTGGAGACAGATCAACGATGCTGTCCTCGTCAATATCTGACAAGTCCCGTCTCCCGTGTCTTACTTGGATTGACTTCTAGGTGTTTTGAACGACATTCAGGCAGTCGAACTTCCCAAGCTCCAGGGACCATCGCCAATGTACGTCGCTATTTTGATAGTCTCATTATACGGAACAGAGTTGTACTTGAAGCAATTGAACTGGGTCACTCATCTCCGGAATATTTGGACCTAAATCAATCAGATCACTCGAAACCAAGCAAAAAGAGGCACAGCAAGGGGAAAAAACAATCACAGGGTATATTTGTTGTCTATATGGCATGCATTTTATCAGATCGACTATCGCTTTTTCAATGCCATTTCCTGTTTTTGACTGATTATTGAATGATATATAGGTTGAGACGGGTATTACCTGGGGAGACTGGCGGAACAATAGTCGAACAGAAGAGTCAGGAGTATCACAAGTATGAGATGAGTGAACGATCTGTGTCACTTTGCGTTTACAAGGCAGGAGCACGTTGAATACTCACTGGTGCTCCATTATGATCTTCAGTTTGTCGATAGATGACACGCTCCGATGGTTCAGCAGGGCAACAAAGAAGTCTGGGAGAAAAGTCCATGCATCACGGCAGGATAGTCAGCCATCTATGCCTTTCTCGACAGTTAAGGTAGATCTCATACCGGATGCTACAGTCCATTGCCTAACGTCTCACACCCAGAGAGAAAAAAAAAAAAAAAAAAAAAAAAAAAAAAAAAAAAAAAAAAAAAAAAAACTGACGGGTAAAATTCATTGCGCTTTTAGATCAGCGTTTCGGGAGTGATGCACGCATATATTGTCATGGAGACCAACGGGAAAGGACGGTGCACATCTGTATCTCGACTAATCGTCTTTGGGACGGGAGAAGAGGTACTTCGCCATGCCGTGTTGTGCTGCTCTTCGTTTTTTGTGAACGATGGCACGATCTGAAATTGACTCGTCGCGTTTTTTTTTTTTTGTTTTTTTTGTTGTTTTTTTTGGGTGTGTGTGTCGGACAGAACTCTATTTGGGAGGACTCAAGTCATCTCGTGTTCAAGAAGATCACCCAGATCGCCGTAGGTGCGGTCGATTACTTTACGGCGAAAGAGCCTCGATCCCTTCTGGGGCTGACTCTGGTATGAAGTCTGCGCCCTACAAGTCCATTAATGACATCCTTCAGATGCCCCTACTGTTCCACCTGATATGGTTTATTTATATCTTTCTTTATTTTTGTGAACTCGTCTTTAGGAATGGCTCTCAGCATACTCCACATTATTTACAGCACCATGTTCAGGGTGCGGAAAGCACCTGTTTTTCGACTCACAGCAATTCAAGCACCTGCCACCAACACTGTACACCTATGATCAACCTACTAAACCTTTTCATCCGCAGTGCCTGGCATGAGATCAAACCCCACACCTCAGTTTCAACCTAATTTGCGTAGTCTAGCAACCATTTTATTCATGTAACAATACACACAAACCACTACGCTCCAGATGTTGTTTCTACATTTAAACGGCCTTGGCACCTTCTATGATTGAGGCAGTGGTTGTAGACACTGAAGCGACGGTTGATCCCGCATCCGTGTCGCGTGGTTGTTCTGATTTGGTCGCGATTTCTGTGTCTCGACGGGCACGAGCTCTTTCCAGACTATATTGAGGCGCGGGTTTACACTGTCCACGATCCTTGACGGGCTCCAGGAACGATGCCTGGGGGCGGTAGGCATACATGACATGCAGCGATCTCGTGAAGATACTCTTGGGCATGTGCTTCAGCACCATACGGATCAAGTTGTTGTACCAATGCTGTTGTGTTTGTTTATAAAATACAGGATGAGAAACAGAAGCCAAATAGGAAACCGAGAAAGATGATTAGCGAAGGTAGCACAAAAACACTTAAAGCCGAAACTTTGAAACATAGAGTTCCAGCTGTGCTTTTGCGGGGGTCGTTGTTTGTTACCTGTCCCACGAGGCTGGCAAGTCGATGGCTCGTGTCATATGCGGACTTGGCGAGTGGATACCGTTCACTCCTGTAGTGCTGAAAGGCCTTCGTGATATCGTCGACCGAAGGATTATTGGGTAGTTCGTATATGCAATTGGCGAGTACTACAGAGTCTTGGATTGCACTCACGGCACCTGTTCAAGTTGATGAAGTTGATAGAACGGGGACAAAATAAAGAAATGGTTGTCAGCTCAAGATTGTAATTTAGTAACGCTAGACCCTCATGGTGCATTACGCTAGTGCGAAGAGCTCCAACAAAAATACAATAAAGTTGTATCAAAAAAAACGAAAAGGGAAAGAAAGAGAGAGCCCATTATTCCGGAGCTCAAATCTCTTGTGGAAAAAAAAAAAAACAGCGTCAAAGATAAGTAGGGCAAGATCATACCTAAACCAGCGGAGGGATACATCTAGTAGAGGCCGGAATTTAAGGAAACAATAACATAATAATGAGGTGAGCATGCAGTACATCTAAAAGTCTCTGGAAAATAAGAGAGCAATCGCATGACAATGGAGAGAGAATGGGCCCCTTGGCGTAGGCTTCCGATGCCATGTGTTTGCAGGGAAACATTCTAGATCATTGCATGTACGACGTGAGTTGATAGAACTTCTTTACTGTACCTTGTGGCATGCTAAGAAACGAACCGGGTACATCCGTTGGATACGTTGGGCACACATGCCGACGGGGGATCATTGTCAACACAAGAAGTATACGTGTGTTCAGGTACAAGTGTACAAGTTGGGAGGTGCATAATCGATAGCAATAAAAAGAAAAGTAACGATTAGATCGAATGTTTCCGATATTAATGTATCCTCTCACAGAAAAAAAACCATGCTGGACCGTTACCATCGCCAATGAGACACGTCCGGCTGCTGTACCAGGTGTCAAAAAGTTTCTCCTCCAGCATGACCTTCGAGATAAATTCTCGTGGTGTAGCATCGATTAGGTCTCCGATTGTGTAATTGTTCCTGGGCACGGGTAAGTCGCGCACTTCTTTGCACATGGTCTCCGCCGCTTCTGGACCCCACTCCGAGTTGCGAAAGGAACTATCGAGTTCGCGCGAGACCTTGTCATCGAGATGACGCAGGACCATCCAACAAATGGTATTGAACTTGGTTGTAAAGGTAACCCACTACTGACCAAATTGTGGATATAATTGTCAGTAAATGATCACGTCCATATAGTTATATTAGATTAGTTAATGAAAGACATTAACACGTACCGCATATGGTTTGTCCTCGCCAGCTGTAGTTTCGAACCAAGTATGCCAATCCTTCATATGTGTAAACTCTTCTGGATCTAATGGGCGTGTCTGTCCCACGAGACATGTGCTATTGAAAGGCAGGGGTAGGCCATCGGACTTGGGCAACTCGCCTTTCTTTGCTAGCTCCTTGTAGAGTGACTGGCGCACTGCCGAGTATGCTCCATCGGCGCCGACGAGGATGTCGCCGTGGTATGTCGTGTTATCACTGCAGCGGATGAGAACCCCATCCTTGTTCTGGAGGTGTGAGAGGATTTTCTTGCACATCATGACTTTTTGTGGAGGGACGAGTTTGAGCAGGATGTTATAGAGGATCGGCCGTGAGATGATGTGAGGTAGGTAGCCGCCACTACCGATCCGAGCGAGGTCATGGTTGTGGGCAATCGCGAGAAGTGTTCATGTGTAAGTAAAGTCACCGTGGGGAGACTAAGAGGGTGTAGGAATGCGGAAAAGCGAGAGGGATTGACTATGCACACTTACATCTTCTCCGCAGGGCTATAATCCAATGTCCTGGTTGCCTGCCTTTGTTCGTTGTATCCAGTAGAGAAGCCAAAGGGTTTGGCGTTCATGAGAATCTCATCCAGGATGCCAAGTTGCTCAAAGACTGGCATGACATTAGAACCGATGCTGAGTGCTGAGCCGAGGGGTACAACCTCTTTGGCCCGTTCAAAGACGATGTAATCGATTCCAGCCCTTTCAAGCAAGGCTGCGAGGGTGAGTCCGCCGATGCCGGCACCGACAATGAGGATGGTGGCATTAGTGGGAACTGGCTTGGCACAGGACATCGTTTATTGGGAAGGCGGAGGGAGGTATATTGATACTGCTGTGTAAGGGTAGGTACAAGATGCGTTCTATTCCAGTCGGTCAGGAGCGAGAGGAGAAGGGCCGAGGAAGAAGCAAACGGATTGTGAAGAGAAAAGAGAGAGAAAGGTGAGCAAACAAATCGGAGGGACAAAGTGGGCCTATAAAGAGGCAGAGGCAAGTGGATGGTCAATCCTCATTTTATTTTTTTGTGGCCAATTATTTCTGTGCCCTGGTTACCAAGACAGATGTACCATTGATGCAGCAGAATTTTGGTCGGAGAAGTGCACCCAATACTGCCAAGACCAACCATGTTTTCGTCCTGGATGCCTCCACCCCGTGCTGTCGTAAAAATAAAAGAAGCGAAAGAGCTCTGATCTGCTGGCTCTTGTATTCGAAATGGGGGGAGAGCTCTTTCATAGCGCCACTCAATGTAGCCGTGTTTGCTGCTGTGTGCACTCATGTAAGCGCCGGTGCTGGCAACACAAATGCACAAGACAGCAAAGATAGGATGTGGCTCCGAAAAGAAAGGAGGGATCATCATCAAATAGGGACGCCTTTTTTCAAGCGCTTCAAAGTGACCTGAAGAACCCATACGCTTTTTTCGCTATTGTGAAGCAAAGTGGGCTCTGGTCCCCGACACTTTCGGCCCCTGTTTTTTTACCCTCCTCTATCAATGGTAGACTATATTGCGTATTACCAGGGCGCACTGACCATCCAAAACGGCACTTGACATGCGCACGCCCGCGTTATGTATTGCAGCCTCTGTCGAGACATACATCTGGCCCAGGGTCACGGAACGGGATAGTGGGTAATTGACAGGGATAGAGTGGCATCTCGCAATCAAGCAACCCTTCATCTTATGAAAACTGGGCATGTGGGGAAATAAGATAAAGTAAGTCGGTCGTAAAAGTAGAAATGGGACTCGGATACGGCCTCCTATTTTTCTGTGCAAAAGTAGATCCACACTCGAAGTGTTCTACAGATATTAAAGTCAACAGAGAGAGCGACAAAGGGAGCGACAAAGAAGATCGGTGACAAAGAATGTTGGCTCAACTGGCTTTCGTTCCTTTGCTTCGGGACGCCAGAGCCAACAAGCTTTCACATGCCTACTGAGCAAATGTTACTTATTCTGCGAGCTCAAGGGAGGCGCTAATACCAATTGGGGCCGTTTCACCATGTTAACCGCTTTGAAGGCCTTTCAGTATTCATCATTAAGGGGAAGCTAAAGAATGGCCCAAGACCCTTCACCATTGTAAATAACGTTAGCGGATAAGAATGATGGTACTCGTAGATCGATAGTGCCTGCTATTTGTTGGTTCTGACGATAACCCCTATAAAAATCGGATGCTCCTCTGTCCTGTGCGCTGTTATTTGGTTATGTGCATGAGAGCATGAGTTCACACAGAAAGGCGCACAGCAGTAGGGCATGGAGCCAGAGGAATGTGAAGAGTGGGGCGATTTTGATTTAACGCCACCAACAAGAATGTACGTATTTGGACAGAGTTCCTGCGTGGTTAGCCTATTTGTGGATGTCTAGTCCATGTTGGAACCTAGTAATTACAGGTTCCTGTATGATTCGTCGTACGTGGCACAAAGATGTCTAATCCATGCTGGCACCAATTGACAGTACATCAACATGGGCAATCGTCGGGCGAACCTAGAAAGACATTTCTACCGATCCAGCTATGCTGCACATAAATACAACATGATGGACCACAACAATTGGTCACTCTCTCCTCTTGCACAGCTATGGAGGCACCGCATCAAACAGGAACTGTCTATGAGGTATGCCGTTTCGCTTTTCCCCTTCCTTTGCTTAAGAATGGATAGGCAGATTCTCCCATTGTCCGGTGCATCCCCTTGCTTTGCATTCTATTGCACTTATCTGATCTGCTCCCTTAGCTCCTTAGCCTTTGCTACTTCCTGTTCCTCCCCTGAGGAGCCGCTTTTCCCCACGCTCTGGTACAGAGGGAACACAATAGAAAAAAGTTTTCCCTTGATTTTGTTGTTTGCTGCTGCGATGATGTCGCCGGTGGTTGCACAGGAAAAGAGACAGGGGCAGTTTTGTCAATAGGCGTAAATTATGAAGCAGTTGTCTGCCGCCCAATGAACAGCAGCATCCAAACGACAAAAGGGCTGAAAAGACATCGGGCCAATCACAGCGCTGCTTCGTTGGGCCACATCGACACAACAACAAAAACTACCCGTGGGAAATCAAGTCGGAATTCCGTACATGTCTGGACTTCAACGTGGTGCCACGGAGCAGTTCTTTCCCTCTCTCGCTCTCTCCTTTCCTTCTCCTCTTTCTTCTCTTCCCTCTCTTTCTTCTTCTCCTTCCTCTTCTTCTTTCTCATCGCTATCTTTCTCTCTCTCTCTTCCCTCCACCACCACTAACTGCAAACAAGCAAACAAGCAACCATGTCTGCCACTGCTGCTGCCACCCACCTGCACAAGTGCACCGACGCTACCGTCACCCCGGTCAAGACCACCATTCACTTCTCCATCACGGACAAGGTCGGTGCCCTCGACGACTGTCTCGCTGCCATCAAGGCCATGCACATCTCCCTCACCCGCATCGAGTCGTAAGTCTTGTAGTTGTCTCCTTATATTTTCTACCGACACAGTATACCGATCTTTGTTCCCTGTCTGTTACCGCAATCTTGTACCGGATCAAGTATAGTAGCAGCGCTCTGTTTGGTCCCAACAATTGACAATCTTCCTCTCTACTCATCACTATTCATTTATTAGGCGCCCAAGCAAGACTGCCGACTGGGACTATGACTTCTTTGTGGACTTCAACGCTGTCGATGCTGATCAGGTCCGCCAGGTCGCAAAGTCCCTCGAGCCCCTTGCCAAGCATGTGCACATTGTCGGCACTGGCGGTGGCGCCGGTGGTTCTGGTAGGAGACAATGACACTATTGGTGTTCAAACTGCGCTGCGCTCAACTCTTTTGCCCCACAGATTTTTATATTTGCCGTTTTTGGGAATGAAATGTTGACCAGGCTATTTTATCATTTCAAATATGCAGTTGACCTGCCTGAGTCGGTCCCTTGGTTCCCTCGCAAGATGATCGACCTCGACACCTTTGCTGACAAGGTCCTTGAGATGGGTGAAGAGCTCGATTCTGACCACCCCGGCGCCAAGGATGCTGCCTATCGTGCTCGCCGTGCCGAAATTACCAAGATCGCCAAGACCTACAAGACGTACGTCGTTGTTGCTTCGACGTCTTTTACTTTTTTCGTCACTAAATCATACCCCATGCTTACATGATTGACCATTCACTTTTTATCTGCAATCAATAGTGGCCAGCCCATCCCCAATGTCGACTACACCAACGTCGAGGTCGAGACCTGGGCTGCTGTCTTTGAGAAGCTTACGACCATGTTCCCCTCGCATGCCTGCAGGGAGCATCAGCACGTCTTCCCTCTGTTGATCCAGAACTGCGGATATGGTCCCCACCAGATCCCCCAGCTCGAGGTTGTTTCCAAGTTCTTGAAGGACTGCACCGGTTTTACTCTGCGCCCCGTCATGGGTCTTTTGACCAGCCGTGACTTCTTGAACGGCCTTGCCTTCCGTGTTTTCCACTCGACTCAGTATATCCGCCACCACTCCAAGCCTTTGTACACCCCTGAACCTGATGTCTGCCACGAACTCCTCGGTCATGTCCCCCTATTTGCCAACCCCGACTTTGCTGATTTTTCGCAGGAGATTGGTCTTGCGTCCCTTGGAGCAAGCGATGAGGATATTGAGCGTCTGGCCACGATCTACTGGTTCACTGTCGAGTTCGGAATCTGCCGTCAGGGTGATCATGTCCGCGCCTATGGTGCTGGTTTGCTGTCGTCGTTTGGTGAGCTTGAGTACTGTTTGAGCGACAAGCCCGAGATTCGTCCCTTTGAGCCCGCCAAGGTTGCCCAGCAAAAGTACCCGATTACCGAATACCAGCCTGTTTACTTTGTTGCCGAGTCGTTCAAGGATGCCCAGATGAGAGTCCGTGAGTTCGCGAATTCCTTGAACCGTCCCTTCTCTGTCCGTTACAATGCTTATACTGAGAGTATTGAGATCTTAGACTCGAAGGAGAAGGTCATTCGCTATGCGCAGGGCATCAAGACCGACATGTTGACGCTTGTCGATGCCCTGGAGAAGCTGGCATCTTAAAGTAGCTCCAGCGGAGATGATTGAAATGGTCAACAAGTGACAACAATCCGATCTTACTCAGGAACTTGAAAACACTGCCAATGTGATTGTTCTTTCGCCTTTTTGTTATGCAAATGAAGTCGATCAAATAAACAGTGCTCCGTCCATCATCCTCATTTGCCGTTCGTCATGTCACTAGTATCTGCGGTTTGTATATAACAAATGCTGCCTGCTCATTCTGCACAAGAACGATTGACCAGCGGCCACGTCTTCGCGAGAATAAAGTTTTGAGGACAAACGCGTTTATTGATGCGGATGCTGTATTGAAGGTCCGAGAGGTTTCTGTCTATTATCTGTGGTGTCTTGACAGGATCTACACAGGGTTATGTGTAACATCGACCATTATGTCCTCGAGAAAGACTGAGCCCTCGTCTTGTGGGAAAGCCAAAATAGGAACCTGGCCTTGGATTTGAGCAGGAACTTGCGGCTGGTTGGCCAGGTCCATCGCAGAGTCATGTGCCTGGATCACCATCAGGTTTAGATGTTGCTGTTGCAGCTGTCGCTGCAGTTGCAGCTGCAGGATCTGCAACACAAGGCGAAGATTGGTTGAGGGAGACATGGTGGGAGTGGAAGGCGGGATCTGTGTAGGATGGCACCAAAGGTGTACTGCAGAGAAATGGCGTTGTCTTGGGTGGTTTGCGATTGGAATGAGGGTCTTGAAGAAGGAAGAAAAAAAAAAAAAAGAAAGAAAAAAAGAGGGATCGCTCATGAGTTAAATACGCGATCAAAAAGTCGGCAAAGCGACGCGGCTCGACCAGCACGCAATAATAATTACAGTATTTCTAGATTGCAGCCATCATAGTATTGGGGAGTACATGTGCCGTCGTAAATATGGCCCATGCTTACTCCGCCATGAGACGAGAGTTGGACACACTCGAGAGCAGACGCAGAACTGCAATTTCAGTAAATGCAACAACAGGATGGACTGGAGGCGGTGCAAACACTGAAGGTAAAGGGCCACAAATCCGACAGGCGCTCACATACGACCGCAATTTCGAACACTCAAATCGACAGCCGAATAAACACTGGACTGTAAAAGGGCCACAAATCCGACAGCAGAGAAGGGCAAAGCGCCGCAATTTCGACAGCCGAATAAACACTGGGCCACAAATCCGACAGGCCCATGGTTTTCATACACGGGATCACTCAAATCGACAGCCGAGTAAACACTGGACTGTAAAAGGGCCACAAATCCGACAGCGCCGATGGTATGTTCTCTCCCCCCGTGCATTCAAGGAGGGATATAAATTCCGGGCTTCGCCTCGCCCTCTTGGCCCACTCATCCCCACTTCCTCTCGCTCTATATCATCTCCACCTTTTCACTGCAAAAGCACTGAATGAGAACACCTTCGCCTTTCGCTTTCGCCCCAAGCACACCCCAAATGCGTCCAGATACCACCTCTCTATCCACGGACAGCTTACAGCGACCTCAAGTGAATCCTCAAGGACAAGACCAGGGCAGTAGCAACTGGCCCTATGGAGCCATCCATCCTCGATCTCAGGCACTCCAGCCTGCCAGCACCTTATCCGGTAGCATTGGATACACGACTCCCTCCTACGTAGGTCTGCGAGCCTCCGACACCACCTCCCTCGACACACTCGGTGACTGGGAGCTCCAGACTGCAATTGAAGACCACCGCCGACAGCTGCTGAGCCTGCAGAGGCTTCAGCACCAGAGGAACACCCAAAGAACTATGGAGCAACAGGGTTCGCTGACATCCACTCCAACTCTAACCCTACCTGGGCCTTTGCTTGCGGAAACACATCTGATGGACACAGTACTCACAGTATGTACATAATTGACGCTGTATGACTTGTATATCCTCGTATCCAGGCAGATATAGCTAGACTGATATCTCCATTTAAGAATCCTTCATATGCACGAACTGCTTCCCAGGCCTCATTTTCTACTTCCCACCAGCAGCATCTCTGGTCTCGCTCTAGCCACTTGCCTACAGAGACTGCCGCCGATACAGTCCCAGAGAAAGATTTTCACTTTTGGCTACAAAGACATAATGAAACGGAGGAGCAGATGGGTCAATCACAAACGCAGCAGCAGATACAGCATACACGAGTAGCGCTTGAGACTTCATCCTCCACATCCCAGGAGGAAGCACTTGGCTCTACACTTGAATTGCCGACCAGTGCTTCTGGCAACCATGTGCTGTTCCTGGATCGACTGCCTGCAAGTCCCTCCAACGGACCAATTTTAGAGGCCCAAAGTCACCAGCTGCATTCATACCGCGAAGAAGTGGATATGCTGTATAAGGCGCATCTACGCCAACAACAAGGACCCTCTCAGCACCGTTATCAGCAGCAGAGAAACCGACCACAGGAAGGACAACAGGTAGGGACTACTTTGTTGATACAGGTAATATGCTAGATGGATGCGCCGCTCAGTTTACAGCATACGCTCAGTCTAATCTAGGCTTCTGAAATATCCACATCCGTGCAGGCAGTGGAGGCATTGGACCGTTCAACTCAGAAGCGGCTTCCCTCTGTACCACTTGCAAGCGACCACAAACGAGCTGCCTCCGAGACTTCCTTTTCCGATCCTCGCGAGCAATCCTCTGACTCCGCCATTAAACCTCGCGAGGTGAAACGGCCAAGGGCAGCCCTCTCGGTGCAGCTAAAGCTCGACATCATCAAATACCGCGAGAAAAACCCATCCGTATCCATCTCTGCGCTTAGTCGACACTTCGACGTGAAGCGCCCCACTATCCACGACGTATTCAAGAACAAGGACAAGATCGAGGGCTATGCATACGACGAGTCGCATCCCTCCTCAGCTCTAAAGAAGATACGCATGTCAAGACGCCCACTCGATGAATTGGAACGGATTCTCGAAGGTCGGATTAAATGGTGGCAGGAAGATGGTACTCCAGTGTCAGACAGGAAGATCACAGCGCAGGCATTGAACATTTACAGGTATACATCGGATATGCTCCTTGAGCCACAGCCGCCTTGCCAGTTCACATCAGGATGGCTCAAGAGATTCAAAAAGCAACGCGGCGTCAAGACATCGCCTGCCTGCATCAAGGATGAAGATATTGCACGGCACTGTCCAGAACTGCAGGACGCTCTTAAGGACTACAGTCTGGACAATGTCTACTTCGTCGGTGCAACAACCCTGTTTTTGTGCCCGGCGCGAGCAAGCGAAATAGGAGTTCGCAGCCCACCTGGTACGGAGGACGACATGGACACTTGGATTGCGGATGTTTTGCTATGCTGCAACGCAACCGGGTCGGACAGGCGAGAGTTGCATGGTGTAGGTGAGTCAGAAGGAGGGCTGCAGCTGTGGAAAGAAATGCTATCCAGGCAAGAGCAAGCGCGTTCTGCACACTAACACAGTACTTCTATTACTGAGGAATTCAGTTAGGGACTTGGACGATTGGTATCATTTCGAGGGTGATGGTCTGTTTGCGGACGCGCCCCCTACCAATCCAGGAGGGGAGTATCCGCTTAAGGACTTCACCACATTGTGGCTGAACAGATTTGATGCCTCGCTTGACCGTCCTGTCCTGCTGCTGGCGGAGAGCAACTTCTATTGGAACTACATAGCTGGCGAGGACGAGTTTCATTGGGGGTATATCCGAATCGAAAATTGCCGCGGACCATTTGAAGCGTCGGTCCCAATAGCTGTCGGACTGGCCAAGGAGTTCATGGCGTACTACCACATCCTCCTATTCGACGCATGGAAAAAGGCTGCCTCGACCCCCCATGAAGCCCCCATCGAGAGACGAACGCTTCAGTGGCATGTACGACTCCTTAGGAAAACATGGGATGGAATACACAGAACCACACTAGAAACCTGCTCTCGTCCCTTTTTGGCGATGGTCTATCCAGACCGAGGACCTGGCTTTCCCTCCAAGCGCCATCGCCAGCGGAATTCGCTATTTCTGGATGAAGGCGATAGTCAAGGATGCGCACTGGGTTCCACACTGAAGAGGATGTTTCCGAAGATAACAGACATGACCTTGAATTACTACCTCGACCAAGACTGGGAAGTGAGCCCAAGCATGCACTGGTGAATTTTTTTAATCTCTGAAAAAAAAGTAAAAGACTCCCAACCCTGGAAGATAATCAATATGCGTCCGTTTGGGATCCTTCTCCAAGATCAAAAGGCACCGACCTCTTGTTGACAACCATCGCTAGTGAACACCAATTGGCCTGGTCGCAATATCATAGAACACGCTTGCGTAGACCTGGCAGACTCTCTTGGTCCACACAAAGACGGTAGCTGATATCGCTACGGCAGTTATTACAGTCCAGAATCCTTTGAGTATCCCCTGAAGTGCAGTACGCCTCGACCGTTTATTTTTAAGAGCTACAGGACCTCCAAACTGCTGCCAAACAACACAAAGAGATTTCACCGCCTCATCGGCCATTCCTCATTTACCAAGTACTATTAGCATTGGCAATAGAAAGTCCATTGTTGCGCTTGGGAGATGAATGAGAATAATAGTGGTCCACACATAGTTCAAATCCAGACCATCGATCGTCTTGCTGTCGTAGCTCGGCAGGTCAGGCAACAATAACAAGGATGTTGATGTATAGGCAATCAATAATAAATACTCTCTTGTATACAAGCCCGCGACAATGACCGTAGTTCTATTCAGCCCGGCTTCCGCAAAGCCAATAGGTTGGAAGCCGCTTGTAAGGATTTGTTTTTGCACAAGGAGGCCTCAATGCTGTTAAATTAAAAGGGTGCTGCAGCTTGTGAAATAGCACTAGATTCGGTCAGTAATAAGCTGGATCCATGACAAACTGAGGAGAACCCGAGACGAACAAGCATTTGAAAGACGGCACTCAGTTTCGAAAGGCTCTCATTACCAAGGTAGATCATGAGCGGCAAACCATAGGTGGGAAGGTAGACTGAGTATCTTACTTCAAAGTAAAGACTTGAGGGCAAGCGTGTATATTGATGGGGATACTGTATTGGAGGCCTGAGAGCTTTCTGTACTCCTAAAACAAGAGCGGAAGGGATGTTGCCCATTATCTGTGGTACCTTGACAAGATCTACACAGGGTTATGTGTAACGTCGACCATTATGTCCTCGAGAAAGACTGAGCCCTCGTTTTGTGGTGGAGCCAGAATAGGAACGTGGACTTGGATTTGAGCAGGAACTTGAGTAGGAACTTGAGTAGGAACTTGAGTAGGAACTTGAACAGGGACTTGAGCAGGGACTTGAGCAGGAACTTGCGGCTGACTGGCCAGGTCCATCGCAGAGTCATGTGCCTGGATCACCATCAGGTTTAGACGTTGCTGTTGCAGCTGTCGCTGCAGTTGCAGCTGCAGGATCTGCAACACAAGGCGAAGATTGGTTGAGGGAGACATGGTTGGAGTGGGAGACGGGATCTGTGTAGGATATAAAGTGTCAAAGGTGTATTGCAGAGGAATGGCGTTGCGTTGGGTGGTTTGCGATTGGAATGAGGTCTTGAAGGAGAAAAAATAAAACAAAATGAGAAAAGATAGAGGTTAAATACGCAGAAGGGTGGTTAGGATGGTTGGTAGAGCGACAGAGGACCGACTCAGCAACACTAATCATATATTATTTACGTGTAATAAATCACAGATGGCGATATATGGCAAGTTCACGGCTTACCAATACAGACCGCATTGAAAGGGCAGGGGGGAGGGAGAAGGGAGAGTGAGCTTGCTTCTGTCGCTGATCCATGCTTTTCGCTCCTTAGAATTCTAGCTGGAGTCCTAATATAGGCCATGGGCTATACTTGTAGACTATGTTCATGTTCATGTAGGTCTACAAATTCCATGTTGCGCATTTCAACGGTCTACTGCCTGTGCAACTTAAAGTCAAAAAAGGGATACCAAAAACGGCTTCCAGGCGAGGACTCGACAGTAGAGTCCTCGCCAAGGAGTACATTCTTCCCAAGCTCATGAACGCCTTCGTTTGCTATGAACCATCCCTAGCATAACCATGGGTCTCGGCCTACAAATCAAATTGGCTGTCCACTTTCCCTTTTGAACTAGTTATGGTTAGGCAGTACATCTCAAATGTGGTGGAGGTAGGATTCGGTCTGAAGTATTCAATTCAGTTGAAAAAAATTATATAGCTCTCCATCACCATCAACCAACCTCCCAACAACCACCATGCCCACCGCCAGACACGGTATTCAAGCAAGCCATCCTCAATTATATTAGCATGTGCAATACCGGAGGTCCTTCTAAGTCGGTTCTTGAGTCTGCCATGAAAACAATCGGAGACGAGAGATTCAGGGACGTTTTCATGTAGTACAAGGAGAATGATTTTGTTGAGGAAGACGAGCTTGAACATGGATTATTGATTTTCTCAAAGGCTAAACAAGGAGAAGATTGCTTTTGATCTCCGTTCTCGCGCCGTTACCACTCTTCAAAAATACTCAAAGTTGGAATCAAGTCCACCAAAAAAGAATCTGAACGACGCAAAAAGGGTCTTTCAGCAGATAGGCTGATAAGCTTCGATTGCTGGAGGATTGTCGCCTATATATTTTTTTTTCAATTGGATTGAATACTTCAGACCGAATCCTACCTCCACCACATTCTGTACTGTATCGGGTGGCGCTTCCAAAAATTTCTCAAATTTCCTGCGCTGAGTACAACGTGCGGCGAGCCAGTACATTGGGTTTGACATATGGTGGTGGTCAGTACATTGGGAATTTCCGTCCCAGTACAATTTTTTATGAACTCTAAATCGTATGGTCGAGTTTCATTGGCCAAATGGTCATGACATTCACCACATGCCGCCCTTGCTTGCAGCTTGCTCTCTTTCTCTCATTCTTCCTCTCTGCCTGTCCGTCTGCTCACAGCAACAACCTCCAGCCCAGTCAATACTCACTTACAAATCACCAACTGCTCCACACCTGCGGCTGCTCCCCCTCCTCCTCCCATTCCACCTCCCTCATTGAACTATCCTCCACCCTCCACCCCTCATGTCAGCACTCAGCTCTCTTGCCTCAGAAAAAAGAAAGCGACCAAGGAGCCGCGCTGATGCCCAGTCGACCGAGAAGCAACCTACAAAAAAGCATTCGAGGAGGATCAAGGAACTCATTCACTTGGACGGTTCGTGATCGAACAATCAGGGGGTAGAGAGTTAGAGAGTAGGGCTTTGCACTAAACAAGAGTGCTTGCCCTGCTATCTCAGGCACCATTGTCATAGACTTGCACGCTTATACCCTCCTCATTAATCCACTCTGTGTCAATGTAGTCATTGCGGATAACCCAGCATTACTGGATATGACCGACGAGCCATTACATGGAGAAGTTGAATCATACTCAGATTACGACTCGGACTCGGATGAGGAGTCGATTAATGAATCGATCAATGGCGGGTCAGCGCGAAGGCTCTCGATTCAGGAAACAGCCGAGGATGAAAACGTGGATGTCGACGAGGCCAAGCTTAATACTCATGGTATGAATGCTGTCATTGTGGAATCCAACCCAGTGAAAGGCACCGAAGGCTCTTGCTCGTAATAATCAACTATCTATTCCTAGTCAAGTTTGAAGCGATTTTACAATACCTAATAGCCCCACCGGATCTTTACCAAACTGAAGGCGGCATGGCAGGGGACCATGGTGAATCGACGGACAGCGAGATCATGAGAGAAGCCCTCGCTTTGCAGACCTCGAACCTGAGCGTTAACACCAAGAACCAATACAAGACGCACTTGAGAAAGTTCTTAGTAAATGACGACAGCAACATACGTCGCTGGCGAGCAGACATGGCTGCGATGGAGCTGATTCAATAACCAAGTTTTGTCGCTTCTCTATCTCTTAGAAATTTTGCAGCAATCTTCCTCTCGGCAATATCAACGGAGACAGCGGAAGGGCTCACATCTACGATGTTTCCGAGGTGAAGGTGCTTCGATTCTTCAAGGAGGTCATGTTCAAGTCAACCACCAAGAAGTACTTCAGTATGAACCAGAGCAGAGACGTTCGGACACCGTATATGTTCAAATCGACCACTACAAAGGACCACATACCGACTTTGGCACAAGGTATGCACAAAAGAAAGGAATTTCGTGACGCTCGCACTCTCAGGCCATTAACTGTTTACATGGTGGCCTTCCTTTCATACATATGACATATGGAACAGTCCTGCATGATATCAAACCGGATGCGAAAGGGCGGAAGGTGCTGAGCGTCCCCTGTGGCCGTCAGACCATGGAGAATGCGCTGAAGGCACTTTGCTATCTCCAGGATAGACAGAGCAAACGTCCGATACGCCCGAACGAGGAGCCCGAGCTTCGTAAATCGTCACTCATCAATAACGCCATCGACAAGTACTCTAACGACCTTGTAGTTGGCATCCTTGTGAACCACAAGGATCTTTCAGCTGAGTGCGAGATCCGAAATGCCTATACCGTCGCTCAGCACATCAAGTGTCTGTTGTACACATGGGCCCAGCCCATTACGATCCTGTCACCCTGGGCGAGGGAACATCTGGCCTTGGCAATTCGGCATAGCATGATTCTACGCAATGAGGACCTCTGTCATTTGAATCTCGTGGACTGCTTCATGATACAGGTCGAAAACCGAGACAGAGGATCGCAGTCAGCGTTGGCGCTCGTCTGTGCAATGCATCGCGGCAAGACCAATCGAAGCGGCCATACGCAGTACGGGTGCGCTCTAAGGCATAGCGACGTTCGCCGCTGTAGCATTGGCGCCTTTGCCTTTTACCTGTTTGATCGCTTCCATGTACGTTGAAACAGACCTTGCACGATATACCATAGTTCTTATTCCTACCTGACTAAAAGACTTAATTATGATAGAACAAGGAGGAGCCTCCGCCAGACATCAGCGACCCGGATTTCAAGGAGATCAAGGTTTTGCAAGGAACAAAAGGAACCCATGCTAGCCGTTTAGCGCCATTGTCGTATTCGGCAAGTCGCGAAACAACATTGAAGACGTTTGAGACTCAGGAACTGGAGTGCGTTCATCTCACACACTCTGGACGTCACAGCGGAACGATTGAGGCCCAGAAGCTGGGTATTCGAGCTGAGGATATCAAGCTTGGAGGCCGGTGGGTGCGTGGCAATGGCAGGATGGACCAGCACTACATGTCCAACATCCCTATCAGGTTCGCGTTTGGTATGGCGGGCTTTCGGGAAGGAAAACCCTTTCATCTCAAGAGGAACGAGGTATCGCCGCCGGTGGAGCTGCAGGAGATGATCTTCCCATTCGTCGAGACTGCATTCGGTGAACCAGGGTCTGAAGCCAACAAGAGATGAAGGAGGAATGTCTTGATGAGATGAATGAGAGGGATGAGGATCAGCCCGACCAACTTCAAAATGTCTTGCCCCTGGATCCATCACCGTCTGAGCCAGGTAGTGCTCCTATCCATAAGGCGCACGCTGATATGAGCAAGAAACGTTTCTTCAAGATGGTCCTCCGCCTGCGACGAGTCATACTGCAGGACGCCGTGGCGTATATGCACACACATAGCAGCGCCAAGTCACCGCTTCTGGAGCATAGCCTGTTCAAATCGGAGTTGTTTCTCAAGTTCAAGGATGACCTGGCGGTTGTACTGGACCGAGAGGATGCTACCCTGCCGCCTGACCTTCCACCCATTATGGTTGAAGCTATAACGGATCAACGACAGCAGTATTCTGGCCATTACCAAGCTCTCAATGATAAGTTTCGACAAGTCCAACTTCAGTCTCAACAACAGAGGACTCAAGAGGAATCATTTCGCCTTTGGATGGCATCTCAAATGCAGCAAATGCAGCAGTATCTTTCAAGTCAACTGGCGCAGCTCTCAGTTCAAGTGCAGCAATCGAATGCCTGTGCCTGTCGTCATCCTCCGAATAGGCCCACCCCACCTTTTACTTGTTGTGCCTATGGTCCTTATGATTATGGTGAGCAGGTGCAGCAACACACAGCTTTTTACCAGGAGACATCAAGAGTGCCATGGCTTGGACCTACGATAACGATGCCGCTTCTGCAACCTACTAGTTCTGGGGCACTTATACCACCTGTAGCGCCAATTACAGTACCGATTCGACCGTCTGCTTGGGTACCGCCGCCAGCACAACCACAAGCACGACCGCAGGCACAACCAACACTAGCCCCTCATCGATCCGAAAGTGTGGCTGATGTCTCCGCTCAGGAAGTAGAATCTGAAGAACCAGGGTTCACTGTGAGCAAGAGGCCCAGGAACGCAAGGGAGATCTGGGATGAGCGTCAAAGCTTTGCAAAGTTTCAGGAGGAATATGAGCGACGAAAGGGAAGGCGCCCGAAGTTGGCTGAGAAAGACCGAAAGGCGCTCAACAATAGGTTGCGGATCGTGAAGGAAATTGAGTTCCGTGCGAAGCAAGCGCAAGCCAGGGATAGCAGTCTTAGCCTCGATGCGGCGATAGAAGGTGCGATGAAGAGCCTTGATGGTATGAGGATGAGCTGCAATATGCTTTACAAATATTACCAAGAGGAGGCGCTGAAGCGAGCGGAAGCTGTTTGAAAAGGTCTATGTAATTATATTAATTATATGTATAATAAAAAATGTGCTTCTAACTGCGGTTGTAAGTGTGTAAGTGTGTAAGTGTGTATATGGTGAGTGGGAGAGAAGCATAGAGACGGATGGAAAGGCAGATGGAGAGAAGGATGAATAACTAAGAAGCGCGATCCATTCATCCATCCCACCCAGATGTGCCTGATCTTGATCTCTCGCCCACATCCGTTCAGGGTCCTAAGGTTACCCAATACTTTTCACTTTTTGTGTCCCTTCCAGATTTCCTCAGCTTTTCCGACTCTGGCACATATCAGCCATTCGCAGTGTTTGAATCCAAGAGCGCACAGGAATTTTCATATGAACCTCTGTATTTTAAACTAATGATACCGACAGAGGCCTTTGAACGTTCCAGGTATTGATTGTTACGGTTAATATCAGTGGTTGTGTCTTATGCTTTTTGATGGAAGTGTCACGCTTATGCTAACTCACCGTTATTGAAATATGTGGTCCCGGTTTTGAGAGGATGAGCTATAAGGAATTTTACGAGACCTTCCATCATATCGATAAGTTTCTTGATTGCAGGAAAAGGAAAACTCAGCGAAGAAATGGGAGAAGTGCAGATGTTACGACTGAACGTAGCAGGTGTAAAAACATGCAGCAAAGAATGGTGTGTCGAAGAAACCAGAATGCTATCGTTGTTGCACGTACTACCTGATGTGATAAACTTTGCGGATACTTTTATGCATTTACTTATGCTTTATTGGTCGACACGAAAGGAAGTAACTGAGTGGTTAGCCCTCATACCGAGTACGCATCGCTCAGAGACCTTGCACTTGCAAAATTGGGGCGGGAATATATAACAATTAGCGTCAGGACTGTTGTCAGACTGACAAGTTACAGATGATGTAAAGAATGAGGTGAAAGATAGATAATAATACAAGACAAACGCTTAGTATTAGAATTTGAATGACTGCAAAAACATATTAGCTAGTAGAATTTATTATTCGGGTTGGAGGTCTTGCCCTCCGTGAATAAAAGGCTCAGGTCATTACCGTGTATGGTCTTCGATTATGCTATCAGCTATGTGGCATGAGTAATGCTCAAAAGCAACAGTTTTTATTTTTTTCTCTGTATGTACGATGGTTCTGAAAGATCTCTGCTATTAGCCGTTTGCGTTGGATTCTCTTGCTTTTATATGATGAACGTTCCTGCTACAAATGTTTGTCTACTAGCGGAGAAATGTTGTTTTATCCAAGACAATTGGATGAATATCGTTGTGAACTTTTGTGTGGTAGGCGGCAGATGTCCAGCTTTCAAGTCGCTGCTGTGCAACTTCTGTCCAATCGTCACCCTCGAGCCCCAAATATACCGGGTCTGATTGTAAACTGTCGATCTCCCAAACGTGGCCTTTGTAGGGCATTATGAGAACGATGTGATTGTCAGAAGATGTTTGGAGAGTATTGTCGCAACCATTATCGTTATCGCCGTTGATGATTGCAGTAGGTTTGTCAGTGCAGGGTTGAACGCTACGCAATATGTGTTGATGGAGGCATTGAAGAAGAAGATTTTTCTGAAGAGAACCCTACGTTATTGAAGATGAAAAAAATTATGTTAGAAATGAGTCCTCTTTAATGAGATAAGATGCCGGAATGCTGATTTACCGGCGTAATATCTGATTGAATGTCGTTCAATATGCTCTGCGTTGTGCTTGAGGGGTTTTTGTTAGCAACATAGTTGAACAATGCCATAGAGCAACAAGGTCCTGAAGTCAACTGTAATTGATATATGTAGAAACCAGGAGATTAGGTAGAGAACGCCTGATGATCAACAACTGATATTGATGTACGAGTGTTGATTATCACCTGTTGAAAGTTGATTGGTTTTATCGCCTCTCTCGGTGGTGGCATTGGTTTTGTCGGATCAGAGAACCGTCGTATTTTGTTGTCTGTGTCATACTCTGGTTCATCATATGTGTTGTCCAAGTAAAGGTAGTCGTCGCAGTATGTTTTGTACATCAAACGTCTCGTTTGTAGGCTGTTTCGGTAGCAAAGTAGATAGGCCTTGTGTGTTTGCCTCTTGACTGAATGCTGATTAGAATGGACAACGATCTTGTCCAGGAGTTTGTACGGTTCGTTAAGGTATGTGAACCATGGATTGACAAAGTCTATTGGGAGATTAGACAATTATTGATTTCATGGGGTAAAGGTTCATGATCAATGCAACTAAAAATGATTTACCTGGGTCATATAGAGCATCGTCCCATATAGGTCTTGCAGGATCGACCTCGGTATGATGCACTGTACGCTGTTCGTTTGAATAGTATATTGGATCAGTGTATTGAGTTATTAACATTATTTCAAGCACTCATTGTGAAATGGTATAGACATACCACATTGGGAATCGAATCTTGTGCAAGGTCAATCGCGCCGAATCTCTGATGAATGCCTGAGCGAACAAGGCACGCAAAACGTTTGACTAATGCTTGAAGTCCCTTTTCTGGTAGCTCTCGTTGTTTCACATGAGTTGCGATGCCATGTTGTAGAATGGTGTCGCAGTCTGCTGTGGTCCAGTATGGGGTGATGTCAGCGATGGCAGTTTGGATCCGGCCTTCCTTCAATAGCTCCATGACCGATAGTAGTTTGTTGAATCCTTCTTCTTCATTGTCGAGCTGAACTGGTTGACCACCACTGATATGGCTTAACAGAAGGGATTTTGCATAGTCGCGAAGATGAGCCGTCTTATTTTCCAGGAACTTGTTAGGTGAATAGGTGCTATGGTCAGTGCACTGATGTTTAAATCCGTACTTTGAGATGCAAAGTTGAGTGAGGTTGATTATTTTTTTGATGTAGGGATACATATTTGGGATGTCGTTGTCGATATACGCTGGTCTAAGATGGTTTTCGAGAATTTGTGGTAAGTTTGGGACACACCCGTACGTTTTGTTCAGGAAACGTTTAAAGGAATTGTCTCGTTGTTCTAAAGTTGGCTTCTTTCTCATCTCGAGTATTGATCTCCATGTTTGTTCTGCAGCTATTGAAATGGTTGTATTGTTGTCCTTGATACTGCATTCCTTTTTTTGACGTTTGGCTTGTCTGCTGTTGATGGAATTGTTTGGGTCGACCGAGCGCTGCCGCTTTTTAAGAGTCATTGTTAATGGATGGTGGTTTTGAACGGTTATAAAATGCAGTGGCAATGTCAAAGGGTGAGGGAGTGAATAGATGATTTGAAATGGAAAAAGGGCGTGGGTCTGGTCACGTGAAGAAGATCTCAGCATCGCAAATGATATACAAAATATATTTTATCGCAAATCATATACAGTTTTGTAGATGACTTCCATTTTTGTCCAGGAGTATGAGATCAAAGACAACCTCAGCAGGTGCAAACGGTCTGATCAGGTGGAAGTGAATCTAGGGTGGAAAGGGACCTTATTCGTATGAATGCTGCTGTCTAGTTCTACGCGTGGATGGAGTTTATAGATACTGGCTGGATAGATAGCAACAGTGTTCTAGAAAGTCGTAGAAAGATGGGCGAAGCACTGATGACATCATAATCCACTTAACCGAGCATAAACCTATTGCAGCAGGGTAGGTGATTACCATGCTAATATATGTTCCAGTGGGGCAGTAGTCCTGCAGTTGTGGTAGTTGCTGTTGATCGGATTGGACACTTGTTGCCGGTTCATCTTGACGCTGTTTTTGTTGCATTTTCTGCTCCTTTTCCATCTTCTCTTGTATGGCGTGACTGCTGACAGTTCCAGGCGCTTTCTCGACATCGCTGCGCTCAAGAACTTGTCGCAACTTCAATTGGACAAAGCAAGGGTACATGCTGCCGTTGATCTTGACAAAAAATATGACGTCGGGTCCGGAGACATGAGGTGCTGGGAAATAGAATGGAGGGATATCCTGATCGCCCTGCTTGGAGTTGTGCTCGACGTGCGCCTTCATAAAATTCTGTGTCGTGATGTTTCTGTGCGATATGGCGAGTTTTGGTTGCTGTTCGTCGTATCCAACAATCGTCACATCCCCGACGAGCTGCTCGGGAAGAGAATTCTTGGTCAACAAAGGCCACGAGGACAGCGGTCGACTTCTAAACGTCTCAACAAAGACAGGTGGTATCATCGTTTCCTACATGTTTCCGTGTACTGAAGCGTTGTTGGAGTGTAGCATCGTCCGTTCCGCTGCAGATATGAGTGATGGATCCTTTTCCCGAAAATAATTGTGGGTGGCCTTCAGGGCAAACGACTCATCGAGAACTGCTCTTGCTGCACCTCCGAAGATCTTGATGCGACCGAACGCTGCTTCCATCAATTGCATTTCATTTTTAAGCACAGTCTCAGACGCGTCCAGTAAACAGTTGCGGAAAAGAAAGAGACCAAGAGCTTCTCTGATGGAGGAGCATGAGGCGAAAAGCTCGGAATGCTCGGAGATCTTGCTTTTTAAGCTACAAAGAGTGTCGTAAATAGAATGGGGATTATTTAGCAGATTACTTCCATTTGTGGATCTTAGAAGCCGATGTGGTAACGAATGATGCGTTTGGGTAAGAGAAGTAATATATGATAGTATGGAAGACAATTTGTTCTTCATGGCCGCTGACCGTTGCAAGAACTTACTCGGCGTCAGTAGTCTGAAAAATCTGTCACGTCATCTATGTTGTGTCAGCCAGTTTATTGCATTCTGCGATTTAGTCTACGAAAACAGCACTATATCGCAAGCAGAGGAAAATTCTTGAGCTTCTCATACAAGCCCAGCTGCTCGAGGGCAGGCAGGATGTTCGCGTCGAGTGCCATGATACCACCTGTTGGATCTACTGGCGATATTCACGGGGATGTTTTCCTTCCAAGGATATTTCTCGCTTTCATATCTTCCAAACGCCGATTCCACCTAGTTGAGTACAAACCTGTTATTTTCTAGATCTTGATATGAGATGAATCCAGCAGTCCTCTCGCGGCCTCTCGCAATATTTTCACTCCGTACCGGAGCTTGCACGCACCATCGAAGCTGTTCGACGTCTGGAACTCTGCCATGGTCCTCTTCGAAAGTTGAGTCCTCTTTCGATCAGAATGCAGTTTGCAGTCGTGTAGCTGCCATCATTGAAGACACGACACCACACTGTGCGATTGGCTGGCCTGTCACGAGAGATCGACCCTGGCACGTCTCCAGGAAAAAGCGCCACTCGAACTTGCTCCAGACGACGCGGTCCCTGTGCACCTTCGAATTGACGAACTTGCGCCACCTCTGCTCCCACTCCGCGGTCCAGGGCTTTTTCTCCTTCTCGGCATCGAATCCGTCTCGTAGCTCCTCAATGATATGATCCGTCCACTGGACCCCATCCTCCCACCCTTGCTCAATATTCTTCAGATATTGAATGCGTTGATCAACGGTTCGATCCATGAAAAGCTATTATCGATGGGAAGCAACATACACGCTAGTTGCTTGAACGTAAATACCGGAGCTACTTCACTTTCCGCACGGCACTTACCAGTTCGAAAAGTGCGAAGCGGCCACCAGGACCTAGTCCTCTGCTCCATACATGAGAGCCTCTCCTTGATCAAACATCGTCCGATCGACAGAGAATTTTCTTCTAGGACAGTTGATCACGGTGAGTGAAAGCTGTGTGCCTGTCCAGAAGCACACGGGACTTGCTTCCCTAGCCATGTTGCGCAGGAAAAACACTTCCCGAGAGGCATACATCGCTGGCCCTGAAGAGAAGCCTTGCACAGCCATTGTCATGACCGTGCCGAGCGCTGAGTCCGGGAAGCAAACTGGGCTTGATCCTTGTGGTCACTGATCCATTTCGAGAACTTGAGTATCTATCGGGTTGGCGTGGGCTTTAGAATTGCAGTCCTTCGTGCATGCATGGCAGTATGCGTAGAACTTGATAGGGATGTTGGCCGACTGTCCCCTCACGAGTCTCCCGTTTGTCCGATTCAGCTTTATGGAGCAATCCGCGCAGAAGGTGTTTTTAGCGCAAGCTGATATTTAGCTGTCAGGGGCGAGCTGCTGGAGCAGGCCTGGAAGCAGGTCTCCTTCAATCTGATACGCTCGTCTGGCCGCATCCTCGTGCTATCATTTATACCATCGACCTTTTTGTCAGCCACATCCTTTCGGCAGAACAGCACTCTGGGGCTCCCGTGCATAGGTAGTGCCGTGTCAAGCCTGTCTTTGACCACGCATTTACTGCAGAGGCCACTATCGTGAAAGTACAACCGACCACGCGAGTCTCGAAGAGCCACGTTCTCCATGTCATCAAAGCTGTACATCCGTCTCCATCGCAGAGTTTCCCTTGGCGGAGCATCGAGTCGATCTTATATTCGTGACTGATGACATGCTTGTAGTTGCTCTCTTGCATCGTGCTGAATAGAGAAAAGTCGTCAAGCCATGCCAAAGGCATTGCAGGCTTGCCTTCGACCTATCCATTGCAAGGACTGTACTGCATAACCATCTTCTCCTTGTCCAGCGTCGTCAAGTGTTCTAGAAATTTAGCTCCTTTGCATACTTGTACCATGCCATTTGCTAGATAGGAGCCCTCGGGAAAGAGCATATCCTCGGCATGAAGCAGGGCAGGACACCTTCAACCAAAGACTCTTTATGCAGGACGGTTATCGTGAATGCTATCAAACGGGAGATTGGTATTAATATACCATGTGCCCTTTCTATGCATTAAAGTTGCTGCTGGACGTTCTATTACCGTTCGGAGCTTCGGCGATCGGTGAAGGAGGCGGAACGCCACTATACCTGGTCTCAGTGGCGTCGTCCCCTGAGTTAGACTCCTGCGGTGTGCTGCTTTGTTGATGGCTCTTGACGTGCTTCCCGATGTCCTCTTTCTAGAATAGGGTCGACCGCAGCCTGGGCGCGAGCATTTGTATGCTCTGTGCGAGCTTAAATGGATTTCAAGGGCGGCTTTGTCGGTAAACACCTGACGGCAGTCCTCGATCCGACATAGATGTTTGGAATGCTGTTGCCTCATATGGGTCGTGAGGCATCCTTGTGTGAGGTAGGTATTACTGCAGTTCTCTTCGATGCAGTCAAATTGCCGCCGAGATTCTGCATGTGCGGTACGTATATGCCTTTGTAAGGCGCACTTTGTAGCATAAGACTTCGGACAGGTCGCCTCGCTGCATGGGATTCTTTCCTTCGGCATCCTGAAGTCGACAGAGTTGTATATGAGCGTAGAAGGGTTGAGATACGAATAGCAGAAAAGGTAAGAGGAATATTTGATTATTAAAGAGAGAGAGAGAGAGACGAAATAGCGCCAGAAAGAAGTAAAGGAATGTGAGGAGAAAAGGAGGAAAGGAGGAAGGGCAGAGTTTATCTCGATTGTTAAGAATTGCAAATTGGTGGCAAATTTGCCTGCTTTTCCTCATGGCAAAGCAGCATTCGTCTCTAAATTTATTGATGCCAAAACTGGCTGGAACAATTAAGCTTGAAGCAAAGCTTACGCGCATGCTAAAGCCTCCACCGAAAGTCTTCCAAAAGTGTTTGCTGGCGGAATATAGCGAGGCTAAAGGGAGGACTGAGGGTGAACTGGCAACGATCAATTTTTATTTCACCGGTTGAGTTCTCCGCATAGGTTTCCTCGACGGGCTTGATCCTTCCAAGCTGTAATCATGACCTCGGTATTGTTAATTGCGGTTTCCCATTCTTTTGGATTCCCAGTCTTGATAATTCCCTCGATCGCTGTGACGATTGGGCGGAATCGACCGGTAAGCCTTTCGTGTAGTATGTCGACCGCAGCCGGAGGGATTAGAGTGTCCATCATTCTTTTCGGCTCGTCATCTGGTAGTTTCTCCTTCATCCGATCGATATAGGACTGCACCGAATCTGGACCGGTCCGCCCTAGAAACTCGACATGCGGAAAGATGTTCGAGCTATATTCCTTGACGCCGTCGCCGCTGCTCAGCGCCCAATGGAGAGTTTGGATGCTCAATCCTGTCCCGCAGCAGATGATAGTAAGCTCTCCTCGACCACCAAGACTTCGAAACCCATTCAACACGGGGACAACATCGGACGTAGATCATCTTGTGTTGATGATGACACAAATGACGTATTACCCCGATCGCTGAGAATCTGGGCTTCGTCCACGACCAGTCGTAATTTGGTGTTTGCTGAGAAATTGGGATAGTTGCGGGCAGCAAGACTCTCTTGTACTGAGAGGAACCCATCTCGAACCACGCCAATCAGCACCAATTTGGAATGCACACGTTCATGCAGCTTTTTCAAAAAGGACCCTGAAAAGCTTTGAGAAGATGTCCTGGAACATTTGAGGTCAGACTTAGAGTACGGCCCAACTTGCGCTCGAAAACATTTGGCGGCAATTGGGGATCTGCAGACAGTATGTGAGGACCAGGAGTCGGGAGAAGAAGAGCACAAGGGTTGCGTTCCTTGCGAAGACAGTGTTGAGTCTAGGATCTTGTTCCTCCAAGGTTTTTTTGTCAATTAACTCAGTAAGGTGGCTGAGGTCGTCTGATCCAGGATCGTTCTTTGACGCGTTGAAGTAGAATCCCCACTGTAGACAGAGCAGCTCAATCATGGACCGAGTCTTGCCGCATCCACTATGGATATCAGGAAGCATAAGTTAGACCAGGGAAGAGCAATAATATAGATAGGTACAGTAACTATTCAAAGCTATGCGTTGCAATGAGAACCTAACCTGACGCCGAATACTGGAAGATCTTGTGCTTGCACGCCTTCCAGCTTGCTCAACAGAATAGAATGTTCGACTGAAGCCGCTCAGGAACAGGATCGCCCGCGCTTGACGGAGGATCTGGTAGATCCAAAAAAAGAAGATTGGGGCCTACATCCTGTGTATCGACGATGCACGCCTCGCGACCTTCGGAAGGCCACACACCTGACGTAGTGACTGGCAACTTGAACTCTCCTCGAACGTACGTGTCGAGAAATAGACAAGCAGGGAATCCAGGGGCGAAGAACCGGTCTGCGATTTTTTTGATGTCCGAACGAAGGTCGCCTAGTTCATGAGGAAGAAGAGGGCATGAGCACAAGATTGTTCGTTACGACGGAAACTAAAAGCGACATTATTGCGATGCACTTACCCGACAGCGGCGTGCTAGGACGAGAATCATCCGAGGGATGGCCGGGGAGCGGAGTAGATGCCCGAGCAAGGACAGGTGCATGGATTATGTCGGAGCAGTAAAGAGTGTGAAATAAGGTTAGCACATGGACAAGCTCATGCGCGCGGTCAATGAAAGCAAAAGCGCGACGACATTACCTGGCGGGGGTCGCTGGACGATGATGTGGATTGTTTTCTTCGCGGCTTTTCTTCAAAGACATCAGAAATGTCGTCTGTTGGTTCGAGTTCCGGTGCTGTCTCGTATTCTTTCAGGACTATCGGCTTGTGCTTGTTGGCCGGACAAGTGGGATCGAGACGCGCCAAAGGGTGAGCATGTCTGCATCGACATCGGCGAAGGCGTTTTTTTTTCGTTTTTGATTTTATCTTTAAGCTGGCCGAAGGTCTTGGTAGACTCAATCTCGACAGGGATTGTGGTCGATTCACCGTCCACCACACAGCACAGTATCAGTTCGTTGACTGGCATGGTGTCATGTAGCATGAAGAATGATGTGACGAGTGAAAAGGTAGAAAGGATGACGAGGGTGAAAATGGGTGGATGAAGGATGTCAAAGGGAAGAACAAAGGCGTTGTGGAGACAATAAATGGGAAGATGGAAAGAAGAGCGTGGGAACGGTGACAATGGCGATGAAAGACAGGGAACGAAAGTAGAAGAAAGGAAGAGATGAAAAATTGTGAGAGTGATGACAGACAAAAAAAACAGGGCGGGATGGTGGTGGCAGAAGCTCTGAACCCAGCCACCTCGTCTGTGCAATTCTTGCTGACGAGGGGCTGAGACAAAATCTCCCCTCTACTATGGGGTCTCCCTTCCCGTCGTACTTTCTTTTTTGGACGAGATTCCTTTTTGGGAAGAAGGCTGCAGTGGCCTCAGACCAACGTGCTCCTCGCTTCCTCTCCGCTCCTTCGCTCCTTCACGTCTTCCATAAAGTCGTCTCTTACATCGAATCCACCCTGCTTCACTCTCAAATTAGGCGTCAACATGTCAAATAAAAGGCAGCTCAGGTACAGATGCGCATCTCAAGCACGTATTCATTTCCTGGCACGCGTTCATCAGCAGCATCCGAGCATCCGAGCATCCGAGCATCTG